TAAGCTTACCATTAGTTCAGGTATAATTAAATATTGGAAATAATTTTGAAAATAAAAACCTTGAAATATAATTTTTTTAAATAATTAATTCTATTTAGTCATCGATTTCTTCGGGAAACAATTACATATCTCAAATGAATCAATTTTTACTTGGTTTTGGATCTTTGGTTCATATTTTCTCTATTGGAATACCTGCTCAAAATTTGATAAGTGTAAGCTCTTCAATTTCATTTGACGTGTAAGTTTCAATATCAGCTTAAGTTTCGAATTTTTTTTCAAATTGAAGCGCCTGTTAGCAAAAGGGCTTACGATATCTTTTTTATTTTTATAAATTTTTGTTTTGTTTAAAAATTTTAAATTATGTATTCTAGAAGAGAATTTTAAATTAATTTTCTACTTTCGAAAAAGTGACAAATAGAAATCATCAGAATTTTTTTCACTTCTTTTCATTAAAAGACTAAAATTTTGTTAAATATTATGTTTTGTCAAATTGAAATTATGCAGATTTTTGTTCTTCTAAGCAAAATTAGAAAATTGTTAAACAACTGATTAAGAAATAGAAAATTTATTTATTTTGCATTATTCTTGTTTATGAATCACAATTTAAAAAAAAAATTATTATTTTGTTTTCGAAAAAGAAGAAAAATATTTGCACAATTTCTATTTTTAATCTTATTTTTTGAACAGGATTTTCTACAGGAATTAAGACATTCAAAAATTTTAAATTCAAACCTTTTTTAAATTAAACAATTTATAAAAAATTGTTATAAAACATGAAGATATCGATTGCTCCGAGTCGAAGACTCGGAGTGATCGATTTCTTCATGTTTCCTAATAATTAAAGATTACCGAGAGATAAAATCATTATTTTATATTATAACAATATTGTTACTGTAACTTCATCAAAATTATTTTCATCATTTTAATTTAATTATTATTTTCTAGAATTTTAAATTATTTTTTATGAAAATAATAATTGAATTTCTTGAAAAATTTTTATTATTTATAAAAAATTAAATGTTTGCATACAATTTTATCAAAATTTTTTTTAAATAATTGAATTCTTTTTGGGAAATTTTATTAAAATAGTAGATATTGAAAGTCTTTGAAATTAGAAAAATTTTTGAAAATAATTTAAATTAGGACAAGAATTGTATCTTTTTTTGAAAATAATTGAATTTCTGCAATTATTTGTAATTTCTCCAAAATTGCATTTTTTTAGTGCTTTCAAAAAAAATTTTAATTTTAATTTAATAAAATTTTTAAATTTAAATTATTAAGTATTATTATTATTATTATTATTTTATTAGTTATTCCAGTAAATGGTATGAACTGCCAATTAAATATAAAAAATTACTGCCTTTTATAATTATGCAAAGTGATATCCCTTGTCAGTTAACTGCAGGAGGAATTATAGTAATGAATATGGAGACGGTGACAAAAGTAAGAAATCATTTTTGAATTTTTGAATTTTACATTATTTTTGATAATTTTATTAAAGTTTATTTTACTTTTTTCAATTTCATTTTAAGATTGTAAAATTATCCTTCTCCTACTATACACTGATTTCAACAGTATATAAATAATGAAATACGTAAAAGGAAAATAATCACACATTATATTTGAATTATAAAAAATGCTTAATTGTGTTATATTATTTTGTTTAATCATAAAAATAATATGTAAAATTAATGAATTTTAATAAAATTAAGAAACTTGAAATATTAATTTATTCAAGTTGTATAATTCAATGTGAATGGAAAGCTGTGTCAAAAGTAAGAATAAAATTTTAATTTTTTATTTATTATTCTCTTATTTCAATTATTCATGCAGTAAATTAATATTTTATTAATGTACACTGAAAAAAAATTTATTTGACTCAAATAACCGATTACTTGAATATTATCAATTAAATATTTACTTGAATCAGGTAATTTTTATTTAAGTCAATTAAATGGTATTTAAACCAATAATTTCAGTATTTGAAGGAAATATGAATTGAACCACTTAATTGACTCAAATAAAAATTATTTAATTCAAATAATTTTTTTTTTAGTGTAGTAATTAGTAATTTATTAATTATTAATAATTAATTGTTCGATAATTAATATTTTCATTATTAATTTATTTACAATTATTAATAATATATTAATTATTAATTTATTTTTCAATTATTAATAATATATTAATTATTAATTTGTTGATTTATTGAATAGGTACTTTAAATTAACTTGTGCATGAAAACAATAAATTTTTTTAATATTGGTTTACTTACTTGTTTATTGATAATGAAACAATTTTTTTTTCAATTACAGATGTTTCAGACAAAAAATTTTATTTTTTGTCGAAAAGAAAACTTTAATATTAACGACAAGAAGCACTATATATTGCACTTCAATTTCTATAAAATATTTTCTATTATTTATTATTTATTATAAGTTTTCATCTCTCAACTTTTATTAAAATTTCTGAAATTTATAAGAAAAATTATAATTGTAATAGAATAACCACAGTGGGTCTCAATTCACTTCAACCCAAAAGTGCTTGCACATCTCGTTTTTTTTTATATTGTTTCTGGGATGCCTCCTGATGATTTTAAGGTAAAAATGAAAAAAATCGGTTGGGCCCTTTTTGAAAAAACTAATTTTTTGATTTTTTTAAAGAGGTTATATTTTTTTTGTATATTTTTTGCATAGTATATTTTTTTGTATGGTATATTTTTTTGTATAGTAAATTTTTTTTGTATGGTATATTTTTTTGTATGGTATATTTTTTTGTATAGTATATTTTTTCCAGTATAGTATATTTTTTCCTCGTATATTTCTTCATCTAGAACTTAAGTAAAAAATTAATTAAACTACTGAATAAGGTTAGTAAATATTTTACTAAAATTTAGTGTTTTCTATTTTTAATATTATTCGATGATTTATTTTTACTAATTCAGATTTGGAGAGTAAAGACATTTTAAATTTTATCACGTAAAATAGATTTAATTTTAATTCAGGAATTTTTTTTCTCGATACAATGAAATATTTAATGAATTTTTAATTTATTTAATTAATTGATTAATTTAGGGTACTTTTGTACTTTATACTTGGAGAGACGATTTGGATGCTGCAATTGATTGTTGCAGTATAATAACATTATTTTTGATGAGTTTGGGTATATATTCAGTTTATGTCTTTAAACAAAAAAAAGTAATTATAAAGTAATTATATTAAAAAATTATATGAAATTATAAATATTATAATATAATTCGTACTGTTAATTATTTTATTATTTCAATTATAGAATAAAAGTTATTTGATTCAAGTAAATATTTAATTAATAATAGTCGGTTATTTTTTTTTAATTAAATTTTCAATTTTTAATTTTCTTTTTTATTAATTACGAATGAAGGTTTCGACTAATTATTTTTTATTAATTAATCCATTATTTGAATCAAATAATTTTTTTTGGCTATTATTTTTATTTTTTAATTAATGGAAAAAAATGTAAAAAATAAGAAAAAATTGCTTGTCTGAATTTAATATTTTTCTTTTTTCATCAAAATAATTTAATCGAAAATCGTATTTGTTCCTTTATTATTTAAATAATTTTTATTTTTTCCCAATTTTATTGGGAATTTGATAATAATTTTTTTTTTTTGTTAATATTAATTGATTTATTTTTCAGCTATCGTATATTGTTGAGTGTATTGAAAATGATTGGAAATTATGGTCATCTAAAGGTGAAATAAATAAGCTTCATGAACATAAGCAAATTGGAAAAAAATACTCGACTTTCTCGTTTAGTAAGAATTTTTAAATATTTTTATGAGAGACAAAAAATGTTTAATTTATATATTCAGTTAATAATAATGAACATTTTTATTTATTTATAGAATATAATTACGCTACGCTGGTTGCATATGTATTTATAAATTTTTCACCAGCCATACTTAACATTATTATGCCTTTAAATGAACCCAGAAAAGTACGATCAGTGTATCCTGCAAAATTCCCTTTCGACGAAGAAAAATATTTCTTATTTATCGCGGTTCATAGTGTCATAACAGGTAGGTATTATTATGGTAGGACTTTTTTTAACCGTTGACAGTATGTACGTGACGACAATTCAACAGGCCTGTGGATTATTTGGAATTATCAGGTAAAAATTGGAAAAATAAGTATTTTTCAAGAATTTTTAAAATTTCTCTCTAAATTTAAATTAGTAAAAATTTTAATTAATTTAAAGTAGTGGCTAACTTTTTGTAGTAAATATTACTAACAAATTTGTAAAATAATTACTATTTACTAGCAATTAAATATTAAAAATTACTATTTACTTGTAGTTAAATAGTAAAAATTACTATTAACTAGTAGGTAAATAGTAAAATTACTATTTATTAGTAATTATATAGTAAAATTACTATTTATTAGTGAAATTTACTAATTCAAAAGAAAAAAGTCAATTACTAATTCAAAATTAGCAAACAGTTTTACTAATTAAAATTTAGAGAGTATTTTTTTCATTGATGGGAGAAAATATTAACATTTATTTCATTTAAGGTATCGAATGAAAAATATGTCCGTTGATTTTCATTCTACTTATTCTCAGGATGTAAAGGGAATTGAAAATTTTTATAAGGAATTTAATTATTCCATTAAATATCATTATTACACTCTTAGGTATTTATTGAAATAATATTGCCTTTCTGTATTTGTTTCAAATTGGTATTGTTAATTTATTATATACTTTATCGTGAATTTAATTGAAATTAACTTTAATTTATGATAGAATTAATTTATATAATAGAATTTTTATTATTTCTAGATTGTAATTTTTTCAGTTATGTAAAGGACCTGGAAGATTTTTACTCTCCTTTTCTACTTATTGCCAATGGATGTAATGTATTGACGATAAGTTTTGCATTACTGCAGGTAAAATTTAAAGAAATTTGAAGAGTTTTAAAAACACAAAAAATTGCGAACTAATATTTAGTAATTAATTTTAATTAGGCATCGATTTCAATGGAAAGTAATATTTCTATGGTGAAGCAAGTGGTCCTTTCATTGGCAACAATGGTTCATGTTTGCTTTCTTGGATTACCTGCTCAAAATTTGATAAATGAAAGCGCTGCTTTTGCATTTGATATGTATGTTGAGAAATTAAATTTTATTTTAAAAATTTTATTTTTTCTTCTAATAATTTAATTAATATTAATAATGTGTAATTGTTTATAATAATTTGATAAAATTTTTTATAATAATACAAAAAATGGCAAATATTTTAATTATATAAATTGAAAATTGAAAATTTTCAATTTAGAAAATAATTTTATTTAAAAATACAATTTTTTATTTAATTTTTAATTACAATTTTTGTTACGAATAATTTCAGGTATGACATTCCTGTTAAAATGCAAAAATTAGTACTTTTTATAATTATGCACAGTAACATTCCATGTCAGTTAACTGCTGGAAAAATTTCAATTATGAATATGGAGACAGTGGCATCAGTAAGAAAGAAATAATGATTTTAATTTAATTAAAATTTTTTTTTTAAATATTAATTTAATTTAAACTGCATGCAGTAATCAATAAAGAGAGTAAACAATTTTTTATACATTAAAAAATGATTTTTTATTTTTCATATAAAGATTATAAAAATGGCATTTTCCTATTTCACAATGTTATCAGCAATCAGTCAATAAATCGAACAGGAACGTAAAATAAAATTAATTATGTTTTTAAGTAAGTGGAAAAAAATTTAATTTTCATTAATGAAAAGTTTGTTTGTTGATTATAAATTTACTAAATTATAAATTTACTCACTAAATTTGAATTAGTAAAAATGTTTAATAATTTAAATTAGTGACTGACATTTGCTTTTGAATTATTATCAATTTTTAGTGAATTTTAAATTTTAAATAGGAATTTTAAGAACAACTGATTACAGAAATTCAATTATTTTCAAAAGTGATAAACTTCTTCGCTTAAATTCAATTATGTTCAAAAACATTTTTTTTAATTTTTGTCAAAATTTAAATTATCTTTATAAATAATAAAATTCTTCTCCAAAATTGAATTATTTTCAAAAAATTTAAAAAAATTCTTGGCAAAATTTCAATTATTATCAAAAATTTTCCTCATTTCAATTATTTTTAATATCTACTATTTTAATAAAATTTTCCAAAAGAATTCAATTATTTAAACAAAATTTTAATAAAAATTAAGATTGATCATAGAATACAATTATTTTCGTAAAATATAACACTCTTCCTAGGAATACAATTATGTATTGTCAAAAATGTTTGTAAAAATCTTTGAAACAATTCAAATATTTTCGTAAAAAATAAAATTCTTCAAAGCAATTCAATTATTTAAGAAATTTTAATAAAATTCTTCCCAAGAAATTACTTATTTTCATAAATAATAATATTTTTCTCCGGAATTCAATTCTTTAAAAAAAATTTTTAATAAAATTCGTTGCAATAATTCAATTATTTTCATAAAAAATAACAAAACTTATCGGATAATTCAAATTATTTTTTATACAATTTTAGATAAACTGATAGAAAATTGCATTTATTCTTAAAATTATTTTTTAAATTCGCCGAAAGAATTCAATTATTTTTAAAAATTCCTCATAAAAATTCAATTTTAAGAAATATTCAATTATTTAATAAATTATTTATCTTTCTATTTAAATAATTGAATTCGCGAAAAATTTTCTAATAAAAATTTATTAAAAAATTAATTTCACTTAAAATTTTAAATTATAATTGAATATTAAAAGCCATTATAGCGTGAATTTTTAGAAATAATTGAATTTCGAAAAGGGTTTAAATTAAAATGTTTGAAAATTTAAATTTATAGTTACAATATTTCTTATAATAATATTCTCATACGTTATTGAATTTCAAAAGGTTTGAATATTTATATTATTATAAATATATTAACTATTATTAAACTATTAGGTAATTATTAATATATTATCAATTTATTTAGTAATAACGTATTAACTATATTAATCTATTAATTAATTTATTATTATTATGTTAACTATTACCCTATTTATTATTACTTTACTGATTATTATTTAGTTTATTTAATAATTATAAAAATTTGTTGATTATTAATTAATTTAGTTACTAATTATTAAATTATTGATTGTAATTTATTAATTTACTAAATTTTTAATTTATTTATTATAAATTAATTTGCTTATTAAATATACTTTAAATTACCTTGTGCATTAAAATAATAAATGTATTCTACTTATTTATTATGAAATTAAAATTTTTTTTTTTCATAATCATGTTTCAGATCACAACTTTTGTTATTAACAATTTCGGATATCAGGAAAAAAATATGACTACAATATCAATAATATATTTTCTCTTACAAAGAAAACAAGTTTTTGACTTTGTATGTACGTTAAAATTTGTGAAATTAAAAATGAAAATAAATTTTAATATAGTTTAACTCTTAACAGGTGTTAAATTATTTTTAAATGTTGAAATATGTTTTGAAATATTAAATTGAAAATGTAAAAAAATTTTCTTGTTAATTTAGAGAAAAAATTCTTCTTTGTACCAAGATCGGAATATTTTAATGCGTTTCGACAAAATTAAGGAAGTCATTTTTTAAGTTTAGTGAAATTTTTCAAAAATAATTTTTTACTTATTATTAGGATTATTTTTTCCCACTAAACAGTTGAGTCAAAAATTTACACAAATTATTATTATAGTTTAAATTTTGACTAATTTAATTTAGTGAACTTTTCACAAGTTCAAATAATTTAGAGATTAAAATAATTTCTCGAAATTTTTAGCAAAAAAAAAAAAAAATTTAATACGTGTGTAAATTTGTAAATTAAATTTTAATTAGTATAATATTCACCCAATGATTTTATTGCTTCTCTGTGTGTAAGGCGCAGGAAGATTATTGAAATTTTTCCAGAAACTCTGCAATAAATCAATATCGTATGTTTTAACCCTCTATTGCAAACTATAATTATATTTGAGTTAGAAAAAGGAAATGAATATTGCGTATAGTGTGCATTAATTAAAAGCATGTATTGTAACAGATGGTAAACTGTAAGCACTCGTTGAATAGAAATTATTTAACAGTTCCGCGTTTCCGTGAATTTCTTATTTCCCTTAAAGTGATAGAAATTATATCGAAATTATGCGTTTCCTTACAGAAAAGCTATAGAATTAATTGCGTATGCAGCATTTTTAATGAAATTTATAATGAAGCACTACAGAGTAAATTTTATATACATTGTTTCTCCGAATAAAATAAATGCGGTGTTTCCCCTCTTGTATAAATTCCCTTTCGAAAAAGTTTCCTGCTTGGCAAAAATGTTTCTGTCGCGTTTTCACTGCATGGAGTTTGCTTTGAATTGAGAAAAATGATTTTTAACAGTTATTTATTGGCACTATTTTTACGTTAGTGTTAGTGTAACGAAGATATTTTTAAATATTCAACAACTGGTTTTTCAAGGATTTTTTTCATTATTAATAATGATAAACGTAACCAAGTGATTATAGATTCATTACCAATGACATTTTATTTTTGTAGAATGATTTTCGAAAATACTTGATTATTTATTATGAATTTAAAAGAGTCTTCTCTAATTTCAAAATACAGAAGCCTTTCTCTGAGTTTAATAACTTAACTTTAACATTTCTTTAAGTTTAAGCCTTTTTTACTGACAAGATAATAATTAGAATAATAAAAAAAAAATAGTTTAAAAAAATATAATTGACAAAGTGTAAAAATAATACAAATAATAATAATTTGCGTTTTTAAATTTTCTTTTTAAAATGGAAATTTTTGAATCGGGATATTTTAATATAAACAAAAAGACCCTATCGTTTTTGGGTCTTTGGGTTCGTCAAAAATTTTGGCAAAAAGTTTTAATGCAATCTGTAACTTTTCTAGTTGTTATTTCCACTATCTATGTTCAGGTGAATTTTTCCGTGTATTCAAACAATAGAGAGAGAATAACATTTTTTGCAAAAAATAATATTTTTTCAAAGAAATTGAAACAATTTTTGTAGATTTTATTTACTGAGAATAAAAATACGAAGGTTTTTTTTTTTTTTGGTTCTTTTTTTAAATTTAAAAAAAGAGAAATATTTACGGAAAATAATTTTTTTTTCATTTGTTTGCAAACGAAATCCCGCAAAATTTTATTATGAAATTCATTCATAAGGGATTTTTTTTTTTTTTTATAAAATTCGGTATTTCATGAATTAAATGTTTACGAATTTATTATTAATTTAGACTGCATTTGTAATACATATTGATTGGAGGAACAATTTGGATGATGTACTTAATTGTTGCGGTACAATAATAATATATGTAATGGCTCTTAGTATGCTTTCTGTTTATTTCTTCAAACAAAAAAAAGTAATTATTTAATATTCACATATTGATTGTTAATAATAAATAAATAAACAAAACAAATAAATAAAATTCAAATAAAATAAATTAAATAAGTAAAGAAAATAAAAATAAATAAATAAAGTTAAAGGAATAAATAAGTGGAATAATAAAATAATAAAAATTTACTGAAAAAATGACTTTTTACTGAAAAAGATTTAAAGAGTTTACCAGCAATAAGAAGCTTTATTGTTAGCTTTAATATAAATAATTAACTATTAATATTAATTTGTAATATTTTTCCAACGATTAAAAATTAATAATTGAATTTTTTAAATTTATTCCCTTTATTTATTTATTTTTGTTTGGTAGTTTGTGGATAATTTGTTACTTCAACAATTTGATGTATTTTTTAGTTAATGTTTTTTGTCGATTGCATCGAAAATGATTGGAAATTGTGGACATCTAAACAAACTGAATTAAGCATACTCGATAAATATGCAAAAATTGGAAGACGTTATTGTTTTATATTGTTTCGTAAGAATTTTTTTTTTTCAATTTGTATTTTTCATGTTATAAATTTGTCATTGACTGAAATAGTATAATGTGATAATTGATATTCATATATAGTTATTATTTATTGCCAGTATTTATGTTTATAATTATTATTTGCAATTATACATTATAATTATTTATTTTTTATTATTTATAACTACGACTTATTTTCGTTATTTATAATTATGGTTTCTAATTATTATTTACTCTTTAAATTTAAATTAATAAAAATGCTTACTAATTTTTATTAGTGACGAACTTTTTGCTTTTAAATTTGTAAATTTTACTAAATCAAAAGCAAAGAGTCAGTCACTCATCCAAATTATTAAACATTTTTAATTATACAAATTTGTAGAGTAGAATTACTTTCTTATGATTATTGTTATTATTATATATTTTTATATTATTAAAATTTTTATTATTAATATAATTGTTATTATAATCATAATTAATAATAATAATATTATCATTTATATTTATGGTTTAAAATCATTATTTCTAATATTATAGTTATGACTTACTATTATTATTTTAATATTTTTAATTATAATTTGTAATTACACTTTTTAATTTGGGGTTGAAATAATTATTTTTAAATTACAGAATACAATTTCAGTGGACTTTCAGCATATTTATTAATGAACCTTTCGCCATTATTGCTTGACGTTATTGTTCCTTTAAATGAATCTCGAGCAATTGAACCAATTTATCCAGCAAAATTTTTCTTCGATGAGGACAAATATTATAAATATGTTTTGCTTCATGGTGCTTTGACATGTGCTTGGGGATTGGCAATTTTTTGCACAATGGACAGTATGTTTGTTACGACAATTCAACATGCCTGTGGATTATTTGCAATTATCAGGTATTTTAATTTTTTTTAATTTTTTTTTATTTTTATCTAAATTATTTAATTTTTATTAATCAATTTTTTAAAGTTTTTTTTTATAAATAATTATTCATAATAATAGTTATTATAATCTTTATTTTGTCCCTCGAGATATCGAATGAACAATATATCTTATATGTTTAAATCCAATTATTCGAAGGATGTAATGGAAAATAAAAAATTTTATAAAGAATTCTATTTTTCTATTAAATATCATTATTATGCTATGAGGTAAATATATTTAAAATTTTGTTTTCTTATTTATTTTTATTTACTATGTTTATTTTTCCACGTCGAAAAATTCCATGAAATTTCACTGGAAATTCTGCAAGTTTTATATTTTAATATTGAAAATGATTGAATTGAGGAAAATTTTTGAAAATAATTGAAATTTTGCGAAGAATTTTATTAAAATTTTTGAAAATTCAATTTTTTTCCAGTACCTTAATAAAAATACCTGACTTTTCCCTGATTTTCCTAACCTATGACAAACCTGGAAATGTTAAAATATTTTTAGAATAAAAAACTTGTAGAATTTCCATGGGATACTTCCAAGAAATTTTTCGACATGGGTTTAATTATCTTTACTCACTTTTTTATAATTTTTTTACCTTTAATTATTTTAATTTGCTATTTTATTAATTTTCATTCACTTTTTTATTTTATTCTTTTACTTTTAATTATTATTTGCTATTAGTTATTTACTTTTATTCGACCTTTTATTATTTTTTTACTTTTAATAATTGTTATTTGGTATTATTTATTTTTATTTACTTTTTTATTTGAATTTACTTTTATTTAATTTTATTCACTCATTTATTTATATTTTCATATTCACTTGTTTTCGTTTTAATTTCATTAAAGCGTCGATGTCCACTTGAAAATCTTATTAAATCTATAATTTTTCAGGTATGTCAAGGAACTGGAAGATTTTTACTCAACTTTCTTACTTATTTCGAATGGAAGTAATATTTTGACGATAAGTTTTCCTTTACTTCAGGTAAAATATAAAATTAAATTAAAATAACTAATATGTGTAAGAATCTAGAAAGAATTGCGAATTCATTTTTTTTTTTAAATTAATTGTTTTTAGACGTCACTTTCAGTGGGAAATACGGTGTCTGTGGTTAAACAGTCAATTCTTTCGATTGCGACAATGGCTCATGCGTATTTTCTTGGCATACCTGCACAAAATTTAATAAATGAAAGCGCTGCCGTTGCATTTGATATGTATGTTGAATGAATCGAATTTTATTTTTAAAATTTAATTCATACTTAGTTAAATTATTATCTATTCTATTATAATCTTATATTTAAATAATATTAATTTATTTAATTTTATTAATTTAAATAATTTAATTAGTTTAATTAAATTAATTATTTTAATTAAATTAAATAATTTTAATAATCTCCGTGTTTCGAAAAAAACTCTTCTTTAAAAAAAAGCTGTTGTTTTTATTTAAATATTAATTAATTAATTATTTAGATATGACAGTGAATGGTACGAATTACCGATTAAAATTCAAAAATTGGTACTTTTTATTATTATGCATGGACACATTCCATGTCAGTTAACTGCTGGTAAAATTGCAGTCATGAATATGGAGACAGTAGCACAAGTAAGATAAATAGAAATTTTTTTTTTATTTTTCACACTAATTTTGAGTATTTTTTTTTTTATTTGAATAAATAAGGAAAAAATAATCTTCTCTTTAATTAAAGATTCTCAAATTGGCATTCTCCTATTTTACAATGCTATCAGCAGTCAGTCAATCAACGAGAATGTGAAATAAAATTAAATATTTCAGGTAAGAATTTTTTTTTCACAATATTGTTATAGATAATTTTTATAATTTTCTGCAATTTTTAATTAAAATAATTTTTTAAATTTAATATTACTTCAGTTTAATTTTGTTTAATAATTTTTTTCTTTTCTTTAGGAATAAAAAAGAAGTGGACGAAAATATTGTAAAATATATAACATATATGTATAATATATAGTGTAAAATAAAATAACATTATTTAAAATATTAGAAAATTTTGAATTTAAAAAAAGCAACAAATATTTAAACGACTACACGTCTTGTTTTTCTCAGGACATTTATGAAAATGTGTGTAAATTAAAGACAGCGACTTTAGTCTGAGCATTATTTGTGATGTTACTTTTGTATTAATATTACTTTTATCATTATTATAAGAATTGTTTAATAAATATCTCTCTTGTAGAATTATTAATATTTTAAAAATTAATTTTTTAATAATTAATATTAAAGAAAAAAAAATTTTTAAGTGATTTTGAACCATTATGACGTCACGTAGTTTTAGAACAAATTAAACTGTGACTTATGATTCAAAAATGTCCTTAATGAAATATTGACAGATAACAATATTCAACACAAAAAATTAAATTTTTTCACACACTAGAAATGAAAATTATGAAAAAAATGAATGATAATTTAAATTTTTTATCAAAATAGAAATAAAATTACCAGACTACCATTGAATGATAGGTACTATAGGGGAAAGAAAAGGTTTCGAAGGAAAAATTTTTTTTCATAAATTGACTAAAATGTAAATATCAAATTCTCTCTCTCTCTCATTGTAAACTATAATAAATTTTGAGGTATAGATATATGTATATAGGAAAGAAATATTTTCTACTAAACAGTAATTGAGATATGGTAGGAAGAATTATTGAAGAGAAATTATTCAATAGTTCCGTGTTTATTCTTTTCATATATCCCTTTATTTTCTCTGGAAATTATGAAAATTATATCGATGTAATAATGTTTCGAGAAATGCTATAGTGTTCATTACGTATTCTGCATTTTTATTCGAATTTATAATGAATGCTCTATAACACAATCGTATACATTGTTTCAGAATAAACGCGTAAACGTTTCCTCTTTCTTTAAACAAACACGAAAAGAACAAAAAATATCTCATACGAAGTTTTTAAACAAAAAGAAAAATTTCTGCTTCGATCAACGAAAAAGAGAAATAATAATAATAATAATAATTTTAAAAATAATAATATTTGGGAGAATAATAATAATTTTAAAAATAACAAGTTTGATAATAACAGTGACAGTAACAAAAACAATAGCATAATAATAATTATAATTTGATAGTAAACAAATAAATTAATTAATTAATTAATTTATAATAATAATAAGTTGATACTGGAGTAAATAAATAAATAATATAAATAGAATAAAAGAAATAATAATAACAATAACAAAAAGTATAAATTATTAATTTTATAGAAAGTAATTGTTAAATAGTAAAAAGGAGTAAACAATATTCGAGAGAATAGAAAAAAAATAGTAAAAAAGTAAACACAAATTTTTTATGCAGTAAAAAAAGTAAAAGAATTAAAAGAATATTCAAAAGAATAGTATAAAAGAGTAAAAAATATTTTAAAGTTGTAAAAAAGTAAAAAAAAGAGTAAAGACATTGAAAGAGTTCTTAAAGAATTGTAGCAAAAAGTAAAAAAATATTTAAAAGAATAATAAAAAAGTATTAAGAAAGTGTAAAGAATAGTAAAATAAGTATAAAAATTTTACAAAAGAGTACAAAAATTAAAGGCATAGTAAAAGAAAAAGTAAAATAATAGTAATAATAGTACAAAATAGTAAAAAAAAATTGAAATAATAGTTATAATAGTATAAAATAGTAAAAAAATTGAAATAATAGTAAAAGAATAGTAAAAAGTGTAAAAGGAAACTAAAAGAATAATAATAGTAAAAGTGAATAAAAAATATTAAAAGAATAGTAAAAAATAAAAAAAAAATAATAATGGAAATATTCAACTCACGCTATTATAAAATTAACAAAATTTCCCTTTCATGTTTCGGTCTATGGAGTTATCAAAATAATAGAAAGAAATTACTAATGAAAATTTTTATTTTTACTTCTCTTACAACGACACTTTATTTTCAGGTGAATCTTGATTGGCTGATGCTAAAGAAAATATATATTAATTTAAATAATATTAAATATATTAAAAAATTAAAATTATATTTATTAATAATCACTTATCTAGTTAAATATATACTTTTTTATTTAAAAAAAAAAATGTTTTCTTTAGAGAAAAAGAAATACTTTCATTTATATTTTTCAGAAAGAGATTTATTACAAATAATAATTTTGTCAATTGGTTTAGTTTAATTTTCTGTTTGCAAATTGGAATCATGATCAGGATGCGGTCCTCGCTTGTCTTGGTCCTTTGGCAATTATTGTAATGTGCTACTGTCAACTTTGCATTTTCAGTTTTAATCAAGAGAAAGTAAATTTTTATTATTTATTTATTTAGAAATTAAAGGAATTTGCAAAATATTAAAAATGCACTTTTGCTCAAATACAGAAAAGAAAAAATTTATTTTAATCAAAAAACCGATTAATTGAATATTATACTTGAATCAACTAATTTTTAGTTGAGTCAATTAAATGTTTACTTGAATCAAATAATTTTTAGTTGAGTCAATTAAATGTTTACTTGAATCAAATAATTCTTATTTGTGTCAATTAAATGTTTACTTGAATCAAATAAATATTTACATGAATCAAATAAATATTTACTTGAATCTATAAATATTGTATTTTTAATAAAAATGTAACGCGCTTCGATGAAAGTTGCCTAAGAAGCAAAAAATTTTAGTTTTTTCTTCAGAGCGCGTCACAAATATTAATTTTAATATTGAATTTTAATATTAATTCTAATTTTTATTTTTATTTAATTTCAAAATTAATATTAATTTTAACAATGAATTTTAATAGTAATTCAATTAATTGTTCGTCCTTATGCAGAAAACTTTGTCTTTTATTAATATTAACATAGTATTACTTATAAAAATAAACTTTAATAATTTTATACTAATAAAAATAAAATAATTAATCAGTAAAAAAAATACAGTATTCTTAAAATAATAAAAATTAGTAAAAAGTAATTAAAAGTCGGTTTTAAGAAAAAAGCGCAAATATTAAAAATTATTTTAAAGTTACTAATATTAATTTTCAATATTATTATTAATTTCATATAAAAATGAATAGAAATAATTTTCAGCTTTTGTTTCTTTTTAAATGTATTAAAAACGATTGGCATTTGTGGGCGTCAACACATGAGGGAAAAATTCTCTGTTATCATTCAGAAATTGGTAGAAATTACACTATTTTATATATTGGTGAGTAATCTTTATCAAGAGTTATTTTTTCTTTTTAGTTATAATAAATTGAATAATTAATATTAAATAATTTTTGAAATATAAAAAAGTTGTTTGTTTGTTTTTTAATTCTAAAAAAAAATAATTTTATTTATTAGAAAATATAAAGAAAATAAAGAAAATTTTGATTGTTATTGTTAAACAATTTATTGTTATTAATACGGTAATTTGTTATTAAAAAAAAATTGCAGGCTACATTTTTAGTGCACTTGTGGTTTTTATTGGAACAACTTTTGTGCCGTGTTTTCTTGATTTAATTATTCCTTTAAATGAAACACGTTTATTGAAACCGGTGTATCCGGCGAAATTTTTTTTCGATGAAAATAAATATTTTAATTTTATATTAATTCATGGTTGTGTGTCGGCAACTTATCATTTGTCAGCTGCATTTTGTTTTGATTCAACTTTTGCCGTGACTACTCAACATGCTTGTGGATTATTTGCAATTGTCAGGTGAATTTAATTTACGTCACTAATTATTATTTTGCTTTTAATTTTTTTTTCTGTTTTTGGTAATATTTATTTTAATATTATCCCTTGATTTATTTTAATATTATCTCTTGATTTATTTTAATATTGTTCCTTGATTTTTAATTTTATTACTCGTTAGATTTTTAAAATTTCAAATTTATTAATTGTACCTTGTTTTTCAATTTTTTTCTATTTCAAAGGTTTCTGTATTTTACTTTCCATATTCTGTTGTGTGTTTTTAATTTTTTTTTTTTATTTAAAAAAGTTGATTTATTAATTTTATTTTTCTGTTGTGTTTTTAATTTTTGTTTCCTCATGGGAAAAGGATTGTATTTTATTAATAAATTTTTTATATTTATTAATTTTTTATTGTTGTGCTTCGTGTCTTTAATTTCTTTTAATTACAAAATTTTCGGCTTCGATTTTTTCACTTTTTTTTACGTTTTAATTATTGTTTTGCACTTGAAAAATATTTTCTATTTGTAAAATTATAGTTTAGGTGTTAAATTATTATTTTTTTAAATTTTAATTTTAATAATTATGGTGCTAAATTAATTATATTGTTTTAATATTTAAGCTATCGTGTGAAGAACGTTTCTCATCGTGTTTGCCTTGGCTACAATCGAAATAATATGGAGAAAGAGTATTTTTATAAAGACTTATGTTATTCTATTAATTATCATAATTATGCAATTCGGTATTTATTTTATTTGTATATAAATAATATTCGGGATTTTTTTTATTTTAATAATTGTTAATTAATTAATTTTGTTTTTACGTCTAATTTAAAAAAAAATTGATTTTAGATAAATTAGAAATATATTGCGTAATAATATATTTTTTTGAATTAATAAATTAAAAAGGTAAAAATAAAGTAAAAATAAATAAAAAAAGTAAAAATGGAAAATACAAAATAAAGTTGAATACTTTAAAAAAAATTTTAGATACGCGAGCGCACTTGAGGGTCTTTACTCACCATTTTTATTGTTTACAAATGGATGTAATTTGATTTTAATAAGCGTTACACTGATGCAGGTAATTTTCATCCAGTTTCTTTTTTTAATTTATATTTTCAAATTTTTGTTACAATTTTTTTTTATTTTAGACATTAAATTCGTTAGATAATATTGCGTATATTTTTAAATACGGAGCTTTTGCTGCAGCAAATATTTATCATGCCTATATCTTCGGAGTGCCGGCTCAAAATTTAATAAATCAGAGTAAAGATGTTGGATTCAATATGTAAGTTGAATTTTTTATTTTCCCTTTTTCTATATTTGTAAAAAATAAAATTTTTTTTTTTATTTAATTAATTGATTTTCTGATAAAAATTTTATTTTCTAGTAAAAATTTAATTTTCTAGTAAAAATTTCATTTTTTAGTACAAATTTTTATTTTCTACTATAAAAATGGTATTTTCTATAATGAATCATTTGTGAATTACGTTAAAATTTTTAAGGTGGGAGGGTGTATAGTATTTATTGTTATTTATTAATCTCAGTATTAATTTTTATTTTTTCAGGTATGAGAGTATTTGGTATGAATTGCCAATTGAAGCAAGAAAATTGGTTCCCATGATACTACTACAAACTTGTAGACCCTGTAAATTGAGTATTGGAAAAATGGCCACAATGAATATGGAAAGTGTATCGAAAGTAAGAAAAAATGAATTAAAATTTATTTGTTATTTTAAAAATATTTTTTTTATTAATTAAAATATTTATTATAATTTTGTCATGTCAAGATTCTAAAAATGGCGCTCTCGTACTTTACGATGTTGTCATCAATTCGTCAAACGTCAAGAACATAAGTTGAAAATAAATTTTTGATAAACGGATATTTTATAAGAAGAAAAGATAAAAAAAAAGATTTTGAATTTTTATTCATGTGTCGAAATGAAAGAAAAAATTTTTAGATTTGGAAACAATTGTGAAAATAAACTATTTTTGAAATGTAGGTCTGACTAAAAATATCTTATACCACATTGTCTGACAAAAGTTGTGTTTTACTACTGAAAAAGAAATAGAAGCAGTTTTTAATAAAATATTTTCTGACTAGAACTGACTTTTACTACTGGAAAAATAATTAAATTTTTTAGCATTGTCTGACTAATATTTTTTTTTTTTACTGAATAACGTTGCTCTCTACTACTGAAAAAATAAAAGTAAATTTAAATCCCGTCTGACTAAACCTATGATTTACTACTGAAAATTTAGTATAATCAATAATTTATCATATAGTCTTTTGCTGCAACTACCTTTTACTATTAAAAAAATTTTTATATTGTCTGACTAAATATGTACTTTACTACTAAAAATTTAATTCAATTATTCCTTAATACTTTCTAACTAAAACTTCTTTGTACTACTGACAAATTTTTAAAAGCTGTCTGACTAAAGTTGGAACTTTACTACTGAAGAAATAATGAAAGGCTATTTTTGCATTGTCTGGCTGAAAATATATTTTACTACTGCAAATTTTATAGAAGTATAATTTTAATATCGCCTGACTCAAACAGACCTTTACTACTGAAAAAATAATAAAAGGAATTATTACATTGTCTGACTAAACATATACTTTACTACTGAAAAGTTTATTGAAGTATGATTTCAATATTGTCTGACTAAAACTGACTATTACTACTAGGAAAATAATAAAAGCAACTTTTAAGCATTTTAAGAAAGTTTATTAAAATAGTAGATTGAATTTCATCGAAGAATTTCATTATTTGTGAAATGTAATTGAATTCTTGCAAAAAATCTTTTGAAAATAATAAATATTTGATGAATTTATTTAAAATTGTATTAAAAATAATTAAAATCCTATGAAGAATTTTATTATTTAGGAAAATACTTGAATTATTCTTGCAACAAATTTTTATTACATATAAAAATAATTGAATTCTTGGGAAGGATTTTATTAAAATTTTTGTAAATAGTTTAATATATTTTTGAAAAATTTTATGGAAATTTAAATTAGTACAAAACATGAAGACATCAATAACTCCGAGTCTTCGACTCGGAGTGATCGATATCTTCATGTTTTGTAATAATATTCTTATAATTTGTTGAATTTCACAAAAAGGTTTGAATTTGAAATTTTTTGAAAATCTTAATTCCTATGGAATTATAATAATAAAATATTTATTTAAAAAAGAATTTTCTGGTGTTTTGGAATAATTTTACAATTAAAAAAATTCGTAATTAAATGTAATAAAACTTTGTTGGGATTTTTTTGCAAAATGCGTATTTCATTCAAGTTTTGCAAAAAAAATTGCAACAAAGCTTATTATTCGACTCTAATTATAATAGAAATGTTAAAATAATATTGAAATATAAAAATATATAATTCCAGTGAGGTAGTTCCATGGAATTTTTCAACATTTTTTTTCAGTGTTTGCTGGTTAAAGATAAAAAAATGGACACATACCTTGTCAGGAGACAGTAGCTCAAGCAAGAGAAATTTTTTTTTTTATTTTTCACACTAATTTTGAGTATTTTTTTCATCTCAATAAGTAAGGAAAAAATGATCTTCTCTTTAATTAAAGCTTCTCAAATTGGCATTCTCCTATTTTACGATGCTATCAGCAGTCAGTCAATCAACGTAAATGTGAAATAAAATTAAATATTCCAGGTAAGAATTTTTTTTATTTTATCATAACATTGCTAGAGGTAATTTTTATAATTTTATCTAATTTTTATTTTAAATAAATTTTTAAATTTAATATTACTTCAATTTAATTTCGTTTAATAATTTTTTCTTTTAGGAATAAAAAAAGTGACGGACTAAAATATTGTAAAAAAAATATATATATAGTAAATTAAAATAACATTATTTAAAATTAGAGAATTTTTTATTTAAAAAAGCACCAAATATTTAAAAGACTTCACGTCTTGTTGTATGGAGAACAACTTTATTTTCTCTCGACATTTATGAAAATATTTGTGTATATTGATAACAGTGACTTTAGTTAAAAGTCATGTTACTTTTGTATTAATGTTACTGTTCTATCACTATTATAAGAATTGTTTAATAAATATCTCTTCTGTAGAATTATAAATATTTTAAAAATTAATTTTTTAATAATTAATATTAAAGAAAAAAAAATTTTTAAGTGATTTTGAACCATTATGACGTCACGTAGTTTTAGAACAAATTAAACTGTGACTTATGATTCAAAAATGTCCTTAATGAAATATTGACAGATAACAATATTCAACACAAAAAATTAAATTTTTTCACACACTAGAAATGAAAATTATGAAAAAAATGAATGATAATTTAAATTTTTTATCAAAATAGAAATAAAATTACCAGACTACCATTGAATGATAGGTACTATAGGGGAAAGAAAAGGTTTCGAAGGAAAAATTTTTTTTCATAAATTGACTAAAATGTAAATATCAAATTCTCTCTCTCTCTCATTGTAAACTATAATAAATTTTGAGGTATAGATATATGTATATAGGAAAGAAATATTTTCTACTAAACAGTAATTGAGATATGGTAGGAAGAATTATTGAAGAGAAATTATTCAATAGTTCCGTGTTTATTCTTTTCATATATCCCTTTATTTTCTCTGGAAATTATGAAAATTATATCGATGTAATAATGTTTCGAGAAATGCTATAGTGTTCATTACGTATTCTGCATTTTTATTCGAATTTATAATGAATGCTCTATAACACAATCGTATACATTGTTTCAGAATAAACGCGTAAACGTTTCCTCTTTCTTTAAACAAACACGAAAAGAACAAAAAATATCTCATACGAAGTTTTTAAACAAAAAGAAAAATTTCTGCTTCGATCAACGAAAAAGAGAAATAATAATAATAATAATAATTTTAAAAATAATAATATTTGGGAGAATAATAATAATTTTAAAAATAACAAGTTTGATAATAACAGTGACAGTAACAAAAACAATAGCATAATAATAATAATTATAATTTGAGAGTAAACAAATAAATAAATTAATTAATTAATTTATAATAATAATAAGTTGATACTGGAGTAAATAAATAAATAATATAAATAGAATAAAAGAAATAATAATAACAATAACAAAAAGTATAAATTATTAATTTTATAGAAAGTAATTGTTAAATAGTAAAAGGGAGTAAACAATATTCGAGAGAATAGAAAAAAAATAGTAAAAAAGTAAACACAAATTTTTTATGCAGTAAAAAAAGTAAAAGAATTAAAAGAATATTCAAAAGAATAGTATAAAAGAGTAAAAAATATTTTAAAGTTGTAAAAAAGTAAAAAAAAATCAGAGGATAATTAAAAAGTTGTAAAAAAAAAGAGTAAAGACATTGAAAGAGTTCTAAAATAATTGTAGAAAAAAGTAAAAAAAAATATTTAAAAAAGTATTAAGAAAGTGTAAAGAATAGTAAAATAAGTATAAAAATTTTACAAAAGAGTACAAAAATTAAAGGAATAGTAAAAGAAAAAGTAAAATAATAGTAATAATAGTACAAAGTAATAAAAAAATTGAAATAATAGTAAAAGAATAGTAAATAATAATAATAATAATAATAATAATAATGGAAATATTCGATTCACGCTATTATAAAATTAACAAAATTTTCCTTTTATGTTTCGGTCTGTGGAGTTATCAAAATAACAGAAAGAAATCAATAATGAAAATTTTTATTTTTATTTCTCTTACAACAACACTTTATTTTCAGGTGAATCTTGATTGGCTGATGCTAAAGAAAATATATATATTAATTTAAATAATATTAAATATATTAAAAAATTAAAATTATATTTATTAATAATCACTTATCTAGTTAAATATATACTTTTTTATTTAAAAAAAAAAAATGTTTTCTTTAGAGAAAAAGAAATACTTTCATTTATATTTTTCAGAAAGAGATTTATTACAAATAATAATTTTGTCAATTGGTTTAGTTTAATTTTCTGTTTGCAAATTGGAATCATGATCAGGATGCGGTCCTCGCTTGTCTTGGTCCTTTGGCAATTATTGTACTGTGCTACTGTCACCTTTGCATTTTCAGTTTCAATCAAGAGAAAGTAAATTTTTATTATTTATTTATTTAGAAATTAAAGGAATTTGCAAAATATTAAAAATGCACTTTCGCTCAAATACAGTGAAGAAAAAATTTATTTTAATCAAATAGACGATTACTTGAATTAAATAATTTTTAGTTGAGTCAATTAAATGTTTACTTGAATCAAATAATTTTTAGTTGAGTCAATTAAATGTTTACTTCAATCAAATAATTTTTATTTGAGTCAATTAAATGTTTACTTGAATCAAATAATTTTTATTTATGTCAATTGAATATTTACTTGAATCAAATAATTTTTATTTGTATCAATGATATGTTTACTTGAATTAAATAATTTTTATTTGTGCCAATTAAATATTTACTTGACTCAAATAATTTCTATTTGAGTCAATTAAATTTTTATTTGAATGAAATAATTTTTATTTGTGTGAATTAAAAAATGGTATTTGCTGCAAATACTTAAATTATTGGTTCAAATACCATTTAATTTATTTAAATAAAAATTGTTTGATTCAATTAAATATTTATTTGATAATAGACAAGTAATCAGTTATTTGAATCAAAGAAATTTATTTTAATTTAATTTCAAAATTAATATTAATTTTAACAATTAATTTTAATAGTAATTCAGTTAATTGTTTGTTTTTATTCAGAAAACTTTGTCTTTTATTAATATTAACATAGTATTACTTATAAAAATAAACTTTAATAATTTTAAACTAATAAAAATAAAATAATTAATCAGTAAAAAAAATACAGTATTCTTAAAATAATAAAAATTAGTAAAAAGTAATTAAAAGTCGGTTTTAAGAAAAAAGCGCAAATACCTATTAAAAATTATTTTAAAGTTACTAATATTAATTTTCAATATTATTATTAATTTCATATAAAAATGAATAGAAATAATTTTCAGCTTTTGTTTCTTTTTAAATGTATTAAAAACGATTGGCATTTGTGGGCGTCAACACATGAGGGAAAAATTCTCTGTTATCATTCAGAAATTGGTAGAAATTACACTATTTTATATATTGGTGAGTAATCTTTTATCAAGAATTATTTTTTCTTTTTACTTATAATATAATATGAATAATTAATATTAAATAATTTTTGAAATATAAAAAAGTTGTTTGTTCTTTTTAATTCTAAAAGGAAATAATTTTATTTATTAGAAAATATAAAGAAAATAAAGAAAATTTTGATTGTTATTGTTAAACAATTTATTGTTATTAATACGGTATTTTGTTATTTAAAAAAAAAATTGCAGGCTATATTTTTAGTGGGCTTGTGGTTTTTATTGGGACAACTTTTGTACCGTGTTTTCTTGATTTAATTATTCCTTTAAATGAAACACGTTTATTGAAACCGGTGTATCCGGCGAAATTTTTTTTCGATGAAAATAAATATTTTAATTTTATATTAATTCATGGTTGTGTGACGGCAACTTATCATTTGTCAGCTGCATTTTGTTTTGATTCAACTTTTGCCGTGACTACTCAACATGCTTGTGGATTATTTGCAATTGTCAGGTGAATTTAATTTACGTCACTAATTATTATTTTGCTTTTAATTTTTTTTTTTCTGTTTTTGGTAATATTTATTTTAATATTATCCTTTGACTTATTTTAATATTATCCCTTGATTATTTATTAATTTTTTATTGTTGTGCTTCGTGTCTTTAATTTACTTTATTTACAAAATTTTCGCCTTCGATTTTTTCACTTTTTTACGTTTTAATTATTGTTTTGCACTTGAAAAATATTTTCTATTTGTAAAATTATAGTTCAGGTGTTAAATTAATTATATTGTTTTAATATTTAAGCTATCGTGTGAAGAACGTTTCTCATCGTGTTTGCCTTGGCTACAATCGAAATAATATGGAGAAAGAGTATTTTTATAAAGACTTATGTTATTCTATTAATTATCATAATTATGCTATTCGGTATTTATTTTATTTTTATGTAAATAATATTCGCAATTTATTCTATTTTAATAATTGTTAATTAATTAATTTTTTGATAAAAAAGAATTTTTTTAATTTATTTTTTGATAAATAAAAAAAATTTGTTTTAGATGAATTAGAAATATATTGCGTAATAATATATTTTTTTGAATTAATAAATTAAAATAGTAAAAATAAATTAAAAAGTAAAAATAGAAAATAAAAAAATAATAATTGAATACTATTAAAAAAATTTTAGATACGCGAGCGCACTTGAGGGTCTTTATTCACCGTTTTTATTGTTTACATATGGATGTAATTTGATTTTAATAAGCATTACACTGATGCAGGTAAATTTCATCCAGTTTTCTTTTTTTTTTTTTAATTTATATTTTCAAATTTTTGTTAAAAATATATTTTTTTATTTTAGACATTAAATTCGTTAGATAATATTGCGTATATTTTTAAATACGGAGCTTTTGCTGTGGGAAATATTTTTCATGCCTATATTCTCGGAGTGCCGGCTCAAAATTTAATAAATCAGAGTAAAGATGTTGGATTCAATATGTAAGTTGAATTTTTTATTTTCCCTTTTTCTATATTTGTAAAAAATAAAAAATTTTTTTTTATTTAATTAATTGATTTTCTGATAAAAATTTAATTTTCTAGTAAAAATTTCATTTTTTAGTACAAATTTTTATTTTCTACTATAAAAATGATATTTTCTATAATGAATCATTTGTGAATTACGTTAAAATTTTTAAGGTGGGAGGGTGTATAGTATTTATTGTTATTTATTAATCTTAGTATGAATTTTTATTTTTTCAGATATGAGAGTAATTGGTATGAATTCCCAATTGAAGCAAGAAAATTGGTTCCCATGATACTACTACAAAGTTGCAGACCCTGTAAATTGAGTATTGGAAAAATGGCAACAATGAATATGGAAAGTGTATCGAAAGTAGGAAAAAATGAATTAAAATTTATTTGTTATTTTAAAAATATTTTTTTTATTAATTAAAATATTTATTTTAATTTTGTCATGTCAAGATTCTAAAAATGGCGCTCTCGTACTTTACGATGCTGTCATCAATTCGTCAAACGTCAAGAACATAAGTTGAAAATAAATTTTTGATAAACGGATATTTTATAAGAAGAAAAGATAAAAAAAAAAGATTTTGAATTTTTATTTATGTGTCGAAATAAAAGAAAAAAATTTTAGATTTGAAAAAAAAATTGTGAAAATAAATTATTTTTGAAATGTAGGTCTGCCTATAAATATCTTATACCACATTGTCTGACAGAAGTTTTGTTTTACTACTGCAAAGGGAATAGAAGCAGTTTTTAATAATTGTCTGACTTAATCTATACTTTACTACTGAAAATCGAATAACTGCAGTTTTTAATACTGTCTGACTAGAACTGACTTTTACTACTGGAAATATAATTAAAAATTGTAGCATTGTCTGACTAAACCTATGATTTACTACTGGAAATTTAATAGAATCAATTTTTTATATTGTCTGACTGAAACTTACCTTCACTACTGAAGAAACGATATTATTCTTTCTTCAGTAGTGAAGGTAAGTTTCAGTCAGACAATATGAAAAATTGATTCTTCTAAATTTTCAGCAGTAAAATATATATTTAGTCAGACAATGAAAAAATGACCTTTTAAAAAAGTAATTTTTTCATTGTCTGACTAAATATATATTTTACTACTGAAAATTTAGTATAATCAATAATTTATCATATAGTCTTTTGCTGCAACTATCTTTTACTATTAAAAAAATTTTTATATTGTCTGACTAAATATATACTTTACTACTGAAAATTTAATTCAATTATTCCTTAATACTTCCTGACTAAAACTGCTTTATACTTCTGACAAATTTTTTTTTTTACTACTGAAAAAATAATAAAAGGAATTTATACATTGTCTGACTAAACATATACTTAACTACTGAAAATTTTATTGAAGTATGATTTCAATATTGTCTGACTGAAAGTATACTTTACTATAAAAACATTTTTAATATTTTCTGGCTGAATCGATACTATACTTTACTGAAAAATAATAAAATTAATTTTTAAGCAGTTTTTAACTGTACCCAATGGGAAATGCCAGTGTAGTGCCGATGTTCACCACTGGCTTAGTACTCAGACGATTGTTCGGCGTAGTCTAGCCGAGCCTCGACAATCAGTGCTGGCGCAGTACAGAATTTTTGTTTCGCCAAAGCTTGGACAAGCCACGGCGGCAAGTGCTGGCTGAGTATAGAAAAATTGTTCACAACGCTCTTTGAAAACATTGCTTTTTTGACATAAACTTGAAAAAAATTATAAAAAAAAGTTTATGAATGTTTATAAATATAAATTTATTGAAAAAAATTAATATTTTACTTTTCAGTTGTTCATTTTTTATTCTTATTAAATTTAATAATAACAATTTAACACAATAGTCTAATTTTGTAAATAATAAATTATTTAAACAAATTAAAATTATAAACAAAATTTAAACTTTAATCTCAATAATAATTTGGTTCCTATTAAAATACTATTATACTTCTTACTATGAATAAAAAATTATTAAAAAATTACCACGTAATTTAAGAATTACGCAAAATGTTAAATGCAATAAGTAAAGTAATTTCATTATTAAAAATTTAGTTTAATTTATTTTATTTCAATTTATTATTTCTAACGTATCCCTATTTTTTTCTCATCTTTGACTCAATAATTATATGTCTGAATGATACTGAGATATTAATACTTTACTGTACACATGTGTCGTTAGCATAGTGGTTAGAGCGTTAGTCTGTTAGTCCGTAGGTCGTAGGTTCGATTCCCCTCGTCAGCAATTTTGTTTATTTTCATAGGTTTGCGATATTTCTAGATTCCATTCGTTAGGTACTAAAATATGAAAATCTAATGCACACTTACTGTAATTGTTTATTATTTAATTTTTAGATGTTATAAACAATTTTTTTCTACTTTATTTACTATATCCATTGTTAGTCTCCATCTTTAATACAATTTCTTTGAGAAGAGAAATATTTTATGAATAATAACTATTTATTAATATTATTTACCATTTAGTTGTTAAATTATTTATAATTATTAATTTACGACTAATTAATAACAATACAGCATTTATTGCGGCAATATTCTCAGCCAGCACTGATCCAGTGCTGCGCCAGCGCTGCCTGGCAGCACTGACAGACAGTACTTCGGCAGCGCCAGACGGCGTTATCATCCCAGTGCCATGCCAGTGCTGGCTCTCAGCCTTGCCGCCAGTGCTGCCAGTGCTGGCGCAGTACTACGCCAGTTGTAAATTTCCCATTGGGTAGTTGCAGTTTACTACTGAAAAAATATTGCCTGACTAAAACTGACTTTTACTACTGAAAAAATAATAGAAGCAATTTTTTATCATTTTCTGACTTTATAAAATTATTTCAAACCATTATTCAACCTTGATTTTTTCTTTATTTTTTTTAATATCTAAACTTTTCTGTATTTAATAATATATAATTTAAAAAAATTCTTAAACTCTAATTGTATAAATTTTTAATCAGTCGCAAAAAGAATAATAAAAAACAAAAAAACCGAGGGTAATTAACAAAATTTGACGTAAATTTTGAAAAGTTTTCGACTTATTAAATTAAGAAACTAGAAATTCCACTTTGTAAAAGCTTCAATAAAACACTTACCCTGACTTTAATCCTCAAGGATTTTCCAAAGCTTTATGGTGATAAATACGAAAACACATTTTCAACATCAACAGGAGAATTAACTTCGTCATTTGTTTGAGTTTAAAAACGTGCTTAAAATGCATAAATACCTTTTATGTTAATACGCAATTTTATATATATATATATAGGCCTTGAAATTGTTCAGTAAAAAGTTACTTATTTTCTGCTTTTAAATTTAGTAAAATTTACTCATAAATTAGTGGAAATTACTATTTATTAGTAAAATTTTCTAATTTGAAAGCAAAAAGTATGCAGAAGAATGTTTTTTTGTTTCTCTATAAATTCTAAACAACAGATTTTGTCTACTCGAATAATAATCATGGAATATTTAAAATTTTTTTTGAAAATATGAAGGATAATATAAATGATAAAAAATATGGACATGTTTTTTTCATTCATCACAGAAATGAAAGGTAATGAATTTTATTTTTTGTATTTAACATTTTTTGCAATATAGTTATTTTATTAAATAGTAATAAATAATATTTTTCGGATATTTTATTTTTTTAACAATAACACCCTTTTCGAAAAATTTTTCACTTTTTTATTTTAAACTTCATCGGTTCCTAACATTCTCCTCTCCTCTGCATATTGTGATTCTTCGCGAATTTTAATGTCCAATTTCTTCGCGGTTTCTGTAATCTGAAGACAATTTTTTTTTCATATTTTTCTTTTAAAAATTATTTTAAAAATTATTAAAATTTACTTTTTTATTTATAAACGGGACTATATTGTTGTTAAGATTATATATATAAAAATAATGAAATCATTTCTAAAAATGGAAAAATAACTTATTTTCATCTTTTTTCTGGATTAAAAACTATTTTTTCATTTTAAAAAATGAAGGTAAACTTTTAAATAATAAGAATAAAAATAAGTCAAGAGAAAAAATTTTCCGACGAAAAGACATTTTTAGTTTGTAGTCCCGTTGATATTAAAGAAAAAAGTAAATAAGTAAATAAAGAAAGTGAAAATAATAAAAAAAATTATTTACCTATTATTATTTTTTATTAAACTTAATTTTTAAATTTATTATTAAAAGCGGTTAAAAAAATAAGGTAGAGCTTTCAGGGGGAGGAAAGTGGTTAAAATTTTCAAGAAAAAACAAAGCATTGAAAATTAATTTCCTTTTTGAATATGAAAATTAATAAATTATGGCAATTATTATGCTAATATTTGTGAGGAGTAAAGTTGAATATAAAAATGGTAAACTGTCTGATGGGATGGAGAAAAAAAAAGCAGGAATAAATTTTCAATTACGAAGTAAATAGAGTTCATGGAAGTTTATGTTTTTTTTTCTCTTTTTATCTCAAACCTTAGGATCGACGTCGATAACAGCCATGATGTCATTAAGCTCAGTGAGAATATCTTTCACATCCTCTCCTTTACCAAGTAAATTTAGAACCACTGCATAATTAATAAGCACTAATGGATCCTGTGGTGATAAAGAATGTGCTTTTTCCAATGCACCCACAGATCCCTCCAAATCGTTCAGTTGTTTTAAGGCCACTGTAAAAATACATATTTATTTTCTTTACAATGATTGCAAATATTCTCTCTCTCTCTCTCTCTCTCTCTCTCTCTCTCTACTTTTAATAACGAGTTGAAAAAAAATATTCTTTATTTGGTATCTAACGAAATATTAGTTATTACAATTTTATTTAATTCAAATTTTATTTATTCAAAATTTTGTTTATTAACAATTTTATTTATTACAAATTTTATTTATTAATTAACAATTTTTTTTTTTATTTATTAAAGAAAAATTATTGTCAATTGCGTTTCATTAAATGTCAAATAGAAAAATTTGTCACTTTTTTAATAAGCAAATAAAAATGAAGCTTATAAAATTGCTAGTTGATTGAAATTAGTTTAATGCAATTTAATTTTAATTGTTTATATTATTTTTTTAAATTATTTGTATTATTTTTTTTTATTTTTTTAAATTATTTTTTTATTTTCTCTAATTCTTTTTTTTTATTTTCTTAAATTTTTTTTCATTGATTTTTTTAATTTAATTTTTTAATTATTTCTTGAAAAAAGATTGTTGACAATTGTTTCACTTTATAAATGAGAAAGAGAAAAATTTGACACTTCTTTAATAACCCAAAAAAGAATGAGGTTAATAAATCGATGGCTAATTAACTTTTTTTCTCATTTCGTTTACACTGCGAATAAAAGAGATTGGAAACTCTTTATAGTCTGTGGTCTATTATCGAATTAATTAGAATTTTTTTTTATTAGTTAAACAGAATTTTTAATTATTAAATTTTAGGTTAATTTAAAAAAATTACAAATATTTCATTTGTTTGAATTTTTTTTTTATTTTTGTTAATATTTTACGGAATAAAATATTGGAATTCGTTGTCTGACTATAATCTACTTGTTCTACTTGAAACTTTCAGACAAATTAAATAAACGTAATTAGATTTTATTCTCGGAATAATTATTTAATATTAAACTGTCTGACTGTAAAATCCATTTACTACTTAAAATTGTATAATTTACAAATAGTAATAAAGATTACTTTGAAAGTTTTATTTATATTTCCTAAAAATTTACAAAAACAAATATTTTATAATATTTAACTGAATAAAATTTTGAAGTAATACAATGTCTAACTATAATCAACTTGTTCTACTTGAAAGATTAAAAAGATTAAAATTAAAAATTTTATTTAAAAAAATTTTAGTTAGTGGATTTTAAAATTGGAATATTTATTTTATATTAAAGTGTCTGACTATAAAATACATTTACTACTTAAAATTTTGGAACAAGTATTAAAAATATTACTATTACAGTTTTTATTTCAATTTCCGAAATATTTACAGAAAATAAATTCTTTAATATTTTACTGAATAAAATTTTAAAGAACACAGTGTCTTATTATAATCGACTTTATTCTACTTGAAACTTTAATAGAAGAAACATTAAGATTTTTGATTGGAAAAGTTTTAATTATTTGGATTTTAAATTAGGAAAATTTATTAAATATTGAAGTGTCTGACTATAAAATACCTCTACTACTTAAAAATCAGAAATATTATTTAAATAGTTATTTGCAATTTTTATCTTAGTTCCCAAAAAAAGAATTTTGGAAAAAATTATTCTTTAGTATTTTATTGAATGATATTTCGAAATACTACAATGGCTGACTATAATTGACTTGTTCTACTTTAAACTTTAAAAAAAGTGTAACTAAAAATTTTATTCTTAAAAATTTTAATTAGTGAATTTTAAATTTGGAATATTTATTTTATATTAAAATGTCTGACTATAAAATACCTTTACTACTTAAAATTTTGGAACAATTATTAAAAATATTACTATATTACAGCTCTTATTTCAATTTCCTAAAGATTTACAAACAAATTCTTTTTTTAATACTTGACTGAATAAAATTTTAAAGTAATACAAATCGACTTGTTCTACTTAAAACATTAAAAAGAGTAAAATTAAAAATTTTATTGTAAATAATTTTTGTTAGTGGATTTTAAATTTGGAAAATTTAATAAATATTAACGTGTTTGACTATAAATTATCTCTACTACTTGAAAATCAGTAATAGTATTTAAATATTTATTTTCAATTTTTACTTTTGTTCCCAAAAAAAGTTTTCGGAAAAAATGATTCTTTAGTATTTTACTGAATGAAATTTTGATGTACTACAATGTCTGACTATAATTGACTTGTTCTACTTAAAACTTTAAAACGAATGAAATTGAAAATTTTTTTAGAAAATTTTCATTTATTTGTATCTACGGGAAAAAGTTAAAAAAAACCAAACTTAAAGATAAATTATAATATTTATCTAAATAATGTCTGACTATAAAATTCATCAACTACTTAAAATTTTCGAATTAGTAATAAAAAAGATTTGCTTTGCAATTTTTTATTTGTATTCTTTCTATAAATGAACTGAAAAAAAATATTCTTTATTATGCTTTAGTTTCTGAAATATGAGAATAATACGATGTCTGACTATAATCGACTTGTTCTACTTGAAACTTTTTCAAACGATTGAACTTTACTTAAGATTTATTGAATCTTTCTCAAATTTTGCCAATAAATATTCCTTTCTGTTCTATTTTGAAGAATTATTAAATTTTATCTTGTGTCTGACTATAGAAATTTTATACTACTTTAAAAATTATCGACTGCTGTTAAAGTCTTTTTTACTTGTACTTTTAATGACAGTAAAATATTTTTTTTTTGTTATATTTTTTATTGACTTTAATTTTATTTATTTATTTATTTTATTTACTATTTGTAAGACAATAATGTCTGACTATACTTATCTGTTTCTACTTAAAACTTGGAAGTATAAAAAAAAATTGTGAAAAATGTAGGTATTTTTGTCTTTATATTAATTTAGAATAAATTTTTTTTGTTTTAATTTTTTTCTTTTTTTTTCTTTTTTTTTTGACTTCCGTCTGAATGCATAACAAGAAATTGAACGTCATTTTTGTTCCCATTAGTGCAGTAGAAAACTTGGAAGAATAAAAATTAATCACTTCACGAAAAGAACGCGGAAAGTTGAATATTTTGTAGCACGATATTTTTCTATGCTAATTTCTTAAAATTATTCGACTGTGAAAAATAATATCATTGGAAAATTAAACTTTTAACTGGTATTTTGAATGAACACCTCATCGTAAATTAATTGAACTATTTCTAATAATAAATTATTAAATATTAAAAAATATTGTTGATTATTAAAAAAATATTAAATTAATTTTTAAATGCAATCCAAGAAATAATAATTATTATTTACTTACTTATATCTTATTATAATAATTATTATTGTTAAATTAACAAATAATTATTAACAATTATATTATTTTCATATATTTTCATTTTTTTTTTTTAATTTTTTGTAATTAAAAATCAAAATAAAGTAGAGTAATATTATTTGGGATAAATAGGAAAGTATTTTTTAAAAATTGTAAAGAAAAAATTAATTAAATTTGTTTATATAGAAAAAATTGTTTACTCACATCCAAGTAATAAATAAGGCATTGCATTTTTGGGACTGGCGGAAACTGCAGCGCATAAATAGGTGGCTGCAGACGCCGGTTGACCGGTATTCAGAAAAACTGTTCCCAAATTACACGCAGGTGGCAAGGCCAATGGATTTAAGAAATGAGCTCGTTTTAAACAACTAATTGCCTGGAAATTTCAGTAATTAATATTGTCATTTATTTATTTATTTATTTACAAAAACAAATGGAAATTATTATTTATTTATTTGTTCACAAAAAAGAAATGGGATTTTTATTAATTTTATTATTGTTATTATTATTCAATCTTATTTAATTCTTTTTTTTCTTTATACTTTTTTTTGAAAAATTTTTATCTTTATGAAAAATTACTGATAGAGAAAAGCAGAGGACAATAAGAAACGATAATAATTCAATAAATTTCGATTTTCTACCCTCGTGAAAATTTGAGGAAATTGAATTGTAATCCTCAATCCCACACGACACAAGTTTTTTTTTCTTTTCTATATAGAAACTAAAGCTGAAAATATTGTTAACACCTACGAGAAAAAGGAATTTAATTTCTATTAAATATTATAATGAACAAAACAAGGAGAGATTCAAGGAATTTAATTTAATTTTCTATTTACAATTTTCATTATTCATTAGAAGTATTTTTCTTTTTTAAGAACTTTCAATTTTTTTTTTTTTTTTTTTTAACTTTTCTGGGATTTTAAAAACGAAAAAGAAATGAAAAATTTTCTCTCAATATTTCTCTAATTCACATTTTTACTTTAAAAGGAAAACGTGTGCAAAATATTAACTCCGCGGGAAAATTTTTTATCTGAGAGTATAAAAATTAATTTTTTGAAAATTGGAGTTTTTTTTTGCAAAATTTGTGTTTGGATTTTTTTATTTGGAAAATAAGAAATAAATTTGGAACGAGTGCGAGAAATTGAATATTTTTGGGGAGGAAGAATTAAAATTAAAAATTAAAGTTTATGTTAAGAAAAAAAAATTTGCCATAACAAAAAAAATGAAAAAGAAATAAAATAGAAGAATAATTAAAACTTACCAAAAATGAATTTAATTTATTAGGGAACTGTTTGGAGAGAGTATTTGTAAAGTCAGAGTACTGGGAGAAGGATTAATTACAATTAAAAAATTTGTTGATGATTCTATTGTTTGTTGTGATAGTACTGGCAAAAATACGGCTGGAATCTGGCAGAAAAATATTTCTGGAAAATTCAATCGATTTAAATATGTTAAAGCGATAATAATGAACGACATTTTTTTCTTTTTTCTATATTTTCTGGTTTTTTTTTTTTTTGTTCTTTCTGTATTTTTTCTTCTTTTTCTATTTTCCTTCTTTTATTTTCTCCTTTTTCCTATTTTCCTGTTTTTCTTTTCTCCTTTTTCCTAATTTCCTGTTTTTCTTTTCTTTTTTCTTCTCCCTATTTTTCTATTTTTCTTTTGTCCTTTTCTCTTTTTCTCCTTTTTTCTTGTTCCTCTTTTCCTTTTTTTCTATTCTTTTTTTTCTTTTCCCTATTTTCCTCTCTTCTTTTTTTCTATTTTACTATTTTTCTTTGTAATTTTTTTTTACTATGAAAATTTTTTCATTAGTTAAAATCACTTTAAAACAACAAAACTTATTCTCCTCTCGACAATAATTTCTCTCATAATAAATATTCTCAGAATGAGAAAAATAATTATTACTTCATTTAATTTCGAAATGCAAGTTGTTTCCTTGATAGAAATTATTCAAAGCTTTGCGCCTTGTAGGTATGAAATATTATTGACTGGCAATTATAATAATTACAGGTTTACAATCTTCCGCGCTGAATATTTAATTATTAGGTTCTAAATTTATACCGAAGAGTCTAATAAACGATAATATTATTTTTCTTCAACTAATCATTCATTTCTCCCTGTGGAGTTTTGCTCTATATACAAAAAATAAGATACATAAGCATAAAATTTTCCTTCAACAATAACAAAAAAAATGGATCTTTTTGATTCGAAATATTTTAAAATAAATAATATTAGCCTCTCATTCTTTGGTCTTTGGAGTTTTCAAAAATTGTGGACAAAATTTTTATTAAAAATCTCTTGTCTTGTCATTATGTGTTCGACAATTTTTTTTCAGGTGACATTTTCTTTTTGCCTTAATTAATATAATTTTTATTTACACCATTTTTTCTCTCATAGAAAAATGGATTAGAATATTTAAAAAAATAATTTACACATTTAGGAATGTAATATTTAACTTTAATTAGTAAATTATTAATTCTTAAATAATTTTTTTAACAAATATGAAATAATAAAATATTTTAATTAATTTTTACGTTCAGAGGGGGATTTATTTATTTAATGACTTTAATTATTATAAATATTAAAAATAAATTGTATTTGCAAATTAATTTAAATTAAAAAAATGTATTATAAATATTTCATTTTAATTTAGTCTTCTTGTTTATTAATTATTTAATTAATTATTTGTATTTATTAACAAATAAAGTTTTACTCTATTTCCTGAATAATAGTCTCAGTCGTCCCTAGGGTAACTTTCACTATTTACTTTCCAAAATATAGTATATAATATAATGTTTATTTCTCATTATTGGATGGAAAATATTTGTAAACACATTATTTTTTTATAGTTTAACGGTTTATTTGACACATGGAATCTTAATAAGGATGAAGTATTTGAAGTTATCTCCTCATTAATTATCTTTCTAATGGGATTAGGTCAATTTTTAGTTTTTTGCTTTAATGAAAAAAAGGTAAATTATTAAATTTCTATTTTTTATTTAATTAAATATTATAATTGTCATTTTTTTTATTTTTATTAATAATTAAGAGTAAAAAAAAATATATTAATAAATACATTTTTTTGAATACGTGAAAAATATTGTAACGAAAAATTTAAATTTTTATTTAATTTATTTTATTAATTATTTCTCATTTAATTTTTCGTTTTTCATTTGTTTGTATTTTATTATATTAATAAATTATATAAAAATTCTTATTTAAAAATTTATGAAACAAAATTATATTTTAATGAAAAAAAGTTGCTTTCTTTCTTTTTTGAAAAGAAAAATTCTTTGTAATGATTTAATTTATTATTAATTAATTTTTCGTAATTTTTCTAGTTACATTTTCTTCTCGATTGCATAAAAAATGATTGGAAACTGTGGACATCTAAAAAGGAATTCGAAATACTTGAAAGTCAGGCAAAAATTGGAAGAAAATACAGTATTTTATATTTTGGTAAGTTTTTTTTTTTTTAATGATCTTTTATTTAATTAATTAAAAAAACAAAAAAAAATTGTTTAAGGATACATCTCGACTGCATTGGTTTTTAATTTATTGACAACATTGTCGCCTTGTTTTTTAAATATATTTTTGCCATCAAATGAAAGTCTACCATTAAAATCGCCATATCCGATAAAATTTTTTTTCAATCACGAGAAACATTTAAAATTTATTTTAATACACGGATCATTAACAACTGCTTATATATTGGGATTTGTTTCTTGTTGTGATGCAATTTTTGCTGCCACCACACAACACGCTTGTGGATTATTTTCAATTATTAGGTAATTTTTTTACTGTTTTTTTTTGTATTGTTATTATTTGGTTTTTTTTAATTATTTTTTTAAATTATTATTTTGTTCTATTTTATTATTATTTTTCGTATTATTATTTTACTTTTTTAATTTTTTTTCGTAAATATTAATATTTTTATTCTTTTTTATTATTGTTTTCGTATCTATTATTTTATTCTTTTTTATTGTTTTCGTATCTATTATTATTTTTTCTTTTTTTGATATTTTTTTCGTGTTATTATTATTGCTTTATTTTTATTATTAATATTTTTGAAATAGACAATAATATTCTATTATTGATTTACTATTCTATTCTATTTTATTGATTTACTTACTTACTTTCTTTTTATTATTCAATTATTTTTGAGAAAAAAAATTCTTTTTATATTTTAGGTATCGATTTAAAAATATTAATCATAAGCATCAATTAATTGATGAAGACAATAATGAAGACAGAGGATCGAAAAAAAATCTCTCGTATAAAGAATTATTTTATTCTATTCATTATCATAATTATGCTATTAGGTACTGAGTGAATATATTATAAATATTATTTTTTTCTACATTTTCAGTAAAAATTGTAGGATAATTTTTTTAATTTTTTTTTTTTAGTTATGTGAAACAGCTCGAGGCATTATACTCCCCTTTTCTATTTGTCTCAATTGGGGGTAATATTGTAACGATAAGTTGTACCCTAGTGCAGGTAATTATATTCTTTTAATTAATAATCGATTCCGAAATTATTAAATTATAGATTTATTTAATTAAATTTTATTTAAGAATTTATTTATTTAAATTATTGGAATTTATTTTCTTGTCTAGACAATGATTGTAATGGGGGACGTGGCGTATTTTATAAAACAGGCAGTTCTTGCACTCACAACAATTTATCATGTCTATGTTCTTGGATTGCCAGTGCAAAATTTATTAAAAATAAGCGGTGAAATTGCATTTGATATGTGAGCTTTTAAAAAATGTTTTAAAAATTTTTGAACGTTAAACAGGGTTGCCACAAAAATTTTATTTTATTTTTCCCTGACTTTTCCCTGAGTTCCAGTCAAAATTTTTACTTTTTCCAGAAATTCTTAATTAAATTTATATATTAGAATTCAATTATTAAAACACAAAAATAAATAATTTATTGAATAATTGAATATTTCTCAAAATTGAATTCTCATAAAGAAATTTATAAACAAATTTTTAAATAATTGAATTCTTTCGACGAATTTCAATAAAATATTTAAAAATAATTGAAATTTTCGAGGAATTTAATTAAAATTGAATTAAAAATAATTGAAATTCTACGATGAGTTTTATTATTTTATGAAAATAATTTAATTATTGCGAAGAAATTTTAAAAATAATAATTGAATTTCGGAGAAGAATTTTAATATTTATAAAAATAATGTAAATATTTACGAGATTTTAAAAAAAAATTGTGAACATAATATTCAATTATAATCTAAAATTTTAACTAACATTCATTTTCAAATCAATTTTTATTAGAAAATTCAACGAGAATTCAATTTTTTATAACAATAATAAATAATATATTGAATAATTTGAATTCTCCTAAAGATAAGAATTTTATCAACAAATTTTTAAATAATTCAATTTAGAAAATAAAATGAAATCGTTAGTTTTTAAACAATAAATCGTAATTAATTATAATCGTAATAATTTTTGTTATCCGTTTTTTTTAGATATGACAGTGATTTTCATGAAATGCCGATTGAAATAAAAAAATTAATACCTTTGATAATTATGCAAAGTCAAATACCTTGTGATATAACGATTGGAAAAATTGCGAAAATGAATATGGAAACCGTTTCTCAGGTATAGAGAATATTTTTGATTTAAGTTTTTTTAATTGGAATATTTTTCCTATTGACAATTAAATTTTTTTGTTTTCTATTTGTATGTGCAGATTCTAAAAATGGCTTTTTCATATTTTACTATGTTGTCTTCAGTTCGTCAGTCTAATATGTGAATAAGAAAATTAATAATTCTCACATAAAAAAAGCGTGTCTGAAAATTTTTCCTTTTTCTGCATTAACAAAATTAATTTATTATAAAAATTTATTTTCTAAAAATATTCACTTTTTAAAGTTATTAATTTTTTATAATTTAATAATTAATTATTAATTAAGAATAGTAATATGAGTGATGTATACATATATATAGTTAATTTATTAATAATTAAAAAGTATTAAAAATCATAAAAAAAAATATGTTTTCTCTAATTCGAATTTGTGATTTTTGAATAATTTTGTTGATTTTGATTTCTTTTTTACGTCTCCATAAATCGAAAATACATTCATGATTTGATGTGATTGTCTGGCTTTAAGTGAGATGACTCGACTTGATTCTCTCTAATTCCTTGTCACTTTCCTGACACCGTTCTAATTACATTCCTGAGAGTCATTAGGGTTTTACTGCAAATAGAATATCCAATGTCGTTCGCTCTTCAGATACTCATCAGTTACTCTCCACTTCTTCAATGTACATACTTGGGAGAAGTTTCTCTTTTTCCCCTTTAATTCAACTTTGAGGAATTTTATTTATTCTGCCTTCGATTCTCTTCACTCGAATCGAAAGGAAAATATATTTTGAAGTCACTGATAAATGTCTCCCTATATTTAATCGTATAATAAATTATTATAAGAGAAATTAATTATTTTTGTACTTACAGCAACGTATTTTTCTTTTCCAAAAAAGCACATGCCAATGTTATTCCATAACGACCAAGATTCCGGAATTGTTTGATATGCATTTTTATAATTAATTAATGCGGTATCATAATCAGAATTCATCTGAAAAAATAATTGTTATTTTTAGTGTAAATATTATTCATTTTTTTACTGTGTTTAATTAATTTAATTGCAGACTTCGCACTCGATAATTAATTTTTAAAAAGTAGCAAAAAAGTAGCTTTCAAACTAAAAGAAGTAGTAAAAAAGTAGCTATCGAAAAATTAAATTTGACGACCAAAAAAACTCGTTTTAAACGCTTCACAAAAACTGACAAAAATTCCATTCTATATTTTATTTTCATGATTTTCATCAAAAATATTTACTTCTTTCTTATCCTGCTAATAAATTGAATTGACCTGCAATGAATTTTATTATTCATGAAAGAATTTCAATATTTATAATAATAATTTAATTTTATGCAAATTTTAATTTAAATAAATGAATTCCTGAGAAATTTTTATTATTCATGAAAAAGCATTGAATTCTTACGAAGATTTTTACAAAAATTTTTTTAAATAATTGAATTCTGTTTGCAAATTTTATGAAAAAAATCCAATGATATTGAAAATCGTTGAATTGCGAAACGTTTTTAAAAATAATTAAATTATACAAAGAATTCTATTAAAATTTTTAACAATAATTGAATGTCTGTGCGTGGCATTTTATTAATTTTTTTTTGAAAATAATTGCATTTTATTAGAATTTTTTAAAATAATTGAATTTCCAAGACGAAATTTATTATTTTCAAAAATAATTGAATTCTTGTGATATTTATGAAAATAATTGAATTTTGCAAAGAATTTTATTAAAATGACTCAAAATAATTAAATTTTAAAGAATAATTTTTTTTATTTATCGAAATAATTGAATTCTTTCGATAAATCATTTCTGTAAATAAATAATTGAATTCTTGGGAAGAATTTTATTAAAATTAAAATAGTATTTAAAATAATTGATTTTTTCAAACAAATTTTATTTAAATATTTGAAAATAATTGAATTCCTGTGAAAAATTCTAGCATTTTTGTAAATAATTGAATTTTTTTAAAGAATTTTAAAAAAACATTTTTTTAAATCATTGATTTCTTCGAGGAATTGAAATTAAATTTTTAAGAATAATTACATTTCTCTAGCAATTCCTGTAAAAATTTATTAAAAATAATTATTCAAAATAATTAAAAATATTAAAAATAATTAATTACCTAAAATATTAAAAATAATTAAAATAATTAAAAACCTGCGATGAATTTTATTATTTATGAAAATAATTGAATTATTGCGAAAAATTTTATTAAAATAATGTTTACAAAGAATTGAATTTCTTTGAAGAATTTTGCTTTTTCTGAAAATAATTAATGAATTATGGTGAAAAATTTTATTTATGAAAATAATTGAATTTTTCTATTAATTAATATGAAATATGTAGTATTAAAAATAATTGAAATTCTTCGATGAGTTTTATTATTTATGAAAGTAATTGAATTCTTGCTTAGAATTTTATTAAAAAATTTTTTAAATAATTGAATTTCTATGAAAAATATTATTATTAGTGAAAGTAATTGAATTATTGTGATGAATTGTATAAGAATTTTGTTTAATAACTGATTTTTGCGAAATTTTTTTGAAAATGCTATTTTAAATTAATTGAATTCCTGTGGAAATTTTATTCTCTATGAAAATAATTGAATTTTGGATGAAATTTTATCAATTTTTTTGAAGTAATTGAATTCTTTTTTGAAATTTTATGAAAATACTAGATATTGAAAATAATTGAATTTCGAATATTTTTTGAAAATGATTGAATTTGTTTTAAAGAATTTAATTATAATTTTTAGAATAGTTTTTTGATTTCTATTAGCGAATTTAAATTAGTGGAAATTCTAAAAAAGAAAAAACAGAAATTACCTGTTTAAGAAAACCCAATGGTAAAAGTGCTTTTGGAAATCTTGGCGCATGCGATAAAGCTGATTCAAAATATTGAATGGCACGTGAAGTTTCTCCCATTTCCAAATAAAGAAGGCCCAATTCAGTAATTATTTCTTCATTTTCGGGAACAATTCTGAAATAATTTACATCGATTAGAAAATTAATCAACTGAAAATTAAATAAAAGTATTTCAACATAATATTTAATTTTTATTCTCAATTTAATTCAAATATTTTCCTTAATTGAAAATTATTTATCTGTTTGGATTATTATTTTGATTATTAGTTATTATTAGTTATTATTAGTTATTATTAGTTTATTATTAGTTTGATTATTATTAATTTCAAAATTTTCTACATTTATTTATTTATTTATTATAAATTTTAATTCGTTCTAAAATTTAAATTTGTTTATTTATTTATTATTTCTATTCAACAATTTTAAGAGAAAGTAAAGAATTATATATTCTAATTAATAAAAACTACAAATAAATTTAATTCGGAGAGAGAGAGAGAGAAAATTCACATTCAATAAACAAAGTAACACGTGTGGAAATACGCAAAGATGATTTACTATAAAGTAAACATTTTGCTGGTATCTAACTTTCTAATTGAAATTCGAGTAACTGAAATGCATTAATTTGATATTGTTTCCATGGGAATTGAGATCATTAGGAAGTAAGAAATTTATGCTTCACTAACTATAATTTTATAAAATTGAGTTATCAACTTCAATCTAATAAATATCTTTTCAAAAAAAAAAGAAGAAAAAAATATAAACTAAGGTCATGTAAAAGCTGAGAAATAAAGTCAACTTAATCGGTTTATTAATTAGCTGCTTTTTTAGTTAATTAATCACCTTCATTTTCTTAATGGAAACTATATAGGTATATTCGAAAAATGATATAAACTTTAGAAAACAAACTTTACAACTTAATTGAAAAATTTAATCAATTTATTTGATATTCAATATTTTCTCTCTAGTCCAATTCTACCGTTCTGTTTAATCTTTATCAAATTCAATTGATAATTATACATAATAATAATTTGATTTAAGAATTAATTATTAATTAATAATTAATTTTTAGAAAATTTCTTTTAAAGAAAAGAAATAAATTCTTTTTCTAAAATATCAATTCTTTTGATGAAAAATGAATTCTTTTGAAGGAAAATTGATTCTTTTGATGAAAAAAATGTAAAGAAAATAAATTTCAAAAGAAACAATTAAAAAAAAATGAAGATAAAAAAATGGAGATAAATTCGATGCGGGGGAAAAATAAGATTTCTTTCTTTGTCTAATTAAATTAAGACGAATTGTGATGATAATAATAGATATTGAATATGATAATTTTTTTCTTTCTTTTTTTTTGGAGTCATTTTAATACTAACTTGGAAGCTGCTAAATAAATGCCGACAGCATCTGTAATACGATTCTGCGAAACGTAAAACTTAGCCAATGTTAAATAAGGTATTTCATTCTTTGTCAGTTCAATTGCTGTCTTCAAATGCTTTATTGCCTCTTCCGGATGATTTAGTTTTATGTAACATTCCCCTGTAGAAAATAAAATATAACATTCAATTTTCCACTTGAATATTAACCCTCTAACATTGTATTCAAACAAATATATTTACTCAAATCGATACGAATTATATAATGTTTCCTCTTTTCAAAAAAGAAATTGAATAATATAGTAATAACAAAAATTGACAAAAATAATTATAATAAAAATAATGATAATAACAAAAATAACAAAATTAACAAAAATAAAAAAATAATAAAAAATAACAAAAATAAATGATAATAATATTAATAATAATTGTTAATATCATTATATAGAATGATAATTAAAAATAATTAAATAACAACAATTCATATTTATAATCACATAGTAATTTAAAGTAATAATTATTATTAAATTAAAAGTAATTAAAATTTAAAAAAATGCTTGTTGCTTCAGCGAGAATTTAAAAATAAGAATAAAAATTGTAAATTGAATTTTTCTGGTGGAAAAAAGAATTTATTTAGTGCACAAAATTTTGATAAGCAGTGTGTAATTAAAATTTTAAATGAGAAAAGCTACTTTGAATGAAAAATTAATTTACTTAAAAATTCAATAATAAAAAAAATAATAAATTGATAAATTAATAACTTACCTAGATTATGATGAGTATCCCAATCTGGGTTTCTCATTTTCTCAATTACTTCGGTAAAATTTTCAACTGCTTGCTCATGACGGCCAAGAAGAAATCTTCATGAGAAAAAAAGAGAGAAAACATAAATTAATGACCGTAAACTACATTAAAAAAAAGTATTTTTTTTAAATTCATTTTCAGAGATTCATTATTCAGCTCTTGCAGCAAAAAATATTTTCATATTTATGAGTATATTTTTTAATTTTAAATTCATGTTTATTTAAATAAAATTTTTTGTGATCTAGAACTAAAGGAAATTTTTATTATTATTTTATGTTGTTTTTATAATTATTTATATTATTGTATTCCATTTCTTATTATTTTGTAAATTGAAAAATTTTATATTTTCAAAAATAAATATCAATTTTTGAAAGATTGCCTATTTATTCTCATGAATAATAAAATTCTTTAGAGCAATTCAATTATTTTCACTAAAATTTTAATAAAATTTCTCGAAAGAATGCAACTATTTTTAAAAATATTAATTAAATTCGATTATTTTCAAGAATTTTAATATTAATTTAATTATTTTCAACAATTTTGATGAAATTCTTTTTTAAAAAATTATTATTTTCCAATTTTTTAATAAAATTCCGTCAAAAAATTCAATTATTTTCGAAAATTCAGATAAAGAATTGTTTGAAACAATTCAATTATTTTTATAAATTGTAAAATTCTTGTCAAGAATTCAATTATTTTTATAAATTGTAAAATTCTTGGCAAGAATTCAATTATTTTCAAAAATAACAATATTCATCACAAGAATTCAATTATTTTCAAAATTAATAAAATTCTTCGCAAAAATTCAATTATTTTCAAAAAATATAAAAAAAATTTGTCGTTAACATTTCAATTATCTTTATAAATGAATAGCAAAATTCTTGGACAAAATTCAATTATTTTCAGGAATTTTAATAAAATTAATTTCAAAATTCAATTATTTTTAGGAATTTTAATAAAATTCATTGCAAAATTCAATTATTTTCATAAACAATAGTATTCATCACAGGAATTCAATTATTTTGAAAAAAATTTTCTTCATTCAAAGATTTTTAATATTTTACTATTTTAATAAAATTTCCTAAAAGAATTCAATTATTAAAGAAAATTTTTTATAAAATTCTATACAAACATTCAATTCAATTATTTAACAAAAATTTTATTTTATTTATTTAATAATGTAAACGCGCTTACAAATTAAAAAACAAAAAGATGTAAATTTAAAAAATTAAAAAAAAATGTTTAGTAAAATGAAATGAAAACATTTAATTATTGAATATTCTCGGAGTATTTTTACAATATTTTGAAAAATAATTGGATTTTTTACGAAGATTTTTATTATTTATAAATTGACTAAAGAATTTTATTACAATTACCTATTATTATTTTGTTATTACCATATTTTTGTTATTATTATCATATTTTTGTTATTATTAAAATATTTTTGTTATTAATATTATTATTATTACTAAATGTAATGATTTTATTCACTTATATACTTACAAAGTTTTTGCAATTTGTTTCGTATTGTTAACATTACTGGAATTGATTTCCTGGCATTTTTGAAAACATTCCAAAGCCTCTTGGACCCTCCCGTCTGCTCTCAAAATTAGTCCCTTGTAAATAGGAAGAATAATCATTTATTAAATATGTAACCGGTTATAAAAAAAATTTTTATTTTTGAAAAGAATAGAATTCTTGGGAAGAATTTTATTTTTTACAAAAATAATTTTATTCTATGATCAATTTTTATTTTTATTAAAATTTGATTTTCGGATATTTATTTAATTAATTTATTAATTAATAATATTAATTTGCGAAAATTAATGAAATTAATTTTACCTTCAGGTAATTAGCATATTCATGTCTTCCATTAGTTTTTTTCAATTCGTCTTCAATTAATGCATTACAGATGTGAAACTCATGTCTTGTGTAGTGTCTGTGAAGTAACCAATTTTTTACTTCTACTGCTGGTATATCTGGCACTAATTAACATTTTTTATTATTTTATTAAAAATTATTTAATTTACCTTGAATTATATACTTTTAAATATTAAAAATTTGAATTACCCTTTTTGGTTATGTTACTTCGTGTCCGTTGTGCAGTTGTATTTCCCTGTTGTATTCTTCCATTACTAACTGTATTATTCTCCATTTTCAATTGTTAACAAGTAATATAAATTGTTTATTAATCCCTCTTATTTTTCACTTAATCTCACCTATTGTTGTTTTTGAATTTATATCTTAAAAAACAAACAAATGTTTGTTGACATCAACTGTCACCTAGCAACCATGTTTAAAGCTTCTCTCACACTGAAACGTAGAACCAACTAAAGAAATTCTATTTTTTCCATTATTTATTAACAAGTGGAAATTTCTTTTTAAGCAATTTTATAACGAAAAGAATATGTTTATTATTAAAATAATTCACCATCTTGTTGATTTCCGATTTCGTGGAAAATTTTAAAATTCACATTGTCGCACTCTTCTGGTCAAATAATGAACTATTGACAAAAAATTTGAATTTTCGCGGGGAAATTTTTGAGTTACTAAGCACCTGGTGGTTGATTATTGTACTATTATACGTCATCTGTATAAAATTAAAGATGGCCGACAACGATTGTTGTTTTCGATAAAATGATATACAAATATTGAAATATTTCTGTATTTATGAGTTCGGCGAAAACATATAATCCACAATAATACAAGTTAACGATAACGTTTTATAATACTTTACTATGTTTTGTAATTTATCGAGTTTGTCAAAGTACTGTAATCAAATCGTTTTGTGATGTGATCCAACTCTTATAACGAAGACGACATTCGGTGTGTTATCAGTGCGGTAAGTATAATTTTTGTGATTAGATATCGTTATTCGTATCCAATCTGTCAAAACCATTATAATTGAGAGCTGAATTTTAGTGCGATTAAGTGACTTTTTTTTGCAAAAGTTTTATTTCAATTAATCATCGAATTCTTTTGTCATTGGAAAAAAAAGAGGTATACGCTCCCACCGTGTTCTATTTTTTTTCAAATAAATCTCTTATTTTTTAATTAAATGTTTCTTTAATTTTTCACTTAATGGTTACAATCCGTTTTTTTTACATTTTTTTGTAATAACTGTTGTGAAAAAAATTGACAATAATAACTAATAGGAGGAATTTTTACTTGTTTTTCACTTTTTAAATCTTATAAATAGCTTTTGTAATTAAGTATCTATCAGGCAATTAGTGATCTAATCTAATTATCATTTTCATGAGGGTTTTTTAATTCTTTTTATTTTCCAGTCACTTCGATTATTCGTCATCTTTATTTATTATATTAGTCATTAAAATTTTAAATTAGAAAATATGGCATTATTTTTTGAAAAGTTTACAAAAAAAAGAAATATGGTTGTAATTTTATGTTGACAATAATGAACTTTTCACTATTATTTATTATTAATATTACTATTTTATTAGAATTTTTATTATTAGTATTAATATTATTATTTTTAGTATTATTGTTGTTATTGTTTAAATAATTAAAATTTTTGTTCGTCTATTTTAAGTTTTTGACAGAAACTTGAAATTTTATTACCAAAAATTTTTAATAATTATTAAAAATAGAAAATATAAATAGTGTCTCGCTAAATAAATATTTTATTTTATTAATTTCATTTAAAGTAGAATGGAAAATAATAATTGATAATACAAAACAATGTACTTTCCTTTTGTAAGAAATATAATTTGCCTTTGTAATTACAACCAAAGAAAAATTAAAAACAACAATTTTTTTGTTCTTACATAATTGTCCCTCTCATTTGAAAATCGAGGAAGAAATTTATTCCTGCTCTATTGTCCTCTTGATTGGTGAAAGCAAACTCCCTTTATTCTTAATGAACATTCTTTTCTAAATTATTTTTAAAGTTTATCTGGTTCTCCTAACAGGACAAAAATATATTGCAAAAAAATGCTATAAACTGTTTTGTTTTTATTAATTTATTTGAAAATAATAAAAATTATTTTTTTATTTATTTTTTATTTCAATTTTTGTTAAATTATAAATAAATGCAAATGTGAAAGAAGTTATCAATTAATTAGTTCAATTAATTAGTTTTTTTAAAGTTTTTTTTAATTAAAATTGTGTTTAATAAAATGAATTTTATTTTTTTAGTGACTATTAATGGTGACATGATGTTGTTAAAATTGACTGGAGCGTAGAAGAAGGAACATGAGTCGAGCCAGAGAACTACGACAACGCAGACAACAATGGATGACGGAGCATCCCCGAAAGCTCGCTGGGGAATTAAACAGATCACAAAAATTCGTCCTGGGACTCGCTGCATTACTGATATTCGACATAATCTGGGTTTTCAAACTGGAAGTGCTAAAGGTACATACAGATAAATATTAATTGCAAAAATTTACCAACTTAAATTTTAGTAAAAGAAATACCTGAAAATAATTTCCGGGAAATATTGATTATAATTAATTTTTAAGAAATTAATTAATGAATTATATTTAAAATTTTTTTTTTTTACATTTTAATTATATTTCAAGAAGGAAAAATCTTAATTTATAAATTTTCCCTTTAGACACTGTACAGAGGACCAGAATTTGAAAAACCATTTTTCAGTACCTATGTCAGATCGTCAATGTTCACATTATATCTTCTTGGCTTTTGCTTCTTTCCCCCTTGGCGAGATCAATGCAATCGTCCAACAACTTATATGGTAATTATTATTTTAATTTGAATTAAATTCCTTAAATAAAAATTATGCGTAGCTTATTTAATAATAATATTTAGTAAAGAAAAATGCCCAAAGATCGTTCATAACCGAAAGGCACGAACTATGTGGAAATAAATAATAATAATAGTATTTGATATTTAATAATTAAATTTAATTCTATTAATATTTAATATTATTGAAGTTCGTTAAATAAGTAAAAATTAGAAAAAAATATTATCGACCCAAAGAAAAGACTTTTACTTTATTTAAAAAAAAGCTCTTTATCGTTTGGAAACATTCCAATCTCGTAAAATTTATTGCCTTTTTTTCATTCTAGTATACAGATCCAAATGTGGAGGATGATAACTTTTATTCGGAAGCCAATACAAGTTTGGTAAGTATTTGCCACTTTTTTTCCATCTCTCCAAAACATTCCACTGGGAAATACGATAAGTGGATAACAAATAATCAGCAACGACTACACTTGACAGTAGTAAAACGCAAAGTTATTAGAAATCAAATAATTTACAAACAAAAGAGAAAGAAAAATTATTAAAATTTTTTTTTTCTTACAGTTTAAATTATATTTAATGTATTTATTTAAATTATATTTTGAGATATTTATCAAATTTGTAATAATTTCATTAATTTTCATTTATTATTTATTTTTTATTCTTAATTATCAAAAATAGTTAATACAATAAATATTTTAGTTAATACTTAAAAATAGATACAAAACTAAAATAATTATAATAATAAAATGAATGCAACTTTGTGCTATTTATTTTAATTATCATATTTACAGTGGAATAAAATAAGTACCATGTGAATAGTAATTTACGTATAAAATTTTTATTTCCTTTTAGAGTGATCCGACTTTTGTGCCGATAAAAACTCCAGATCAATGCGATCGTTCGTCGGGAACGGAAAGTGATGATTCGTCGATAAGGTCGGTGAGATTTAGTAAACTCGCTGAAGTACGTCATATGTCGGAAACTGTCGCAACAGAAGCCGTTTTAGCGAGATTGAGTTATCAGGCGAGTGTGCGAGCCGGTGAATATGCAAGGAGGCAGGCCAATAAATTTTCTGCACAGAAAGTGGCAAAAATCGCTCTCGTATTTTGCTTCTTGGTGAGCTGAAAAGCATTATTCTTTATGAAAACAAAATTTTAGTCTAATTAAATGATAAAATCATGAATTTCGTTTTTTCTTCAAATGAAAATCAAAAAGGAATAAAATTAATTAAGTTTTATTAGATTTTTAATTTATTTATTTTTGTTAGTTTTTATCAGATGAAAAAATTGATTTTAGTAAAAAAAATAGTAGAGTATAAATAAAAGGTTTCGTGTTGAATTTTCGGTCTAAATGGTAATTATTGAACAAATAATTTGTTACCACTGGCAACAAGAAACGTGTTCTATTTGAAGAAACTGAAATTAAAAATTAAATGACGTTGGAAGTAGCAATTTAAACCAACGCTTAAAATAGTAATTCAAATTTGCCTTCTTAATTACAAAATTTGATTAATTATTACCTAATTATTTTTTTTATTATTTTTCTATTATTATTTATTTATTATTTTTTTATGATTTATTTATTATTAATTTAAATTTAATTTGAATGATCTAATCTAAGCAAGATTAATTTGATATTAAATAAACAGTAAACTTGATAATTTATTGGAATAATAATTATAGTTGAAAATTATGTTTATACGGAAATAATTAAAAAATAAATGTTTATTTTCAGTGGTTCATCGCAACGTACACGAACCAATTGTTATTAAATGAAGCCGGAACAGGAATTGTCACTATTTTGTCTTCATTATCTAGTTTATTCATCCTATTTCTTGCCGCATGTTTCCCGAATAACGCGGGAGACAAATTTACATTATCCAAATTGGTTGCAATTTCCATCAGCATTTTTGGTCTTGTAAGTAACTTTTTTCTATTTTGATTTCTGATTTTATTATTTTCAATTATCAAGAGTAATTAAGTATTTGTATTTTCTAATAATAATATTAATATTACGTTCTTACTTTATTTTCCGTTTTTACTTAAATTTTTTAAATTTTCCTATTTTTCGAAAATATATCGAAAATTTTCTTTTTTGAACTAAAATCGTATTTAGAAAAGAATTTCAGGACTCGAACCAGGTCCGTAAATCCTCTAAAGGTCCGTAAATTTTCTTAAAGTCCGTAAAAGTCAGTTTTTTTAAAAATAAAGTTCGTAATTTGATTGAGAAAAGACGCAAAGTTCCTAAATTGTACGATATAATTTGGAGAATTTTAGAGAAACTACAAATGATTGGAAAAATTCAATTATTTTCAGAAGTAATAGAATTCTTCGCAGAAATTCAATTATTATGTTTAAAATTTTTTTTAAATTCCCGTCAAAATTTCAATTATCTTTAGAAATTATTAAATTCCTCTCCAAAATTCAATTATTTTCAAAAAGTTTAATAAAATTCTTGGCAAAATTTCAATTATTTTCAAACATTTTTCTTAATTATTTAAAAAAAATTAAATAAAATTCTACGCAAACCTTCAATTATTTTCATAAAATAATAAAAATTTCACAGGAATTCAATTATTTACAAAGTTTTTATGTTTTTTAGTTATGAAAAATTTAATTTATAGTTTTAAGTAAAATATTCTTTTATTTGACTTGGACTGGTTATATTTTTATTTTTGTCAGTAATTGCTCCGTAATATTAATATTTAAAATAAATAAAAAATTAATAAATTAAACTTTATTGAATTATTTTTGCAGATTCTAGTTGGACTTTCGGATTTTACAATAGAAACGAGTAGAATACCAACTAGTATAATTTTAGCTCTAGTCAGTACATTAACGTATGCAATTTACATTGTATTTTTAACAAGAAAAGCGGGTAATGAAGAAAAGCTCGATGTACCAATGTTCTTTGGTTTTGTTGGCTTTTTCAATCTAACCCTATTGTGGCCTTTATTCTTCATTCTTCATTATGGACGATGGGAAGAATTTGAATGGCCCTCTCATCATCAATGGACAGTCCTTATTGTCAATGGACTTTTTAACTTTCTCAGCGAAATTATTTGGCTCTGGTAAATTTTATTTTCTTCTCGAATGCAATATTTCTTTTCTTTTTCATATTAAACATTTTTTTTATTATAAATCCTAATTGAATTTTTATTTATTCTTTTTTTTTGCCTACCAAAAATTATTTTTATTTATTTTTCCTATTAAGAATTATTTTTGCAGTAAAAATTCTAATTGAATTTGTATTTAAATTTAATTTAGTGTTTGAATTTAATTTAACAGTTTAATTTAATTCAGCGATTTGATTTTATTTAACAGTTTAATTTAATTCAGCAACTGATTCAATTTAGAATTTTAATTCAATACCGCATTTTGATTTAATTTAGAATTTTAATTTAATTTAGCATTTTATGATTTATTTAAATTAATAGATAAAAAGAGTAGTGAATTAATTACTGTTTCTATTTTTACTTGAAGGAGCTGTTTTTTTACTTCGTCCCTTATTCCAACACTGGCTCTTGGACTCACGGTGCCAATGTCAATGATGTTAAACGTTTTTTTAAAGAAGCATACATTTTCCTGCATTTTTTACCTTGGGACAATTCCAATGATTTTGGCATTTATAATAATTTCCCTATTATCTTATTACGATAATTGGGATCCAGTATTGGATTTGTTGAAAAGACTTTATATCTGGATCTGTCGCAGGAGCAGAGCAATCAGGTAATTTTATATATTTCTATTATTATTTTTATTATTAATTAAGAAAACTATTATTAAATTTTGTTTTACAATATTTAATAAAAAAATTCGTAATTATAATCGAGAACAACTTATCGATTTTCCTTCTTGTTGATCATTATTAGAATACCAGATTTGGAAGCTGAACAGACCGAATCATTGATCGGCATGAACAGTGGAGATCATGAAGCTTAAATTTTAAAAAGACAATAATAACAACAACAAATACACACGGTACTTAAGTTTTGAAAGCACTAACGTGAAACAATAGATCTTTTATTGTATCTAGATTTTTTACGAGCTTTTCCATTAAGCACAAAAAAAAGAAAGAAAAAAAACAGCAACAATGATTTTGACATTTAATATTACAATTAGATTGTACTTAAAAGAAAAATACAGTCAATGGTATTAGAGATTCCAAAAGCGTTTATCCTCGAAACTTTGTACATCTTTTTGAAATCTATTTTTCAATGTCAATATTTATAATAAACACACTATCGAGACATTAATAATTCAAGACAAATTTTCGTCCAAAAAAAATGTATTTTCGACGAAAAATGTCTTTTAATGTCTCTCCTTGCACTTATCAGAAATATTGATTATTGATTCAAGAAAAAGAAAGAAAGAGTACCAGAAGATAAAGATGTACATACAGCTATATTATTTTCTATAAATTGAACTGAAAGTGTAAGAAAAAAGTCATTTTTTTCTCTCTAAATCATTAAAATTTGATTGCAAATTTTTATTCACTGTTAAAATGAAAAAAAAAGTATAAATGTTGAGCTTTTTCAGAGATATAAATTACAGAATTATAAAAAAAAGAAAGGAAAATGAAAATAATCGAATGTTTCGAGCGATTTACGACACAATAATCAAGTCTGAAAGTGAAAGAAACACAAATCTATAATAAAAATTAACAAATGAAGAAAAAGGAAATAATTTACACAAAACAGAATAATAATATTACAAAAAATATTAATCTACATTTTAAGCTCAAAATCTAGAAACTACGTAAAATATTAAATTACGTGAATTGAATTACAAAATACAATATGTATCTTACGAGATGTAATTTTTGACCACATTTTATCCACTTTGCTGTTTGCGTCCTGCTGTGTTATACTTATATATATAAACAAAAAACTGTAAACAAGATTTGGAATCGATGCACAAAAGAATCGAATTTTGAAAATTCTATTCAACAATCATTACAAAATTTCACTTCAGGAAAATATGATCAATATTTAAATATCGAACTTTTGATGAAAAGATGATAATTATAAATGGATATTTATAATAAATTAAAACGAAATGATTGTTAATAAATAAAAATAATTATCGACACAAAATTCAAAATCAAATTTTAAAAAAGTTAAATTTACACTACAGAAGAAAGAAATTTTCAACAAAATTCGATTCTGTATTTGACAAAAAATCGTTCCCGAATCTTAAATAAAAAAAAGTGATTCTTGTATACATATTTGTAAGAATCTTTTTCTTATTTAAAAATTGAAACCTGATCTTCGATATAAAACTGTTCTTGCAAGTATTCTTATCAACTAGAACTGATTTTATCGATTATTCAAATTTCCATTTTTATTCAATTATAGATAAGGAATATAATTTTCTTTTTACTTCATTATTAATTAGTGAGTTTTGTTTAATTAAATAATTTCATCATAATTATTTAATTAAATGAAAACATGACTTAATTCAATAAGTGCATAATTTTATTTAATTGATTAAATACATGACTTTATTTAATTAAATAAATACGTAATTTTTTTAAATTAAGCAATAATTTATAATTTTATTTAATTAAAGAAAATCTTTTAGCTTAATTTTAATTTTATTGACAATTATGTACTTAGTTATTTTGACAAAATTAATTTTAAGTCTAGTTTAATTTTTTGACGACATTGTTAGTGAGATATAGCTTTATTAATTCCTCTTTTGTTTTTCGTTAAAGAAAAAAACATGAAATTTTTTTCTATTAATTAATTGTACCTACGTCGGAAAAATTACGTCGACAAAAAATGTGTATATATAAAATTGTTTTAAAAGAAAGAAAATAACGATCACAATTTTCTAGAAAAAAAAGTGATAAAAGAAATGAAATCAAAATCTTGGAAAACTGTGAAATTCTAGTCAAATATTGAATAATTTCTTTGAAATTCTCAAAATGTGCAATTATCTGAAACATTTATGATACAATCAAATTTTTTCAGTAGAAACAGAAAATTAAATGCATATTAATTATTGTTTTCCGTTAAAAAATCTCTAACTTTTATGCTGGAATTTAGAAAAATTATTTATTAGTAGAAATATTTAATTTTAATCGCAGTCTTTTTGTGAAGAATTTCCAAGTTCTTTTAATTAAAATTCATTTCGACAAATATGACATTTATTAAAATCATTCTGATTTAATTTATCATTTGCTTTAATGTAAATAATTACAGTAATTTAATTTTCTCAATAATTTTACTAAATTCTCGCATTTAATATTCAAAGAGACTACAAGCGGTGATATTCGAAATGATTTTAATGTCGATGAAAATTAGTAAAAAAAAAAAATTTATATTCGTGAGAATGTTTTTATACAAGCAAAAAAAAAAAAAATGAGAGACGTTTGAATATTTTTCACAAACAAAATTTCCAATTGAACGAGATTTTTGTTGAAAACAATCCGTTTGAATATTTGATATAAACATTTTTTTTTTGTTTAGTCAATTTTGTTTTGAAAGTAAAAATAAAATTCATAAAAAGTAAAAATAAAATTCGTGAAAAGTAAAAATAAATTAGTGAATTAGTAAATAAATTAAATGTTAATAAAAAATTGTTTCTATACAAAGAAAAAATTCTATTTTTTATTTAAAAAAATTCCAAATGAAAATAATATTCAAAAGTCTCTGAAAATGACTACTTTTTCATTCCAAAATTAATTGAAAATACTTCCTAAATATTTATATAACATTTCCCATTTTATTATAAAAAGTATTGAGTAATTTTTTGGTCTACAGCAGAAATAGAATAAGCTAGCTTGGTATTGTGATAATAAATACGAATGTGGTGCGCAAAAAAAAAAAAAAAAAAAACGAGACAATTATGCAAAAAAAAGAAATATAAAATCCTAGTTTACAGACTATAATCATGTTATTGAATGTAACTGTTCCTTTATAATGGTGTATATTTGATGTAAATATTCTGTATAATTGCGCTTTAAAAAGAAAATGTGTACACGATGTATAAATTATCTCTTTCTTTATAAAGAGAGAGAAGAGAGAGAGAGAGAAAGAAAGTACGATTAAAGAAAAAAAAAAGATGAAAACAAAGTGTTAAAAATTTTTATCTCTTAACAGTTGACGATCGAATTAATATGACAGAAACGGTTTTTTTAGAAAATTTAGTTGACACATGTGATTTTATTTTTCAATTTTATTTCTGTTAACGAAGAAGAGAAGAATTTTTATTGTTTTCTTTTTTAAATTCTTTAAAAATCAGAATTAAATGTCAGTTCTCAAAGGGAAATCATGGCATGTCATGAGAAATTAAATTTCAAAAGTTTACCAAAAGAACCTCACTGTGATGGTAGAATAAATTCTCTATCGTCGTTTAAATATGCGTCGAGTGGAGAAAATTTAGTAACAAATGGAAAATTCCATGTTGGCAGTTTGCGGTAAGTTTTTTGATATTTTTTAAAATCTTTTTTTCCTTTCGTTTTAAATTTATTTTGTTTTTTAGAATTCCTGCCGATCCATCGTGGCCAAAAATTCCACAACGCCGATTACCTGATAGTTTCGGCGATATTGATCAATCAGGAGTTGTCACAGTAACTGGAACCCCAAGGAGAAGTCATTCCATTGTCAGAACACCAAATTCAGTGTAAGACGAATTTTAATACAGAAACAAAATTTTTTTTTTACTAAATTAAAATTTTTTATTTACTAAATTAAAATTTTTTATTTAATTAATTCAACTTGTCTATTTTTACTTTGCGTTTTAAAAACTTTTCTGCTTTTTTAATTGTTTTAAATCGTTCTTTATTTTGTTGTTATAAAATTCTCGAAAAGAAAAGAAAAGGAAAAATAAAATTAATAAGAAATTATTAAGAAGGGGAGATTTTTTTTTGTTAATTAATTTGTAATTTTTGTTGCAAGATCGATGAAGGGAATTTCGTCCAGGGAAAATGTTGAGTCGTCAATTTACAATTCGGGATATAGTTGTCAATCGATGCCATTGCCATTGAGAAGAAGACCCGGAAGTGTCGATCCACGTTTCAAAAAGTTTGTTTTTCTTCAGCGAAAAAATGAATAATTTTTGTCTATTCATCGTTGTCTTTTGTTTTTAGAGTCACTTCCGTCAAGAGTCAATTAAAATCGATAAAAAATGACAATAATCAGGAAACTGCAATGGAAACGACGAATTTAGTCAATGATTCTTCAAATCCAGTGAATCTTGAGAAAACAAAAGAAAATTTGCCCTCGACACTCGAGAAGGATATTAACGTGTATATTTTGTCTTCTACAATATTTTTTTAATTTACTTTTCTATTTATTTGATCTTTTCTTTTTTCTTTCTTTTTTAGTTTTTTTTTTAATTTCCTTATTTTTATGTCAAATAATTTTAATTATTATACTAATAATTTTATTTAATATGCTAATAATCTTATTTAATTATCTTAAATTTATTTTTATTATCGAAGCATTTTCTTCAACAGTGAGAAAAAAAATCAACGGGAGACAAGAAAGGCAGACGAAGAAATAAAGGAAGAGAAAAATGACATTAACAAGGAAGCATTAAAAATAGAAAAAGATCTCAGTTTCACTTTGAATTGTGAGAATCAGCAAAATGAAAAATGCCTCTTAAACAATGTAAGCCAAGAAGTTGACAAAAACATTCGTGAAACGACGACGAAAGCAAATTGTGAATTTCAAGAGGAGGGAGATAAATCTTTAGAAACTCGTCAAGAAATAAGAAAAGCAAAGGGAAATGAAACGGAAATAAAAAAAATTATTGATCTTCTTCCAGATGGTAAATATTTCTATTAATTTTTCCCCCCATTTTTTCAAAACTAAATTTTCTTTACAATTTATTTTAATATTGTATTCTTTTGAAACAGGTATTTCCCTGAAATTGACGAGTAATTCAAAGGAGAAATTGGAAAAAAATGAATCATCAAACGGAAAGACAATAGAAGAAAAGAATGAAGCAATTTGTTTTTGTAGGACAAAATCAAAAAGCAAATCGACAATCCCCTGTGAAAAATGTTTAGAGAAAATTGAATCAAACTACTCGGAATCAATGTCAAACGATGAGCATTATAGAATTCGTTGTAAGGAACATAATATGGACGATAAGGAAAGTTTTTTTCCAGCGACAACTGATTCTGAATTAATAGACAACGAGGCAATGTTGATGCAATTAAATAGAAAAAAGAAATTTCGGAATTATTACAATTCGGAGAGTAATTCAGCGAAAGATTACGAATTAATTGACTATTTTCAAACGCATGGGGATTTTTATAAATATCGACAGTCAATCGATTTTTCCGATCTTGATGAGAAACGGGGGAAATTCATCATTGACAATCCAAATTTAAAGAGTAAAATAAAATCCGAACAAAATTTAAGTCACGGCGTTTGGCAAAATTTCCGTAATTCCGAGCCAGTAATTTCTCAAAATCAACGTCGATGCGCAACATCGTATTCAAAGAAGAAAAGTGATTGTTCACATGGAAAAGATGAAATGACAGATTCGGAATTTGGATTTCTTTGGACTGAACAACATCGAACGAGACGAAAATCAAGTCATGGTTATTCAAAGAAATTAATTGACGAACGAAGAATAAGATCCTGTGATTTTGAGAGAAGAAATATTTCACCACGTTTACAAAAAAAGGACAATCATTCTTTGGATATTTATCAAAATTCTGAGGGATTTATGGGAAAGTTTAATAATAATAATAATACTACTAGTAATAGTCAAAAATTCTATCAAGATGTGAATAATGTAAAATCGATTGATTCGAATAATCAGGAAGTGAATTCACCGCGAACAGAAACTGATATTGTTTCGGAAAAACCAAAGAGAATACCATATAAAACACAGAAGCTTCTCAGTAAAAGTTATTGGGAATATTATCGAAAATTGAATAAAAATAAATTGAATGAAAATTCTCAGGAGGAATGCTTTAATCAAGATGGAATTAATAAGAAACGGGGGAATTTGACAATTTATGAGGAACAATCGGAATTAAGTCCTCCGGAAATTCGTACGCTAAAGAGATGCTCCGTGCTGTCGAGTATGATTAATGAAAAATTGTAAGTTTTTAGTTTTTATTTTCAAATATTTATTTAAATTTTTGAATAATTTGAGATTTTAAATTAAAGAAATTTAATTATTAACTAATTTACTAATTAATTTGAATTATTTATTGTTTTCAAAAACTTTAATAAAATTCTTCGCAGGAATTCAATTATTTTTCATGCAATTTCAAAAGAATTTCTCAAAAGAATTCAATTTTTTGCAATACAATTTCAATAAAATTTCTCAAAAGAATTAAATTATTTTGAAAATTTTGATTAAATTCTTTATGAGATTTAAAATATTTTCATTTCAAAAATTTTAATTAAATTCTTAACATTTCAATTACTTTCATAATTTAAAATTTTTTTGCAATTATTTAATTGTGTTGAAGAATTTTTATAAAATTCTTCGCAAAAATTCAATTATGTATGTATTTTGAAAAATTTTGATTAAATTCTTTATGAGAATTAAAATATTTTCAAAACAATATTTTAATTAAATTCCTCGTAAAAATTCAATTATTTTCAAAAATTTTAATTAAATTCTTAACAAGATTTTCATTATTCTCATAATTTAAAATTAATTTGCAATAATTTAATTGTGTTATATAGAATTTTAATAAAATTCTTCGCATAAATTCAATTAATTTGAAAAATTTTGATTAAATTCTTTATGAGAATTCAAATATTTTCAATACAATTTTAATTAAATTCCTCGCAAAAATTCAATTATTTTCGGAAATTTTAATGAAATTCATAATAAGATTTTAATTATTTTCATAATTTAAACATTTTTTTGCAATAATTTAATTGTGTTAAAGAATTTTAAATTTTAATAAAATTTTAATAAAATTCTTCGCAAACATTCAATTATATATTTTTTTGAATTTTTGATTAAATCCTTAATGAGAATTAAAATATTTTCAATACTATTTTAATTAAATTCCTCGCAAAAAATCAATTATTTTCGAAAATTTTAATTAAATTCTTAACAAGATTTTAATTATTCTCATAATTTAAAAATTTTTTGCAATTTGAAAAATTTTGATTAAATTGTTTATGAGAATTGAAATATTTTCAATACAATTTTAATTAAATTTCTCGCAAAAATTCAATTATTTTCGAAAATTTCTAATTAAATTCTTAACAAGATTTTAATTATTCTCATAATTTAAAATTTGTTTGCGATAATAATAATAAATAAATAATAAATAATTTTGAAAAATTCCAATAAATTTCTTTATAAGAAAAAAATTTAATAAAAACTTTGAAAAACTTTCATTCTTTTGCTAATTAATAAAATTCTTCGCAGGAAATTTAATATTTTGGAAAATTTGGATAAATTTCTTTATAAGAATTCAAGTATTCCAGATTCAAAATTATAAGTGAAATATTTTTAATTGAAAAAAATTTAGTTTAATTAATTTTTGGTATTTATTATCATTAATATTTTGTTGTTGTTTTTTTATTATCATTTGTTTAATTTTTTTGTTTTAATTATTTGAAATTGTAATTTGAATTCAATTGAATTGGAATTTAAAATAGAATTTATTTATTAACTTTTCTAATTGAATTAAATTAAATTGAAATTAATTGGAATTCAAAATTAAATTTATATTTATCTGAATTAAATTGAAATTCAAAATGAAATATTTATATTTATATATTTTTTTAATTGAATTGAATTGGAATTCAAAATGAAATATTTATATTTTTCCTAATTGAATTGAATATTGAATTAGAATTCAAAATAGAATTTATATTTATTTTTTTAATTTCTCTAATTTATGGCTTTTTTCACAGGGATTCGGATTCACAACAAATTTTGTCTTCGAAACGGCCTTCAGCGAATAGCGTCAAATTGTTAGAAGATAATGAACGCGCAGATGACTTTTTTGCTAATCAAGTCGAATCCGTGATGCCTATGAGAACAAATGATGGATCCAGTGTTTCCTCGAGATCAGACAATAGACGGAAAAAATCACAAGTTGATATTAAACTCATTAAACTCAAAACCATTGGTGAGAATTTCATTCATCGATCACGCAGTTAAATAGTTAATTAATAATTAATAAGGTCGACAACTTCTTTTTAGTGTCGAATTCATATAATTAATTACAATTCGTTTTTAATATTATTATTATTTATATTTTTATTGATTTTTGTTTTTAATTTTTCTTTTTAATTTTAATTAATTACACTTCGTTATTAATATTATTTTATTATTATTTTTCATTTTTATTTTAATTAATTATTACAATTACTATCATAATTATTATTTTATTACATTAATGACTAATAATTTATTTGATTAATATACAATAGAAATAATTTTCTTTTTCTTAAGTTTGTGAATAAAAAAATTAAATATTAATTTATTTTTCAGCCTTCTTTGGAGTTCTAATGTACCTTATAATCATATTTCTTCCGATGTTGTACGACCACATTTTCCATGAAGATTACGACGAGTACGCTGATTTGACTTACATTGAATTGGCTGTCGATTATGTAATGTCCTCTTATCGTGAAGCATTCAATGGAATTATAGAGTTTGTTAATAGAATACTTTATCGTCCGGTAAGTGTTTTTATAGTAAATTAAATTAATTTCCTTAATTTTAATTTAATACATTCTTAATTTTCAATTTGAACGGATTTATTAATCCCTAGGTAACTAATTTAAAATTAATTAAAATTTATTTTAATTTAAAATTAATTAAAATTTATTTTAATTTAAAATTAATTAAATCTAAATCAAATTAAAATCTAAATATGTAATATTTAATTGTTAATTTCATTTAATCTTCTTGATTTTAAATAATTTATTGTTTAAATTTTGCACAACTTTTTTTTTATTTTTCTTTTAATTTTAAGAAAAATTTGATTGATTCAGATGACACTGAACTGTTTGTAGTTCTTTATGATTTTCAGCTCACATGTAAAAGGTGTAACGGGATTGTTTAAATTTATAATAGGCATCATTCTTCCCTTTCGTTCATAGAAATAATATTTTTAATTTGATATCCCTTATACTCGATATTTTTATGCTAGACGCAGATTTACTCTTGTTATTATTTGCAAAGTATTTGTATTTCCGTTATTTGTAATTAAAACAGCAAATTTTTACATTTTACAGGTTTTTTTTATCAATTATTAATTAATCGAGCAGTGACAAGGCAATTTTCTTTCTCTTTTTTTTTAATTACAATCATTACAATTTCGTTTTTTTATTGAACAAGAATAATTTTATTAAAATACCAATGGAAATAAATTTAATTATAACAATTAGAGATCAAATTTAAATCAATTTAGAAAAATTATTTTAATGATTAATTTAAAATTTTTATTTTCGAATTAATTTAATAATAATTTTCATTACTTAATTTATTATTTGAAAACAATGAAATAAAAAATTTATTATTTTTTATTTAAAAGTAATTAAAGTTTCATTACTTAATTTATCATTTGAAAAATATAAAATCAAATATTTATTATTTAAAAAATAATTTTAAAAATTTTTATTTGATATTAATTTATTATTTTAAATTAATTATTTGGTATTAATTTTTTACTTAAAAGTAATTAATTATTAGATATTATTTTTTTCATTTAAAATTAATTTTTTTATTGCTTTTTAATTCAATGTAAATTAAAAACATGTTTCCTTGAAAAAATCTCTCGTAAAGTTCAGTGCATAAAAATACATTGTATACATTTTTATTTTGCCAACGATAAACAATGAATATCTCTCAAAGAGAAAAATAGTATTGTAATTCTATACCTTTAGAGATAATAATATTTTATTTGAAAGATATCTTATTATACATTTTTATACTTTATTTACAGAATCTAAAAATAGATTCAATTTACATTTTTTTTTTAAATTTATTTTTAATAAACGTGATGAAATTAAATTTTTATTTACGTATTTATTAAAAAAATCAAAAAAATTAATTACTTCATTAATCAAAATTAAATAAATAATTAAAATATTATTCAGAATAATTTTATAATTAAAATTATAAATTTTTTAAATTCAATAAGTGAAATAATTTTTTTTTATTATTCACTGACAGTTTTTTTTATATAAATAAATTAAAGAAATCTTTTTTGAAAAATTATTTTTAAACATTTTACTATTTTTCCTTTATTATAAATTTATAATTAACGATTGATTTTTACAATTTATAACATCGAGTAATAAATAAATTTACAAAAAATAGATATTTCGAGTTATTACTGTTTTTTAGTCATAATTATATTTATAATAAAATTACAATTTTGACATTGATTTAAATTTTCGAAAAAAAACGTGGCGTTATTTCCCGCCAACATTGATACCACTACCAGAATATTATAAGGAAATAAAAGTTTGAATCTATTTCTTTTTTTGGAATAGAGTATTTTCTGTTATTTTAAAAATAAGGGAATAAATATTTTAAAGATAATATTCGTTAATCGTTTAATTGATTTAAATTCCTTTGGTGTAAAAATTAAAAGTTAGGATTGACCTTCAACGTCTTCAACGGATTTTAGGGATTTTAATTGCTTTTAATTACTTTGGAAAAATGTAGAGGGCCTAGTGTTTAACGATTGGCAACATTGTTAAAAATGTCAACTTCGCGGTACTTCGCGCACGTTACTCTCGGTCATTTCGTCCTGTGAAGTGTCAGAAGAAACATTGGAGCAATTTTCTTTAAAAGTCTGCCACGTGCTATAATAGAAAAGAAAGAAAATCTCAAAATACACAAAGAAAAAATATTGAATATAATCAATAATTGATTTTAATCTACTCGTTAAATTACTTTTTTCTTAAATTAGAGTAGAAAAATTTTGTAAAATGGCAGACTATGTTATTGGTAACGCAAGGCCAGCCGATGTTCCGGTTCCTGATGATGGTCTTTCGGCAGCTCAATTATTTTCCAACGGAGAAGGATTGACTTATAATGATTTTATTATTCTTCCCGGCTACATTGATTTCACTGCTGACGAAGTGGATCTTCATACAAATTTGACCCGAGACATTGTCCTTAAAGCACCATTGGTATCCTCGCCGATGGACACTGTCACTGAATCCGATATGGCCATCGCAATTGCTCTTTGTGGAGGAATTGGAATTATTCATAGTAATTGTACAGTTGAATATCAGGCCAATGAAGTTCACAAGGTATAACTTTTATTTTCTTCTTTTTTTATCTAAAAAATAAAACTTTTCATAGGTTACATTCATTTTGGAGCAGATTTGATCTTTTTTTTACAACGTTTACAACTTTGTCACATTTATCTTGTGTAAATATTTGTTTTTTTTTATATTTTATTTCTAATTATAAAGAGTCATTGATTGGTGAATTAAACTTTGAGGTCTTAAAGCGAGAAATTTTTTCATTAAATCAAAAATGAGAATTATAACTCGATTTTAAGGTTATGAATTACGAATGTTTATATTTTTTGTTACTTTACATTTTTTTCCTTTAATTTTCAATCTGAGAATTATCGATAATTATTTATATTATATTGTTTATTTTAAGTTTCTATTTTTTCAGTATTTTTAGAATATTTCTATTTTTCTCAGATTTTATTTTTTTAATTATATTATTTTCGAATTTCAGTTTTTAATTAATTTTTACGTTGAAGTGAACGAAGTAAATTTAATCAAGCGAATAATAATTATTTTTATTTCAATAAATAGAATTTTCAGTAATTATTCAAATTAAATTGTTTATTTTAAGTTTCTATTTTTCCAATATATTTTTATTTCTACTTTTCTCAGATTTAATTTTTTAATTTTCTTTTTTAATTTAATTTTTTAATTTTATATTTATTTAATTTTCTAATTTTATTTTAAAATTAAAGTAAATAGGTAAATTAAATTAAACAGCTAATAATTTTTATTTAATACAAGTAAATTTGTTTTTAGTTTCTTTATTAATCAGTTTTTTATTCGTAAAGAAAAATAAATTGAAAAATAAAATGCGCAACATGAAAAAGTAAATAGTGAAATGAAAAAAAATTGTACGTTTGTAATTCATATCAGATTTATTTTCCATGACCTAATTTAATTATTTCAATCCGTAACTGATTTAATATTGATTTTCAAAAGCTTTTCACCTTAAGAAGACCTTTAATCAGAGATCAATTCTTTCCACAAAGTTTGTAAGTGAAAATATATATTTTTTTCTCACTAGTTTGTTAATAAATTAAATTGATTGTAGAAATATTGATTCTTTCTTTGATTATTTTTAAAAATTTGTTTTTGACAATATTTAAACTTTACAGAATATGAAATTGAATTTATTTAAAAATTCAATTATTTTCCAAATTTTAAATAAAACTCTTTCAAAACATTTAATTATTTTCAATTATTCTTCGAAACAATTCAATTATTCTTATAAATAATATCATTCTTTGGAAGAATTCAATTATTTTTATGAATAGTAAATAATAGTAAATTTTTTAAAATTTCAATTTTAAATGAATTTAATTAGAAATATAAAAAAACTTAGATTTAAAAAAAAATTTTAAAACTAAAATTCTTCCAAAATTAGTTAAATTTTTTAATATATATTTAATTGATTATTAAATATAATAGTTTTATAGAAGTATTTTTGTTAAAAACACCAAAACAAACTGAATTTTGAAGCAATTACAAATGATTGCAGAAATCCAATTATTTTCAAAAGTAGTAAAATTCTTGACAAAATTTTAATTGTTTTCAAAAACTTTCCTCAATTCAATGATTTTTAATATCTACAACTTTAATAAAAATTCCTAAAAGCATTCAATTAGTTAAAAAAAATTTTAATAAAATTCTACGCAAACATTTAATTATTTTCATAAAATAATAAAAATTTCACAGGAATTCAATTATTTACAAATTATTTTTATATATTATTCAATTATTTTTATAAATAATAACATTTTTTACAGGGATTCAATTATTTTCATAAATAATGAAACTCAATGCTGAATTTCAATTATTTTTAATACTACAATTTTAATCGAATTTTTCGAAAAATGCAATTATTCCTAAAAATTCTATTAAAAGTTATTAAAGAAATTTAATTATTTTAATAACCTGTAAAAGTCAGGGAATTTGAAAAGAGCAAAAACGTGGCAACCCTGATTATTGATTTTTTTTTTATTTGAATTTAACAATTAAAATTTTTGTTCTTAGGTGAAAAAATACAAGCACGGCTTTATTCGGGATCCAGTGGTGCTCTCGCCAAATCACACAGTGAACGACGTGAAGAAAGTAAAGGCACAAAATGGATTTTGCGGTGTGCCAATAACTGAGAATGGAAAAATTGGCGGCAAACTCCTTGGAATAGTGACATCGCGTGACATTGATTTTCTCGAGACAATAAGTCAAAATAACATGAAACTCGAGTCGGTGATGACGAATCTCGAAAATCTTGTGACAGCAAAATCAGGTGTTTCACTGCCCGAGGCAAATATGATTCTCGAAAAATCGAAAAAGGGAAAATTGCCAATTATCAATGACAAAGGTGAATTAATCTCTCTAATGGCAAGAACCGATTTGAAGAAGAATCGCAGCTATCCGAATGCGAGTAAAGACAGTAATAAGCAACTTTTAGTTGGCGCCGCTATTGGTACACGTGAACAGGACAAAGAGAGACTTGAACAATTGGCGAATGCCGGCGTTGATGTTATTGTTCTCGATTCATCGCAAGGAAATTCGAAATTTCAAATTTCAATGATACGATTCATTAAATCGACATATCCACAATTGCAAGTGATTGGGGGTAATGTTGTGACAACGAGACAGGCGAAAAATTTGATTGAAGCCGGTGTCGATGGATTGAGAGTTGGCATGGGCTCGGGATCAATTTGCATCACTCAGGAGGTGATGGCCGTTGGACGTCCTCAGGCAACGGCTGTTTATAAAGTCGCAGAGTACGCGAGAAAATTCGGTGTTCCCGTGATTGCCGACGGTGGAATACAATCGATTGGTCATATTATCAAGGGTTTGAGTTTGGGTGCAAGTACCGTGATGATGGGTTCACTTCTTGCTGGAACATCGGAGGCGCCTGGTGAATATTTCTTCAGTGATGGCGTGCGATTGAAGAAGTATCGGGGAATGGGATCAATTGAGGCAATGGACAGAAAGGACGCAAATGGCACGGCGATGGATCGTTATTTTCACAATGAACAGGATAAATTCAAGGTCGCGCAGGGCGTTAGCGGTTCAATAGTCGATAAAGGTTCTGTTTTTAAATTTATACCTTATCTTCAATGTGGAATAAAGCATGGATGTCAGGATATTGGAGCTAAATCAATATCATCATTGAGATCAATGATGTACAGCGGTGAATTGAAATTTGAAAAGAGATCATCGTCCGCACAGCAGGAGGGAAATGTTCATAGTTTATTCTCGTATGAAAAGAGATTATATTAATTAACAATTTTTTTTTTCTCGAGATTAAGGGAGTATCTGCATTATATTGCAATTTACTTGTTTTGAAAAAACGGGCGAATTACAAAATCCAAAATATTTCTTGAATAGAATAATCTATAGATTAGAAAATAACTTTGACAATTTGTACAAACTTTTTTTTGTAATTTTTGTTAAATTTTTTCTCCAGATTTTCTCTTTTTTTCTTAATTATTGGATTTTTTTTTGTAATATTGAATTTTGATCGTTTATGAAGAAAGTTTTATTTCTATTTAACGTCTTAAAGTTTTGGAAACTTTTTTGTTTTGTTTTTAATGACGAACTGTTACAGACTAAAATTTAGTCTCATCGGAGAGAGTAGAATAACAGTTAGATAAATGTTTTAAGTGACAATGAGGGAGAAGGGATTTTTCTTTTACAAAAATTCCTTCCTTTTACTGCGATAGAAAAAATGTCTTTGTCTTTATATGTCTGTATGTACTTATGTAAAGCTACCAATGAACCTGAAATATTTCTACACATTATCGAATAACAATATTAAGTTAGGAGATTTAATAGTTTTTTCCTTGGAGTCTTTTTTCTTTGATGATCGAAAGCAATTAAATTATGATAGAATTGATTTATTTTAAATTAAAGAGAATTTATTTTTGAAAAATTATTCGATTGAAATTAATAATTAACTGAATTATCAGAGACAAAAATACTGTCAGTCAATCATGCCAAATTATGGGAACAGTTTTTTTTTCTTTTTTCTTTTATAATGTTACCTCCATTTTTTGCATTTTGTCTTTTACTATACATCCTGAATTTATTGCTTAATTAATCGTTGAGTGATAAATAAAAAAGTAAATAATCAAATTCTCACTTTTTATCGAGGATTGGAAATAAGTTTTATTATTAATTTGTGAGTGTCCTTTTTATGAATGACAAATGTGAAGATTTTCAAATATTGTTTTATAATATTCTGAGAAGAAAAAATGTTTTACAAGAAAAAGAAATAGTTATCTAGAGAAAATATATTTAATACATTTAACCAGTGAAGAATTTCCACTAAGAATATAGTTATTAATGGCATTTTATTATTTTTCTAAATACAACTTTTTAAAGTAGTATAATTTACTTTACCGAAATGAATTTGATTGTTTTTATTCGAATATCCTGTAGTTTATATTTCAATTAACTTTTTAATAATTAAATTATATTTTTTATCTATTTCAACATTGCAAGGGTTTTTCCTTTAAAGTGCCATTATTAAATTTTAAGTTGGATGTTGAATGCTCGATCTTCGTTGGAGTTGAATTTTTGTAAATTTATTGAATGAATGGCAAGTTTATAATTTTTACTATAATCTTAACATTGTCTACGATGTGTAAATTTTAAAAAATATATTATACATATTTCATCCAATATACATATATTTTTTACAGACAAAATGATATAATGTCAAAGAAAAACATTTAGAATAAAATTGTTCTTGGTGTTTTATCAAACTTTGTTTTTTTTTTTATTAAATCTCTACTAATTGTTTTTTTTCCTTTATTATATGTTTTTGAAGATGAATCTTTATTTCGGACAATGACTCCATAATTAGGTAAATTGTCAAAATTTACTTATTAAACTTCGTATTCATCAACTAAAACCTAGTATTTACTACTTGTTTTTACAAGTTATTGAAATGAAAAAATTTTAATAAAATTCTTTCAAATGTTTGAATTGTTAAAATTTTCAATTATTTTCAATATATCTATTATTTTAATTTATAAAAATTTCCCAAAAAGATTTCAATTATTTAAAATAAATTTTTTTTATATTCTTTGCAAACATTCAATTATTTTCATAAATAATAAAATTTACACAAGAATTCAATTATTTAAAAAAATTTAATAAAGTACTTAGCAAGAATTCAATTATTTCCATAATTATAATAAAACTCATCGCAGGATTTCAATTACTTTTAATACAACTTTAAATAAATTTCTCGAAAAATGCAATAATTCTTACAAATTTTATTAAAATTTCTCGAAAGAATTAAATTATTTTCAAAAAATTTTGATAAATTTGTTTATTAGAATTTACTTATTATCAATACATTGTTATTTTTATTTCTTAAAAGAATTTAATTTTATTTTCAAAAATTTTAATGAAATTCTTCGTAACAATTCAATTATTTTCAAAATTTTTTTATAAAATTCTTCGTAAAAATTTAATTAATTTCACAAATTTGGCGGGATTGAATTATTTTCAGTATCTACTATTTCAATAAAAATCCCAAAAAGAATTCAATTATTAAAAAAAATTTAATAAAATTCGTCGCAAGAATTCAATTATTTTCATAAGTTACAAAATTCTTCGAAAAAAAATTGATCTTCAATTAATTCCAATACAATTTAGATAACATTTCTTGATGGAATTTAATTTTTTTTAAATTTTTACAAAATTTGTTGATAGTAGAATTCATTAATTTTTAAATGTTGTGATAAACTCTGTAAAAAATTCAATTATTTTCGGTACAATTTTAATTAAATTCCTCGTACGAACTAAAATTTTCTTCTTAACAACTGAATTTTTTTTTTACAAATTTTATCTATTATTTTCATAAATAAGAAAATTTTGACAGGATTTCAATCATTTAATTAATTCAATTTAATTTCAATTATTTTTAAAACAATTTTAAATGAATTCTTCGAAAAATGTAATTATTCTTGAAAATTTTATTAAAATTCTCAGAAAGAATTCAATTATTTAAAATACCTATTTAAAATAATTTTGATAAAATTCTTAACAAAAATTCAATTTTAATAAATATTCAATTATTCAATAAATTATTTATTTTTATTTTTAAATAATTGAATTCTCGTAAAGCTTTTTTGTACTTTTGTACAAATTAAATACTTGGAAGGAGGGGAATTTTTTTGCAGACATTTCATAATATTTTTCCCTAAGTTATATTAGGATTATATTCAATATAAATAAATATTGAAAAAGTAATATTTTCTGGTTAATAATTTGTTTTCCTTTCTCGAAATTGATTTGAAATTTTACAACCGGATGAAGAAAATAATAAAAAATTAATTAAAGTCAATACAATGTATAACAAATAACTTATGACGATAGTAGACAATACGACGCCTTGATTATTAAACTAATTATATTGATAGCTATCGACGCGGTGTTCCTTTGTGGGAAGAAGTAGAGTGACAGTTTATCGACACACAACAACGATATAAAACGAAACTCATGGAATCTCGATAGAATGAGCCGGTCAACGTGCGTAAAAAAGTCACGAATCGAACGATCGCGAAGGACGACGCACTACAATCAAAAGAACGCGAAACGTGCAGGAACACACGTCTCACACGAGGAGAAAAAAGAAAGAAAAAATTACAGAAATTTATTTTCTTTTAGGAAAAAAATTTAAAAAAAGAACCAATTTAAAAAAAAATAACGATTTCATCGGGTGGAATTTCCAATACTCTTTTTTGAAAAAAAATAAGTATGGGTTCTTCTTTTTAGTTCGGGTTGGTTTTTAAAGATGAACACAAAAGAAAGTCTGCTAAGAGGATCCTCTTCTTCTTCTCTTGAGATTTTTATTCCTCTTCTTCTTCACCATCTACAAAGAAAAATAATAATTAAGCAAATAAAACAAAGTGACTAAGGAATTATTGCGAAATTGCAAAATTAATAAATAACCAAAGAATGTAAAGAAGAAAAAAAATAATAACAGAAAATATCGAAAAATAAGAAAAGAAAATTGAAAACGCAAAATAATGTAATTCTATTCTATTGTTTTCTCAGTTTTTGTTTTCCTCTCTACACATTCTATATACGGGAAAAAAAATTCTACCGCATAAAGAAAAGGTTTTGTGGGAACCCCACAAGAACCAATTTATTTCTTCCAGACATTTTTACGACGAGAATATATATGAATCATAAAGTGGGCAAATTTTTTTCTTTTTTTTTCTACATTTAAGATGACTCGATTAATTTCAAAACTCACGCCAGACATCTGAACAATTTTTTCTGGCACCCATAAAATATTTCATTTTTTTTTTTTTGTTTTATTAACTTTAGATTGAAAAGAATATGTCAAGTTTTAGAAGCAATATCTAACTCGTGATAAATAATAATTTCAACAGGATTAAAAGATCGGGTTCTCTTTTTTTTCCCAACGATAAGTATGCATCCTAGAAGATAAATAATAAAGATTAATGAATGCGAATGAACCACTAAATAAAAAATATAATCAGACAGATAAGTTGCGGTTGATGGAGAAAAAAAATTACATTTTAAAAGAAGTGTCTAAACTTGTTTCTCTTAATATCAATTTTAATAATTTTGACCAAAATTTGGATAATCGAACTGAATAGAAATAGAATTTGAAAAAAGAGAAAGAAATTTATCCTTTTGTGAATTATTTCAACATTATGATTGTAAATAATGACATAATTTTTTTGTTTATAAATTCTATTTTTTCTGTTTAAAAAAATACTTGGTATTCATAATCTGTATCTCACGTAATCGCAATAAAATTGTTTATTACTAGATAAAAGGAGGAATTTTATACATTACGAGTACAATGACTTTTAGTTGATAAATTAAAATTCAGAAAATGACATTATAATTGACTGGAAAAAAAATTATTTAGCAATTTATTAATGTTGTTGATGTGTTCTACTCTTTTTCGCATAAAATTAAAATATACTAATCCAAAATGAGATGGTAAGATTTTTATCGTGACCTTGACACTTTCGAGTTCTCGCAAACTTATATAATTTACTCTCAAAACTTCAATTTTAATACTTTTTTTTAATTTTAAAGTACATTTCAACAATTTTTTTTTAAATATTTGTCTTCTGTGATGCAACGCAGATTAGAAAAGATTTTTTTTCTAAAGCAATAACTTAAAGTTAAACATTATTTTTTAAAGTTCATACAAAACCTTTCAAAACCTTTTAATTCAACCTTAACATAATATTAAATTAGTTTAATTTTTATGCATTTTCTACATTTATTTTTATTTTCAATTGTTTTTTCTACTGTATGATTTTTTAATTAATTAATTTTTAAAAATAGAAATTAAGATAAATTTCCGCCTTTTTTGTAATAAATACCAGAAATAAAAGGCGGAAATTTATCTTAATGACAGGGGAAAAAAATTTCCTTTGAATTTAAACTTTTTCTGATAGGAAGAAGAAAATGGAAAATAAATTTTTGTTTATCACGAGTAAATGTTAAAATGTTTTTTTAATTTAAGTTCAACAACATTAGACAAATCTCATCGGGATGCAGTGTGAGTCTTTAGATTTCAATTAAAATAAGCAACATGACTCGTTTGACGTTTAAATCGAGAAGGTTGTTTCATTTGCTCATTGACTTTCATGCATTGATAATGATTTTCATTTCTTCTTCGATAATTTCAAATGGTTCCTATATAAATTCACGCGAATAATTCTTCAATTACTTTATTAATTCTACAATTTAGAATTCAATTCACCTATGATTTGAATTAATTCAACATTTTATCATTAGATAATGATAAAATTAATTTTTGACAATGTCGAAACGAAATACATTTTGCCTTTTAATTTCGCATTTCACAAACTGCTCCTGAATTTTTATTATTTATCGCGAATTCTTTTTTCACAATTTTTATATTCTCATCACATGAAAAACTATACCAACGATATTATACAATTCGAAAAAACAAATAAATAAATAAAAGCAAATTTTGTAATAAAAATTGTTTCTTTACAAAACAAACAAACAAAAAATGAATATGAAATAATTTTTAATTAATAAATAAAAAATTTAAAGTACAGAATAATTAAAATTTGATTTTTAATTTTCGTTTCAATTTTTAATTTAAATATTAATTTTGAAGGTTTTATTGAGTTTTATTAATTTGTCGCAAATATTTCATTCTTTAATTTTTCGATTAAAAATTGTCCAATTTCGCTAGTTGATAAAAATTTAAATAATTTCACTCGTGTATTATTAAAAGATGACCTTTTCTCTCAATCGAAAATTTGCACACAAAGCAGATTGAATCACAATTTTGAATTAAAACGATATCATTAGAGTCATTTAAATTGCCGAGAAAAAAAAAATTCTTACCGACTTTGAAAGACGATTTTTCCCCTTTTTAAAAAACCGTAAATCATTCTTCAAGTTTACAATTCCGGAACCATGTCCTTCTTCCAAATTTGAACAATCCAAAGTCTTCTTCCTTGAATCCTGAAAAAAAATATTCTCAATGTAAATATTAACGTAAAAGGAGAATCGAATATTTAAATTTCAATTTTTGTTATTAATATAAAAAAAGAAAAAGAAACTTGAATGTCCTTTTCTGATCTTTGTAGTTTGACACTTTATCAATCATCACTATTGGGTAATTTTGACATTTCAACTTTAATTGACATATTGACATGTAAACTATTTATTCAAGAATTACTTTTTACGGAATCAATACAACTTTTTTTTTCTAGTACCAAAGAAAAAAGAGTTTAAAGATCATTGACCTAGAGGATAAATAAATAAAGGCGAAGAAGAAGAAAAAGAAATGAAGAACTATTAAAAAATTTTCAGAAATTTCTTAAGAGAAAAGAAATAAAAATATTTTTTTTAAATTGTCAGAAGAAATGTAAAGAAATGAATTTGAAAAAAATAGAAAGGTTTTGATTTGTAAAATTTGATTCTAATGCCTTGTTGTCTAGGTCAAGGATATGGGAGAAAGATGTCAAGGTCAGCCGAAAAGAATTATAATCAGTAAAAGTGATTGTAAAAATACATGTAGTTGGCGGAAATATTTGGAAATCTCTATTAGATGAAATAGATTTCGTAATTTTATTTCTCCTGAGAGCATGTTACTTTATATTAATAATTGAAAATAATAGAAAAAAATAGAAAATTATTTCTAAAAAATTTATTTACGGGAATATCGACTCGTGAGTAATTTGAATCAATTTTATTAATTCATATCTATTTATTATATTTACTGTAAGTTATGAGGTAATAAATATATTTTTTTTTTTTTGAAAGTGAATCTAGAGTCAATGACGCACGTGAGAAGTTCCGTTAAAAAATCATTTTGTCCCGATCATCAGAATTCAATTGTTCCTTTTGCGATTAAATTTTAAAAACTATTTATTTATTTATTTACCAATTTAAACGGACTGACAAAAATTTAATTTTTTTTAAATGTAATTTATATTTTAATTAACAAAATAGGTAAATTAATTCTACGCCATGAAAGTCTACGTATTATAATTAAATAAAATATAATTTAATTATTTTTTTTAAATTCGTCACCGATTAATTCTACGAAATTTAATTCGACGCATGAGAAAATATATTTTTTATTATTCTTCAAGAATATTATTAACTCTACGTCGTTAAAATCAACACCAGATAATTCTACGGAAATAAATGCATTTTAAAAAATAGATTTTTTAAAAAATTCTCTACAAATAAATTCTATACAGAAGAAAAAATATATTTTTTTAATCGCTACCGAACTCGTAAAAAATATTAATTCTGTTACTCTAAAAAGAAAATTGGAAAAAATATTTTCCAAATCTGTTCAATTTTTTTATGATAATTTTTTCAACTCATTCAATTTTATTAAAATCTTTAACAAAAATTGAAAACTGCTTCAAAGAATTTTATTAAAAATTTGTAAAATAATAAAATTCTTTCGAGGAGTTTTAATAAAATTTTTAAAAAAAGCAAAAATTCTTTGACAGAATTCTATCAAGAAATTTTTGTTAAAACTGTATTAAAAATAATTGAATTTATCCGAAAAATATAATAACTTATCCAAATAATTAAAATTTTGCGACGAATTCTATTAAAATTCTCCAAAATAATTGAATTGTTTCAAAGAATTACATTAAAATTGTTGAAAATAATTAAATTTTTGCAAAAAAAAAAAAATTTATACAGGCTGAAAATAAATAAACTCTAATATGCAAATTTTATTAAAAATTTTTGAAAATAATTGACTTCTTTGGAGAAATTTCACTAAAATTGTTTAAAAAATAATTGAATTCTAGCAAAGAATTTTGTTATTTATTAAAGTAATTAAATTCTTGCCAAGAGTTTTATTAAAATTTGTGAAAATAATTTTAATTGCTTCGAAGAAAATTAAAATTCTTTTCAGGAATTAAAATAAAAATTGTGTTGAAAATAATGTAATTCTTCCAACGAATTTTATTATTTATGAAAATAATTAAATTCTTGCCAAGAATTTTATAAAATTTTATGAAAATATTTGAATTGTTTTGAAAAATTGTAATAAAATTTTCAAAAATAATTGAATTCTTTGGAGAAATTTTACTAAAATTGTTTTTAAAATAATTGAATTCTAGGGACAAATTTTATTATTTATAAAAATAATTGAATTTCCGTGAAGATTTTTATTAAAAGCAAAGCAATTGAATTTTTTTAAAGAATTAAAATTGATTATTAATTTTAAATTAAATTAGAATTGATTAAACTTAAACAATTTTTTTTTTTTTGCTTAATTTTAATTGATTTAATAAAAGAAGAGTACTAAGTAGTGTTAAATAACATTATTTAATTATCACTTTTTTATTACTTTTAATTTCATCATTTATGAGTCTTAAAAATTTCGTCGATATTAAGATTCGAGATAAAATACTGCAGATCTTATTTTGTAAAGGGTTTTCAATATTTCGCTTCCTTAATTTTTAGATAAAAAACCAGTTTTCTCATTTCTCATCCCTTAAAACATAACGTATTGAATAAAGAAAAGGCTATTGACTCCCTAACCGGTTTTTTGCAGCTAATTTCAGACAGACTAATGGAAACTAATTTTTTGGTGCATTCCATTTATAAATAAAAATATTACATTCGATTTCTATTTCCTGATAATATTTTCTCACAATTTTTGTATCTTTTTTTTCTTCTCTTCTCCTGTTTTGCGAGAGCATTGTACTTTATTGTACAGAATAATATTAAATTCAGAAATAGGAATAAAATGTAAATTTGGAAGTTTTAGTCCGTTAGTCAAGATAACGGGAAAACATTTTTTTTTGGGGTTCATTTAAAAAAAAATTAAGGAAAACGTAAATATAAAAGATCTAGAGGTGTAAATCATTTTTTTTCCTCTAAAATATGTGATTTTTTTTAACTTTTAAAAAAATTCAGTCCGTTTTGGGACAAATTTTTCGTTTGATGAATGAAAAAATTGAACTAATGAATTTTCTGTGAGAATCTGATTAAAATTATTACCTTGTAATAAATCCGAAAATCGTGATGAATTTTTTTTTCGAATTCGAAAGAATTCTTCATTTTAAAATGTGATGTTAATGTAATAAATTATTAAATTTTTAATCGAGATTATGGAGAGGGTATTGCGGATTTCCCCTTCCGAATCATCAACTGTGATGTGAAGACAGGTGCCGTGAGTGGGTTTTCGAGGCATTCTGTTTTGTCGCTCGTTAAACGTGCTTTCAAATAGACACCCGTGAACTTCGTCAAGAAGGAGTTGCAGCAAAATTTTTTCCAAAACTTGAATGACTTGACTCACCGTCAGCAATTCATTTATCGCTCGTCAATATATTCACGTGGAACGTTCTAAAAAAAAATAAATTTCAATCATTTTAAATCAATTTTTTTTTTTTCATTTAAAAAAAAAGTTTCGTTAGTTGTGTGTTTTTTTTTCTTTTTGAAAAAAATTATTCTTTGCTTAAAGAAAAAGAAAAACCCGAACGTCTAAAAATGGAGACGTTCGGGAAAATATTAATTTTGAAAAACCTCATCATCACTATCATTGTTTTGACTGAAGGAAAAACTGTTGATATACTGACGTCCGCCGGTTTGCCATCATCACTTGAAGACGAAGAGATCCTCCGTATCCTCGGACAAAATAAATCACAGGCATTCTCGGAAAATTTCACATTTGTTGAACTCGTTGGCAGTCTGAGAAATCACACGGAAATAATTCAGGATAATCTGTGGACAACAAATGATATTTATAAAACGAATCCTTATTATGGTGAGTTGTTTTTCATTAGATAATTTCAGTCTTAGAATTTGTTTTTTAATCTACTTCCGGAAATTAAAAATTCTTATATGTAATAATTATCTTTGACATTTATATATTTTACTTGTATGTAGATAAAAAAATTATAATAATTTCCTAATCAATTTCGTCAATGGGAAATTAAAATTTAAATCATTTTTGTAAAATAGTTATTTGAAAGTCGTTCACCTTTTCATCAAGGATTCTGCACAAATTATTTTCAAATTTCGTAATAATTAATATTCTCAACTCGATTTGAATTCATCATCCTTGCATTCTTTTTCTGTTCGAACACCAAAAAAAAAAAAAAAATAGGGAAACTTATTTTCTTTTGTTTCTATTTCCGAAACAAAAGGAGACTTTTTGCAAATCAAATGCGATTTGTGAATCAAAATTGAAATTCAAGATTCGTTTTATGATAACTACAACTATTTGTGAAAATCTCGTTTGCGATTTTTTTTTTGATGATGTCATGCAACAATTTGTCTCGAATAAACGCAGCTTACATTTAAAGAGTGCAAAACTTATTTAACATTACCAAGTAGTTTCAGTCAAGCGTAAAATTTCTCGAGTTTAAATATTTTGTTCTTTTTTCTTTCCTTCTTTCTTTCTATTTCAAAAGAACGAAAATATCGCTCGAAAAATATTTGAGAATCGAAAAATTAGAAGAGACAAAATTTTCGGTGAATAAATATTTTGATAGAAGAAGAAAAAATAAAATTCTGAAATTTAAATTGAATGAAAATAAAGAAATTCATTGAAATTTACATCATCTCGTGGAGCGACATTCACCTTCAATTTATCAGTCGAACAAATTTTAATGTGAACATATTTACATTAGTTAAGTCCACAATTCACATCTTCTTCAAATAGGAAGCTGTGGAACTATTATAATTTTCTAATGCAAGTTCCTGGACTATTTTATTGACGATTCAATTAACACAAACTAAAGTGTAATATTTTAAATATTCATTCAATTTTTCCGTTATTAGAAAACATTATATTTACATTCAACATTTTTTAATAATAATTTCTAAAATTAAAATAGCCAGGAAATTTTTTTTTTTTTTTCTAAAATCTATTTATGACCAAAAAAATATTTTCTCAATACATGCATTGAAATAATTTTAATAAATTTATTTAATTTTAAATGAATTTCATTTTAATAAATTAATTAACTTCATTGAAATAAATTTTAATGAAAAATTTCTTCAATTGTTTTTATAAAACAGATTCTTTTTTTATTCATTGTTACCTGACGATGATCATCATCAATTATCTTGTCAGAGTAAATTTACTAACGAAGGTTAATCTTTCAAAACACTTTCAATTAGATTTCGAAAACTTTCTATATGATATAAATTGTGTATTTTTATAAATTTCATAGACAAGAGTAAAAAAATAAAATAATTTGTCGTCAGAAAATGACAATTATCAAAAAAAGTACTGTTATTTATGTTACAAAAGGTCAGCTTTACATGAAATTGAATTTTTATGCGTTAAAAATTACTCAACTTTGTGAAAAAAAAAACTGAAGGTTGACAACTCCCTGAGAATGAAGATTTAATAATTTCATTTTCATTTCTTCTATTATTATCGATTTCAAAAATTAATAATTAATTACTATCAATTATTATTAATTAATGTTAATTATTAATTTATAATTTTTTTTTTGTCCCCAATACATTTTTTAAAAATAAATAATGTTAATATTGAAAATAACAAAAATAACGCCTAGCTAATTATTTTTTCTCGTAATAAGAGAATTTGGTTTTTTTAACGCACAGGAAAAAAAAGAAAATCACTGCTTTTTACTTTCAATTTCTTAACTTTCAATTAACACTGCATCAAAATTACACTATTGCCACACGAAAAATTTCTTTGACTAATAGAGAGCTTTCCAAGAAAAAAAGAAAAAAAAACGTATTCTACGTTAATGTAACTTTTACATAATTTCAAATCATCTCTTGGTAACATTTTTCGTCACTACAAAGTGTCAATTTATTTGTAATGTTTCTTTTTTAAATCTATAATCGAATACCTACAAGAACAGAGATGCAAATCTTATAAATATACGATTTAAAAAAAATCGGGGAAACCAGAAGTTTTTTTCTGCTAAGTCTGAATTCATTCTGATTATGCAAATTTTGATATTGGGGGACTGCAACTAATTTAGACCTTGACGCGAGATTTAATCAAAAAATCTTTTTTTAATAAGATAGAATTTTAAATTTCAAAAAAAAAAAAAAATTAAATTATTATTTTTAAAAAATAAATTAATGTTTAATTATTTTAAAAACAATAGAAATTATAATTATTTAAAAACAAATTTGTTAATATTATTTCCTATAATTAAATTTGTTGATAATTATAATTATTTAAGAACAAATTTATTACTAATTAGAAATATTTAAAAACAATTTTATTAATAATCATAATTATTAAAAAAACATATTTTATTAATAAATTAATTATTAAATTATTTTGTAAAATTAAAAATTGTAATCTAACTTCTTGAAAATTTCTAACTGAAAATCAAAACTCTGATTTAAAATTCTCTTTTTTTTGCAAGCGAAATTGTGATTTCAAAAATTTCGAAACTGTTTCATAAAGTTTCTATTATTTCCAGGTCGATAAAGAGAAACGAAATTGGAATCCAATTAAAATTTCGCAAACTACACATGTTCATTCAAACGATATTGCAAGAACAATTGACATTTGAACTGAACTTTTTTATTTCACTTCTTATTTTGAATTTCATTTCAATTTATCAAGTATAAAACAAGAAGAATGGAAAAAATACTCCAATTTTTACAGAAATAAATTTTACAAGAATAGATTAAAAATATAATATAAAAATGTCTAGTATTGAAGAATTATTGTGTATTTTATATTTTTTTCTCAAAACGTAGGTATGACATCAATAGATTCTGTAATAAAAATACCGATAAATTTTTTTTTACACTTTGTAGCCCTGTAAAAGCAAATAAATCACGTGGTGAAGTTTATTATAACTTTTTTACCTCGTTTTGAAAAGTGCAAAAAAAGCAAAACATTGAAATGATAATAATATTGTAAGAGAAATTGTGAAATTACAAAAATTTTATTCTTAATTTCAGTGATTAAATAAAATCGTTTGTTTTATAAACAGAAAATAATTATTTTCAACAAATATAACAAACAAGAAGTATTTCAACAAAAATTAATTCAACAAGTAAAATTCAATTCAATAAATAAAATTCGATTTAACTAATAAAATTCACTTCAATAAATAAAATTCAGTTCAATAAAATTCACTTCAAAAAATTAAATTCAACTTTTAAAATTTACTTATCAACAAATGAAATTCAATGAAAAAAATTTGTTAGGAAAAAAAAGTCTTTCAGAAAAAATTCGATTTTTGAAAAAAAAATTTCAAGTTTAAAAAAAAATGTTACCAATGAGGTAATTTAGAAGAAATAAGAATTACGAATTCAAGTGGAACTGAAGTCATGTAAAAAAAACCTACATTGAAATTAAGTATATGCAAATATTTCTTTTTTTTTGCAGATGATTTTAGCGTGGAGATTGATCAAGAGGCACGAAGATTATTGCAAATTCTCCCAGCCTTTGATCCCGGTGCTGGTCATGTCAGTTCTGAATGTAAAAGACAATCGGACATTTTTCACAGGGAATTAAGCAAATTTAGTCTCTGGGCTCTCAAGAGTGAGTAATGAAATTTATAATTTAAATTAATTTTTTTACCCCAATGCGTTATTTATAAATCGTGTCAACTAATAATAATCTTTTTCCTATGAATTAATTTATAAACAATTTCAATTAATAATTTTTTCCCCATGAATTAATTTATAGTGTCAAATAATAATAATTAAAAATATTAATTGCAAAATGGAAAAAGAAAAAAATTTCCCAGAGATCACGTGTCAAGAATGTTCTCAAGTAATTACTAGATCAAGAATGAATATTATATCTTCACGCTAATGACTAGTTAGACACTGACCTTGAAAACATTCCGAAAAATTTCGAATGACAAATACGAGCGATTTTTAAATTACCTTTCGCAAAACAAATTGTGTTGTGTATTTTTACGTAAACAAAATTTCCGTCAATGTTTGAAGAATATTTATTTGCCAACAAAAAAGGCCCATTGCTTCAGATCATCTCCTTCTCTCGACGATTTCTCCTTGCCTCGAAATTATTTCAGAGTTGACCAAAAAAAATTATTCTCCTGCAATAAATAAATATTTATGTTAATATTTTTTTTTTTACTTAGAGAAGAAAAAACGAAATCAATAATATTTTTTTCGAATTATTTTGTTTTGAAAAGAATTGTTTCTTGTTTTTTCAAGTGTATGATGCAACAGCAAAAATGCCATCGGGACTTTTGAATGGCAACGTGAATCAATTTGGTGATTTTGACGAATGCATTGGAATCGAAGGAAGCGAGGGAATTCGAGGACAATATTGTCTAGCTTATTTGCAACTTGATTTCGATCAATCGCGTCCTGATCTCAAATATCTTCATCGACTTCTTCATTCACATTATGCTTTTAGAAGTAATTTTTCCGACGTAAGTACGTACTTGAAATAGAATTAGATTTAAAAGGCCTATTTTTAATTATTACTGAGATTATAATTTTGAACCAGATAAATAATAATAAGCCAAAATTCGGGTTGCCACAAAAATTTAACTTTGTTTTTCTCTGACTTTTCTCTGATTTCCAGATAAAAGTTTGCCTTTTTCTCTGACTCTAATAAAATATTCTGATTCACTCTAACAATGATTAAATACTCAAAAAAATTCTCTAATACAAATTTAGTAATTTTTTTAATTGTAAAATTATTGAAAAACATCAATAACTTCTTCTTTAAATAAATATTTAATTTAATAAACATTTTCTAGAATTTTTAACTACAATATTCTTCTTTAAATCAATTATTTTTAATAATTTTTGTAAAATTTCTTTGAGAATTTTCGAATCCATCTGTTCACAATTCAATTTTCTAAAATTTCAATCACTTGAAAAATCTTCAGATAAATATATATCATTAGAAAATAAAAACTTGAAATTTAATTTTTACGAAGAATTTTATTAACAACTTTTGAAAATATTTAATTTCTTTTAAGAAATTTAATTAAAATCTTACTGAAATTTATTATATTAAAGAATTTTATAACAATTTTTTGAAAATAATTGAAAACTTTTTGAAGAATTTTATTAAAATTTTTAAAAATAATTGAATTCCTGAGAAGAATTTAAAATAATAATTTATGTAAATAATTGGATTCAATTTTATTAAATTTTTTTCATCATCTGAATATTTTATCGACCGAGTGATAGCATCATTACTATATATATTTATTAAATTTTGTTTTAATAATTTAAATTTGGCCAAGAATTTTATTAAAATTTTTGACAATAATTTAATTCTTGAGAAGAATTTAGTTATCTATTTATAAAGATAATTTAATTCTTGATAAGGATTTTTAAAAAATTTTGAAAATAGTTTAATTTTTGCAAAGTATTTTTTTATTTTTCTAAAGAATTGAATTCTTGAGATGACTATTGATATTTATCAAAATAATTGAATTTTGGAAAAAAATTTTATTAAAATTCCTTAAAGTAATTGATTTTATGGGAAGAATTTTGTTACTTATCAAGATAATTGAATTCTTTTGCAGAATTACTTAAAATGTTTTGAAAATAATTGATTTTCTGCGACGAATTAAAAGTTATTTATGAAAATAATTGAATTATTGCAACTAATTTTATTATTTTATTGAATAATTAAATATTTCTTAAAATTAAATTCTTTCGTCAAGTTTTAATAAAAATTTTAAGATTAATTGCATTTTTCGAGGAATTTATTTAAAAATGGAATTAAAAGTATTTGAAATTCTGCGATGAAAATAATTCGAATTCCTAAATGAAATTTTATTATTTATGAGAATAATTGAATGTTTTCGTAAAATTGTATCAAATTTTTTTTTAAATAATTTAATCTTTTGATAAATTTTATGAAAATAGTAAATATTGAAAAATTATTGAATCGCGAAAAACTTTTAAAAATAATTGGATTTAGTAAAGAATTTGATTTAAATTCCTAAAAATAATTGAATTTCTGTGAAGAATTTTATTTATTGAGACAATTGCGTTAAAACTTTTGAAATAATTAAATACCTAATATTAAAAAATTCATTCTTGTCAGAAATAGAAATTTTTTTTGAAGGTTTTGTATTAGAATTCGTTGTAGTTTTATAGCTTATGAGGCAAAAAAAAAAGACACCAAAAAATCAGAATTTTCTTATGAATTCTAAAAAGTTATTTTTTTCCAGTACTTTTAATAAAAATCCCTGACTTTTCCCTGAATTCCCTGATTTCCCTGATCTGTGGCAACCCTGAATTAGAATTTAGAAATTATGTAATTAGAATCAATAAAAAATTTTATAAATTATAATGACGTAAGACGAATTACTCGTTATTAGTTCATTAAATTAACAATGAATATAAAAACCGATTATTACAAAATTAAAAATTGCGAAAAGAAAAGAATTTTCCAACTTAAAGGAAAAAGAAAAACGACCGTAAAATAAATACAGAAGCGTAGAAAAATAATAATTTAACTATTAATGTTTCGTTTGTTGAGATTAAAAGATTCCATAATCGGTAGCATAACAAGTTAAAGTTTCAAGAACAAATGCAAGTACGCAAATGAATTTTCAATGAAGAGACAAAAGATTCTGTTTGCTTGCGTGTATAACCGTGTCGAGAGAAATGCACCTAGAATATAAAATGAAATAGTCACTGTCATGAGGAATAAAGGAAAACGCTAATAACAAGATTCCAGAAGTATGCAAAACAAGCGTTCAAATAAACAAGAAGCTAAAATAAAATTATCATCAAGTTATTTTTAATTATAATAATAATCAATGAGAGAGAGAGGAAAAAAAATTAAATGTCCCTCTTTTCTGTTATTGGCAAAAAATCTCCATCTAGAATTTTAATTCTGATTCATCAAATATTTAAATTTTATTTCTTTTCTTTTGAATAATTTCCCTTTCAACTACTCGAAGCGAAATTTTCCTTTTCAATAAAATAACTAAATCGAAATTTCTTTACATTCAATAATCGAATTAAATTGTCATTGAAATGTCAATAATTGTATTTGAAATTTTGTTTTGATTTGAATAAATTCAGAAGTCAGGGGATTTGATGAATGAATCGTGATTAATTTGGAATGGAGAAAAAAGTGTTTTCTTTAATCGTTTCGTAATTGCAGCCAGGACATCGGGTGCCTCGTTTTAGTACGATAAATTGGGCGATATGTACGCCAGCGGCGTGTTCACCTCACGATGTTGAATCATCCCTACGACACGCAGTTACAAATTATGCATCGCAAACTGGCTTCAAGATTTCTGTTAAAGTCGAGCGAGAAATGTGCCAGGTTCAACGAACCGAATCCTACACAAGGGAAACTATTACCGTGGGGTGATTTTTCTGAAATTTTAATTTACTTTTCAAAAATAATAATCTATAATAATAAGTAAACTAAATTAATAAATTAGTTATTAATTCGAATTTTCGTTTAACAAAGAAAAATTAACTTTCAGACAAAATTCAAAATTTACGATAATAAATTAGAAATGATGCTAATAATATGGGGCGCATTATTATTCCATACAGCGACGTTTCTATAAATTTTCAAAGTCAGAATTTTACATGTCTGAAGTTTTCCTTAACCGAAATTTCTTTTCTAAGAATTTTTATTTACTATGATTTTTATTTAAACGAATTTCCATAGTACAAAATTGCTTTCTTGTTTCCTAACTTTTTAAATAATTTTTCTTTTTAAGTGTTTAAAATTTTTAAATTAATGTTCTGAAAATCATTGAATTATTGTAAAGTATTTATAAAAAATTTGAAAATAATTGAATTTTATGAAGAATTTAATTATTTTCAATCTTTAGTCAATTTATAAATAATAAAAATCTTCGTAAAAATCCAATTTTTTTCAAAAATAATAAAATTTTCGCTAGAATTCAATTATTTTAAATACAATTTTAATTGAATTCCAGAGAAAATTAAATTATTTTTAAACATTTTTTTTTAAATACTTCGAAAGAATTCAATAATATTAATTAATAGTAAATTTTGCACAGGAATTCAATTATTTTAAATACAATTTTAATAATATTCTTCTCAAAACTTCACTTATTTTTTAAAATTTTGAAAAAATTCAATTATTTTTGTAGATTTAAAAAAGTTTTAATAAAATTCTGTTCAAGAATTCAATTATTTTCAGAAATAATCAAATTGTCGATGTACTGAAAATCGTTGAATTCTTGAAAAGTATTTACAAAAAAATTTTTAAATGAAATTATATTAAAATTATTCATAGAAAATTAAATTCTTTTAAACAATTTTATTAGAGTTTTTGTAAATAATTAAATTCTTTTGAAGAATTTCTTCAAGTTTTTTTGAAATTAATCCTAGTTTTTTAAATAATTTTTATTGAAAATTTTTAAAATAATTGATATTTACAAAGAATTTTCTTAAAAACTTTTGAGAACAATTGAATTGTTTAGAAAATTTTTATTAAAATTTTTAAAAATAATTGAACCTGTTGGAGAAGTTTTATTAAAATTATTTTGAATATAATTGAATTTTTTCCCAGATATTTAATTAAAATTGTATTGAAAATAATTGAATTTCCCAGATGAATTTTATTATTTACAAAAATAATTGAATTCTTACCAAGAATTTATAACAATAATTGAATTGTTTCGAAGAATTTTATCAGAATTGTTGAAAATAATTGAATTTTTATTAAAACTCTTGAAAATAATTGAATTTGAATAATATTTTTAAAAATAATTGTATTCTTTCGAGAAATGTTATTAAAATTGTATTGTATTCTAACAAATAGAAATTTTGTCCAATTAAATACTAGTAAAGTAGAATTTATATAATATATAAAATTTGCTTAAATGGAAGTTCTTTTAAATAATATTTCGGAGAAATAAAAATTCGGTTAAGAACGAATTCTTTCAAATAATTATTTATTTTCTTTTTAATTAATTAATAATGTCCATTGAAAATTCGTCTCAATGAAAATTTGGTTTAATAAAAATTCTTTCAAATAAAAAGTTCGATAAATTAAAATGTAATGTAAGTTCTGTCAAATAAAATGTTGATTTATGAACAAAGTTTGTACTATGGAAATTCGTTTAGATGAAAATTTGGTTCAATAAAAATTCTAGCAAATAAAAATTTCGATAAATAAAATTAAAATTCGACGTAATGTGTAAATTCTGTCAAATAAAATTTTAATTATGAACAAATTTTCTACTATGGAAATTTTTTTAAATAAAAATCGAATAGTAAATAAAATTTCGCAGAAAAAATATTTCGATTAAGGAAATTTCTGACAAATAAAATTCTGTTTTTCACAAGATTATAGGAAAATTGCTGTATGGAATAATAATGCGCCTCCAAATTTAAAATAAATTAACAAAATTATAAAAAATAAATTTTTAACTCACAATATTTTTTCCTCAGACTTTTCTTTCTTGGAATCGTGTTATTTTCGACAATGGCAGGAGTTTGCGATCTCTATGATATTCCAACGAATAACATTGTTCAAGCATTTTCGTTGAGTCGGAATTTGAAGAAACTGATTTCGACTAATCGATCGGTTGATGATATTGGAACTCTTCATGGAGTTCGATTTCTAAATGCATTGATGTTGATTGTCGCTCACAAAAGTATGGCTCTCTTTTTCAATCCCTATGCAAATAGAACAGAAATGTCAGAGGTAGGAATTTCATTTTACTCATTTATTTAAATATAATTGTTCTAAAATTTATAATTCATTTAAATATTTTTATTGTATTTATAAATTTATATTTATATTTTTTGCAAAAAATGTTTATGACTAATGAAATAATCAATTAGTATCTAGGAAAACCGTGGACCGTTTTGGGACGTGCTGCAAGTCTTTACACGGATCCTTTTATTATGATTTCTGGACTTTTGACAAGTTATTCATTTGTTGGAAGACTGAATCGAAATGGAAAATTGAATATTTCTAATGAATATATTTCAAGATTAATGAGGTAAATAAGATAAATAAAATCTTTGAATTCAAATAGTTTTCGAAATTAAAATTCTTGATTAATAATAAGATAAATATTCTAGTAATCGTCACTTTGTCAATTAAATTCTTTCCTGAAATTCAATTAAAATTTTATTGAATTGTATTTCAATTATTATTGAATTCTTATAATGAATTTTATAAAATTTATAAAGTTCTTTGAAAATAATTGAATTTCTGTGAAGAATTTTATTAAAATTATTTATATTCAAAATAATTGAATTCATTTGAACAGTTTTATTAATTTAATTAAAATTATTTCCTTTACGATTGTCATTGAAATTGCAATAATTAAAATCTGCATTCTCTGCATTTCAGATTGGTTCCAACTCTCGGTGCTCTTATTTTATTTTGTACGTATATAATGCCATTTATTGGCTCGGGACCACAGTGGAATTTAGTAGTCACCCATCATGCGGATATCTGCAAAAAAACCTGGTGGAGAAATTTTCTTTTTATTCACAATTATTTTGGCTTTGAGAACATGGTAATTAACTAATTTTTACACTCTCTTTTTTTTACAAATAATTGCAAAAAAAAAGAAAAAAATTGAAATAAAAAATATGTTTCTCGTTTAGTGTCTTACACATACACATCACTTGGGAATTGACACTCAATTATTCGCAATATCGCCACTATTTATTATTCTACTTTATAAAAGACCAAAAATTGGAGCTATCATCCTAACTGGAATTGCTGTATTTTCCACATTTTTGCGATATTACATAACTTATTTTAGAAGATTGAATAATTATGTCTTTTTCGGAACATCGTGAGTATTTTCATTTTATTTTCATAAATAATATTCTAATTTTAAATTAAAATTTTTAATTTCAATTATAATTTTAATTTTCCATTAAAATTTTGATTCTCAATCATTAATTTTAGTTTTCAATCAAAATTTTGATTTTCAATTTAAAATAGAATAGAATTAATTTCTTTTTTGCTTTTCAGAATTCGACAACTATTTGATACTGCAAATTTTTCCTATATTCTCCCATCGCACAGACTGACGGTTTACATAATTGGAATCTTCCTTGGTTATTTACTGAGAAATTATCCCAAAGGCTTCAAATTAAATCAGGTTGAAATAAATAATTTTTTTCTATAAATGAAAAATTTATAGCGCGTTATTTAATCAGTCGGATGTATTTTTTTTAAATCCAAAAAATTCTTTTTCTGATATAAATTTAACAGAAAAGCTATATTAATGTAAAATAATTTTAATAATTTTAATAATGTTAATAATTAATAATAATAAGAAAAATTATTTTCTTCTAGAAATTTACTTACGTTGGATGGACTTTGAGTAGCTTATTATGCCTGGCAGCTTTCGTTGGTCCGGCACCAATGGGGGCCATCGATTATATTTACAATCCTGTGCATGCTGCGACTTACAATGCATTTGCTCCAATTGGATGGTGTGCTCTCTTTGGATGGTTGGCCTTTGTATCGCACACTGGAAATACAAACAGTGAGTTAATCAAATCAAGGCTAAATTACAAATCAAAAAATTAATAATTATTAACTGTTTACAATTATTATTATTATTTATTCATTTATTGCGAAATAAATGAAAAAATTGCAAAATCGGAAATAGTCGATCAAAAATAAAATTTTCTACACTCTTCTTTCAGGCTGGATCAGTAAATTATTTTCCTGGAAAGGATTTTTAATAACAACGAGATTAAGTTATGCGATTTATTTGACGCAATTTCCAGTTTTCTTTTTCAATGTCGGTCAAACGAGGACTGCCGAAAATTATGGTTTCTTCAGAATGATCGTCAGTATTTGTCCATGAAATTAATTAATTCTATCAATAAAAAACAAATTCCCCAAATAATTATTAAATTCAATTTTTTTTTACAGTTCAATTTCAAGGAATTATTCTGGATAGTTTTCACTGCGGCGATTCTGACACTTTTCTTCGACATGCCATTCCAAAATATCAAGACAATTCTCCTGAAGAAGCCCAAATCGTCAGGAACTGAAAAATCCTCCAAAGTGGAATAATTTAAGTTCTTTTATTCTGAAAAAAATCTGTTTTTTTAAAATTCTCCCCCCAAAAACACAAAGAGACAGAAATTTTCTGAAATTTTAAAAACCTGACGCTTAAGCTGTGCATTTTTATTACTTTTATATCAAAGAAGAAGAAAAAGGAAAATAAAATTAGTTGTTAATTATAGAATTAAAAATAAGAATTCAAAATGATATTTTGAATTCAAGGTTCACGATTTGTAAATAGTCTCTTCCATGACTCAGATGTATGGAATTAGGGAAGTGCAAATGCTTGCCTTCATATACAATGTATATGACAGCTAAGATTAATTTATATTCTTTTATCGCTCAATTTGTTTTTTTTTTTTTTTTATAAAATCCTGTAAATATTATGTAAGTAAGGTGCGCATTATTTCTAAGAACGTAAACATAATTTTACATCCTATTTGTAAGAAATTTTTTAGGAAATATTTCATATTTTTAACGCAGTGAATCGACATTTTTAAACAATTCAAATACTTTGTACAAATTTCAACTCTTGAATTGTTAAAAAAGAATTCTAAATTATAATTCAAAATGAGAATAAAAAGAAGACGAGAATGTGTATATTTCTGAAATTGTAAATTATAATCCCATCTAAAAATTAAAAAATAATAGTAAAATTTAGTAACTTGAATGTAAAAAGGTTAAAGAAAAGAAATGAATAAATAAAAGAGAAGAATAAATAAAATAGAAAACTAAATACAATAGAAGACTAAATAAAATAAATAAAAGAAAAAGTTAAAAAAAACTTGTTCGTGAAATTAAAAAATTTCACCGTCAAAGAAATTTTCTTCGTTTACTTCTTTATTGTAGGAAACTTCGACAACAATACAGAGTAAATTTAAATACACAAACTTATTCGACTGAATTCGTTTATCACAAGAGAATTTATTACATTCTCTGAAAAATTCTTTTACACGTGAAACTTAGGTAATCTAAGCGTATTTAAATGAATGATTTCGATTTATTTATTGAAAATCATTCAACTTAGATAAAAAAAGAATTCATTTTCTTTATACTAAAATAATATTTCTATTAGTCTTTTATAATTTTTCTTTTTCTAAAAAAATCTTAAATGGAATTTAATTACTTAATTACACGTATTTCCAAACTTATTGGAAAATTTTTATAAACAATCAACACCAGTATTATGAGAAAATTATTCTTAATATAATTATTTAATATATAGAACATTAAAAGTCATAGATAAATATTAAATGACGACGGTAACTTGAGAAAATGTTCTTTAAAATTAAGAGCTTGATTTAAAAACTACTTATTTTATTTATCGATCGGATAAATGTCTCTGAATTTGTAAACGAAATTTTTATTATTCATTATTGCTGTTAATATTAATATTATTAATATTACTGTGAATATTAATATTACTGTTACCTAATGTTTCGTAATAGGAAACTTTTTTTAATTCTTTGGAATTTATGTAGAAAAATAAAAATTTCGTTCAAACTTTCAAACACACGAATAATCCGAAGTAGAATAAAATTTATCGTATCTTAAAATGCCATTTGAAGACTACACGACATTAATCTCCAGTTATTAATTAAATACCATCGTAAATATCAATTTCTACTAATTATTAAAGATTTAATCTTTACCATGAATTTACTTAAGTGTTTTAAATGTACAATCAAACACTAATTTTCCGAATTTTTATTGTTTGGAATATTTCTTTATTCCAAATGAAAATTTTTAATGAATCGAATTCAGTGAAATAATTTTTCATAAAATTTTTTATTATTCAAAATAATTTTTAGTAAAACTTTTTAGTATTCAAAATAATTTTTAGTACTTTTTCCATTACAAAAAATTATAATTTTTTAATTCAAGTAATTTTTGGATTTAATTATAATTTTTTTCTTTCGTGTAATTAAAGTTTGATTGTATGTTCAAAAACTACAAGTGAAGCGCGCAGCGATGCATTAATCTTACCTGCAAAATGGACGTTACAAATAAACGTAATTTTTTTTTTTTTTTTTTTTTGAATTTGTCAATTGACTAGTTATTAAAATAAAAAATATATTCTACTAGATTCAATTCGACGTATCAACTCTAGTTGATTGGACTAAATATATATATTTGTCGTCATATTATTTCGCAGTTAGATTTTTGTTCCTTTTTGTTTTTTCTTTTTTGTATTGCAAATATAAAATACGCGCGCAGTAGAAAGAAAATCTCATACCTTCGTTGCAAAATAAATTTTAAAATAAATATTTTTCACTCTAAGAAAAATCACGATTCGGCAGAAGAATTGGAGCCACGAGAGACCAGTTGTAAATTGCCAGACACAGCCAGGAAGAAATTATTTTCACCCACATGGAAGCAGTGTTTGAATTCAAAGTCTCCAGTGATGAGTTAGGCCTTTAAAAAATAGTTTAATTACAAAAATGTTTACAAAAATGTTTACAAAAATTTATTAAGTATATAAATTAAATATGAATTAAATATTGAATTAAATATAGAATTATTAATTTAATAATATTCAATTTTTGTAAAAAATTAATAAGTTTTCGGTTTTTTTTTAGGAGAAAGGAAAAAATTGTGATACATACTTGTACCAATTTGTGAGAGTCATCATCACGTACAAAGTTGCCAAGGCAAACATGAGATGGAAGAAACTCCAATTATAAGCGATTGTGTCTTCTTCATTATCCCAGACTTTAGCCTCATTGCCTTCGACATCGCCATTACGACCTTCTACTGAAACATAATCTAAATACATTGGAAAAAAGGGAGAAAATAACAAAATATTCAATAAGCAATTAAAGTAAAAATAAAGAATAAACAAATCACTAGTAGAGAAAAACGATTATTCGAAACAAATAAAAAAGAGCAGTCAACTTACAAAAAAAGATAAAATGATCAACGATTCCACATCCAAAAAAATAAAAAAAAAATTGCGCAATTAGAAATTTCTTCTAAGAAACAATGAAAGCAGGCACACTAGTTTTTAATACCGGGACTAAATACAGGAGGTGAAATAAATTTTATTTTCTATCAGGATTTATGTGTGTGTGTAAAAATTAACGAAAAAAATTCTGACTAAAAATCCTAAAAATGAAGAGAATCATGGATTTAATGATTTTGTGTGCGTACCTTCATTGCCAATAAGCGATGAATCCTTGTTCTGGACTGTATGGAAAAATTCTGGTTTAGTCGACAAAAAGGATAAATTATGAAAAATACACTTTTATCACAAAAAATAAAAATTAACGAAATTAAAAATGGAGAATTTAGTTAAATATAGGAAACACTCCAAACAGAAAAATAAAATAATCATTCAGAAGAATGAAAATAAAACTCGAAGCCTTATTTAAATAAAGTGAATAATGAAATATTTACCAGCTCCATTATCCTTGGCGAGGACAGTGTCAGACATTGTTATTTTCGATGATTTCGAAGCAGTTCGCAGAGAACTGTAGAGTACACAACTGAACCAAATTATAAGACCAATTACACTTTCCTTGTCGAATGCAACTTTATTTTGAGTAGAAATATCATTGCTGTTTATTATTCCAAACATTCCTGGATTGCACTTGTCATCTAGAAAAGGATAATTAAAAATTTATAAAAAGTTATTATATATATATATATATATATATATATATATATATATATATATATATATATATAGAATTTTATTAAAATAATAGAGAACTAATTTAAATGTTTTGAAGAATTTTAAGATTTTAAAAATATTATATAATTAATTAGATAATAAATTTTTTAAATTTCGAATCTGAAATTTTTCAACAATTAAAGTTGAAATTTGAAAATAAAAAAAATTTTGTATTTTACATAATTAAATTTTGAAAATACAGTAATAAATCTAATTATAGTTAAATTTAATTTATTAGTTAATTTTACCTGGACTGTTCGAAACTCCGCTCCAAGTCAAGTAGATAACGTATAAAGTGACGACTGACGATTGTAACAAGCCTGAACGAGGCTGATTTTCCTGAACACTTGGTAGAATTGAAACACAACTTGTGATAAAGCAGAGAATCAAATTGAAGGAAATGAAGAATTTATGAAGAGAGCATTCATTTGGCTGAAAGAAAATTATTAATAAATAAACAAATAAATTATAAATACAATAAAAAAAATATCTGTAATAGAATTGAACAATTGGTGAATAATTGGATAATTAGTGAAAAAATTAATTTAAAACCATACCAAAGTGAAGTACACGTAGAGTAGAACGATTCCCGTGATTGAAAGTACATAATTCAAGAATGTAGCACCAAGTAGAGCAGCATACCTGTAAATAAAAAATAGTCAATATAATTTACTTTTTAATTTTCTTCCGATTTTTTCTCTTTTTTCCCCAATTTTTCATCTTTTTTCTTTTTTTCATAATTTTGTTATCTTTTTTCACAATTCGTTTTCTCTTTTTGACAACTGTTTTTTTATTTGCAATTCTATTTCTAAAGATTATTCCTTACCAGCCTTTTGACTCAGTCTCTTCGTAATTTCCCACCCAAGCGTCAGCCCAATTGTGAGCGAAATCAACAATTAAAATTAATTGTATCATAATAAAGAGGAATCCTCCCATCATTCCAAAATACATCCATGTTGGACCAAATGAACCTTCACGAATGAAGAACGCACCAATTATTCCTCCAATCACCAGAAGATACTTGATGGCCCAAAAACTGAAAATAAAAAGAAATTATTAATTTTCCACAATAATGAAAAACAATTTTTCTTTCAAAGAGAATACAAACCCATTTTGAATGGGTGCTCGTGGATCCTTCGAGCTACGAACTCGAAGCATAATCGCCGACATGAGAAAGAAGAACAGCGTGATAATAAAACATATTCTATAGACTGCTAAATATCCAATAGCTGATTGACAATCGACAGTGAATTTCGAGGGTACGTAACTAGTACTGTTTGCGCAGAAAGGTACCTGGTAAAAAATTATTCGAGAAAAATTACTACTGAAATTATTAAAATTATTAATATTAAAATTACAATTCAAGTAATAACTTAAGAGTTTATTGCTTGAAACTATTACTTTATGGAGATAAAAATATTTATCATTATAAAGAAATTAATTTGTTTCAAATGACATTTTTTGTCACTTTAATAAAAAATTGTTGTGCAATTATATTGATTAGATAAAATCTAAAAAAGTTAATTACCTTCTGGAGTAAATCTTGAAGACTCGGGGCCAACGTGATACAAGCTGCGATTGTTCCGAGCATTAACATTAAAGCGTACATTATTCTTGTACTCGTGCTATTTCGGCACGATGGACATTGCGAACAGCAAAAACTGCAAGCAGTGCTTCCGCACAAGCACGCGAGCTGTAATTAATCACATAATTAACAAAATTCTATAAAAAAAATATCCATATTTCCAATAGCATAATTTTCAAAGACGTATTTCAAAAAAAAATAAAATAATATAAATTAGAAAACTTTTACAATTCATAAATAGAAGAAAACATTCGAAGAAAAGATAATATTTTAATCCACTTATTTTGTGGATAAAAATAGAACGTGACAAAGGTAAACATTATTGATTCTTCTTATACTCTTTCCAAGGGTCATAAAACGCAATATCGTGAAATATATGACAAAGAAACTTTACCTGTGCGGTAGAACAAATGAGACCCATTTTTGATTGTTTATTATCCTTGATTGAAGTGTTTCACCGTATCTGTAGACAATTATTCAAGTAAAATCACTCCCGACTTTAGAAATATTCACTTTATTATTGAATTATTTTTATTTTAATTAGAACACGAAATGATCTACACTACACAACAATGATAATCTGGAAACAGCTGATTACTGATTTAAGTGTTACCAATTTTAGAAAACAAAAAAAGTAGCGCGCGCATGTTTTACTTCGTTAGTCAAAACAAGTGAAAATAATTTCAAAATAACAATATTTGTAAATTTATTTCAGTACTTTATCTTATTAGTGCTGCAAATCATTTTCTATTTTAATTAAATTTTTTATCAATACTTTTATTATTTTTTATATCGTTTATATTTATAATAAAATGATGATGATAACTGTTTCTTAGTTTCAAATAAACTTTTACGTTTCGCGCCATTTTGGGACCAATCAGAAAAGATTGTTTAGACATGCGCATTTCCGTTTTATCCCAAGTGGTGCCAACATTCAAATAACAAAAAAGCGGAGAGCGGACAAATTGCAAATTTAAAGTGTACCTTCAGTATTTGCAAATAATATGAAAATTAAATATATCATCAAATTTACAAGTGTTTATTAATTACCGATCAAATAAAATTTTCCGTTTAATTTTTATGTGTGTGAAATACGGAGATGTGAAATAATGGGTAATTATAAAATTGATAAAATTTTTCCTTTAGTGCTTTAGTTTTCTCAACTTAACCTCAAAGCACATTCTTGTTTTTCTAAGCACTTGAAAGATTCGAATAATAAACATTTTTTAAAAAACTATTTATAGAAATGATGAAATCTATAACGTTTCTTTTTTTCCATATGATTCATATAATCATCTTATTACTATATACTATTGTCGAAGAATTATATTGAATAATTGATTATATACTTTACATTGTGTGGAGCGAGAAAAAAAATAAGATTATCGTACAAGTAGAAAAATAATAATTATGTACGTTATATATATAGAGTTGTGTATAAAAAAAGACCGATAATTTGAATGTAAAGAATTATTACGTAATATAGTAAAGGATATTGATGACAAAAATAATCACCATTTTTTATTGAAATTTGACAGAACCGGCCGTGTGTATAGTGAGAGCCGAAAATAAATTTTGATGATCTAATGTATTTTATCGACAAAACGCAGTGCGGAAACAAGTCATTCTTCAACGTGTCTGATAGTTCAGTCGATTTCCAGTGTTCAAAGCGATAGTAAGTAAAATATTCTCTCTACGAGCAATTTAATAATTAAAAAACTTGTCTGAATGCGACTTTTGATTCAAGGTGAAGTTAATAAAATTCGTATCTCACGAGAGGTTATAAATTTTTTTTCATCATCTCCGAATATAGAAAGACTTGTAAAATTTACTCCAGCTGTCAGTAATCTTTTTTTCCGCTTTTTTACTATTATAGTATTTTTAAATTTGATATATTTTATACATTTAATACATTTATTAAAAGTTAGAAATGAAAAGTAAGATTTTATCTGGTGGACTTTAATTTTGTTATTTTTAACACTATAGTTATACTTTGAGATGAAAATTTATCTGTCTTTTATTATTTTTTATCAACAAAGAAATGTTTACAAAAAACAGTTTTGAAAAAGGTCAACAACTTTCGTTATTTTCGAATTTTAGTAAATGATAATTTTCAAAGTAATTTTGATATTTTAATTGTTAATTGTAAATTTAATATGTAATGCAACAAGTTTACTTGAATAATTATTTAATACTCATTTATCATGAATGGAAAATAATTGATTGCTCTGTTAAATATGCAAGAAATGAGAAAAATATTCCACTTCTGGAAAAATCAATTGAAAATTCAAGGATGTAATTGCATTTATTGAGAATGTCAACCTTGATTAAAGTTTTAACTTTAGAAATATACTTGATGCATTATTGATTTTCGAGTAATCAGCAATATTTTTAAATAGAAATTTTTTCATTATGAGTAAAAATAATTTATCATTAGTACTCATTTTTATTTTTACTTAATTAAAACTTTTAAAAAAGAATTTCTTTTCCCTTTCTGAAAAAATTGTAGTTAATTTTATTTTTACTTAAAGAAATTTTTCCTTTTTCTGAAAAAATTGTAGTTAATTTTATTTTTACTTAAAGAAATTTTTCCTTTTCTGAAAAAATTGTTGTTAACTTTATTTTTACCTTTAAACATTTTCGAAAGGGAAATTTTTCCTTTTTCAACAAAATTAAAACGAACAACGTAGTATTTTGTATTAATGTTAGATAAAATTTTTTTTGTTTTTTTCAGAAAGTAATGAAATCATAGAGGAAGAGGGAAAAAAATTTAATCTACGCGTTTTATTTGCGAAAATCCTGAAAAATGGATCGTCCGGAGGAAGAAGAGAATAGACTTAGTAATTGGCCCTACATGAGTTTATCATCACTTTCCACATCGTTTTTAATAAAATTAGGAACTGTGGGAATTATTTGGGGCTGGGGTTACATGAATTTGAGTCTTGCTTGGCTCATTGGACCAGTTGTATTATCCGTTTGGCGAACAGAACGAAAAAAGGATCATGAATTAAAGAGACTTATGGCTCAAGCAACTGCCCTCAGCAAAGAAAAGGACATCATTGCAAGTCGAATGGATGAACTTCCTTCTTGGGTTTATTTTCCCGATTTCGATCGCGCCGAATGGTTGAATAAAGTAATTTTTCCATTTATTTATTTATAAACTGTTTCATAAAAATTATGAATTTTTCTCTACACTATTTTTTTACAAGGTTGCCATAGTTCTATGAAATTAGCACGAATTCTAAAAAAAACCTTAAATTTTCTTCTATTTCTGACAATAATTTATTTAAAATAACTTAATTCTATTGAAGAACTGCCATAAAGTTATTACTTATAAATCATTTAATGAACTTATTTTTTTGAAAAATTCTAATTTAATAATTTAAATATTTAAATATTTAATAAATATGTATTAAAATTCTATCCAGAAATTCAAATATTTTCAAAAAAAAATTTTTAAATTCTCATAAGCATTTTAATTATTTTTATAAATAGCAAAATTCTTCGCTGAAATTCAATCATATTCAGAAATTTTTGTAAAATTCATTGTAAAATTCAATTATTAATTTATTAAAATTCAATTATTTTCATAAATTTGAAAATTCATCACAAGAATTCAATTATTTTCAAAATTAATAAAATTTTTCGCAGAAATTCCATTATTAATTTTTATTAAAATTCAATTATTTTCATAGATTTAAAAAGTCTTTTCAGGGATATAAATATTTAATTTTTTTCATAAATAATAAAATTATTTGTAGGAAGTCAATTATTTTCATAAATAACAATATTCATCACAAAAATTCAATTATTTTCAAAAATTTTTCTTAATTGAATAATTTGTATATCCATTACTTTAATAAATTTTTCCCAAAAGAATTCTATTATTTAAAAACAATTTTGATAAAGCTCTACACGAATATTGAATTATTTTCTAAAATAATGAAAATTTCACAGGAATTCAATTATTAAAAATAAAATTTGCATAAATTATTTATTTTTGTATTTAAATAATAGAATGAATTTGAACATTCTCAAAAGAACTTATCAAAAAATATTAAAAATAATTGATTTAAAGAATTTCATATTTTTAACTAACAATTCTGTGGAATGCATTTTTTTGGGAAAATTTAATTGTGGATTTTTTTTTAGAAATGATTTCAAGTTTTTATTTTCTAATATATATTTAATTGAAGAATTTCCGAATAATTTGAGTTAAAAACACAAAAAAAAATTGAATTTTGTAAAAGTTACAATTTATTTGCAGAAATTTAATTATTTTCAAGAGTAATAATATTCTTCGCAAAAATTAAATATTGTTCAAAAATTAATAAAATTCTTCGTAAGGATTAAATTATTTTCATAAATAATTTATTTTTGTATTTAAATAATTGAATTCTAATAGAATTTTCTAATAAAATTTTATTTATAAATTAATTTTAGTTAAAATTTTAGATAATAATTGAATATTAAAAGCAATTTAGCGTGAATTTTTACAATTAATTGAATTTTGAAATTAATTTTTTTGAGAAAGTTTAAATTAATTTTTGTTATAATATTTTAAGTTTTTATTTTCTAATATATATATATTTAATCGAAAATCTTAGTTCCCATGGAAAAATAATAATGATTAAATATTTATTTAAAAATCAAGTTATGGATGTTTTGGAATAATTAATAAGAATAAGAATAAGAATTTAAGACTATAATTACTAGTTATTAATTTTCCCTTTTTCTGCAGATTTTGTATAAAGTTTGGCCAAGTATCAATCACTTTGTTCGTGATTTATTTAAAAGTACAATTCAACCGGCAATTGTTCAAAGTTTATCTGAATACAAAATGAAGGGTTTTCAATTTGAGAGATTAGTTTTAGGACGTATTGTAAGTATTCTTTTTATTCTCCCCACGTTTCTTTCTTGATTCTTTTACTTTTCAATCTTTATTAAAAATCGAGAGTTTAAAACGTTCCGTTTTATTACAGCCACCAAAGATTTATGGCATTAAGGCCTACGATAAAAATACATCCAGACATGAAGTTATTTTCGACGTGGATATATTGTTTGTATTTTTATTTCTTGTGTACTTTTTTTTTTAATTTTTAGATATTTTATTAATATAAAATAATTAATTTATACAGGTATGCAGGTGACTGTGATATCTCCTTTACAGTAGGCAATTTTAAAGGAGGGATAAAAGATTTCCAGGTATTAAAAAAAATATATTAGTGAAAGTAAATTTTGAAAATAAGGAAATTCCAATGCAGTGATTCTTTTTTTTAGCTTCGAGGACTTATGAGAGTTGTTTTAAAACCCTTGATTCCTGTAATGCCTTTAGTCGGAGGAGTTCAGGCTTTTTTTCTAAATAATCCAGCAATTGATTTTAATTTGGTGGGAGCTGCGGATATTCTCGATTTTCCAGGCTTCAAGTACGATTTGACTGATAATGAAAATGATAATATAAAAAAAAATAATATTTATTCTTATTTCGTGAATATTAATTTATTTTTTATTATTTAATTATAATTGAATTTTCTATTGTTATTATTACTCTTATTTTTATGTTATATTTTAATACATTAGAAGAAAAATATTTATGATAATTTTGCTTTCAGCGATCTTTTGAGAAAGATAATAACGCAACAAGTTGCTGCCCGTTTAGTTCTTCCCAACAAAATAATAATTCCACTGTCCGAAGATATTCCATCGGAAGTTTTAAAAATGCCTGAACCGGAGGTGAATAAATTACACAAAAAGAATCTATTTTTCTTTCGTATTATTAAAATAATGTATTATTAAAATAAAATTTTATTTATTTTCAGGGTGTTTTGAGAATTCATGTGGTACAAGCAAAGCATTTAATGAAAAAAGACATTGGTGTCTTGGGTAAAGGAAAATCTGATCCCTACGCAGTAATCAGCGTTGGAGCACAAGAATTTCGAACAAAAACAATTGACAATACTGTCGATCCCAAATGGGATTATTGGTGTGAGGTGTGTATTGAATTTTTCTTTTTTCTTCAATATTTTCTTCGATTGACGCCCAAATGCATGTCTTTCTACAATTAATTTTTACACCTTCTTTCAAATTTCTTATGCGAGCTTTTATACAATAATGGTAAGATTTAAAGAATTTTTTTTTATCAATTTTACAAAAAAATTTCCTTCTTTTAAATTCAAGTTTTTAATGGAAAAAATATTTTTAAATAATTTTCAAATATGTTTTAAATAATTTACTGCTTTCTGATAAATTGAACAATTATATCGCGATTTCAAGAAATTCAAGTCTAAAAATTATGAATTTTGATATTTCACAATTTGATTTCGAAATAAATATATTTGAATTATTATTAGTTTAAATAATAGAAAAATTTGTCAGAAAGTAAAAAAAAATATTAAAAATTAAATATCATGTTGCATGAAATATTCATTCTTCATAAATATTTTTCACGCATTTATCTATAAAATGTTTCTCTCTCATATTTATAAAGGAACTGCAATTTTTATTTCTCTGATTTTGTTTTGAAATTGGAAATTCTGTATTTTTTAAAAAAAATTGTTTGCTAATTGAAAATGTTTTTAATTGAATTTGTTATTTCTCTGATTTTGTTTTGAAATTGGAAATTCTGTATTTTTAAAAAAATTTTTTGCTAATTGAAAATGTTTTTAATTGAATTTGTTATTTAATTTTTTTTATTGAACATTTTTTATTGAATACCTACTTTTAAATTGAAAATTTGATATTTCTTTGAAATTAAAACACTTATTTCGACTGTTTTGAAAAAAAGCCTAGAGAAAAATTGGTTTTTTAATTGAAAATTTGATATTTCTTTGGAAGTTTAAAATTTTAAATATTAATTTTGATTGGTTTTGAAGAATAGAGGAAAAATTGTTTTTTAATTGAAAATTTGATATTTCTTTGGAAGTTTAAATATATTAATTTTGATTAGTTTTAAAAAAGAGAGGAAAAATTGTTTTTCTATAATTGAAAATTTAATATTTCTTTGGTAGTTTAAACATTTATTTTTGACTGATTTAAAAAAGAAGCAGAGAGGAAAAATTTACCAGTCGCACATAACATTGATATTTGAATGCATCTAAAGATAAGGATTGTGAAGCTATAGAAAATAGGCCTCATTTAAATACTCCCATTTATTTCTTGGAATGTGTGATGTGCAAATGTTACGTGTGATATGTTACTTGAATTAGTGTGTCGTGACGTCGGCCATCGCTCAGCAGATGACAATTCACGTGTGGGACCTCGACGACACAAAGAACGATGAAAATCTCGGAAGGTATTGTAAAAATTTGTTATTAAACAATTTTTTTTTCAAAACATTTCTTTTTCAAAATTTTTAAAGTCTTAAATTTTATTTGCCATTAATTTGCCAAAAATATTTTTTTTAATAATTTTTGTTAAAATTGTTTTCATTTATTTATTTTTCTTAATGTTTTTTATTTATTTATTCGTTTTAACTTTGTTTTTATTTATTTATTGTAATTTTATTAATTTTATGTTTTAATTTATTTATTTCGACTGTTTTTTAAAAATAACTAAATAACTAATAAATAAGAATATGAAAATATTCTTATTTATTTATTTTAACTTTGTTTTCGTTTATTTGTTTTAATTGTATGTTCTTATTTATTTCTTCGTTTTAACTTTGTTTAAATATTTATTTATTCGTTTTAACTTTGTTTTCATTTATTAATTTAAAAAAACTTCTTTGGCTCATTAAGAAAATTATTTTTGATTTTTCAGTTGCAATTTAATGTTTATAACAATTTTTTTCTGGTCTATTTGTAATTTTGTAGTCTTAAGAAATGTACGTATATTTTTTTTTTTGTAATTCAAATTTTGTAGGTGTTACACTTTTGATTATCGTCTGTGTACAAAAATCCAATTTTGTCTTCAAGCGGTGTTGTCTTCAGAAAATTATTTTTGTGCTTTTTATTTATGCATTTTTGTGTTGTGTCATTTTACTTTTTTTAAAATGTAAGCATGCTTTTTTCTACTCTTCATTATCATTGGTTTAAAATTTTTCTTTCCAATCAGTCCATAAATCAATTTCTAACAATTTTTTTAAATATTCTCTTTTGTGAATCTTTTCTCTATGTAGAAAATTTTTTTGGTAAGTAGGATATTATTAAATGTTTAGAGAATGGATTTTTGCATGAAAGTTGTTTCGAACCAGTAAAAAAAAACAAGTATCAGGTAGAAAATAAATAGATGGGGGCAAAAATAGGATATGTGAAAAAAATTAAATTTCAAGAAAACTTGATTTATAATTTTTTTGTAAAAAAAAATTGTTTTAATATTTAGGCTGTTATCTATTCAATCAATTTACAAGAGATTGAGCTATCGCTTTGGGATTGGGATCCAAATGTTCCTGGTATTCAATTTGATGACTTCCTGGGAAGGTAGTAGAAATAGAAAAACAATTGTGAAATGATTGTAGTTTATTAACACCAGTAGTGTCAACCGCATGTTTTTTTTCTCCTAGTTTTTGAAAAAGTCAAAAACAACAAAAAGTGATCAGTACCACGAAAATTAATTGTAATATTAAATTAATACCTAATATTTTCTCTGACCCTGTTTCGTATTTTTGTACAGTTGATAATAATTTTTGGGTCCCACTAAAATCACTTATCAATTTTCTAAACGAGTTTCTTCAAGTTTTGGAAAGAAAAACTCAGTTTCTATTTTAAATTAAAAATTAATCAATTTAATTCGATTTAATTTCACAAAAGTAATCAATTAATTTAATTTAAATTAATTTACTTCCCGAAGTATTTACTCTTGAAATCTAATCAACTAATTGACCTATTTTCGATTATTATTTCGAGATTTGAAGAAATTTGTAATACTGTTTTATTGATAACAATAATAATATAAAGAGAAATTTATTTTTTCCTGCAAATTGTTAAAAAGAATTTAATTAAAGCTTATGTGTGATGGCAGTTTATAGTTGATGAGGGCTTGGGACCCAACTGCAAGATTCATCTCTTTGACAAAGACAACACTGGTCAAGATGATCAACTTGGCAGGTATTGCGAATAGTACAGAAAAAAAATTTACCCCCTTTCAAGAATCAAAAAAGAAACCGATTTTAGAAATTAGAACATTTACCTCTCTTCCTCGATTCGAATTTAGATTCCACATTTTTATGCACGATGAATTTTCCATTTAAAAAATAAAAAATTGACTGTTCGATTTTTTCTGTAAGTATTTATAAAAATTGTCATTTTCCTTTTTTTACACTTTCCTTTTCATTTCTATAAACTTGCCACACAGTTAAAAAATTGCCATGTATCAAATATATTTATTCGATTTGTTTAATTTATTTTCTTCTTTTTTTTTGAAATATTATTTCGAGGCAGGGTTTATTTCGCTAATTTGATATGAAAGCTTTGTTGAAGTTCTATTTTAATCTGATTTGCAATTATTCGCATGTAAATATTAATTTTTTTAGGAAGTAATACTTGTAATAATGTATATTCTCGCATGTCTGTCGAGCTTTTTTTATTATTTGCAATACAAGAGAATTATTTTCAAAATGCTAAAAGTGTAATTCCTACACGATTTATTTATTTATAATTTATAATTTACAATTTTTTCTATTTCCTGTTTATTTTTAGTTAATATTTGTGTTTATTAATCGATTTTTTTGAATTTAGGGCCACCATTGAAGTTAGTCGAGTGAAGAAGAAAGGAACTATTGATACCGTAAGTTTTAAAATTATAATAGAGATTAATTTTTTTTATTAATGAGAAATTTTAATTGGAAATCAAATTGAAATCTTCTTTTCTACAGTGGATTTCGTTGGAATTGGCAAAACACGGAATGGTTCATCTGAGACTCACTTGGCTTCAACTTTCAAACAAAATTTCTGATCTTCCTGCTGTAAGTTTACATTTTTTTATATTATAACAAATATTATATTTATTTATATTATATTATTTATTTTTAAATTCTATTTAAATTAACCAAATTATAATTATTTGCTTCTTAATTACAATTTATATTATTTTGTTGAATATTTTTTATCATTATTATTAATTAATTGTAGTTTGTTTCCTAATTTTTTTGATAATTTTCATTTTAGTGTTTTAGTGTTTTAAAACAATAAATATTAATAATTGATTAGAAAATTAGTTAATAATTGAATTTTTTCTACATTTTGTATCTGAAATTATTTCAAAATTGAAATTAATATTTGAAAATAAAAATTTTTGTAATTTACATAATAATAAGAAATTAAATACCACGTTTTGCTGGTAATAAATAATTTTAGAAAAAATAATTGAAATAAATGATTTTTTAAGGCTTTGAAGGAGACTCAACAATTGCGAGTGACGTCGATGAGTACAGCAGTTCTTATTCTTTACATCGATTCAGCGAAAAATTTACCAGTGAGTGATTTTAATCTTTAAATGCGGAATAAATTGAGAACGAACTGAAATTTACATTTCTTTTTGTGTCAAGCGCAAAAGTTGGATTTAAAATTTCAAATTGATTTTATATTTGTTATTTTAATCTGAGGAATAAATTTTCAGTGTATTAAGGGAAGTAAGCAACCGGATGTTTATCTTGAAGCGAACCTTGGTGGAAAAACTGAGAGAACTATCACAATTTTACGTTCTTGTGATCCAGTTTGGGAGCAAGGTTTTACTTTTCTCGTCGCTAATCCTGAAACTGGAACCATGACCTTCAAGGTATTGAAAACTTTATCTCTTCTTTTACTATTTTCTATTAGAGAATAAATATAATTTATAATAATGAAGCATTTTTTTTCGTCTTTTATTATTATCGCTATTTATATTTAAATAATTTTCCCCTTTTTGTAGATTACTGACGAAAAGAGTGGAATGACAGTTGGAACATTGAATTTCAATGTTTCGACATTACTCGAAAAGGCCAATTTTGAACTGAAACAATCGCCGTTCGATTTGGAACAATCGGGAAGAGAGAGCAAATTAGTTATGTCGATGATATTGAAGGTGAAAATTAGAATTAATTTTCCAAAATGTTCGAAATTAATTTGTTCGCTTACGAATTTTGTTTATATTTTGAATTTTCTTTTTGCTTACACAGATCTTGAAATACGAACCGCCGAAAGCCTCTTCGGATGATGAGGATGATCCTGAGAATAATGAATCTCATTCGAAAATGGAACGCCAGGGATCAACTATTAGCAATCTCTCCAGTAGTGGTAATTATTTTTGTTTACAGAAATAAATTTTATTCAGTTGAAATAATTTTTTTACGTTTACAATAAACTCTTTCTGTTTAAAATAAATTTTTTCTATTTAAAGAAAATTTTTTTATTTAAAATTAATTTTTTCTATTTAAAGAAAATTTTTTAATTTAATATTAATTTTTTCTATTTAAAGAAAATTTTTTAATTTAATATTAATTTTTTCTATTAAAAGAAAATTTTCCGTATTTAAAATAAATTTTCTATATTTGAAATAAATTTTTTCTGCGGCTAAAATAAATGTATTCAAAATAAATATTTTATTTAACAGTTCCGCCAAGTCCATTAAAGAAGCAATTGTCGAAAGAATCATTGCAAAGTGCTGGCAGTAATGCATCGGCGAATAGAGGAACAAATATTCCGACACTCGCCGAAGTTCCCCCGCCGGAATATCGTTTTCCTCCCATCGAGGAACCCGCAGTTCGTGAAACAGCTCCGACTCAAACTTCCGCTAATCCGAATTTGGTACACAGACATCCGAGTTTCACTTCTTCCACTGGCGATTCAAAACTCGGAAGAATACAACTCACTTTGCAATACAGTGAACCACGTCAGAAACTTTTTATTCACGTCCACAAAGTAGCGTGAGTATTTTCATTAATTTTCCACCTACAATTTCTCTTTACTATCTTTTAATCAATTTTTTTAGCAAATAATAATTTAAAATCACAAATATTTCATGATTTAAACCATTTGTTTATTTAATAAGTTAAATTAAAGTAACGATTAATTAAAATAAAAATACGTACTTATTTTTAATTAATCGTTATTTCAATTTTAATTTTAGTTTCAATTTTAATTTTAATTTTAGTTTCAATTTTAATAGATCATTTAATTTAGTCGACTACTTTGTTTTACTCTTAAAAATGTTACTTTATTGAGTAAAAAATGTTGAGCGAAAAGAAACAATGAAAATTAATTGAAGATAATAATTTTAGGCACTTGCCTTTGCCACAAAATGATCCGCACAACATTCCGGATCCTTACGTAAAACTTTATCTACTACCAGACAAGCATAAGGAGACTAAACGAAAAACAATTGTGATAAAGGACAATTGTAATCCTGTTTTTGACGAGAAATTCGAGTACATTGTCTCACAGGGTGATATTAATAGCAAGACACTCGAAATTTCCGTTTGTACACAAAAGGCCTGGCTCTCAACGGGCAACAATATAATGGGTCAAATTCACATTGATCTATCGCAAATTGATTTTTCTCAATCTGTTACCTCTTGGTTTGATTTACAGCCAGAAATTAAAGACTAGACCTGGAGGCGTAGAAGAGGGAGATTTTTTCTTTTATATGAATTTTTTGGCAAGCGCAAACAACTGAAATAACTGTTAAACTCTTTTTTTTATTGTTATTATGAATCTCAATATTTTACATATTTAATTTAAGCTCGTGACGTTTTAATACCAAAAAGGGAAATTTCGCAACAAAAAAAAAGTGTAAAAACACTTTCTGTTTAGTTTATAAGATTATGAAAATTATCATAAACTGTCCAATTTTTTAATTTTAAATAGAAAAAAAAAACTATATACGCTTTGCCAGATATTTGTATTTATAAAACGGCAACTAAAAACAGTGTGATATACCGGAAAGTTTTTTTTTTACTTTAATCGCTTTTTGTACTTTTTAACATAATTTACTTAAAGGCACTAAGCACAGCAATTTGTGAAATATTCTTTCTTCTAGCTTTAATGAAACAATTTTTAGATTATAATAATTTTCATCATCACAATCTCACTCTCTACGCAATTCACGTATGATATAAAAAAAAAATTCAAGCCTGATAATAAGGGGAACAGAACTTTCCGAGTACTTAAAAAGTATTAATATATAATTATATATTATAAATATATCTTAAAGTCCAAAAAAAATGAAATCTAAAATTAAAATATTGTCTATTCGTAATCTTTACTAAACATTTTTTAACTGAACTATGTTTATACACAAATAATTAGAGATATAATATATAATTTTAATCAAAAAGCGTCTTTAGCTTGTTAAAAGAAAAATTTATATACATATATTATATACATAAGTTGATAAAAGTGATTTAAAAGTGCGTTGTTATATTTATACTCATATTTACATTGTTCGAAGCATATTGCATAATTTACTGTTAATTACTTTAAAAGAAAATTAGAAATAAATTACGAAAACGATTTTTGTAGTCTTGTATACATAATTAAGGATTAATTATAATTTTCTTTGAAAAATGGACATTTTTTATTGAGTGCGAATCCTTTGGATTTTTTGTTCTTTAATTGACTGTGCTTTTAAATTTTATTTCAAATTATTATCCTTGAAATTATATAATATAATATTGAATATTCTAAAATAATATAAACGTTCAATATATTAATTTAATTTTTTAATTTAAAAAAAAAAAGAAACTCCTTTAGAAAATAAACTAAATAAATTAATTAAAATTTAATAAATTAAAAATTAATTTAAGAAATAATTTAAATCTCGATTAGAACTTAAGTTCTAATCGTTCTAATTAAATAATTAAATTATTAAATTATTTTAAAATTTGATCAAATGTGCAAAATAATTACATTGATTTCTACTTGTTTCTACTGTAGTGAATTATTCGCTAGGTTACTATTAAAATTAACCTCTCCATGGAAACGAGAGTAAATAGATTTAATTTACACGCAATTTTTCTTTTATTTTGCTTTTATCAATTATCAATCAATTTTCTACAATGATATTGGACAAGTATTTACAGAGAAGTTAATTTTTGGGAAATTTTTTTCTTTAGAAAGAAGGAAGATATTTTTTTCTTTTGTAAAAAATGCATCGTCCTCCAGCTTTGCCGTTCTTGCCTGGTTTTAATTTTGATTCAAAGGTATGTAATTAAAATTGTGATTTTAACCTTAATAATTATAGTTTATAATTTATTTTTACTATTTTTTTTCTATACATATTTCTTTTCACTAATTTTTTATTTTTACTATTTGTCCTGTTTATTATGAATAAATATATAAATAATTCCTTCTGTATTTATTTTTTTCCATATTTATTGTTACTAAATTTTTCTATATTTATTTTTAATATTTTTTTCCAAATTTATTTTTACTAATTTTTTCTATATTTATTTTTACTATTTTTTTTCCAAATATATTTTTACTAATTTGTTCTATATTTATTTCCATCATTTTCCAAATTTATTTTTACTAAATTTTTTCTATATTTACTTTCACTATTTTTTTCCAAATTTATTTTTACTAATTTTTTCAGCATTTATTTATTACTAATTTTTTCTAATTAATATATTTTTCAGTTTGACAAAAAGGATTTTCACAAGAGTCAAATTTTCGATAAAATTCACGATGGAGTTTATTATCTCGCAGAGAAGCCACACATTCCAGAGCACAGTCGTTATTTATCGTTTCATGATTCCGGTGAAATTCATCCAAAACCACCATGGCTCGCTTTTGATGGACAGGTTTTTGTTTTATTGATTGAAAAAATTAAGTTTTAAAAATTCATTTTGTTTTGAGTAATTATTAAATTATTCGACAATATTTGAAAATAGAAGAAATTCTGTTTCGATTGTGTTTAGTTTTATTTCATTTTTTTACAGCGGTTGATGTTCAAAGCCTACTTTGAATTAAATGCTAGGGAAAATTGTAGATCTAATTCTTCAATTCGATTTGTCACGATAAGCTTCTTCTTGGAGGATGGAACGATGAAAGTATCTGAACCCATCACAGGAAATAGTGGTTTAGAGCAAGGTTTCGTTTTTAAATCGATCAGTAAAAATTTGTTATTTGTTATTTTAAGATAATGAGATTTCTTTTAATTTTAGGTCTCATCGTCAGAAGACAACGGATCGCAATACCAGATCCTGTTCAATTTCGACATTACGATGTTTTGGATCTGAATATTGGGAGAGAAGTGAAAATTTTTGGACGAGTTTATAAAATTATTGATTGCGATAAATTTACCAGGAATTTTCTCTATCGAAATGGAATTCCCGTGCCAAATCCTATACAATTGGGAATATCGGATCCATACTTGGAGAAAGAAGTACATTTAAATTATTAGTTTACCTTTAAAAAATTATTTTTAAATTATTGTACTTTTAAAAAATTATTTTTTGGGAAATTTTAACTATTCAAGGATATTCTTAAAAAGAAACCGCAACGTTCTCTTGATACCAGAGGAAACTTTTTAAAGTACGACAAAAAAGTCTTGAGATTCTATGGTTATTGGGATGACAGAGATAATCTTTATGGAGAAGTTCATAATTTAGAAATTCATTATTATCTCGCCGACGATACAATTGAAATTAAAGAGATTTTACCTGAGAATTCTGGACGTGACGCTGGACCACTTTTTCTCAAACGGTCCAAGATTCCAAAGGTATTTTCTAATTAAAAACTAAATTTCTATTCTAATTCCTATTCTATTCAGTGAATTAATTATTATTATTATTATTATTATATTATTTAATTACTTTTGCTTTAGACCTTCGAAAAAATTGATCCCATCGGATCGGGAGATCCGTTTACGATTTTGAACGTTCTGGGTGATAATCGAGCTAAAAGTTACTTCTTGGCAGATTCATTAAATATTGGAACTAACGCTGAAAATTATTATAAAGATCAAGATCTTACAATTGGAGGAGTGATAAACGTTTTTGGAAGAAAAGTTGTAATTACAGATCTCGATCCCTTTAGTAAAGATTATTATGGGTATTAAATTTTATTAATTTAACTTTGTAAATTAATTATCGTCTTTATTTAAATTTCCATTATATTATCAAATATAATTATGTATTTAAATTTATTTACATATTAAATGTAATTGTTTATCAATTTTATATATTTAAATATATGTATTTAAATTTATTTAGACATTTCTATTTTAGAAAATATAAATTTTCATTTTATTAAAATATTAAATGGCAATTAATATGTTTATTTTAGAACGAAATATGGTATTGACAATTTTACACGTTTGAAAGGACCATTGGAAAAATGTGATTACGATAATAAAATGGAGAAATTTATACCTCCTTACAACGGTTATGGATCATATGAAGACTCTCTCGGAAACTGCTTTTCAGTAACACCTAAGGCGCCAACTGTAGATTTCACCAAGTTTTACTATCGCGATAAGTATGTTGATATCTAAATGGAAAGATAAATACTTAATATAAAAATTTGTATTCCCTACTTAACGATTGAAGGTAAATTTTAATTAAATACACTTGAAGCAATATTTTCTTTATTTAATTCTTGACATTCAGTTCGATAATACTTTTATTATTATGAATACTTAATATTCTTTAGTTTTTTGTTATTTTTATTTCTGTATTATTTTTCCTTTTTATCTTTATTTTAATGTCCAAAAATGTTTAATTAAAATTGTCATGAATATATTTTATGATTTTACTTTAGAAATTTTAAAAAATGTATATTTTAGTTTTTTAATTTTTTAATTTTTTCTTTTAGTTTTTAAATTATAGTGTAAATTTATTGTTACAGGCAAGGATTTGATAGTCAAGTTCTGAGATTTCAGGCGAAGATGATTTCGAAAATTCCAGAGAACGCGGAGAGACATTTTATAATTCGATTTTTTCTTATGGACAATACAGTTGCCATTTTCGAGCTTTCTCGGAGGAATTCTGGTAAAAAATTGTTAATTCTTCTCTCTATTGTAAATTTTGGAAAATTATCTCAATTCAATGATTTTCAATATCTACTATTTTAATAAAATTTTTGAAAAGAAATCAATTATTTTTTTAAAATTGTAGATAAAATTCTAAGCAAACATTAAATTATTATTTTAATTTTAATTATTCTCGAAAATTTGAGTCGAATTCCTCGAAAAATGTAATTATTCTCGAAAATTTTATTAAAATTCGTCGAAAAAATTTAATTATCTAAAAATTTGTTGATAAAATTCTTTATGAGAATTCAATTTTCAGAAAAATTCATTTATTCAATAAATTGAATTTTTTTCTATTTGAATAATTGAATTCTTGTAGAATTTTCTAATAAAAATTGATTTAAAAATGAATTTCAGTTTAAATTTTAGATAATAATTGAATATTAAAAGCATTATAGCAAGAATTTTTAAAAATAATTGAGTTTTGAATAGGTTTCAAGTTAAAATCTTTGAAAATAAAAATTTTTCTTACTTTTAACTGATAATTCTGTAGAAATAATTTTTTTTGAAAAAGTTTAATGGAATTTAAAAAAAAAATTATTTCAAGTTTTTATTTTTTAAATATTTAATTTGAAGAATTTCCGAATAATCGAAATTTCGTAAAATTGAATTGTAAACAAAAGGATTTGAAAATTCTCAAGGAACTTTTGCAAAAATTATTAAAAATAATTGATAATTAATAATTGAATTTTTTCGAAGAATTTTAATATAATTTTTTTAAATAATTGCATTTTTCTAAAAATTTTCTTAAAATTGTATTGAAAATAATTGAAATCCTGTGGAGGATTTGATTATTTTGGAGAATAATTTAATTCCTGCAACAAATTTAATTAATATTAAATTAAATAGATTAAATTAATATTAAAATTAACTAATTTATGAATTTCAGGTTTTATGAGATGCCTTTTTCAAAAGAGAATGCGTGCACTGTTACCGGGACAAGAAGTTTTCTCCAGTAAACCACCAAAGTACTACAAACCAAACGATTTTTATATTGGCGCTTGTTTAACTCTGAGTGGATTTAATTTCCAATTAACTTCCGCCGACTCTTATAGTCTTTCTTACATGGAACAACATCCTGACGAGGTATACAACAAATTTTAATTTATTTATATTTATTGCTTATTGATTTCTCATGAGGTTTTTTTTATTTTATAGGTACACATTTTTTATTTTATTTTATTAAATATTTTAAAACATTTTTTCATTAAAATTTATTTATTTTTTACAAATTTACAGTTCCCGAAAGCAAATGCAAGACTCATTATGGATAATCTTCGTGAATTGTTGAAACCTGTTTATAAAGAATTCAAAAAGGATTTGATTGCCACACTAACCATGGAAGGGAATTTAATTTTAGAATTCGAGCACTTCAGGTTTTGAAAATTATTATCTTTTTTTTGCGGTTTGTTTTTTAATTTTTTACTAAATAGATAAAAATATATTTTTGCAGAAAAACTCTTCTGAGATATTTAGCCGAAAATATCATAGAACATGAAATTATAACTATCGCTCGTCAATATTCTTCACGGAAGAAAAGAGAATTTCATTCTCGAGAATACATCAGGTTGAAGAAAATTAATTTAAATTAATAAACTAATTTCTCAATATTTTTTAAATAATTTTTTTTCAATCTAATTATAAAAATTAGATTTTAAAATCAAATTTTAAAATGAAAATTTTCTAATATTTCTATTTTATTTCTCCATTTTTCAGGGCTTTGGTTCATACGGAGATCAATCGTTTTCTCTGGACAGAACTCGATCGTTTAGAAGAAGATATTCTTCATTTGGATAGAACTAGAACCGGTTACTTATCACGAAATGAACTTTATACAATTTTACGAGGCTGTAGAATCCCTCTTAATGTGGAGTTACTAAATAGAATGCTTGATATGTAAGTAGAAAAAAAAGAAATTATAATGGAAGATTGAATGAAAAAGGAAAATTAAATTTAAAATTTATTATTATATTTATTTTTGAAACAGTCTCGTAAATGATAATGGACAAGAAAAAATCGACTATCGTGATTTACTTCAATTTTTGAACGTTAAAATAAATCCAGTTAATCCTGTGGTTCCTGTTAACGTGAAGGTAAATTAATTTTTAATATTAAAATATTTTCTTCTTTACATTCTACATATTTCAGAATTTTTTTGAATTCAATGAAATTAAATATAATTTTTTTTAAATGTATTTTTTTAAAGAAAATATATTTTTTTTTAAAGTAAATGTAATATTTTTTGGAAACTAAACTTAATATTGTTTAGAAATTAAATGTAACATATTTAAAAAATAATAATTCCAGACCGTACTTTGGTGGACATCGGAAAAGGAGATCGACTGTGGTACTGAAGTAGAGTTGCCAGCTTTCATAGAAGATTTAAATTTAGAAGAAAAAGAAAATCCTATTTCTGATAAGTATAATGAATCTTCTATAAATTAGAAACAAAATAAAAATTAACAGGCCAGTTGCAAAGCAAAGAAAAAAGTCAAGTCAAAAAGAAACATTTTTTTCTATTTTAAGAGAATTTTTAAAATTAAATTTTGACGCCACAAATAAAAAAAATTTTTTTCTCAAAATTATACCATTAATTTGCCAAAGAAAAATTGATTTCAATTTGATATTTACGTGTAATTTATTACAGTTTATTTCTAATTCCATTACAACATACATCGTGTACATCGAAATTAATTAAATTAATCAAATACTAATATTTACAATTTCTACTTTCTAACAATTAAATACGTCCTTATGTATTTAACAGAAAAATACACAGAGTTCAATAAATATGTATAATTACGATATTTAGTTTATAAATACTACAGTATTTTATGACAACTTTATTTTATTTCTATCAAGATTTTTAAGATCTTTTTTCTCGATGACTAATAGACATCTAAGTTTTTTTTCTTTTGAAAAATTGAAAGAAGCAATAAGATAAAACTACCAAGAATTATTTCATAAAATTTTGATAATATTCTTATTATTACGATTATGTTTATTATTATTTTTAGTTTGAAATCGTTCGATGAAGATTTATAGGATTTCCAGTTCAACAATTCGACAATAAATGGTTGAGTGGGCAAAAATTTGTCGCCACAGAAAATCTTGGATAAGATTTGCTTTCGATCGATTTGACTTTTCTTCTTTTTTACCCTCTTTTTTTTCATAATCAGTGGAATAGAAGAAAAGAATTGCTTCGTGGATCAGGATTAAATTTCAGAAATATTTTTTTGGGAAATCTATTAAATATGGAACCAAGAGGTAAGAATATTTTTTAAATTTTATTCTTGATTTTCGTTGTAGAATTTTTGTTTGTTTAATATTTTATTTTTCTTGTAGTATTTTTTTCTATGATTGTAATATTTTGTTTTATAGGTACTTTTATCTTATATTTTCTTGTGTTTATCTTGAAACAGGAGGATATGTTTTAAATACTTTTTTTATTTCAGTTGCACACATAAGTGGTTGTGATTCTCCGACAGGATTTGCATTTGACGTAGCAACAACTTACGTATTTGCATTGACATCTTTCGACAGTATCTCTGGATTTTTTCATGTGGCCCCTACCGCAGCAAAGGTATTCGCAGCCGTCGTATCCTGAACTGCTTCCATTACATTGTCTGAAAAAAAAGAAAATTGCTCCGATTTAATGAATGCTAATTATATTTTACTATTCTAATTAACATCGGAATAGTTAGAAACTGAGGATTAAATAGAAATTCGATTCGCTCGTTTAGAATTTTTTCAGTTACGAATTACGATTCATCGAAAGTTCGAATAAAGAGAAATTTTAAAGTAAAAAATAAAGTAAATTAGATGAAATTAAATTAAAAGTAAATTTTAAATAGAAAGTCTATTAGAAACGGAAAAGATAATAAAGAATTTTAATTTTCGGTCCATTGTTAGAAAAATGAGGAGACAATAGAGGGAAGTTGGTTAAAAATGAAAAATCTCTGCTAATGATACCTTTCTTGATAGATAAATAACGCCCTTAAGACTCATTCATCGTGACTGTGTGAATGAAATCACTCTACATTTCTCCTCCCATTTTCTCTTTATTTTCTTTTTTGCTAGTGGAAAAAAAACCCAGTCCAAATTTTTAAATTAATTAAAACAAGAATTCAATTAATTTAGAATAGAATTTTTAAAAAAATTTCGGAAAAATCAATTATTTAACGAAATTTTTATAAAATTCTTCACAATAATTCAATTACTTTCACTAATAATAACATTTTTCCTGGAAATTCAATTTTAAAAAAAAAATTTTGATAAAATTCTAAGCAAGAATTCAATTATTTTCTCATAAATAATAAAATTCTTCTCTGGAATTCAATTATTTTTGAAAAATTAAATAACATTCTTAGCAACTATTCAATTATTTTCATAAATAATAAAATTCATCGCAGGATTTCAATTATTTTTAAAAGTAATAAATTTCTTCTTAGAAATCCAATTATTTAAAAAATTATTTAAATTATTTTCATAAATAATAAAATGTTTTTTAGGAATTCAATTATTTTCGAAAAAATTAAATAAAATAGCACACAGAGATTTAATTATTGTCAAAAATTTTAATTGAATTCTTTGTAAAATTTAGTAATTTTTTAAAACTGTTCGCAATTCAATGATTTTCAATATCTACTATTTTCATAAAATTTTTAAACAAAATTTAATTATTTAAAAAAATTTTTGTTTAAATCTTCATAAGAATTTAATTACTTTTTATGAATAATAAAAATTTCTTAATAATTCAATTATTTAAAAAAATTTTTGTAAAAATCTTCATAGGAATTTAATTATTTTTATGAATAATAAAAATTTCTCAAGAATTCAATTATTTAAATTAGAATTTGCATAAAATTATTTGAAGGAAATCAATTATTTAAAATTTTTTATAAACTTCTTCGCAAGAATTAAATTATTTTGATAAATATTGAAATTCTTTCATGAATAATAAAATTCGATGCAGGAATTCAATTTATTATCAGGATAAGAAAGAAGTAAATATTTTTAATGAAAATTAGGAAAATAAAATCGAGTGCGAAGTCTGATTTTCGACAATTTTTCTAAAATAGAATTTTAAGTAACCTTTCTTCTAAATCAGTTTTTATAAATTTAATTGGAATTTAACTGGAAAAAATTTTGAATTTTTGCAGAAAAAGAAAGTAAAAATTGACAGAAAATTCTAGAGTCGATTATTTCTTTGTCAGGTTTTTGTGAAGAATTTTTTGAGAGCCACTGAGAGCAAGAGAGATACGTCTTTTTGGATCATAACTAGTAATTATAAACTCGCATACAATCGTGCCGAACTGGGCGTGGAATACTTTTATCGACGAACGCCTTCGCTTAAATATGCATACTATATGGTTTTAGTTTCAAAATCTCGAAATGAATTCCTTGCAAAAAATTTAATAATCGAACTTTCGATAAAAAAAAGATCGAATTTTTATTTAATCAACTAAATTTTCTCTTTGCGCGTCAAATTTTTCCAATTTTTAGAATTTTTCCCTGGGAATAATTATTGTACGATTATACTATTTTCTCTCTCATTAATTGCAATTTTCTTTTACTATTGTATTTTTTACTAATTACTATTGTTTACTATTTAATATTTAAATATTAATTTCTTATTATTAATATTTAAATGCTAGAAAAATTGCTTTTTTTTCAAATTACTATTGTATTTTTTATTAATTACTAAATTTTCTTTTCTTTTTTTTGCAGAAAAGGGAGTTTAAAGGAAGAGCGCAAAATGTCGGAATCGAGAATGATCCTGGAATTGAATTGGCTTGTATCTTATCTGAATTCATGACACGGCTTCCCGTTATGGACACCATGGATATGCAAAGGAATAAACGAAAACCTGTATGAAACGATTAATACAAACGTAACATAATTTTACGACTGTGAAACATTGAAAATGGAAGGTATGAAAGAAATCTCGTTTTATCTTCAATTTTCAACATTATCGCAGTGCACCGTCTCTCTCTACTGTCAAATATATTTCAGAGACAAGATTATATTAGACATTCGACTTATTTTCATAATAATGAATTGCACTCCCATCAATAGCAAATCATGTCGACATTTTTTATACTCTCGAGGAACTGTCTTTTATTCTTCTCATATTTTTATAATGCAAGTATGAAATATTTCTGCAATTTCTTCTTAGTTCATTTTTTCATTTATTACTAACAATTGCATATTGAATACGACGAACTCTTGAGCAATTCATCTTTATACTTCTATAAAATAATTATTCATATCTCGAGTGATTTATTATTTCCACATTTTTTTTAGGCCTCGGAATTGGCTTTTTCGTCCTTTCTCGACTTTTATCGACTTCTTTTCAAAAATGCAGACTTTTTTCGATCTTTTCTGCAAATATTGTAACAAAATTTGAAATAATTTATTTTCTTCAGAAATTTTAGTACAATTTTTAAAAATCTTTTTTTAGATTCTATTAGATTTCAATTTAATTGAATTTAGTTTAGCTTTCAATTTAAATTAAGTTTAGATTCAATTAGATATTTCCAACTGAGAATTTTCGAAAATGACAAAATAATTATAACTTTTACTTGGGGGAGAAAAAAAAGTTGAATCGAATTGCAAATTAGCTTTAGGATTTATTTCATTGGATTTCTTTTTCTCGAGAGGAATATTATTATTGTATTTGTTTTTTCTTTCAACCCGGAGGACAAATAACGAAGAGTTCTCTATTAATGAAGATTATAAGCCACTTTCCCCGCCACGACGAACCGGACGAACGCGTTTATTACCATTTCTATATGTTCTCTGAGTTGCTTACAAATGACTGCATACAAATATTTATCATCTTGCAACCTACTCCTCTCTGTCAATTTTAAATTGCTTCTCTCTCTCTCTCTTATATTATCTCTTAAACGTTTGATTAGCTTTATCAAACATTTCGAATATCAATTTTTCTAAAATTAAAAATTTTAGATTTTATTTTCAAACATTTATTACTATACGAGCAAAGCGAGAAATATGTCGCTTGTAATTTATATAAATATTAATTCAATCGATAATTTACGTATAACACTATTAATCGTAAAATTTTTCTTTTTATTTTTTTAGAAATCTTCTACTGGATGAATTGAATTTTCAAGTGGATGTTTAATGAATTTTTCGAGATCTCACCTGCCTGAAGTGCCAAGACTACCTCTCTTTCTATCAGGTAGACAATAATCGGAACTTTTGGTGGTGAATAATAAATTATCGTGATGATAAAGTGGTGGCAGTCTTCCTCCGACTCTTGGTCGAACTTCGGCTGCAGTCGCGTACCTTCGAAGTAATCTCGCCCCCGCTACCGATGGTCCTGATGATCCCAATCCTCGCCAACATGTTCGAATACTGCACGAACCAGAAACACCATGGCACTTGCATTCCAAAATCAAACTCTGATCCACAGCCTATTTTCGAAAATGAAAAGAAGACAGAAAATTTCGAAATTTAAAAAGTTGGAGCCAATTTTAATTTTTGTTACAATTTTTTTTTTATTATTAATATTATTATCATTATTATTAGGTATTATTATAATTATAATAATAATTATTATTTTTTATTTATTGTTTTTATTGCTATTTGTTTGATTGTAATTATTTTTATTATAATTGCAGATTTTTTTACCCGTCGTCCGGCTCGATTATTGTGCATATTGACGGCCTGCAAAAATTTACCAACTGGTCCGGAGCCTTGATAAATTGTTGTTCCCTGAAGGAATCTCTTCGCCATTCTTGATGCTGAACGAACGTCGTCTCCACATCCACCCCATTTAAAGGAATTTCTCGCTGAAATTGCAAAGGAAAATGTTGCCGGCGAATATGAGGATGAAACTAGAGCCGATGATGATGGTGGTTCTCGTCTCGGTGGTGTTGCACATGAACATACAGTCAAACTTCCCAGGGCGCAACCCCTCGCCAATCGCCAAACAGCAGCTGCAGCTGACACTGCATAAACGAAAGCTTGTTCCCTCGTTCCTATTAGGTTCGAATTTTATTAATACATTAATTATTACAATTAAGAATTATTATATTCATTAATTATTAAAATTGAGAATTATTATATTCAATTATATTTTGACAACATTCAATTTATAATCAAATCAAATTCAAAATTCAAAAAAACAAAAAAATACTCTCTTATTTAAAGTAATAAATATTTTTTATTATTTGGAAAAAATAAATAAAATTCTTCGAAAGAATTCAATTATTTTCAGAAATAATATAATACTTGAGAGGAATTTAATCATTTTTGGAAGTTTTAATTAAATTCTTTGAAAGAATTGAATTTTTTTTTAAATTTTGTAAAATTCTTCGAAAAAATTCAATTATTTACAAAAATTTGGTTAAAATTCAAAACAGAAACCTCGAAAGAATTTCATTATTTTGAAATATTTAAATAACATTCTTCGATACAGTTAAATTAATTTAAAAATTTTATTAAAAATTTTTTTGCAAGTATTGAATTATTTTCATAAATAATAAAATTTTTCGCAAACATTTTATTATATGATTTCTATGAATTATAAAATTTTCGAAGGAAATTAATTGATTCCAAAAATTTTAATGAAATTCTTCGAAAGGATTCAATTATTTTTTAAAAATTTTTAATAGAATTTTTGAAAAACTTGAATTATCTTCTAAAATTTCAATAAATTCTTCACAGGAATTATTTTCAATTATTTTCAAATTTTTGATAAAATTTTTCTCAGGAAGTTAATAAATTTCAGTACAATTTTAATAAATGTTCACGAAAAGATTCAATTATTTTTTAAAATTTTTAATAGAATTGTTCGAAAAAATTGAATTATTTTCTAAAATTTTAACAAATTCTTCGCAACAATTCAATTATTTTTAAAGCAATTTTAATTGAATTCCTCGAAATAATTGAATTATTATAAAAAATTTCCATTAAATTCTTTAGAAGAATTTAATTATTTTAAATGCAATTGTAATTGAATTCCTCGAAATAATTGAGTTATTATAAAAAAATTTTATAAAATTCGTCGAATAAATTAAATTTCTTATAACAAACTTTAATAAAATTCTTTAGAAGAATTCAATTATTTTCAATACAATTTTAATTGAATTTTTGGTAATTATTCAATTACTTTCATAAATAATAAATTTAATTTTTATAAATACTCTTTAAACGAACTTAATTATTTTTCAATATTAATAAAATTTCTTTATGGAATTCAATTATTTTAAAAAGTTTTATTAAAATTCTTTGAAAGAATTAAATTTTTAGCAGAAATTTTGAATAAATTTCTTTGTAAGAATTTCAATTTTCTTCAAAACAATTTGAATTTGTATTTTTACAAATTTGTTATTATTTTTATTTTTATAAATAACTTTTCCTAAAATTTTGCAAAACAATTCAATTATTTTGAAAATTTTTATTAAAATTAGTCGCATGAATTGAATTTTTTTCCAGAAATTATAAAACTCTCAGAGGAATTAAATTAACTTTAATGTAAATTTTAATAAAATTTTTTGTATGATTAGAATTTTTATTTTCAAAAGTTCTGATAATATTCTTTTTGGAAAAATTAAATTAATTCTAGTAGAATTTTAATTAAATTCCTTGAAAGGATTTAATGCTTTTCAAAATTTTTTATTAAATTTCTTCAAATCAATTCAATTATTTTTAAAAACTTTAATAATATTCCTTAAAAGAATTAAATTATTTTCAAAATTACTGATAAAATTCTTTCGTACATTTCAATTAATTTTAGAACAATTTTAATTAAATTGTTTGAAAAAATGTAATCTTCAATGCACAAAAAAGCTGACATAAAAAAATAAATCTCACCAGTTATTAATTCAGGCGAATAATCGGGGGCCCGATCAATGCTACTGCAATTCCATCTGCGATTTCGAAAAGCCTGCTGACAAACTGACGATGTATCTTTAGCGGCTTGAACAAAACTCGGCATCACATCCAAAGTTGTTCTACAAAGTTTCGCCTGCTTCCTTTCCAAGAGTCCAAGATTTTTAGCTTCAATACAGGCCTCCTTTGTCCATGCATTTTCATCCCATGATCGACCCAGAGCTCTTTAACACAAAATCATTTTTTTTTTTGTCACTTAATTATTTTAATTAATTTTTTAATTAACTCTTTAAAGTAAAAGATGTAATTCCTTTCCTCTAATTAATAGATGTAAAGATTTTTGAATTCTTTAAATTCTTTAAATTCTTTAAATTTAATTTTCTTTACTAAATTAATAATTGGGTGAAGAAATTGCATCTTTTGCGGTATAAATTAACTTTTTGACAAAAATATTCTGATTGCTTACAATTATTTCTTTTCAGGGAGATTCAAAAGTGAAAGGACGCATTATTTTGTAAGAAAAAGAAAAGGATATTCACACAACCGTTTTTTTTTTGAGAAGACAGGCGTGTCGAATGGGAGAATTGACACTTATGGAAGAAGCTACTTTATTTCACTGATAATAGACCGGATTCCAGAAATCGATAATTTACATGAATAAAAAAAAACAAGAGTCAAAATTCGTCTCGACTTCGAACAAAGTACGTTAAAAATTATTTTTAATATTTAGAAATAGAAAAATGAAGAAATCCTTCTTATTGCAACAAAAGCATAGTTATTATCAAAAATGGAAAATTATTAATCACTGAATAATTATTATCAGCCGAAAGTGCAGTTTTCTGATGAGAAGTGAGAGGCTATGAAAATATCGTAAATTTTCTATGTGACAATGAATTTGAGGTGTGTTTTTGATAGGGTAATTAATTTCAAAGTAATATGTATATCGCTGATGGGGTTTTGCGATCTGCGGGCAATATTCTCAAGAATAGTTGCGTCTAGACGTATCCTGTCGAACGAAATAAGCAAACAGCCATTTGGACTTTGAGGGCACTTTCAGGTGTTCGTAATTACCTCCCAACGCCTTTCTTTCCCCTCCATTTCCTCATAATGCACTCACACATTAACAGCAAAAACCCAACGCATATTTAAAGTGCCTATTTCATGCCCTATAATTTTCAAAAATCACCCTTGATTTACGGACCGAGCTCTCGGCCACTTTTTTTCTCAATTCAACCTTTCAACCTTCAACACCTCTCATTTTTCATGTAAACAAAAAAAAAATAATTAATCATCTGATTAAGCGGCAAATAATTTGCACATTTTTTAAAATATTTTTTTCCAAATTTTAAATTCGTTTATGAAAATAATTGATATTTTGCTGAACAATTTATTGAAATTTTTGAAAATAATTAATTATTTTCGAGGAATTTAATTACAATTGTATTGAAAATATTTTAATTCTCATAAAGAATTTAATCAACATTTTTCAAAATAATTGAATTTTTGGGAAGAATTTTATTAAAATTCTTTAAAATAATTAAATTTCTTCCAAAAAGTTTTAAAAATTATGAAAATAATAATTGCAATCTTGCTAAGAATTTAATAAAAATTTTCGAAAATAATTGAATTTTTTCGAGGAATCTAATTAAAATTGCATTGAAAATATTTCAATTCTATTAAAGAATTTAATCAAAATTTTTCAAAATAATTGAATTTCTACGAAGAATTTTATCAAATTAAAATTTTTTTTTTTAATTTAAGGGCATTTGAAACTTGATGACGTCACACATGCTTTGCACAAACTGAAACGTCATCAAGGTTCAAATGCCCTTAATTGAATTCTTTTGAGAAATTTTATTGAAATTGTATTGAAAATAATTTAATTCCTGCGAAGAATTTTATTAAAGTTTTTGAAAACAATAATTTAATAATAATTAAATTTTATTTTATTTTATTCAATTAATAATTGAATTTTTAAAAATGTTGAATCTGAAATAAATTATTCCAAAATTGAAATTAATATTTAAAAATAAAAAAATTTTAATATTAATAAACATAATATTTATCAAATCAAATTGAAATATCAAATTTGAAATTAAATTTGAAATTAGAAAATTAAATTTATTTGTCTACTTACTTAAATAAAAAAGAATAAAAAAAAATAAGATTGTAGAGATTGTGATGTAAATAGTGGAAATTCGGTCAAATTGTGAAAATTGTATATTAGAAAATTATACTTCTAAATTGCGAGTAGTTGAAGAATTATTGTAAAATTTTTAAATTGCGATAAATAGCAATTTAAAGTTTTTGATGTTTTATTATCAGATTTGTGTGAATGATGCAAAAAAGAAATGCAAAAGGAAACGACTAATTTAGAGTCTAGAGGTGATTGGATAAGTTACTATCCAACGAGTAGATAGTAGTTGAACCTGACGTGTAATTACAGCGATCGCTGATAGCTTTGCACACTTTATTGCATACATTTATCTTAAAATGTATACGAGATTTCAAGAAAAACTACAATTTTCACCATAATTCTGATTTAATTTACTTCAAATATTGTTTTTTTTTTATTTTCACTATAACATCTCTATATTAAATAACCGAGTTGGTGATCATTGGTAATTAATTAAATTTTTCGTTTTCCTAAATTATTAAATGTATTCAATATTAAAATGCAATTTTATTTTGTGGTAAATTTTTTTTTCTAAATCACAATTTAGTAAATCAGAATTTAGCGAATTAACAATTTAGAAAATTTGCAATTTAGAAAATTTACAATTTAGAAAATTTACAATTTAGAAAATACACAATTTAGTAAAATTAATATTCAGCAAATTTGCAATTTAGTAAAATTAATATTCAGTAAATTTACAATTTAGTAAAATTAATATTCAGTAAATTTACAATTTAGTAAAATTAATATTCAGCAAATTTACAATTTAGTAAAATTAATATTCAATAAATTTAAAATTTAACAAACTTACAATTTAGTAAAATTAATATTCAGCAAATTTTTCAATTTAGTAAACTTACAATTTAGTAAAATTAATATTCAGTAAATTTACAATTTAGTAAAATTAATATTCGGTAAATTTACAATCAAATAAATAAAATTTCGATATTATTAGTATGAAACTGTTAATTATAAATTGTAAATCTAAATACATTACAGTTATAATTATTGTGAGTTAATTATGAATTCTTTTGAATAAGCATGTTTGAAAAAAAAATGCTTTTGAATTACGATCTTTGAGGAAACCTCAAAACCACAATCTTCCTCATTACCTTAAGTGAGGATCCTCAACGCCCACACAATTCTTATCTTATTCTCATTTATATACACTCATTCAAAAAGCTAAAATGCATATTCTACCATCTCTTTCATAACTGATAATTTCTGTTTCTTCTGTTTTTAAAAAAAACCTCTCGTTTTAATATAAAGCAAAAGAAACGTAAATGCAAAAAAATTGAAAAAGTTTCTTCTCTCTTTCCGAATATATAAGGGAAAATAAAATGAAAGAAATAATTATACTATGATAATTAAAAACTATTTATAAATACTCAAATTTTACATGAACTAAAAAAAGGCAATTTGTATTCTAAAAATTGTTCTAAAAATTGTTCTAAAAATTTTAATTTTAATTATTAAATTTCAATATTAAAAATTAAATATTTAAATTAAAATATTTTAAATTCAGATTAAATATTCAAAATTAAAATAAAAATTTTTTAATTTAAATAAAAAATAATTTCTAATTTTAAATTCAAATATTTGGAATTTGGAATTTTTAATTCAAATATTTGAAATTTAAATAGTAATAACAATTTGTTTATTTTCTTTCGAAAAATGTAATTTTAAGAAAAATTTAGTTAATTGTATAATTAAATAACTGGGTGATAATTAAGTAATTTGTTCTTCTTTTTTGCTTTCAGATATAATATGGCGAGTCTCGAGAATAAATAAATATTAATATATTAAATTATATTTTGGTTTTACGCCTCAACACGCAAAATCACCATCAATCGATCATTCATCATTCTTCATTCCGGTCCAACATCGCAAGATTCACCTTCAATCTTAAAGAAAATTACTTTCAACACGATTCGTTTATTCCCACAGGATTCATCTCAATTTCGTAAATTCATAATTCATGCACAATTTTAAATAATAATATTACAACTATTTTTCTCTCGAGAAATTAAATTTTTCTTCTTTCAATTTTCTTTTTATTTCTTTAATTTTTTTTAAACATTAACTTCACATTTTCGAATACATAATTTAAAATTTGAAATTACCAAAAAAAATTTTGTTTACTAACTACTTAATTATTATTAGAAATTATTTTCAAAGACTTCAAAAAAATTCAATTATTTTCATGAATAATAAAATTCTTCGTTGGAATTGAATTCTTTTCGATACAATTTTAATCAAATTCCTTAAAAGAATTTAATTATTTTTCTAAATAATAAAATTCTTTGCATGAATTTAATTATTTTGGAAAAATTTTTTAAATTCCTTCAAAAAGAATGAATTATTCACATAAATAATAAAATTCTTCCCTGGAATTCAATTATTTAAAAATTGTTTAAATAAAATTCTTCGTAGAAAATCAATTTTTTTACAATTAATAAATTTTTTCAAATTAATTAAATTCTTTTGAATATAATTTTAATAAAATTGTTCACAGGAATTCAATAATTTTCAATAGAATTTTGATAAAATTTCTCGAGAGAATTCATTTATTCTCATAAATAATATAGTTCAATTATTTTCAAAATTTTTAATAAAATTCTATGCGAGAATTAATTTATTTCAGATTTAAAATTATGAAAAGTTACAAAAATTATAAAAATTAATATAAAAATTTATCAAAAATTTTATCTTTTAAAGTAGAAAAAAAAATTACACATTAACGCAAAAAAATTAATTTCTAAATTTTTTATTAGTAAACATTTAAAAGAAAATTAAAATACATGCGTGTAATAAAATTAAAATACTAAGTAAATTTAATAGTAAAGTAATAATAAAATGAATATCATAATGATAAAATATATTCTTAACGAAAATAGAGAACTAGAAAGCAAAATTAACAAAAAAAAAAAGTATTGATGAGCAATTTTCATCTCTTAGGTTTTTACGAGCTATTATCATATCATTATTGAATTCGTAAATATCGCGTTTTACGGTTTCCAAAGCTATTTTACAATGAATACAGAATTAAATGAATTTGGAGAACTTGGGTCTTTTTTATGATACTATAGAATTTTCAATATACAAATAAAAATGTTCATCTTTTTTCGAATTTTGTTTTGCAAGAAAAATATTCTTTACTTTTATACGTAACTTTAAGTTTTATTCTGAAAAAAAGATATTCAGTTCGTAAAATTTTAAATTTACTAACCGAATGGTCTTTTTAATCAGGAATTTTTTTTTTGCAAAAAGTATTTCTCTGAGAAAAAAATTTTTTTATTCCTTATGAAATTGATTTTAATATAAACAAAATAATATGAATTAATATTAAAAAAAATTATTATGTATTATTAAGTGACGTATTAATATTAATTTTTATTTTGTGATTATAATTATAATCATAAAATTTTTATTATTTTATACTTTAATTTAATTTTTATTACTTTATATTTTAATATCGTTTAATCTACATTTTAATTATAGTTTATTTTTTATTAAAAATTTTTATTTATTTATTAATAAGTTGTAATTAAAAATGTTTGTAATTGGAAATTATTTTTGCAGGCGAAGAAAATTATTTGCCAATTGGATTTCGCGGTAAATTGATTACAACTGCGGGCCACATTGAATGAAATCGTCATCGTGGCCTCACACGACGGTGGCTAAAGGAGTATATGTAGAAGAAGAAATTATGATTCAAGAAAGTATCGTTCATTTTCAATTTTTTCTCTTATTTTTCCTTTTATTTTTGCTTTCCCCCCGCCAAAGAAACTATTTGTCTCTCATTAACGAGCCTACATTAATCATTCCCTCTTTCAATGTGAGGCGCCGTGTATACAAGAATACATCGAGAAAACTCGTTATCTATAAAGAACAAAGAATCGAAAAACCCGTTAGTGAGCGCATGATTCATTTATATTTATTTTCAAAATAATAATTAAGATGTTGCATTTGACAGATTTTTTATTTTTTAAATTTCTTAATGAAATTTTCATTTTTAAATTCTAATTTGCAAATGAAATGTGCTTTTTTAAATATTAAACTTATTCAGGGTTGCCACAAAAATTTAATTTTGATTTTCTCTGATTTCCAAACAAAGTTTTTACTTTTTCCCCGACCCTGAAGAATATTCTGATTTAAGGCGAATTATATTCTGTGAAAATTTTTGTTATTTATGACAATAATTGTATTCTTGCAATAAAATTTATTAAAAATTTTTTTTAAAGAATTGAATTCCTGTGAAGAATTTTATTTATGAAAATAATTCAATTCCGCAGAAAAATGTTATTTTTTATGAAAATATGTCTTGTGAAGAATTTTATTTTTTTTTAAATAATTGAATTTCTCAGAATTTTTAAAAACTTTTTGAAAATAATTAAATTCCATCCGGAAATTTCAACTAAATCTTGTAAAGAATTTTATCAAAATTTTTTAAATAATAGAATTTTTAAAAGAATTTTATTTAAATTTTTCGAAATAATTGAACTTCTCAGAACTATTTTTTTTAATTCTCTGAACAAATTTGAATTCTTTCGAGAAAATTCATTAAAAAATTAAAAATTTAATTCTTGACGAGAATTTTAAAAAAAATTTGAAAATATTTTAATTTCTGCAAAGTATTTTATTATTTTTCTAAGGAATTGAATTCTTGTGATAAATATTGATATTTATCAAAATAATTGAATTTTGGAAAAAAATTTTATTAAAATTCCTTAAAGTAATTGATTTTATGGGGAGAATTTTGTTGTTTATCAAGATAATTAAATTCTTTTGCAGAATTACTTAAAAATTTTTGAAAATAATTGATTTTCTGCGACGAATTAAAAGTTATTTATGAAAATAATTGAATTATTGCTCCTAATTTAATTATTTTATTGAATAATTAAATATTTTTTTTTTAAATTAAATTCTTTCGTCCAGTTTTAATAAAATTTATAAGATTAATTGCATTTTTCGAGAAATTTATTTAAAATTGTATTAAAAGAAATTCTATATTAATTTTTATTCTGTATTAATTGAAATTCTGCGATGAAAATAATTCGAATTCCTAAATGAAATTTTATTATTTATGAAAATAATTGAATGTTTTCGTAAAATTGTATCAAAATGAAATTTATTTTTGAATATTGAATTATAATTGAAATTTTCATTTTTAAATACTAAATTGTAAATGAAATTAAAATTTTTACTTATTTGCACAGGCGATAAGAGAAAGAAAGGAAGAGAAGAGTCCAAAGGGGGAGAGTTAAGGAAGAAATAATCACTTACAACCACTTGATGCACGCGCCGTTATCAACGAGAAGGAAAATGATTAAAAGAAGACATAATTTCCCAGTTGCAAGAGTTGTCATCTTTACAAACACTTCACATTATTTCGTTTTATTTTTCTGGATTGGAAAAATTGGTATTGAAAATCCATTCTCATTAGATTAACATTTTTCCATAAATTGTTCGTGTTTTATGTAGGAAATTCCTCCACAATTCTTTTCTCTTTCGAAAAAACATTTTTCTTTCGTCTCTCAAATTTTTCTTCTTCTTTTCTATTGCTAGCAAAATAATTAAAAATTAGTCTATTTCTAATTGTCTCTGTTTTTACATTCACTTCACTAAATTGAAAAAAAGAACGAAAAAAGAAAATTATATTGTTGTTTACTCGGTTTTTTTTTTCAAATTGTATTTTTTTCCGAGAGGTAAAATTTTTTTTTGTAAATTTGAAATGAAAAATATTTTGGGATTCTTTTTCCACTTTTTCGTTGTTTTTAGTGAATAATTGTTTTTTTGAATATTTTCAGAGAAGGAGGAATTTCGGATGGATGCGCGCGTTAAAGAAGAGGAGTCTGCGTGGTTACAGGTGTCCGTGCATGCGAAACATTGGAAACTAGCAGGATGATATGTTATGGTGATGGTGAAGACTGAAGATTTGTATTATAGAGGTGGTGGAAATATAGTGGTGGGTACCGGTGGAATCAGAAGGCTGGAGATGTGAATATGCGCCTCCAAGTGGAGTCGGCGCGTGGACAGAGAAAATAAATTGAGAAATTTTTTTGGGAGAAAGAGCCAAAGAAACTTGAGCGTAGAAATAAAGGGAAAGAGAGAGAGAGAGAGAGAGAAAGGGCGAAAAAAAGAGGAGAAGAAAGAAAGAAATCTAGTATATTGCATTTAGAAAAAAAAAGAGGTGGAGAAATTTCTGCGAGCTCCTTTATAGGAGGAGACGAAGGATGGACCAATTGCCCCTCTTTCACCAATCTTCTTTCTTCAATATCTTTCATCTGTCATTCGCTGGATCTCTTTTCGCAAACAGAGAAGTTAATCTATTTTCATTTATGTACATCATTATTCAATCATTTTTGTCAAAAAGAAATCATAATTAAATTGTAGCAAAAAAGAAAAATTTAACTTACAAAGTTGATGAATATCATCACTTCAATTTTTAAATGATTTTAGAATCAAAATTTTAAAATATCTACTTAGTAGCTTATAGTATAATTATTATTGTTTTCTAAAATATTAATAAAATTCTTTGAAATAACTCAATTATTTTCAAAAAATTGTAATAAATTTGTCTGCAAAAATTTAATTATTTAAAAAAATTTTAATAAAATTCTTCGAAGGAATTCAATTGTTTATTATAAATAATTAAATTCTTCACAGAGATTCAATTATTTTTAGAAGTTATAATAAAACTCTTTGAAAGAATTCAATTATTTTTAAAAATTCAATAAAATTCTTCTCAGGAATTCAAATATTTTTAGAATTTAAAATAACATTCTTTAAAAGAATCCAATTATTTTTAGAAGTTATAATAAAATTCTTTGAAAGAATTCAATTATTTTTAAAATTGCAATAAAATTCTTCCCAAGAAGTCAATTGTTTTTAGAAGTTTTAATAACATTCTTTGCAAGAATTCAATTATTTTTAAAAATTTAATAAAATTCTTCATAATAATTAAATTATTCAAGTATTTTCAAAAAGTTTCATAAAATTCTTCGAAAAAATTCGAAAATTTGAAAATATTTTCAATGTAATTTTAATTGAAATCCTCAAAATAATTGAATTATTGTCAAAAATTTGTTTAAAATTCGTACATAAAATTTAATTATTGACAAAAATTTTAAGTTAGTAGAATTCAATTATTTTCAATGTAATTTTAATAAAATTCATGGTACCTAATTATTCAATTATTTTCATAAATAATAAATTTAATTAAAACGATTTAATTTAAACTCTTAGAACGAAATTAATTATTTTTAATATAATTTCAATAAAATTTCTTTATGGAATTCAATTATTTTATAAAATTTTAATAAAATTCTTCGTAAGAATTTAAATTTTCTTCTAAAGAATTGAATTCTTTTTTGTATAAATTTTGTTATTTTTTAATTTTCATAAATAAATTTTAATGATATTCTGCAAATTCAAATTATTTTAATTAAATTACAAAAATAATGTAATAATTAATTACTAAATAGTTACAGACTCTTGGATAAAAATTAATTCTGCTTTAATTCTTTTTCAGAATTGCGGAATAAAGGGAGGGCTAATTTTCCGAGGCGCTAAAAATACGAGAAAATTGTGTTTTCGTTCACATTGGTACGTTGTTAAATTGGCGTTATTTTTTTTTCCTCGGGGAGGAAAAAAACAGTTATACGCATCAAGGCTGTCTCTCACAGCTCATTTAGCAATCTTGGTCAAAACGGCTGTGGAACGTTATAATATATACGTATACAGAGAGATTTCACACAAAGGTAAATGTTACTCTTCACATTTCATGACGAGCGATGCATCATGGGGTTGTGGAAGCGAATCAAGGGCTAGAATATACGAACAGGGGTTTGGGTAAGTCGCTTTTAATAGCCGAGCAGCTCACAGCTGCCGCCGCTTTTGTCTATATCACTGTTCGAAGCTTGATGGCTCAAGTCCTGTGCTTCTCTTTCCATAATTATGACGGGAAATCGAACAATTTATTCTTCTTCTTCTTCTCCTTCTTTAAATTAAATTTCATCTTGCGATTATAATATGTCGAAAAGGGAAAGAAAAAACAATACACTCAATTTTTTTTGTTTAATAAAGAAATTTATCTTTTTTATTCTGTAAATTTTGCAATTTACAAATTTTCGTTTTAGTTTTCTATTTTCTATTTCTTTCTCCAAATTTTCTTGAATGGAAATATTGAAAAAATTAACGAATTTTTCTGAACCAATTTTTCTTTTAGTTTTCTATTTTCTATTTCTTTTTCGCAAATTTCTTGAATGAAAAAATTGGGACGAATTATCCTGGACCAATTTTTCTTTTAGTTTTCTATTTTCTATTTCTTTTTCGCAAATTTCTTGAATGAAAAAATTGGGACGAATTATCCTGGACCAATTTTTCTTTTAGTTTTCTATTTTCTATTTCTTTTTCGCAAATTTCTTGAATGAAAAAATTGGGACGAATTATCCTGGACCAATTGGTTTTTTTTAGTTTTCTATTTTCTTTTTCATTCTCGAAATTTTTCTGAATGAAAAAATTGAGACAAATTATCCTAGACCATAATTTTTCTAATTCTCTTTTTATTTTCTATTTCTTTCTTGAAATTTTCTTGAATGATAAAATTGGGACGAATTATCCTGGACCATTTATGATAATAATTATTAGCACGATCGAGAGGTAAAATCTCTCTCCTTTCTTTTTTTTTGCTCTTCCAATTCTCTCTTGTCCTTGGACAATTGCCGCGATAAATAATCCTTCGTCAGACGAAGTCATTACGTCGTTAAATTTATAAATCCAGGAAACAGAGTTCATTCTTATCGAATTTCTTGTTCAAGAGAATTATCGATTTTTTCCATGTTTTTTATTCCTGTTTTTGGCAATTTTATAAAAATAAAGAAGAAAAATTTAATTTAAGTTTAATTATAATTATTATAATTATAAATATTATAATTAATATCGACATTTAATTTGAATCGAAATAAAACTAAAATTTCAAAGAATTTGCAGATTTCTTCTGTGAACTATTTCAGAGTTTTGAAAATTAGAAAATGAATAGTTTTTATCGCAACAGCTGGCACTCGACGACGAGTATAAAAATAATTACTTTTGATTGGTCCAGGAATACTTGGGTGCGAATAAATTTATTCTAGGATGCATGAGGTGCAATTATGTTCGCTCTCAGACCCTTTGCTTAAGGTGAGAACGATTTTCCACCAGGAAAGCGTTGCGAATCTCTCGTACCTTCCTTTTAAAGTTTTTACAAAATTTGAATTCATTTCAACTCTATTTTACTAAAGATTTTATTTCTTATTTTTATCATATTTATTTGAACCATATTTTTATCTCTCACTCATTCAATGATAATAAATTTTAATAATTTATTTCAATTATTAATCATTTTGTTAAATATTCAACTTCTTTATTTCTATCGTAAATTTTTTTTTATTGCAAATTTTTAAATTTACACAGAAGCAATTGTATTCTAAAAATTTATGAATTTTAAAAATTTTCGCTTGAGGTGAGAACCAAAATAATTTATTAAATTTAAAAAGATTGAGATAAGATAAAAAAATAAATCATAGTCAATGTAGACATTTAAAATTGCAAAATGTAATTTTATTCAGTAATTTAGAATTTTTCATTCAATGGAAATTTTTCCGTATTATTATTTACTTTCTTCCTCTTTTTTATTTTTTTTTTTATTTATTTTTTTTTGTTTTTTTGAAAAATGAGTTTTAAATTACAAGATGTATTCATTTTGATAAGGGAGAATATATGTACGAGACAGACATTAAAGTGATATCAAGATCTTTTGCACACAATTTCGTTATGATCGCGCATAATCTTTATACAATGGCGTGCAGAGAGTAAAAAGAAGAAGAAGAAAAAAAAGCCGAACAAGTGTGACGGGCAACTTTTTTTTTCTCCTTCCTTTTCCTTGAAGAATTCCCCTGAGTTACAAAAAATAATTAATCGCGGAAGACAAGCAGCTTACTCTTCGACGATTTTTAACGAACAAAGTAGAATCTTCAATAAGATTAAATTTAAATAACTAACTTTTTGATTCTCATAATTGGCGGGAAAAATTCCTTAAGATCATCTTTAAGATTTTTTTTATTAATTATCGATTAATAAATTAATAATAAATGCAAAAAGAAATTCTTTATCGCAAAATTATGGATAATTATAAGAAAAGTAATTAGAAATATAATTGAATGCAATTTAGGAAATCTTTATTAAAAAAGTATTTTAAAACTCGAAAAAAGTCTAGAAAAAAGTCTAAGAAAGTTTAAAAAAGTATGAAAAAGTGTGAAAAAGTCTGAAAAAGTCTGAAAAAGTCCTTAAAAAAAGTTTTTGAAAAATTTTCTCCACTTTTGAAAATAATAATTAATTTTGCTACCGAAAGATTGAAATTTAGAAAAAAAAATTTACTTGGCGACTTTTTTTTCTAAAGTTCTTCTACAGATCTCCATGGCATCCAGGTGTAATTGAAATGCTCCGGTAATCCTGCGGGATCTAGAGGAGCATTTGTTTGATTCATTAAAACTTTTCTATAATCAGCTAGTCTTCTTTCCATGTATTTGACAATCTGCACAAAAAAATTCGTTTTTTATCGAAATATTTGCAAAAAAATTAATAATAAATTGAAGAACAGAATTTTAAACAGTCTTGCAGAAAAATTGTTAGTTTATTTTTTTAAAAATAGAAAATAATAAATAATAATAATAATAATAATAATAATAATAATAATAAATAATAATAATAAATAATAATAATAATAATAATAATAATAATAATAATAATAATAATAATAATAATAATAATAATAATAATAATAGTAATAATTAATTAATTAATTAATTAACTATTAATAATTTAAAAACAACTAACCAATGGATTTGATCTTGATATGTCCGTAGTTTCGCATGGATCGTTATAAATATTAAATAAACACAAATTGGAACAATTAGGAAAGTGAGAAAATTCCTCGCATTGAATTCTACTCAAATTTCGTAGATTCGTCACAATTTTCGATGAAATTCCCTCGTCTTGAACACTATGAATTGCTAAATTCGCCTCTGAATTGAGAACACGAGTGATATTGTATTCTGGATAAGAATCGTTGTTACCAGAATCACCATAATATTTACTATACTGATCAGAAGCACCTAAAAAATGTAATTAATAGTTAAAAAAATATTAATTAGGTAAATTATTAAAGCAAATGTTACGCGGAAATTATGATGCAAATTTCGAAAATTTTTATTTTCAAATATAAAGTTTTGAATAATTTCAAAATTAAAATTTTTAAAAATCACTTATTAACTAGAAAATTAATTATTGTTGATTATATTTTCAAAAATGTTAATATAAATCTTCGCGAGAATTCAATTATTTTCATAAATAATAATAACAATCTTCAGAAGAATTCAATTATTTTTATAAATAGTAAAATTTTTTGCAAAAATTCAATTATTTTTAAATTTAAACAAAATTGTAATAAAATTCCAAAAAAGAATCAATTATTTTCTAAAATTTTAATAAATCTTTTCAAAACAATTCAATTATTTCATTAAAAATTAAATAGTAAAATCTTTGCATAAATTTAATTATTTTCAATACAATTTCCATTAAATTTCTCAAAAGATTTCAATTATTTTAAAAAATTTTGATTAAATTCTTTATGAGAATTGTAATATTTGCAACACAATTTTAATTATAATTCCTCGAAAAAATTCAATTATTTTCGAAAATATTAATTATATTTATAGCAAAATTTTTAATTATTTTCATAAATAATAAAATTCTTCGAAAGAATTCAATTATTTTTATAAATAGTAAAATTCTTTGTGTAATTTAACTACTTTCAAAATTTTTAATAAAAATTATTTAAAAAACTACATTACTTTTAACTAAATCAAAGAAATTCTTCAAAAAGAATTGAATTATTTACAAAAACTCTCATAAAATTGTTTAAAAGAGTTTAATTTTTCATCGATAATTTTAAGAAAATTGTTAGGTAGAATTATTAATTACAATTATTATAATTATTATTATATTCAATAAATGAAAAAATTTTTTTGAGAAAATTCAATTATTGACAAATTAAACTGTTAAATTGAAAAAAAGTAAAAAGAAAATCAAAATGTTCAATTAACAAATATTTTATACAATTAATTTCTTTTGTTTACCTTTGACAATTTTGAATTTCTGGAAAATGGCACTTTCAGTGTTCTCCTTCTCATCAATATTGACGAGTAAAAATTTTCTTGTCCCTTGTTCATTTCTTTGTAATTTTGACCATTGATCGACACCATCGATTTGACCCAAATCAAATACATTTCCCCCGGCGGCTGAATAAAACGTGGGAAGCCAATCAGTAACGTGCATAAAAAGATTTGATACCCTCGATTGCATTTTTATCAAAGGAGAATAAATACATGCTGGTACTCTAACTCCACCTTCGTAAACTGTGAACTTGAGCTAAAATCAAATACTCGATTAGAGAAAAAATAAAAAAAACAAAGAATTAGAAAAATAAAATTTTTAATCTATCAAATTCTTAATTATCTATAATCTCTATAAAAGCTCAATTTATAATTCTAAATGCAAAAGAAAATATTTATCATGATATAATTTGCATCAATTACTCCTCTCAATGGATAATTTGATCCGAAATTTTCCAAAAATCCTTCACTTTGTGCTCCATTGTCAGAAACAAAGACAATAATCGAATTTTCCAGCATTTTTGCCTTTTCTAATGCGGCCACTGTTCGACCTACAGAATCGTCCAAAGCTTCCATCATCCCTGTAGAAAAAAATGAATGAATGAATTAATTAATTATTAAATATTAATTATAATGATAAAAAATAAATGAATGAATGAATTATTAATTATTTAATTTTTTAAATAATGTACGAATTTGAAAAATATTCAAAAAAACCTGCATATTTTCTTCGATTAAAATTTTTAATGTATCCAAATGTTGAATTTAGTTGAGATAAATTGCGAACTTCTAAAGGATCGGCAGCATTGCTGCAATGTGGAGCAAGATGTGCAATTTCCAAAAATAGAGGAATTTCTGGATTATGATTATTAATAATCTCCTCGGTTTTTTTCGACAAAATATCAGTGAAATATTCTTGATTATGATCGGGGGCGATATTCAGTGAATTTGGCAAATCATCGTGTAAATCGTAGCCAACGTATTTTTTATCCTGAGTGTATGTATAATTATAATACTGTATCATTCCATTATAATAGCCGTAAAATGAATCAAATCCACGATTCGCGGGAGTATGACCTTCGGTGTAATATCCCGTGTGCCATTTTCCAATGAGCCTCGTGACATATCCTAAATTTTTCAAATATTTCGGCAATAATGTCACGTTCAAGGGGATTCCTCGTGGCTCCGCTGCTCTCAAGGGAAATCCCTGCATTCCTAAAAAAAAAACGAACACTTATTACTTATTTTTGCAAAATTCAATTATTAACAATTAATTAATTGAATTATAAAATAAATTATTTAATTACTGTAATTTATTAAAATAACTAGCGCCAGCTCGCGAAACACTGTGTTTCGTTTATTATTATTATGCAAATTAAAAAAATTGTTTATTTTCAAATATTAATTTCAATTTTCTAATAATTTCAGACTCAACATTTTTAAAAAATCAATTATTAACTAATTTACTAATTAATTATAATTATTTATTGTTTTCAAAAACTTTAATAAAATTCTTCGTAGAAATTCAATTACTTTTGAAAAAATTTGATAAAATGATTAATTATTAATTAACAATAAAAATGATATATTTTCTTAATTATTAATAGTCTTCACAAGAATTTAATTACATTAAAGAATTTTAATAACAATTCTTCGCAAAAATATTATAATTTTGAATAATTTCAATTAAATTCTTTATAAGAAATTTTTAACAAAATTCAATTATTTTTCTAATTTCTAACATTTTTCGCTGGAAGTTTATTATTTTAAAGAATTATAATCAATTTCTTCGTAGAAATTCAATTACTTTTGAAAAACTTTGATAAAATGATTAATTATTAATTAACAATAAAATTAAAATATTTTCATAATTAATTATTAACTTTATTAAAGTCTGTGGTTTTTCATTCTGTCCGTTCGCAGTATGAAGTTAGTTGTTAGTTATCATTTGCGAATTATTATCATGATTTTTTTGTTTGTTTATATTTTTCGTGATGTTTTGACATTTCCGATGTTATGTTATGCGGTAGTGCGGGTGTTTTTAAAAAACGTTAAATTGTGACAAGAATTATTGTGTTTGAAAAATCGTGGAAAAATATCTGGTATCAGGCGAGAGGTTACCGTTTTCAGTGGAAAAAAAACTGTAGATTGGTAAATTCTAATTATTAATTAAAATTTTCTTCTTAATTAAATCATTTATATTATTTCATTTTATTTTGTTAAATAAAAATCTCAAAATAACTTAAAAACAAATTTTATTCGTATATCTTATTATTATTATTATTATTTTTTTTTATTTATAATTATAATTGATAATATTTATTGTATTTTGATTTATTATTATTATTGAAAATTTTATGCATTTTTAAAATCTAAAAAAACTGAAATATCGAATTGTCAATAAAAGTTGTATTATTTTCAATTTTCAACGATTATTAATTTTAATTAAAAAATTCAATTTTCCTGAATCAATAAAAAATATCGTTCTAAATTTTATTACATTGGTCGTTTTCGTAAATTACTATTCAATAATATTAATTATTCAAAATAATTAATTTTTTAATATTTAATTTTTCAAAAATTTAATTAATCTTCAATTATTAACTTATACAGTGCAGGATCTAGAGTCTAAATTTTTTGGGAAGAGCGATCCCTTTAGTGTGTGCTTTTTTTGATTGCTATTATGAGTGATAATAGCTCCTGGTTCTTTTATGTTTAAAAAATTGTTCGAAATAATTAATTTTTCAAAAATGAAAAAAAAAAATTCAATTGTTTCAAATTTTAATTAATTTTAAAAAAATGATTTTACACAAAAAATTTATTTATTTTTAAAAATAATTGCAATTCAAAATCTATTTGAATTTAGTATTTTAATAAATTACTTTTTTTATTATGTTAAAAATAAATTGTTTTTTTAAATATTTTATTAATTTTTTACAATATTTGAATTTTAAATAATTCAAAAGTCAATTATTAATTATTCAAAAATAAATCAAACAATTTTAATTAATTCAAAAATAAATTATTCTGTTTTTAATAAAAATTTAATTATTTTGAAATCATTGAAAAATGTAATTGTTCAAAATAATAATTAATTATTCAAATATCAAAAATACAATTAATTCAAAATTAAATTATTTCATTTTAAATAAAAAATTGAAATTAATTTATTGGCACTTACGTAAAAAATAAACGTATTTCTGTGTGTGTTTGTGTGTAGAATTAACTTATAAGTGCTTTCTTTTGCAAGAATTAAACTTATCGTTATCTTCTGTTCAAATAAAATATAAAATGTTAACGTTTTTTTTAACACAATATTATAGAAAATAGATTTTCTAAAAAGAAAAAAAAATAATGAACTTAAAAAAAATACTTTAGGCACCGCCTTTCATTTCAACTATTTAAATACTATCAAGTCTTTTAAAGACTATATAAAGTCTTCAAATCATGAAAAATACATAATAAAAAATTGAATTATTCCGAAATAAAATTCAAAAATCAACAAAACAATCAATTTACAATTAGAGCCATTTGGGGTAATTGTAAACAAGGGATAAATGTAAACAATAGATGTTTCAACTAAATTTACAAATTTAAAAATTAGTTTTAAAAACTTGAAAAAAATTGTTCATAAATTTAAATTACTTTAAAAATATCCAATTAAAATTATTAAAGAAACACAATTATTAAACAAAAAATAAAAAATAATTCTTCAGAAAAATTTAATTAGGGTTTCCAAAATTGATTTAATGATTTTTAGCGAAAATTGAATTATTTTCATAAATAATGACATTTTTTGAAGAAATTCAATGATTCTCAAATTTTTTGCAAGAATTTAAATGAAATTCAATATATTAATTTTAATTAAAGAGGCATTTCACGTCAGAAATATCACGATTTGCAAAGGGTATGCCGATTTTCGCAAAAGTTTGTGGGATTATAGTTCTATATAAGAGACTTCTTTCCCCCAAATTTTTTCAAAAAAAATTCAAAATTGTTGAAGATACGCCATTTTGAATTTTAATATTAATTTTATAAAATTTTGAATATCTCGGAATATTGTTTATGGATTTTTATGAAATTTACACATTTTTCAGGTAAAAGTATGTACTTTAAAATGCAAATAAAGTTAATAAAAAAAAAATTAATTTTTAAATAAAAAATTAAAAAAAATTTTTTAAAACAATTTTTTGTTTATTTACTCCTCTCTGAGAAAAATGTTATTAACATATTTGGATTCCTTATGAATTCACCTTTAATTTCATAAAAAAAAATTGATGGAGACTCAACTGGTTCCAGAGATATTGAATTTTTTGTAAAAAAATAGTCATAGTTACAGCAGCAATGCACGACTGCGGTAACGTACTACGCGACTTGTGCAGTATGGTGCTATGGCGCGGCGACGCTTTTTTTTACAAAAAATTCAATATCTCCGGAACCAGTTGAGTCTCCATCAATTTTTTTTTATGAAATTAAAGGTGAATTCATAAGGAATCCAAATATGTTAATAACATTTTTCTCAGAGAGGAGTAAATAAACAAAAAATTGTTTAAAAAAATTTTTTTTAATTTTTTTATTTAAAAATTAATTTTTTTTTATTAACTTTATTTGCATTTTAAAGTACATACTTTTACCTGAAAAATGTGTAAATTTCATAAAAATCCATAAACAATATTCCGAGATATTCAAAATTTTATAAAATTAATATTAAAATTCAAAATGGCGTATCTTCAACAATTTTGAATTTTTTTTGAAAAAATTTAGGGGAAAGAAGTCTCTTATATAGAACTATAATCCCACGAAGTTTTGCGAAAATCGGCATACTCTTTGCAAATCGTGATATTTCTGACGTGAAATGCCTCTAAAATTAAAAATATTGAAACATAAAATTATTAAAGAAGATAGGAAACAAAAAAGTAAATTACAACTAAATCAAAGAAGATAGAAGAAGAAGATATTAATATAGAGAGAAGATATAAAGATAGAAGATGTTAATTGAATAATTTTATATTTCTAAAAAAAATGTATTTTTCATTCTTTCCAGCATTTCCATTTTTTAAATTTATTTAAAACATTATAACGTCATAATAATAATTAAAATACCCTTAAAAATAATAATAATCATTTTAAAGAATTGCTATTTTAATAGAAAAAATATATTTATATATATATTAAAACATAAAATTATTAAAATATTAAACAAAAAAAAAATATAAACTGCGAACAGATATTTTCAATTAATAAATAAAAATTTTAATTTATTTATATAAAAAAAGAAAATGCAAAAATATATTAATTAATAGAAGATGAAATAATTTCTTTAATGGCATTTGAACCATAATGACGTCACAATTTGTTCACAGCATTTGCTAAAAAATTGTGACATCATAATGGTTCAAATTCGCTGAAAAAATAAAGTTTTAATTATTTAAAATAAAACGTTGAAAAAAAAATGCACGCGCGCTCGCGCGCGTCAGTTTTTGCTAGTTATTAATAATCTTCACAAGAATTTAATTACAATAAAGAATTTTAATAATAATTCTTCGATAACATGTTATTATTATGGAAAATTTCTATTAAATTCTTTATAAGAAATTTTTACCAAAACTTCAATTATTTTTATAATTTCTAAAATTTTTCGCAGGAATTCAATTATTTTAAAGAATTTTATTTTTTAAGTTTATGGATTTATTGGTTTTTTTATTTTTATATTTTTTTATTCCCTAAAAACAATAAATAAAAATACAAATTTCAATACAATTTTTTATAAGAAAAATATTTATTTAAATACTTTGAAAAAATTTAATTATTTTCATAAATAATAAAATTCTTTGCAAAAGTTAAATTATTTTGAAAAATTTTCAATGCCTACAATTTTAATTAAATTCCTCAAAGAAATTCAATTATTTTTGTTAATTTGAATAAAATTCTCAGCAAAATTTTTAATTATTTTCATAATTTATAAACATTTTTACAGAAATTTAATTATTTTAAAGAATTTTTATAAAGTTCTTCGCAGAAATTCAAATACTTTGAAAAATTTTGATAAAATTATTTATGAGAATTAAATTATTTTCATAATTAAAAAAAATTATTCGCAGGAATTTAATTATTTGAATGGATTTTAATAAAATTATTCAAGAAAATGTTATTATTTTAAAAATTTTCAATACAATTCTTTATAAGAAAAAAATTTAATTAAATAATTTGAAAGAATTTAATTCTTTTCCTAAATAATAAATTTGTTTGCAGACAATTATTTTGAAAAATTTTGATGAAATTCTCTATAAGAATTAATTTACTTACTACAATTCTTCGCAAAAATTCAATTATTTTGAAAAATTTTGATTAAATTCTCTATGAGAATTAAAATATTTTCAATATAATTTTAATTGAATTCTTTGAAAAAATTCAATTATTTTCATAATTTATACAATTCTTTGCAGGAATTCAATTATTTTCAATACAATTTAAATAAAATTTCTCAAAAGAATTCAATTATTTTTAAAAATTTGATAAAATTCTTCGCTGAAATTTAATTAATTTGAAAAATTTTGATAAAATTATTCATGAGAATTGAATTATTATCATAAATATCTAAAAGTCTTCGCAAGAATTGAATTATTTTAAAGAATTTAAATAAAATTCTTTACAGAAATATTATTAATTTTTTAAAATTTCAATTAAATTCTTTGTTAGAAAAAAATTAATTCTTTTCCTAAATAATAAAATTTTTCTGATAAATTCAATTATTTTGAAAAATGTTTGATAACATTCTTTACATGAATTCACTTATTTCAGATTCATAATTACCAAAAAAAAATATTCTAAATTCAAAACATTAAATTAAAATTTCTTTACTTTTAAAATTGAAAACATTAAAAAGAAAAATACCACAAAAAAATGGGAAACAGAAAGCAAACGAAAACAACTTCAAACTGCGAATATATTACCGGATTACAAAGATTATTAATATAGATAATAGATTTACATTTTTTGCTTTCTTTTTTATTTTAATTATTTGTTTATTACTTCTTTATTTAGTTCTTTATTTATTTATTTCTATATTTACTTCCTTATTTCTTTATTCACCTCTTTATTTCTTTATTTACTTCTTTATTCATTTAGTTATTTTTTTACTGCACAATTTTGATGAATTTTCTTTTTACAACTTCTCCCGTTACGAATTATTTATTTTATTTATTTAAGTAGTAAACGGGACTGTGCCCTTTCGTACAAAGTACTCTTAATACTAATTTTATTGCACTAAGCAAAATTACTAAATATTATCAAAAATGAAACATAAGTAGCTGAACTTAAAATAGTGAACTACATATCTCTAAAAACAAGCTGACGCAAAAGTGTGTGAAATCTCATAGAGTTACGATCAAAAAAATCAATATCATTATAAACATCATTTGCTTCTCTACAAAGCCTGGTCATCAAAGAATGATTTCCATAATTCGTTCTATGAAATGGAACAGAGAATAAAGAAAAATACCTAGAAGGTCTTAGTGGCACACGTAAATTAATTAGTGATATAAGTGACTGACAATTAAAGAATCCATTAAATAATTTATATAAAAATGATAAATCAATATATAGGAATCTTAAAGAAACCCTTGGTATATTGAGCACAGAACGCAAGCTGCAGTAATCATGAGCATGAAAATCAAATGGTATGTGAAGTTGACGCGCAATGAAACGAAGAAACCTATTCTGAATGCGTTCAAATCTTATAATATTATATGTGTAATATGGCACCCAAATGACTATAGCATACTCTACTATTGATCTGATCAATGAAAAATACAAAGTTTTTAACGCTGATAGATTATGAAAAGCAGATGCATTTCTCATTACAAATCCCAGAGATTTTAAAGATTTAGAGATAACTTCGGAGATATGTTCATTATAATTGAGATCTTTACCAATCAAAACCCCCAAGTCTCGAACCTGAGTCACTCTATTTAATTCACTTGAACCCACAGTATAACTATATACAAATGTGATTTTCCTCGCAAATGAGATTACTACACTCTTATCTAAATTGAAGGTCAAATGATTTTTCTTACACCAAACTATAAGATGTTTAAGATCTAACCTGAGTTGTTTAGAATCGAGACAAGGGTTATTTGCATTAATTGCTTTAAAAATTTTCAGGTCATCTGCGTACAACAAAAATTTGGAATATTTAAAAACAAATTTTATATCGTTAATATATAAAACAAACAATAAAGGACCGAGATGAGACCCTTGAGGAACTCCCGAGGTAGATTTAAACGCATCAGAATAGTCATGTTCAACTCTCACCATATGAGGTCTATCCGTAAGATAACTTTTAAAAAAATTAATTAAATTTTCAGACATGCCCATGATTCTCAGCTTGCGTAAAAGTATGTTGTGATCCACCTTATCAAAAGCCTTAGAAAAATCCACATAAATTGCATCAACTTGTTTCCCCATTTCAAGATCCAACGCAAGTGAGTTTGTAAACAAAGCAAGATTAGTAATCGATGATCTTCCTTTAACAAAACCATGTTGTTCATCAATAATAATATTTGATGTAGCTAAGTAAAGAGAATCGTGTATCAAACTTTCAAAAACCTTTGGTATAGCGCTAAGAATTGTTATAGGTCGATAATTTGCAATGTCATTTTTGCTTCCACTTTTATATATCGGTACAATAATGCCCTTTTTCCACTCATAAGGAAATATACAACAACGTAATGATAAATTAAATAAAATGTGTAAAGGTTCGACCAAAGAATAACAAAAAGAACGAAGAAATGATGGAGGTATCTTATCAGATCCCGCCCCCTTACTGATATCAAGATTTTTTAATTTAGATAAAATTTCCTCCCTTGAAAAATACATATTATTTAAATCCATCGAACCTGTAACATTAGAATTATTATTTAAATCTTGAAATGGCGTAGTATAAACAGAACTAAAAAACGTAGCGAAAAGGTTTGCAATTTTGACAGGACTATCACCTGACTCTTTACCAAAATTCATAAAATTAGGTAGACGTTGATTTTTCCTATTAATGTTAACATATTTCCAAAATGTTTTCGGACAGTCAATTATCGAATTCTCAGTATTAGAAATATAATTATTATAGCATGTATTTGACAAAGATTTGCATCTTGAACTTAAATTAGAAAATTTTAAATAATTATCATTTGTTTTAAATTTCATATAATGAGCATGCGCAATCTTTTTTTCAAGAACCAGTTTTTTAAGTTCAAATGTAAACCACGGTGGATAACTAGATTTATAGATAGCATTTACAGGAACAAATCTGGTAAAAGCACAATACAAAATATCATAAAAAATATCAACGGCGTCATCCACAATGTTTGTATCTAGTACCTGTTTCCAATTTATTGCATTCAAATAACTGACCATCCCTACATGATTACAATTTTTAAAATCAAATTTTAAATCAGTGTGTTCCGAACTTTGTAAGAGCACATGTTTTGTTGAAAAATTAATTAATAATGGTGGGTGATAATTGTCAATCGGCAATATAGCATCATTTGATAAACTAACGCTTACATAAAAAGGATCGCAAAAAACCAAATCAAGTAATGAATTATATATATTATAAAAATTATTCAACTGTGATAAATTAGTAAAATCTATAGTCTCGGATAACAAAGATGCTATTGAATTTTGTTGAGCTGGTAAATTTAAACTTGTTATGCAGGAGGTATTATCATTTAGGTTTATGCGACTATCAAGTGAATAAAATTAATTACCTGCTCTTATGGGATAACGACCAGAAAGAAATGCCGTTCTCGATGGTGTACAAGTCGGCAGAGTATAATATCTATTTAAAATCACTCCATTATATGCAAGAGCATCAATATTTGGAGTTGGAATCTGATCGGCTCCATGGAAACTCAAGTCATTCCAACCCTGAAAATTAATAATAAATATAATAATTAATTTTTCGATAAAATCTTCAGTTTAATCACTTATTTCAATTTTTCACAAGTTTACAAAGAAAACGAAAAAAGAAAAAAAATCTGTTAAAAAAAAGTTTTAGAAAATATTTTCATAACAAGATTGTAAAGATCAAGGCTATAATTATCAGATCTATCGTGAATGCAGATCAAGGATTTTCCCTCTTGATAAAGTAACAATGACAATAAAAATAAAAAAAACTTTTTCGAGTACAATAAGTTTATGAAAAATGGGCAAAAATTAGCAAAAAAAAAAAAAAAAAAAAGAGAAACAAATAAAAGAAATGATAAAGAAAAATTGTAAATTCAAAATTTAAAACAAAAGAAAACTCAACAAAGCAGATAAAATTAGTAAAAGAAAAGAGAAACAAATAAATGATAAAGAAAAATTGTAAATTCAAAATTTCAAACAAATGAAAACTTTACGAAGCGAATACGAAACGGATTTGAAATAAAGTAGCGAATGAAAAACAAAAAGTAAAAAAATACAATAAAACAAAAATTAACAAATAAATAAATAAAAATATTTTAAAAAACAAATAAAAAAATTCCCGCGTAGAAACCTTTCGAATTTTTCGATTACGATATTGACATAATAATTTTCAGAGAATTTATAAATCAAAAGAAAAGGAAATCCTCATTGCTTTGTACAATAGAAATAATTATGAATAAAATTTTTCCTAATTTTGTAAATTGTAAATTGTAAATAACATAAATCTAATTTAAAGACATCATGAAAAAAGAGATTCATGCGGAAGACTTTCTCAAATAGTCGTAAAATTGTATAAATTTTTCAAGTTTCATATAAAATCCGGTTTCTAAAAATAATTGTTATTTGCAGAGAGAAAACTTTCTTGTATAAACTATAAATTTTGCGTTGTATAACTAATACATTAAATTTAATAAGAAATCTTACAAGATCATCAGCCATTATAAAAATAATATGTGGCTTTTTTGGTTTCTCTTCATTATTCCAAATGAACGCTAAAGAAATTCCAGTTATACAAAAAACTGATATTACAATCAAAGATACACCACATTTGAAATATTCCATTTTCTTTTCTCACTTCATAAAATTTCTGTCATTCAATAAAGTTATCCATCAATAAAAAAAAAAAAATTTTTAATAACAAATTGCGTAATTTATGCCTTTTTTTGCTTGTTTCCTCGACCTTGCACTTTATTTCAATTAAATACGATTTTCCTTATTATTAAAAAAAAAATTATAATTTTCAGTAACGTAAATATTAAATAATTTTGTATTTTATTTTTTGATTTTAATTTTATGAATTTTTAATTTCTGAATTAATTTAATTTTGGTTTCGTTAATTTTTGCGAATTTAAAATTTAGTTTTTTTTCGACACGATTTCCGCACTTTTGATTTATCACAAATTCTTTAAACACAAAATAAAGGTGCATTGACACGAGTTATATTTTTCTTTTTGTTAGAAATTTGAAAACTTTAAAGTCACCTAAACATTCGGTTTGACATTTCTTTCACGAATGAATAAAATAACGTTACAACGCTTGCCTTTAAATGCAAACGTAATTCCTATAAGTTTATTCAAGATTATTTAGTATAAAAGATAATAAATTTCATTGAGATTTTCCAACTGAGAGACGCGAACTTACAAACATTCACCTTTAATTCTTTTCTTTTTCTCCTACAAAAATTTTAAAGAAATGTAAAAATCGATTAGTAATTAAAATAATAAAAATTTTTATTCTTTCTATTTATCGAAATTTGTAAATTTTTCCTCTCTTTTTTTTTTAATGTTAATAAAATGACAAAATTTTAAATTATGAAAGTTCTATATGACCGTGAATTTTACAAGGTCAAAAACATTATAGAAATAATTAATCTTTCGAAAGTTCATATTTAAATATGAAAATCATATTTTCTTTCAGTGCTTACCAACTTCAAAATTTTCTGAAAAACTTTCTCTTTCCATAATCGTTGCACTCTAGCGGATTTTATCGAGAATGGCAAATATAATTTACATTTGAAATTTTGTGGAAAAAAATCCTTTTTTCATCGTCATTTGAATTTTTTTTCTGAAACAAAGAAAAAAATGTTATAAAAAATTATATTAATTTTTATTACTAATAATTAAAAATGTTATTACCTTCTGGATTCCTTATCTAGCAAGAAAGTCAATATAATAAAAATAGTTCATTACTACTAATTACGTGATAAGTATTTTTAACGAAATTTCAAATAAAAAGTTTGGCAAATTGAAAAATTTTAAATACGAATTTTAAAATATCGAAATAAAATTTTATTCACCGAGTATAAAAAGCGAAATATTATTTTTATAATATACTTTTTTAATATTTTTGATACGTTTATAATATATTTTTAATAAACAGTATTTTCTTCGTACTTATTTTAATTACTCTAAACCTAAATCAACTGAAAGTAAAAATACAATAACGTATAAAAAGTCTTCGATAAAAATTATTAACTTAAATTTACACACACGAAAAATTATAAATTATCTACTATTCTAAACTGAGTCTAAACTATTTTTCTCGAAATTTGATACTGTAAATATTATTTATTTTTAAATATTTAAATTCTAAACTACAAAAAAAATAAATGAGAAATTATCGCGAAAAAAAATTAAAACCTATTTCTTACGTACAAAATAATGATTTTAAACCGCTTTAAATAAGCAGATAAATAAAAATATAACTTAATCTTATAATTTCGATCTTTTTGTGTCTAATTATTTGGTTCGGTTTTTTTTAAGATAAGAAGACAAGTGCCGTTAATTATTTAGTCAGACAAAGTTCCTAAAAATACTAATTATCAAAACTAATCCAATATGTGCGAAACAAGCCAAAATGCTTATTTTTGATGCAGCACTCGCGTACGCGTAAAGCATATGATTTGGCGATAGCCAAGGCTCCCAAGTGTTATTTTTTCTTCTTGGATCCGCCATCCATTGGATTGGTTGTCTCATTTGTTTCTGAAGAAGTTGTCCGTATTTTTCCAATAGTTTATCCAAATGTTGTACTCTCTGCGAGTACGAAAAAAATATTTAAATTTGACAATCATGCAGTACAATAAAATTAAAAACAACAATTTATTAATAATTTTAATAGATGAATTAATTTATTTTATTTGTCAATTCAAATTTTTTAATAGATGAATTATTTATTTTATTAGTCAAATAAATAAGAGTTTAAATATTTGTAATATTATTTTAATTAAGTTTTTCGCTAGATTTTTAATTATTTTGAAAAATTTGGACTAATTTCTTTTAATCTTTCTTTTAATTATTTGCCAATTCAAAAGTATAAAGGAAATAATTAAGAAATAATATAAAAGAAACATTTTTAATTGATATTTCCCAAATCGATCGAATTGATAACAATTCGGTTTAATTAATTTTTGCTATTTTTTAATCTTCAAAGCAATAAATTAGAATTTCTAATTTTAAAATTCAAAACGTAAAAAAGAAAAATTACAACAACAAAAAATAGTAAATGAAATTCATCTGTTAAAAAAAATTAATTATTCATCTATTAAAAACAATTAATTATTGTTGTTAGTTTTATTTTGTTTTAGAAAGAAGGGAAATATTTACGTTTGGATATTGTTTAGCGATGTTCTTCGTTTCGCAGGGATCGTTCACGATGTCAAAAAGACATTCCGTCTCATTGCAGGTGACGAAAGTGTTACGAATTGGATACGAGTAATAAGTCGTATTTGCAAAACACTGAACAGTCGCTTGTAATCTCAGACTAATCATTGCACTTGGTTGCGTGACCGGTCCTCCAAGATGAGCGGAAATACTTCCCGAGACAGCACTTTTTAAAATTCTTGTTGTATTGTAAAGTGGAACTTCACGATTTCTGCCCGATTCTCCATGATATCCATCATAATATCCCCGCTTCACGGAACCTTTTTTCGAAAAAGAAATTTAGGTATTTTACATTTCAATTTATAAAAAATTTTATTCTCAAAAAAATTCTATTCCTAAAGAAATCTATTATTAAAAAAATTCTATTCTAAAAGAATTCTATTCTAAAAATATTCTATTGGAAAAGATGTTTATTCTAAATGAATTCAATTGTTAAAAAATTATATTGCGAAAAAATTCTATTGCAAAAAAAAATTCTATTGTAAAAAAATTGTATTGCACAAAAAAATTCTATTAAAAAAATAAATTGTATTGTAAAAAAATACTACTTGTATGGTAAAAAAACTCTTTTATAAAAAAAATAATTTGTCAAGAGAAGGAAAAATTTCAACAAAAAAAATTGTTCTCCTTTTAATTGAGACAAATTACCTCGAACAAGTTTAAATCGATTGTAAATTGCTCCCTCAGTTTTCGTGACTTCATCAATATTCAGAACAATTGAGTCACGAGCGTATCCTCGACCTTCGCTGAGAACTGGCCATTGATCGACACCATCGATATTTCCCAAATCTTTCAAATTGCCACCAGCTGCCGAATAAAGTGTCGGGAGCCAATCTGTTATGTGAACAAGTTGTTCCGAGACAACCGCCATTTTTTGCAATCTCGGCGACCAAAGAACCCCTGTTCCCCTGACACCACCTTCGTATAATGTGTATTTTGTCTGCGAAAAAGTAGATAATGTGAATAAAATTATAAAATAAAAGAATTCTATTTTATTAAGAAACGAATAAAGAACAATATTGAGTAATAAATTTTACGAGACCTTTATACGGTTTAAACAATTTTTTTAAAAAAATTGTTTAAACTGTATAAAGGTCTCGTAAAATTTATTACTCAACATAATGAAAAGCGGATGTGAAAAATTTCTAACAAAGAAATTCTATTTTATTAAGAAAAGAATAAGAAAGTATAGAAAAGAATAAAAAAATAAAAGAAAAAATAAATTAATTAAATAAATTGTATGTGCAATGTTTTTTTAATCGCAAAAAATAGATGTTTTGATTTATATATAAAAAGAATATTTTCTACCCCTCTTAGAGGATAATTGGAACCCCAGTTTCGAAATTCGCCAATTGAAGCTGCGCCATTATCGGTGAGAAACAAAATAATTGAGTCATGCAGCATTCCCTTGTCACCCAAAGAGGAAACGACTCTTCCAATTGAATCGTCCAATCGAGAAACCATCACTGTTTTAAAAGAAATTTTTATTAATATCAATTACTTAATAAAAATAAAAAAAAACTTTAAATAAAAGTTCTTTTTTTTTCGCTTCCTCATGAATAAGTATTGTATTCACTAATTCTAATTGATGATAATTTGTCAATTAGTTAATTAGAATATTGGTAAAAATTAATTATTATTATTGAAATTAACTAACTTGCATATTTTCTTCGATTTGATTCACGAATGTGAGCAAATTCCTTATTATTAAAATGATCTAATGGCACTTCGAGTGGAGCATGAACGGCTAAATGTGAAATCTGTAGATATAAAGGTCGTTGTGGATCGTGATGATCTATTATTCTCAGAGCCTCTTCTGTGAAAAGATCAGTTGCATATTCGCCTTGTACACCGTAACTTGGAATATCTCCTTGATGCAAGTCGAAACCACTCATGTTCTGAAAATAATTAATTATATAATAGTTGTTTTATATTTATAGAATATTTATATTTTTATAGTATTTGTATAATATTTATGCAACATTTATAATGTTCTTTAAAATAACTAATAAAATTCTTCGCGGAAATTCAATTATTTCCAATATAATTATAATAAAATTTCTCGAAAGAATTCAATTATTCGTTGAATAATTGAATTATTTTTATTACTTTTTATTTTTAATAAAAATCTTCGCGGGAATTCAATTATTTTCAATACAAGTAATAATAAATATTTTTGAAAGAATTCAATTATTTTTAATAAATATCAGATAATTCTATATTATTATAATAATTGAATTATTTCCAATACAATTTTAATTAAATTTGTCAAAAGAAAATTGTAAGAATTCAATTATTTCTATAAATAATACAATTTTTCACAGGAATTCAGTTTTACAAATTTTATGTTTCCTGACTTTTTTTCTGATTTCCCTGAACTTTGGCAATCCTGATAATATTTACATAAATAAATAAATAAATTTTAGAAAAAAAATATTTAAATTTATTCAATATTTCATTTTTCCAAGAAATTTAATTATAGTTTAATTATAAATTTGATACTAACCCCTTGGGAATATCGATAATCAAAATAACTAATGTAGCTATTATAAAATCCTAAAAACGAATCGAAACCCCTGTGAATAGGGGTGTGTTGGGGCGTATGATAGCCTACGTGCCATTTTCCAATAAGTCTCGTTACATATCCCAATCCTTTTAAATGCTCCGGTAAAATTGGAACGTCCAAAGGAATACCTCGTGGTTCTCCGCCCTTAATTCCTCCACCTTGCATACCTAAAATTTACAGACATTATTAATTAACTAACAAATGTTATAATTATACAATTTTTTATTTTCAAATATGAATTTTTGAATAATTTCAAATTCAAACTTTTAAAAAATTCAATTATTAACTAATTAATAATTCTTGTTTATTAATTTTAAGAAACTTTAATAAAATTCTTCGCAAGAATTCAATGACATATTTTTATAATTAATAACATTCTTCTTAAGAATTCAATTATTTTTATAAATTGTAGTAAAATTGTTTGCAAAAATTCAATTATTTTTAAAGAAAATTTTAATAAAATTTCACGAACGAATACAATTATTTTCTAAACTTCTTCGCGAAAATTCAATTATTTTCCTAAATAATAAAATTCTTCGAAGCAATTCTATTATCAAATTTTTTTAAATAATTCTTTGCAACAATTCGATGATTTTTAATACATTAATTTTAAAATTAAAAATATTTAAATAGAAAAATTTTTTAAATAATAATAATATTTTTTGCAATAATTCTGCAAAAAAACAAACCCATTCTCAGCGGATATTTTCCAGTGAAGAAAGCCGCCCTCGAAGGAGTACAAGACGAAAGAACATAGTGACGATTTAAAATTATTCCATTATATCCCAGTGCATCGATATTTGGTGTTGGAATTTGATTCGAGCCATGAAATCCAACGTCATTCCATCCCTGTTGACAAGAAAATTATTTAAATTTTTAAATTTGTTTTTTCCTAAGAATAATTTTTCTTCTTCTTAATAAGAATATTTTCGAATAATTTTTCTTTTCCTTAATAAAAAAATTTTCGAATAATTTTTTTTTCTTCTTAACAAGAAAATTTTTTCCTGTACAGAGAAAAAGATCAAATTTTATTTTAATTTTACGCAACAAAAAAAAAAGAAGAAAAAATACGACGAGTGGATTAAATTTTTCTAGACTTGCATTATAAAGGAATGCAAATTGAGACGAATAATTAGCAATTTGAAAAAATAACACTTGATATTCGAGACGTGGAATAAATGAGACGAAATAAGAAAAAAAATAAAGTGTTAAAAGAATTATGCAATGAGCAAGATGATCTCCGGTTGTCCATTCGGAAGGAATTTTTATTTGTTTAGAGACTAATGTGAGTCACGTTAAGGATGTCTTCATTTACTACGGGGGCGTAGACAATATAATTGTCTTTAACTAAGGTCTGCAATAATTTCAGAGAGAGAGAGAAACTGTTTTATATATAAACTTCAAGATCATAAACTTATTTATGTAAAAAAATGTTTATAATTTTAGAATCGTTTCAATCTGAAGTATTCCCACAATCGTTAATACCTACATTCCTTTTTCGCAAATTCTTCTTTTTCTTTTTTTTAATGTAATTTTACGAACGAATTTTACAAAAAAAATTTTCTTTTGAAAAATATTTCGTAAAATTCAATTCGTTGTAAAATTAATAATAAATTAATAATTCGTTTTGAAAAATAATTCAATGAAAAATTCTTTAGTAAAATTGAATTTGTTGTGAAAATTCTTTCGTAAAGTTCAATTGGTAGGGAAAATCTTTTGTAAAATTCAATTCATTGTAATTAATTCCATTAGTCCCGATAAATTAATTATATTATGACTCCCTCGCGTCAATGGAATTTGTTCGGATAGGGGATCTAGTTAAACAGCAAGAAAAACGGAATTCTTTGAATCTTTCCTAAATGCATCATTAATTTAGGAAGCAATTAACATCTTGCTGGCTCTCTCTCTCTTTCTCTCTATACACTCATTTACATTGTACACGATGAATCAATTGTTTTTCAAACAAAAATTTCTCGTAGCGTTTAAATTAAATTTTTTAATCGCTCACCACATGCTTTGAATTTTAATAAAAAAAAAATAATAATAACAAATTCGAAAAACAAGCATTTAAATTACTTTTAATTGCAAAAAAATTAACAAATAATAATTAAAATAATAGATCGTACAAATTATTATTTAAATAATATAATTAATATTTTTAATTAGATTTCAAGACAATTTACAATTTCAATTATTTACAATAAATTCAATTATTTACAAAAAATTGAATTATTTACGAATAAAATTCTTCGAAACGATTCAATTATTCACAAAAAAATTCAATTCTTTACGAATAAACTTCTTCGCAAAAAAATTTAAATTTAAAATTTTAAAAAATTGAATTGAATTGAAAAATTCGAAAGAATTGAATTATTTTTAAACATTACAATAAAATTCTTTGAAATTAATTCAAATTTTTTTCAAGAATTTTGATAACATTTTTTATAAAATTCAATTATTTTCAATACAATTTCAATTTCAATTGAATTAGAATTTGATTTAATTTTAATTAAATTTTTCGATAGAATTGAATTATTTTCAATAAATTTTAATAAACTTCTTGGAAACAATTTAATTATTTATAAAATTATGAATAGAATTATGAATGGAAAATTTTTTTACATTCTTCGAAGTCAATTCAATTATTTTGAAAAATTTTGATAAAATTATTTGATTAATTATTATATTAATATTAAATTATTTTCAATTCAGTTTCAATTACAATTGAATACAATTAGAATGCAATACTATTAATTTGAATTAAATTCTTCGAAAAAATTTAATTATTTTCAAAAATTCGGATAAAACTCTTTGAAACAAAAAATCCTTTCTCTAAAATCCTTTCTCTATTAATAATTAATGGTAAAGAATAAACTAATAGTAAATATAAAATTATGGAAATAATTGTTCCCAAGAAGTTTTCGCAAAAATTAAAATTCGTAAATTTCAAGCAACCCGATAAATTTTTATTTTTAATTAATATTTTCATATGCAAATAATTATTTATTGTGAATGATCGGCTTACCAAATCATCAGCCATAACGACAATAATGTGCGGTGACGTTTGAAATTGACCGAAGGCATTTTCAATAAAAAGAACTCCAATTATTGACACGATTTGACACGTCCTAATGAACAAATTAACCATTTTCACGTCAACAAAACGCTAAACACAATGTTTCTAAATAATATCAAACATAAAAAAACACTGATTCTTTCTGCAATTTACTTTTTCTTTTTCCCGCCTTTTAAAAAAAATTGCGTCTTTTTCGTAAAAAAAATTTCGTTTCAGTTCTGACAAGGTCAGAACATTATGGACACGAGCTACTGAGGGAATTTCTTGAGTGATAAATGCTTTTATATAGTCGACCCACGATTCGTAAAAGAGGGTCTTGTCTCTCTTATGAATGAAATAAAGGGACGAAGGTGGGAGTACAAAACCAGACGATTAGTGCAATGAAGAAAATACGTGATTAAAGTCGGACCCCCATCTTAGCGACGATTATGATCTTGTTTTCTCACTCATTTCCCTATCTCCTATTCGACGAGAGTACGTACATTTTAAAAATGAGAATGATGATTCAGTATACGTAGCACGTGCTTCACACTGTATTCTTCTTCTTCATCTTCTTCTGGATTGAAGAGGGTTTTTTTTTAAAGTTGTTAATTGATGTCCCTTCAAATCTTATTTATGACCTTATGTCACTTTTAAATGTAGAAAAACATTTCTCCTGCGTTTCTTTTATAGGGTGAGCCGCAATTAATAAGACCTATTTCCGGATCTTAATTGAAGTTTAATTTCATGTTATTATAATTATTCTCGACTTCCTTTAATCTCCATTTCATTTTCTGAAATTTAACGAAAAATTAATTAAATTTAATTTTAAGAAAAATTACATTCCTTTTTATGGAAAATATTTCTAGCTTATTAATATTTTTAGCTTTTTTCAAACCTACAGTAAAACTTGTCTAATTTTCCATACCTTTTTTTCTTTCCGTATACAGAATCCAAAAATTTTCAGTAGTAATCTAATTATTCGAAGATGAAAGAATGATATTAACAATAAATTGTTCAACAATAAATTCATTGTTAATGAATAAGTGTTCCATATCCTCATGATTTTTTAATCACTGAATACAATATTCGTTCATCCGAATCTGTAAAATAAAAACTAATTATTAATTTAAAAACAAAATTCAAAATCTTTAAAATAAAATTTCAATTTTTATAATTTTTTTGAATATTTTTATATTAGAAAAATATATTAGAAATTAGAAACGTATAACTCAATATTTATTAATTAATTTTACTTATTTGAATTAAGAGATATGTGATTGTAATTTATTTTGTTTATTTTGGATGAGAAATCTTGTAAAATTGTTTCTGTATTCTAAGTCTAAGACAAGGTCTGTATAATTACAATTTCTAAATGGGGAGTCGTTCCTTTAAGTTCAAGAGATCAAATGAAGTCAAGTAGACTGACGATTATATTTTATTCGTTGCTTCCTTGCTGAAAAATAGAATATATCTAGTCCCAAAATTTTTAATTAAATCTTAATAAAGAAAATTAGATTCAATACAAATGAAATTATAATTTAAAAATGAAAAAATAAAAATAACATTCTGTAGCAGGCAAAAGAATCTTTAATGTTTTGAAAATAAATTATTTCAATTTTAAAAATCTGTTGATTTGGTTTAAAAAATTAATTATTTAATAATAATCATTAAAATAATGAAAACAAGACCTTCTCATTTTTTATGAGAATGTAAAAATAGTGATAATAAAAATAATAATAATAATACTAAGAATAATAATAATTGCAATAAAATAATAATATACTATTCACTAACCAAAATAAATAAATATACTGATTTTATATTATTAATAATAAAAAAAATCCAACGTCTAAATTGTTAATAATTATCCTTTCATTTTAATAAAATAGATTAAAAGCTGTAAAAACCTGTCAAACAATTGCGATAATTGTTAATCATAACCTAAAAATTGTTCATCTTTAAACTATATCAACTTTATCAATTATTTACGTAAAAATAAATCAATTAACGAAACTACATGGCAAAAAATTGAAAGAATACGTTTGTTATTAATTATTATTAATAATTAAAATAATTCACTCTATTTTTAATAAAAATTTAATTTTCTTACCACGCAAGGACATAATTATTTAACGTCTAACTCGATATTGTTGCACAACTTCTAATAATATTCGTTAGAAATAAACAAAAGACAATTCATTTTTTCTTAAATTAAAAATGTATTAAAAATTTTAAATTAATTAATATTATTAAATTATTATAAAAGAAAGAACGAATTCTAATAACTGTCAAACTGGAGGAACTGAAGAAACAACTGTTGTTTACAACTGTTATGTTAGATAGCGGTAACACTATTGACAGTTGTCTGCTATACTGTGAATCGTTATTTCAATAAAAATACATATATTTACAATAAAATTATTAGATAAATAACTTAATTATATCTTTGTTAATGATTTACAATTGTGTTACAGTAATAAAATCAACAATTAATGCTTTAATTAATTAATTAAAGTGAAAAAAGTGTTAGTTCCTGGTTTGTCCGCTCGATATAGGTAGATGTCGCCCCAAAAAACGGCACTTTTTGAGTTTTCCATGTGATTCGCCTTCGACGAAGCTAGTGCTCTCATTGACTAGATTCAAATTTGCGCGGGACTTAGTGAACCAATGGGAGGGCTTTCAAACCTACAGATATAGGGCGCTCTCATTGGTCTGTTGAGTCGCGCGCAAATTTGAATCTAGCTAATGAGAGCGCTAGTTTTGTCGAAGACGAATCACGTGGAAAACTCAAAAACTACCAAAAAGTGCCGTTTTTTGGGGCGACATCTACCTATATCGAGCGGACAAACCAGAAACTAACGATTTTTCACTTAATTTAATTAATTAAACTAGTTATTAATTGATTTTCTTATTGGAATATGATTGAAAATCATTTACAAAGATATAATTAAGTTATTTATCAAATTTTTTTATTAAAATAATGCAAAATGTTTTCTATAAAATCATTTTTATGTTGACGTGTCAACACCGATGGGAATTGACAGGTACGTTTGCTTTGTTTTTAATTATTAATTTTAATTTTGTTTTCTATCAATTTATTCTTTTTGCAATACATTTTATGCTTTTTTAATATTGTTTAAACTAATTAATAACTTGAATTTATGTACAAGAGAAAAAAAATGATTTTTTAAGGTTATGTTTCCTTTTGTAAATTTGTTTTTAATAATTGATATTTTTTATAATTAAACAATTAAAGGGGTTTTTAATTTATATTATTTTATTTAATGATGAAAAAACGTTGCTTCTCATTTATTTTAAACAATTCTTTTTTAATGCAAATATTTATTTAAGTAATAGAAAAATATTTTTTATTTTCAATGCTTTAAAATGTTCCAAATTTTTTAAATTAATTTACAACTATTAATAATAATTAAAAATTGTTATAATAAAGCACAAGTGTACCTAATATTTAATTTATGTTAGTTTAATTATTCTAAGCAATTAAAATTAATGAAAATTAATTATTCGTTTATACATACAGTAAACAATAATTTGTTTTTAACATTCGCCAAAACAAACAACGAATAAAATTCATTTAATTGCTTATTATAATTCAAATTGTACATAAATGATTAATCAAGGTTAAAATAAAAACAATAATATTATAATGTAATACTTTGTCAATTATTATTCAATAATTTCTTTATGTAGTAAAATAACATTTGTATCGTTATGAATATAAAAAGTATATAGAAGTAAGAAAATAAAAAATATCTGTAGACTATAAAATGAAAACTTCACTTAAAATAACATAAAATTCATAAATTTCGTTTCTTTATGTTAAAAATTCAAGCCACTTGTTCATGACTGTTAAAATCTTCTTCCACTTCTTTGAATTTAAGTTTACCATTTTTACAGAGTTGATATAATTCTGGTAAATGTTTATTGTTTTCTATGGCATGATTGTTTTCTAATAAATAACTGCGCAATGATGACACCAAAAATTCGGGATATCCAGCCATTTTCGTTCGAATTTCCAATGTATTTACCCAAAATGTATTTTTCAGATGTAGATTTACCTGAAAATTATCAATTTTTAATTAATAAATTAAAATTGAATTAAAAAAAATAAATTAGGAATTGAATTCACTTTAATTACAATAAAGTGTTTACCTTGGCAATCACAGTACATTTTGAAGTGAAAAAAGTTTCAAACCAATCAGCCGCAGCTTTATCTGCACATTTATCCCATTCGTATTCTTTATCAAATGCTTCTAAATTATTCAAGAAAACATCAAAATTGTTTGTCTCCCACTGTCCGAGATTCTTTGGAATTTCCAATAATTTGCTTGCCTGGTGGAAAAAAAGTCCATTATTAATTTTTACAATTACTTCAATAATTCTATTATTTTTTGTTAAAATACATTCTAATCGATTCTCAACTTTTTCTAAATAAATAAATATTCTACTATTGTCAATAAAATTTTAACTCTGCTAATTAAAATTAAATTATCAATAAAATTTGAATTGGAAATAATTTTTCAGAAAAATTTCTACCTTAACATTTATCAAATCCGATTGATAGTCGATAAATTTCACAGTGACCACATATGGTTCATCGTAATCATTTCTTGACACAATTTTTAAAACTTTTACTCTCAAATAATTATCGACATTATCTTCCATAGCGCAAATATCGCCAACATTTATATCCTTGAGACCCTTTCTGTAATAAAATTAATAATTATTTTCAATAATTATTTAAATAATAATTTTAATAGATTGCTATTAATAATAGATAGATAATAGAATAATAATAAATAGATAATTAAATAATTTAAATAGAGAATTTAAACAGTAATAAAATAATATATAAAAATAAAATAAATAAAAATATAAATAATTAATTTCTATTATTGTCAAAATTAAATTAACGATAAAATACCTGTTTTCAACACTTGAGAAGAATTTATGCATTTCAATGGAAAGTTTCACGTCAGAAGGATATTCGATCGGATCTTTTTGATCTGGTTTGTAGCATTTCACCAATCTGGCAGAGAAATGCGATGCATTGTGAATAAATGTTACCATTAATTCCACCTTGTCACCACTAAAATCAAATGAAAATAAAATAATTAGTAAAAATTGGACATTATTTCTATTAAATGACAGATTTCAAATATTCAACAGAAATAAGTAAAAGAGAAACAGAAATATTAATTTAAGAATATTATTCTTAAATTAAATAATTATTAATTAAATAATTATTCAAATTAATATTGACTGAATTTATTTTAAATTAAATTAAATACTATTAATTCAAGATTATAAAAAACAATTTTTGTTTAACTCACATTTCTACATCATTATTTGGATCATCTTCAGGGCTGAGGATACAATGTCTGTACGAACAGTTTGAATTCTTTTGACAAAAACCCATTGCCTTTACGTTATCACAAATAGGATAGGCCCTCTTTTCTTTATCCAAGCTCAGTGCAATTTTCTGCAATAGAAATTTTCAATAAGTAATAAAAATAAGGATTTTTAATTTCAAGCATCGATATAACGTTTGTAAATGTATTTAAAATTAATTATTTATTTTAAATATCTTACTTTAGCGGCATGGATCCAATCTTTTGGTAACGGAGCGTGAAGTCTTTTCATAACTTCCATTAGGCCATTGAATTGCTTATTATTACTGCTATCCATCATTATAAAAACTTTACATTTTTCTGCGCTCTGGAAAAATCCCAAATCAGATATTTTTTGAAAACATTTTTAATACTTTAAATGTAAATATATATTTTTATTAATGTATATTTCTATAAAAATATGCATTTGTTTCAAAAATATGTTTATATTTGTAAGAAGAAAAAATACCGTCTGCCAATTGTCACTCATTGTTGAAAATCTGTAGTAAAATCTCGATTTTGTAGATGCATTGATGGACTGATGTATCAAACATTTTGCGTCTTTTATATTCAAATCCGAAAGAACATCATCCGTGCAAATTAGAATTGGATACATTCCGGAAACACTCTGACTCCATTGACGTTTGATATCTATATTAAAAGTCAAACTTAACTTTTTCAGGGTTCAAACCAGTGAAAGTATTTAAAAATACAGACTTTATAGACCAAAAATTAAATATTTACGAATAAATTTCACCCCTAATAAGTAAATAAAGGAGCAAAAAAAAAAAAAAATTGAAACTATAATTAAAGTTGAAATAGAATTACGTACCATGAATAACGTAAGTAAGCAATTCATTATGAGCTACGAGTGTTGTTTTTCCATTTGCTTCCAATAGTTTCTTTAATTCAATCACCTCCGCTGAACTAGTGCAAATTATTAATGTCTTCTCAATACTTGAATTCAATGAATTGTTCACTGTTTCTAAAACTTTTTCATTTTTCTCCTCCATACGAAGCAAAGAGACTTTTGCTGTTATTCGAGAAAATGCCGCAGCTTCCAAGTAAGATCCAATGCACACATAGGGAAAAACAGTAAATTTCTCCATAAATGAACTTAAGCCTTTTGTCCATTCACGTGCAACTGCTATCATTTGCAGTGACAAATCATTGTCCCGTAAATCATGTTTCTCACGCATTACTTTATGTTTTATAAAAATTTCCATGACCTTAAAAAAAGTTTATTATTGAAAATTACGATTAGTTGAGAATTTAAATACCTAACTTGAAATAAATTTACGAAAATTAAAATATTAGAAAGAAAAGAAAAATAGATTTTTTAATTTTCAAAAATGACTTTTATTTACCGATTCGATGTATTTGTCCAATATGGTGTCACCTCCGTCCAAAATTATATGACGAAGTCGGCTAAAATCCAAACTGAGAACATCATTTCTTTTATATTTCCTGAGAAATCTGACTAAAAATGGTGCTGTCGATACAAGAACTTGGCAACCATTTAGAATATGTGCCTGGAAATGAGTTGAAAATTGTTAAAAATGAATTCAATTTTTTTAATTAAAACAATTGGTTTTTAATTAAAACAATTAGTTTTTAATTTAAAAAAACTATTTATCGTATTTTAAATGATAAAATTATATAATGTTCGTACTAGTAGGGTTTTTTCTGGCTTTCCATTAACTGCAGCTACAACATTAATATGCGGATAATCTTGTAAATATTCCTGAAAAAGTGATGCAACCGTATCAACATTTAATGACGATGAACACAGTACTAATGTCGTTGGTGTTTTTCCCGTAGCAAGCTGAAAATTAAAAATTTTGCATAAAGTTTTTAAAAAAATTCCTACATTAAACTAAAAATTAAAATTCGATCCCCAGCAGCATCATTGTTTCATAGTTTTAATTTATTTTTCAAAATTATTTAAATTGAACAAATAAAAAGCAAATTTGTAAAAAAAATATTCGTAAAAAATTATTCCTTGTAAATAATAGTAATAATTCAAAGTGAAGAGGAAAAATTTTATACCTTATTAGTAGCTAAATAACTGCAAATTGGTAGTAAATAGCCAAAAGTTTTTCCAGCGGAGGCTGGACTGATTGCAATGACATCGAGACCTTTTGCAATGGCTGGCAATATATATCTCTGAATTTTCATCGGTTTATGTATATCACAATTCTTAAGCACCTGAATTCAAATAAATCGATTAAAAATAAACATTTAGAAAATAAAAATATGAAAATAAATTTTAGAATTTAATTTCTATTTAGATTGGAAATTCTTACCTTATGAATATTCGCCGGATATCGAGCATCTGCGAGATTCTCCAAAATTTTACACTTATATTCACTTCGAATTAATATTTCCTGGTCATTATTTCTACATAAATTCTTTTGCTTTGTTTTCACTGCCATAGAATCTTGATTATTTCTGAAATAATATTAAATTATTAATTTTTCACGAGTAATAATTCTAATCATTTCCTTAAATTATTTTATTTTTAAAAATAAAATAGTTGCTGGAAATTATTTTATTTCTAGAAATATATCTAATAATTTCCAAAAATTATTTTATTTTTAAAAATATAATAATTTCCAACAATTATTTTATTTTTAAAAATATAATAATTTACAACAACTATTTTATTTTTGAAAATATAATTCTTGTTGAATATTTTATCCAATATATCAAAAATTAAAAATATTAATTCAAATTACTTTTCCTCGTCGGTCCCCGTTTCGTTGCTGTTGCTAGAATCATAAAAATCTTTTTCCTTAATTTTTTCGGGTTTCTCATCGCTAGAGACATGAAAATTAGGAAGATCAATTAATAAATTGTCATTAATTTTATTCACAATTCCCTTTTCCGCAGAATCTGGATCGTAGATAATTTTCAGAAGAGCTAAAATGTAAGACATTTATAATTATTGGAAAAGATTATTTAAAAGTAATTTTTACTGTGACTGTAATATAGGATAAGAATAATGTTTACCCTTATTTAATTTAACAGCGAAGAAACTAAAAACCAAAGCTCTACTAAGAAGGACTATTTCTTCTTCAATTTCTAAATACAATTCGCCAAACAATTTTTCAGTCTCATCTTTAGCTGTAGGATGAAAGTACATTCTTTTTGCAGCACCAACTAATTCTCTAGTGAAGCAAATAGCCGGTTCCGTCCATTTCTCAACAATACTAGAAGAAAAAAACAATAAAGTATGATTCAATTGGAAAATAATTGAAATTTTGACGAGAATTTTTTAAAATTTTTGAACATAATTGAATTTCTGTGAAGAATTTGATTATTTTTGAAAATAATTGAACTTCTGCAATCATTTGCAATTTCTCTAAAATTCTCCAAATTATATTGTACAATTTACGAACTTTTCGTCTTTTCTCAATCAAATTACGGACTTTACGTACCTTTTTTTTTTTTTTTTTTTTTAAAAAAGGCACTACTAATAAAGAAATACAAATACAAATAAAAATAATTAAAAAGTGCTTAATAATTGCAAAACAATTACTGAAAATAATCTTACGTCACAATAGGTTTTCCCTTCAGTTTACTATTCCTGTTGACAGAAGCTGGAATAATTCCATTTAGAGCAATTGATTCTGTTAAATAATCGTCGGGAATAGCGTCTTTCGGTACTTTACGAAAATTTTTAGGAGATAAATCAAAAGCGGTGCCATAGTCAGGTAGAAAAACGTTATATTTACTTTGATCTTCATTCATATGACCTAAAATTCCTCGACAAAACCATGCGGGAATTTCACTGTCATGACTGTTAATTACAATCAAAGACTAAAAAGAAAATATTTAATTAGATATTAAGAAAAACAAATTAAGTATTTTTGCGGACAAGCAAAATTAAAAAAAATAATTATTAATAATAAAAGAAATATAATTTAGTTTAAATTCAAAATTGATAAGGTAAAATTTATTTAAAAGCTTTAAAAGTATAAGATAAAGATAAAAAAAGTATATAACTTACATCATTTAAGTTAAGCATTTCTTTGGCATTTTCCTCAAAATTAAGATTATTCTTAGCGTAGATTTCCAATTTCTTCCGGATTGCATTCGCTCTGAATGCATGATTATCTGTTTCGTATATTCGCATAAGAAATGGATTTATAATACTTGTCACTTTTACTGATATCGCGTCTTCTGGCACGCAGCTCTCATCTAGAATAAATATGTAATTATTTAGTTCACAACTCTATTGTTTATAATTTAATAAACAAAAACTAGAGAATAAAGAATGAATTATATTTTACCTTTTATTACTTGATTCATTTTTTTTAATTTTCAGTCCAGTGGTTAAAATACTGTCGAATGTTTCTGAAAAATTATTTTACTAAAATTAGTTATTTCTTTATTAACTAAAATTAATTTATTTTCTAGAACACTAGAAAACTAAAAAGTGCTCTATTTAATTCACCTCACACACTGACTTAATTATAATTACACAAAATCTCGATGACAGAATGAAAACATAACTTCTATTTTTGAAAGAAATATTATTAATTATAGGAATAAGTTATAAAAATTAAAAATAACAATAAAAGTGATAACATTCTAAAATAATTTGAGGTTAGAAAATTGTAATTTGGAAAACTTACAATTTAATGAATTATTCTTCCATTTTCCAGCAAACCTGATGGATAAATTCAACATTCTATTATTTCAATTTTGTTATCACGATATTAAAATTTGCCATTGAACAGAATAGAACAAATTAATTAACAATTATAAACAAAACATGTGTGCAACACAAAAGTGCAACAAAGACTAAAGCAAACGATTGTAGTGCCATGTCAACATGTGGCGGTGGTATGAACTTATTTTTAAATTTTACCGCCTATCGGTAACCGGAAATGGAAAATTCGAAAGTCCCTATATTGGGGATAATTTTTCATTCAAATTTTTAGCTAATGTAAATAAATATTTAATAAAATTTAATTCTTCCTAAAGTTTAAATAAACTTCTGAAACCCTAAAAAATTATTATAGTTAATTGTTAAAAAGAAATAATGGGTTATAATTAAAGATAATAATTTAAACATCTAGTGAAATTTTCAGCAAATCAGAATCGTGCTCTTATAAAAATCATACCAATCACAAGTCGTGTAGCAGAACATTTATACAAGTTCATTCCTGTAAAATTCTTACTCAACTGCCGTGTGGCGTCCCTTTGTTACTCGTCAATTATTTCACGAAAAAGGTGAGATCATCTTATTTTTCATTAAACTTTTTTATAATATCGATAATTTTGATAAAGATAGACATTATTTTCATAAAAGTTGATCAATTAATAGACGAAAATTAACAAAATGTTCGAATCAGTGAATTATTCTACTTCTTTCCCCCACCTTTTTTGTCACGTTACGCTTATTGCATTGATCTAGCCAAAAGTTTTGCATTTTCTTTAATACATTTTAATAATTTTAATGATTTTCGGCAATATTCGGTGATATTTAATCTTTTTTGTCAACATTTTTGTCTCCAGACCCGAAATAAGTGGAATTGTACACGACAATGAACACTCAACAAGATGGCGGACATGGCGTCGGGTCGTGATTGTCGCTCCTCAGATTTTCATCAAAAATGGTACGATTATTTTCATATTTATAGGAAATATTGTATTCAATTCGTTATTATACATCAGTAGAACAATATTTTATGATAAAATAACCAAAAAATGAACTTAAAATGCCAAAAAGTTGGAAAAGTCCATTTCCCCCTACCACCCCTCCTTGTCGATTTGGAATCGTCCATGAAAATTCGACAATCCTGAAAAATTTTCATGAATCTAACCTCAATTGTGCATTGTTGGTGGAATTTACTTGTTTTTAATTAATATTATCACTATATATGTGATGTTTTTGTATTTTGTCTGCAAATTCCACCAAAAAATCATTTCAACAAGATGGCGGACATGGCGTCACGTCGTAATTGTCGCTCCTCAGATTTTCATAAAAAATGGTAAGATTATTGGCATATTTAAAAGAAATATTGCATTCAATTCGTTATTATACATCAGTAGAACAATATTTTATGATAAAATAACCAAAAAATAAACTTAAAATGCCAAAAAGTTGGAAAAGCCCATTTCCCCCTACCACCCCCCCTTGTCGATTTGGAATCGTCCATGAAAATTTCAACAATCCTGAAACATTTTCATGAATCTAACCTAAATTGTGCATTGTTAATGAAGTTTACATGATTTTTTATTAATAATATCACTATATAAATGGTTTTTTTTGTATTTTGTCCGCAGATTCCACCAAAAAGTCATTTCAACAAGATGGCGGACATGGCGTTGGGTCGTGATTGTCGCTCCTCACATTTTCATCAAAAATGGTAAGATTATTTGCATATTTAAATGAAATATTGCATTCAATTTGTTCTTTTACATGAATAAAAGAATATTTTATAATGAGATGACCAAATAATAATCGTAAATCGACAAAAATTTGATAAAAGTCGGTCCCCCCCCCCCCTCCCCCTCTTTCCCCCTTTGTCGAAAATGCGAAATCGATAAATTTGATAAATTTTCCTATATTTAACACATTTAACACCAATTCTTACATATGGCGTATTTTTGTATGTTTTGGGTTAGTTAAAAAAATTGAAATAGTTATTTTCCCCCTTTTCCCCTAAATAATAACTTTCTGGGAGAAATGAGCATTTTTTGGAAAAACAAACATTTTTCAAGATGGCTGACATTGTTTTTGCTCTTTGTATTGTCATTAATAGTTCAAAGATTATCTGTTTTTTAAAGTAAAATTTCTTTCTCCATCAGTTGTTTTATCTATAGGAAAAAAGATGTTTTACTATATGTGGTGAATAATTAATAATAGTGCAATTCGGCAAAAGTCAATTCCCCCCATTTCTTCCCTTTGTCGAATGCGTGCAAAATTGATCAGTACGGGAAAATTTTCTAATTTTAAGTTCAATTCATGCATTTTTGTGTTCTTTTATCGGTGTCAACAGTGAATTGTTGAAAATGTGTTTATTTTTAACTACAAGAAATATTGTTTTAAAAATGGCAGACACTGATTGTTTGTCATTTATTTCTCACATTTATGTCAAGAATGATGAGAAAATTTGCATTCTGTTAAAATCTTTGTAATTTTTCTATAAGCTTTTAAATAAGGAATATACGATATTTTGTCAAAAAATATTAAATTGAAATAGCTTTGAATTGATAAAGTTTCAAATCAATTTGGCAAAGTTGCAGTCATTATTTAAAATGTAAAATTAACAAAAATAGAAAATATTAAAAATATTTCGAGGTTATTATTCACTTTTACGTTTTTCGAGCATAATAGTATATAATTGCGATGAATTTTTTTATATTTTACACTTTTCAGGTTATATGCTTTTTAATTGTTTTGATTGTTGTAAAAAATAATTAAATTTTATCTAAGAATTTTACAATTTTTAAAATATAATTGAAGAATTTATTAAAAAATTAATCGAATCATTTCGTGAAATTTATATTAAAATTGTATTGAAATTAATTGAATTCTCGCAAAATAAATATTAAATTATTTATGAAAAGAATCGAATTCTTCCAAAGAATGTTCTTAAAATTTTAGAAAATAATAAATTTAATTCCTCCGAAAATTTTTATTATTTTTGAAAATAATTGAATTCTTTTGAAGAATTTTATTATTCATAAAAATAATTGAATTTTTTCGAAGAATTTTTTGTATGTTTAAAAATAATTGAATTCTCGCGGAGGAATTTATAATTATAAAAATAATTGATTTTTTTCGAAGAATTTTGTCTGAATTTTTTGAAAATAATTGAATTTTTTGAAGAAATTTTATTAAAAATTTTGAATATGATTTTTTTTTAAATTCATCGCAATTGTTAAAAATAATCGAATTTAATTAATATTTTTAAAAATAATTAAAAAATTAATAATTAATTAGATTACTAATATTTTTATTGAATGTTTAAAGAGTTTTTAAATAACTAAAATTTTTGTTCACTTTTAAGACGTGTTTGTATTGTTTTATTTAAATTAAAAGTTAAAAAATAACACGAAATATTTATAAAATTTAATAAATTATTTTGAATAATTAATTTTCTTTATATTTAATTAATATTCTTTATTATTTTTTTTACAGAATATGAAGAATTTACTGAAGGATTTCTTAAGGATACTGAAGAATTATCTGAAGGATCACAGACCCCAAAAGCAATGGATGGTACAAATCATCAAGTAGTAAGTCCCTCCTGCTTTTCAAAATTAGCGAAAGCAGGTTGTAATAATTTGAAAAAATCTATAGTGACAGTTAATTGAATTTTCCTCTATTATTTCTTAAAATAGGGGAAATTTTTTTTTTGGCAACGTAAATTTCTCTTACAAAATGTTGATTAATTATGATAATTGTTTTTAAATTAACTATCACAGTAAAAACCGTAAATATATTTGTTAAAAGCGAATTATAAGTTCAAATAATATTTATTACAATCGTATTACATACAATTAAATTTTGAGATGAAGAAAATAATTATTTTATTTAAAATCAAATAATTATAATAAATTATTAAATTCAACTTTAACTTTTTTTGAATTGTTTTCAAATAAAAATTTATATTAAAAATAATTCGATTGAATATTGTTTTAATTAAATATAATAAATAAAAATAATAAAAAAAAATAAATATATATTTTAAATATAATTGTAATTATATTGTAATTAAATGTAATTAAAAATGTATAATTACAATTTTTTTTTTAATATTCATTTAAGTAATTTTTGCTTTTTTAAATAAGATTTTATTTTTAAATTATTTCTGTAATTAAAATTTAGAACAGGATGTTTGTTTTTTCTTTCTGCTTATATATATATATTTTATTTTTATTGAAAGTTAACTATTTTTAAAATTTATTTATTTATTTAAGAAATAATTTACTTTCAATATAATTCACTGTCACTATATTAATTTTTCACTAGGATTATTTTAAAATTTTGTCTTGTCCCTTTTTAATTGTCGATTTTGATCGGAAAAATACATCAAAACCGTAAATAGGAATAGAAAATAGTATTTTTAACTGGAAAAAGTTAAAAAATTCTAAAAAAAACGCGTTTTCCCCTTTACTCATATAAGTCTGCTCAGCAGGTAAACAAAAAGTGAAATTTATTTACAAACAGTAAATAATCGTATCATCACGTACTGATTATCTAAAAAATCTTTAAATTTGAATATAATTAAATATCATTTAAAAGAAAAATTTTTTTTAAAAATCTCTTGAATTTAAAAAAGTGTAAATCTTAGGAGATGAAATTGAGTAGGTAAACATGCGTATTTTTTGTGTAAACTCGACATTCCAATTGATTTCAAATATTTAGTGAACAGAATTAAGAGAAGATCAAACTTTTTTTCGTGTTTCTGCTTTGTTTAATATTTACAAATTGCTAATTGTCTTCTTGCAATATTGTAATTTCGATTGGTGTTTAGGCAAAAATTTCCTGAATGTTGATTGTTATTGATTATTTCTCTTTCTTCCTTTGTTTCGAATATTTTGATTGTTTTTCAAATTCCTTTGTTGCTGTTATGGTTTTCATATTTTTGTTGCCAGGATCTCTAAATTAAAACCATTAATTAAATAAATTAAATAAAATAATTATAAAATTATTAATAAATTAACAATTTATAATTATAAAATTGTCAATTAATTAATTAACCATTAATAATTAAATTAAAAAATTGGTAATTACCAATTAATTACCAATTAATAATTACACTAAAAATTAAAAAATATAATTGAAGTATTAATTGAATAGATTTTCATAATTATAAAATTGTCAATTAATTAATTAATTAATTAACAATTAATAATTTTAAAATAGTCAATTAATTAATTAATTAACAATTAATAATTTTAAAATAGTCTATTAATTAATTAACGATTAATAATTAAATTAAAAAAATTAACAAATATAATTCAAGTATGTATTAAATAAATTATTATTATTTGTATAATAATTTCTTGAATTAGTAAAATTCATTGAAAAATAAAAACAGAAATAGTTGCTTTAAATTTACTTAAATTTTATTTACAATCGCTAAGGATTTTGAATGAATATATAATAATTGGAGGTAGTATAATAGAATAACCTTGAAAATTTTTCTTTAATAACTTCAATTTGAGAATTTTATTAGTCTATAACTTTGAGTTATTATAACAAGAATGTAATTTTTACAACTTAAAAAGAATGGAGTCTTTGAAAAGTAACACAAAAAATGATAAAATAAAAATCATCACAGATTCGTTAAAGTCGATTAAATGGAATCTTACCTGTCGAATATGGTAAATCTCTTTAAAATTTTTATTAAAAATGTCTTTATTTTTTCTTAATTTATCAAATTTTTAATTATTTTAAATTTAAATTTTTTTTATCGAAAAAATATAGTTTGAACAAATTTTGTTTAATTAAATAAAAATGAAGATAAAGTGAATATTAAGATAATAAATTTTTTAAAGAAACTAATATTGTGTTTAGTGAAAAATTGTTTGTCGAGCCGGTCACCATGAATTGTGGACATTCATTTTGTATAAATTGCATTGAATCGTATTTGGAATTTAAAAGACGTTGCCCAACTTGTAAATCTTTAAATTTAATTCGTGATGGTGGAAAGAAAACTATTCATTTACAAAACTTAATCCTTGGATTTGAAAAATTGGAAGAAAGTTGTCTGCTTGATATTAAAGATATTGGTAAGTAAATAGATATTTTTTTTAATGTAATATAAATAATAAGATTAAAATAAAAAATAAGTAAAAATAAGATTACTGAAATAATTAATTATGAATATTAATATTTATTTAATAAGAGAAATTATGTTTCAAAAAATGTAAATTATAGTAAGAACCAGAAGCAGTTATTACATAAATTTTATTTATTTACAGAGGAGCGTGAAGATATTTCCACAGAAAGTGAGGAAGAATTAGAGCAAGAAGAAGAAGATCAAGAAAATGAAGAAGAAGGAGAAACAGAGATAGAGGAAGAAGAAACAGAAGAAGAGGAAGATGAAGAAGATACAGCGGAAATAAAATCGTATAAAACAAAAAAAAGATATTTTCTAAGTTCTGGTTCAGAGACGACCACTGAACTTTTAACTCCAACACAAAGTACTTCGTCTCATAAATCGGAATTGTATAAAACAAAAAAAAGATATTTTCCAAGTTTCGGTTTAGATGAAACTACTAAACTTTTAAATTCGCTTTCAAAAACTTCATCTCAAGTCGAAGGGGAAAATGAAAATTTGATTTCGGACAATAATAATGAAATGAAAGTATCTGCTGAAGAAAATTGTGAAAATAAAAATACGAAAACTGTCTCGATAAATGAAAAACTATCAGTCACAACCGAAGCAGAATCGGATGAAACAAAAAAAAGATTTTTTCCAAGTTTCGGTTTACGTGAGACTACTGAACTTTTAAATTTGCTATCAAAAACTTCATCTCAAGTCGAGGAGAAAAGTGAAAATTTGATTTCAGACAATAATAATGAAACAAAAGTATCTGCTGAAGAAAATTGTGAGAATGAAAGTACGAAAACTGCCTCGATAAGTGAAAAACCATCAGTCACAACGGAAGCAGAATCGCATAAAACAAAAAAAAGATTTTTTTCAAGTTTCGGTTTGGATGAGACTACTGAACTGTTAAATTCGCTATCAAAAACTTCATCTCAAGTCGAGGAGAAAAGTGAAAATTTGATTTCGGACAATAATAATGAAATTAAAGTATCTGCTGAAGAAAATTGTGAAAATGAAAATACGAAAACTGCCTCGATATGTGAAAAACCATCAGTCACAACGGAAGCAGAATCGCATAAAACAAAAAAAAGATTTTTTCCCAGTTTCGGTTCTGATAAGACCACACAACTTTTTGCTTCTATGCCAAGTACTTCGTCTCAGGAACCGGAATTGAATAAAACAAAAAAAAGATACTTTCCAAGTTTCGGTTTGGATGAGACTACTGAACTTTTAAATTCGCTATCAAAAACTTCATCTCAAGTCGAGGGGGAAAGTGAAAATTTAATTTCTGACAAAAATAGTGAAATCAATGCATCTGCTGTAGAGAATTGTCAATATTCAAATGCGGAAACTGAATTGATTTCTGATTTTCAATTTTCAAGTACATCAATGGAGAGGAATATGGAAAAAATGAGAAAATCAGATGAAACGGAGGAGTGCTTTGACTTTAATGCAATTTTTGTGAAAGAAGAACATTTCAGTAGCGAGGGGGGAGATAGATTTTTGCCGGGTCCGAGTGAAAGAGAAGGATTTTCAGATTATTCAGTTGTGGACAATGAGAACTTAAATGATTATGAGACAATCAATTTGGATATGGAAACAATAAATTTAGTTACTGAAGCTATAAATTTGAATTCTGAAAATAATAATTTGGAATCGGAACAAAAGAAAGAAGGTGGCAATGATAGTAATTCAGATTTCGAAGAAAAAAGTTTGCCTTCTGAAAATGTTGGTGATTTAGACCCAATTAATTCGGATCCTGAAATAGTAGATTTAGTTACTGAAACTATAAATTTGAATTCTGTAGCTAATTTGAATTCTCAAAATAATAATTTAGAATCTAAAGAAAGGGAAGATGGGAACGACGGTGAATCAGAATTTGAAAAAGAAATTTTGCCTTCTGAAAATGTTGGTGATTTAGAGCCAATTAATTCGAATCCAGATGAAACAATAGATTTAGTTACAGAAACTATAGATTTAGTTACAAGAGCTGTAAATTTAAATTCTCATAATAGTAATTTTGAAAGTGAACAACAGGAAGAAAGTAGCGATAGTGAGTCAGGTGTTGTGGTTAAAATAATTTTAAATATTAAAAAATCGTCTCATTAACGAGTTGAGAGTAAGAAAAGTAATATTATTCGTCGCTCTATATTTATATTATAATAATAGTTTTATTTCTGTTTTGACATTTTTATTTTATTTCATTTTTTCTCAAGTTTAACTTGAGAAATAATTATAAATGTTTATTTTATGATTTTTATATTTTTACGAATTGTTCAAATCCTCTATAATTAATAAATTTTATTTTCTATTTTACTTTATAGTTATTTTCATGTTTCTCATTTTTTTAAGTGGCATCATTTTTTATTATTTTGTAAATTAAAAAATTTTATATTTTGAAGAATAAACATCAATTTTTGAATGATTACAGAATTAAAATTTAAAGAATTCACTTATTCAATAAATAATATTAAAAATATTCTTGTTTATTATTATTCAAAAATTTTAATAAAATTTGTCGCAAGAATTTTATTATTCTCATGAATAATAAAATTCCTTCAAAAAATTCAGATAAAATTCTTCGAAACAATTCAATTATTTTCATAAATAAGAAAATTCTTCGAAAGAATTAAAATATTTTCATAAAAAAATAATAAAATTAATAAAATAAAATAATAAAATAATAAAATTAATAAAAATTAAAATAATAAAATAAAAATAAAATTAATAATAAATTAATAATAAAATTCTACAAAGGAATTCAATTATTTTTATAAATTGTAAAATTCTTGGCAAGAATTCAATTAATATTTTTGTAAATAATAAAATTATTCAGAGAAATTCAATTATTTTGAATAAAATTTTAATTAAATATCTAGGATAAAATTGTTTAAAAGAATTTAATTTTCTATGAATAATTTTAATATAAATTTAATAGGAAAACCGTTAATTACAATTAATAATAAACAAGATTATTTTAAAAACTTAAAATAAATTCTTAAAATTCAATTATTTTCAAAATTTTCAGTGAAAATTATTAAATAAAATTCCTTTATTTCCAAGAAAATTGAAATAAATTCAAAACAATTCAATTATTTTAAAGAATTTTAATAAAAATCTTCCAAGAATTAAATTATTTTCAATACAATTTTAATTACATTTTCTCGAAAGAATTCAATTATTTAAAAAAATGTTGATAAAATTTTTGAAATAATAAAATTTTCCCTGTGAATTCAATTAAAATTGTATTTGAAATAATTGAATTCCAGCGAAAATTTCATTATTTTTAAAAATAATTAAATTCATGAATTGGATTTTATTACAAGTTTTTTAAATAATTGAACGCTTGTGAAAAATGCAGTAATTTTTTAAAATAATTGAATTTTCTCGGAAAATTTTAACAAGATTTTTAAAAATAATTGAAATTTTCGAAGAAATCAATTAAAATTGTATTGAAAATAAGTGAAATCCTGATAAGAATTTTATTATTTATATTTAAGAATACATAATTGAATTTTTTACGAAGATTTTTATATTTATAAATTGACTAAAGAATTTTATTATAATATTTAAATTCTTCATAAAATTCAATGATTTTCAGTATATTTTTTTATTTAAAAATTTTAAACATTTAAAAAAAAATTATTTTATAGTTATTTGAATTTTTTAAATTTTATATATTTTAACTTCGATTTTCTTTTTCGATTGTATATTAATAATTAGGTAACTTCAGAGTAATTATAGTTTTCTTCTACTTCTTCTCAAGGTGTTGTCAGATTTTTGACGTTTCTTTCAATTTTATTTGCTGCAATTCGCTGGATACAATGGTATTTTCTTTTTCCCTTTTTCAAAATTCTAATAAAAGTTTCTAATCGATTGAAAATTATTTGTAAATAGTCGAAAGGAACAACTTGCAAAGAGGCAATTCAAAAATGGGTTGAGACAAACAATAAAGAACCTGGTGAAGTTACTGATGTTTATTTAGGTTTTCAATGGCCTCCGATTGACAAAATGGATAATAGTTTAGCTGCTTTTTCAAAAGTCGAGTAAATTTTATTTTGTTTAATTGTAAAAATATTAATTTTTATTTAATTCGTTTAATAAGTTTTTTTTTCAATTTTTATACTTTTGTTTTTTTACATGAATTTTTCGTTTTAGAAAATTATCTCTTTCGACAAATATGATAGAGAAAATTGCTGGAATTGGTTCTTTGAAAAATTTGAAAATTCTCTCATTGGGTCGTAATAATATAAAAACATTTTCCGGATTGGAAGCAATTGGCGATCATTTAGAGGAATTATGGATTTCATACAATTTAATTGAAAAATTAAAGGGTCTCAATTCGTTGAAGGCTCTGAAAGTTCTTTACATGAGTAATAATTTAGTGAAAGATTGGAATGAATTTATTCGTATACAAGAATTGAAAAATTTGCAAGATTTATTATTTGCTTATAATCCCATTTGCGAGAGTTTAGATCAAACAATGTGGCGATCTCAAGTTATTCATAAATTGCCAAATTTGAAAAAACTCGACTCTATTCCAATTGTGTAAGTTTTCAAATATGGAATTTTTTTTTCTTATTTAATTTTTGATATTTCTCTCGTTTCAGACATTTGACTAATGATGAGGAATAATTGGATTCAATATTTGATTTAGAACTTTTGGAATGTTTTGGAATATTAGGCACAATTAATGTAGACGTTTGTTTATTTTTTGTATTACTTATTAGTAATAGCTGCTTTATTTTTGAAAGCCACAATTTCTTCTAATTAGAGAATGACAGAGCAGAGATGTTTATCACTTTGTGCACAGCGTTATAAATAATTCAAGTGTTGTTTTTACTTTTTAGTAAATTATCTGAAAAATTTCTTTCCCCGTACAGATGAATTCCACATTACGCATATTTTTTATATTTATTTATATATTTATAGAATATATATATTGAGAATAAAAAACTATATTTAATAAATTCGACTTTAAATAATTGAAATTTTCATCTGTATAAGGTGAACAAAAAAATTTCAAAAGTTTAAATATCTTTCTGTTATTCGCGAAACGAATTCGCTAAAAGCTCTAATACGAGTCACTAACGTAAATTCTGGTAAGAAAAATAGTTTAGCAATATATGCTAATAGTATCAACAATTCTAAAATTATAAATACTAATATTATGTAATATTAATAAGAACAATTTTTTTGTTAAGTACAACATTTATATATTATCACCTGCTTTCAATGATCAAATATACATAATTGTTTGAAAATAATGATTTCTTTAAAAAATTGTTTATAACTTTTAAAAATGTAATTATGCAAAATTTCCTTTTTGCAATATTAATAATAATATTAATAATTAAAAACAACGTTAAAATATTGATTTTTGAAATTAAAAAAATAAAATTATCAAGAAATCAATTTTTAAGAGATATTTGATCTCAGTAGCAGTTTATAATTGGCACACGAAATCTGAGAATTTTTATTTCAAGAATTTTCTAATCACTAGTGTGATTTTAGGAGGCAGATGTAGAGAAAGAATAATTAAACAAAATGTCTTAAATTATTCCAATGAAAATTTCTTTGATATTTTTCATGAGGCACATTTTGTAAATAAATTTTTCTTTTGATATATAGTTTTCTTTTTTCCTTATGTAGAAAATGATTTTCTTGAAATAATTTCATATATCGTGTGCCAATGACGATTATGCTCATTGAATGATATTATTTATTTACAAATACGTACAATGATTCTCACGATTGACTATAAATTAGTGAAAAAATAATGCTGCTTTGGCCATATTTTGCAAAATCTGATCCATTTTCTACCATCACTAATACTTGCTATATATATATATATATAATATATATTTTTTTATTTTTCTTTGAACCGAATCAGTCGATGAAATGCGTGAATTAAAAACTCGCGATTTCTATAGTTTTAAGGGGACAATTTAAAAACATATTTTGTTTTTGCCCCTTCGCGGGAATTAAATTCCTGGAAATCTCAAGGATTTTTTTTTCAGCTCTTCGAGCAACTACTACTTATTCCATAAGTATCAAAAATGCTGAATAGTCTTCAAAATCTGGAATTCATATACGTAATCGAAGTAAAACTTCGATTCAATAGTCTTTCTAACAAATAATAAATACATCACGCGATATTGTATTTTCTTTTTCGTTATTTGGAATGTACAATTTCTAACGCTTAATATTCGCAGTGGAATATTATTTGCAAAACGAAGCTAGGGATATTTAAAATTTAATTAGTAATTTATAAAAAAGTGATTAGGAAATCCATTTTTGTTTGATAAAACTCAATTTAAAATCTTGGTGTTAGAATTTCTTTGAAAAAGGAAAATTTTTTATGATTATAAAGATGAACTTTTAGTTCTGTCGCTGAAATTAAAAAAAATACCCGCTTCGTTGAGTTTTAGTTTAAAAACGCAAATTGTTTGTTTGTTTCTTTTAACGTGCGATAATTAATTAGTGCGCGTGAAATCATCTAATTGTTTTACAATTCTGAATAAATAAATTGTCATGATATAAATGGTCGATAATCTTCCTGTACATATACAATCATATAAAATTAAATCTAAGGACGGAGAAAATAAAAGTCTAAAACTTATCGGCGATTGAATTGTACAATTCTTCAGAACAAAGAACTTTTTTTTTAAATAAAGGTTTTCTGTTCCTTTTCCCTGGGGTCAAAGCTCGAAAAATATTAATTTTTGACAATAATTATTACATTCTGAAAAAAGGCACTGTGAGCTAAGAAATAAAATCACATATTTATCAAGAATAAAAAAAATGAAAATAAAGTGTTAGAATTTCTTCTCTAAATTTTTTCAAAACTTTTGTTTTTCTTTTTGGTATTGATAAATACCTAATAAGTAAATAATTTAAAGTACAGTCGCTGAGTTGAACAGTTTATTAATAAGCGCTAAAAATATTTGTAACCCTTCTTCATGTGTACCGTGGACTATCAGGTGGTGTAGGTTGTGAAGTGCCCCGTAATTTCGGGCCACTTTTGAAAGACATTTTTTTCACCGGTCTTGGTGATATTCCGTGTAGAGTGTTTTCTTGCGTGTCACTGCTAAACCAAACTCGACTTCCGTCCGAAACTAAAAAGAAAATTATTTTTATAGATGGAATTTCTAATAAGAAATTTTAATTCATTCACATTAACGAAACTTTCTTTCTTTAAAAAATTCCGAGAAAAATTCGAAAACAAAATAATACGATTTATCGGTAAAAATTTATAATAAAAAAATATTTGTTTAGAAAATTAGTATTTTCACAACGTTTATTTGAATTAATAAAAATTTAATTTTGTGAATGAATTAAAAAATGATTTGATATTAATCTTAATCAGTAAAAAAGAATGTGCAGCTTAAAGATAACACTAAACTGAGACAAAAAGACGACGAAATTGGATAAATTTGTATGTGAAAATAAATTATAAATTATGCTAAAGCTAAGCTAATTCTAAGGTGAAACAATTTATAGACATTACCTCGTAATAGATTTTGTAAAACTGTCAAAAAAGAAGAGACGTGAGACTTTTGTCAATGCGTTTGGATGAATGATGAAATTGAGGATTTGTGATAAGCAAAAAGATAAAGTATAAATAACATTTAGCGAGGAAGCAAATAGGCGACAAGAATCAGTTTATAGGGTTGAATTTTCATTTGATTAAAAATATTTTCCAATTTAGAGCTATTTTTCTTCTATTAAATTTTAAATGATCGAATTTCTATTCCATCGAATATTTTCTATCGAAATTTTAAATTTGTTTACTTAATTTCCATTTTGTCGAAATTCTAAATTACAAATTATATAATAAAATCAGCAATATTTACAACAAAAAATATTAAAAGAATAAAATAAGATTTTAATATTATTCAAACAATTTTAATTTAGAATTTTAATTCCTTTGACCAATATTTACTCTCTAAATCTGAATTGGTGGAGAATTCCACTAATTTAATAATTTAAATTAGTAAAAAATAAAAAAATAAAATTTATTTTTAAATATTAATTTCAATTTTAGAATAATTTTAGATTCAAGATTTAAAAAAGTAAATTCTTAACTAATTTAGTAATTAATTATTATATTTATTGTTTTTAAAAACTACTTTAATAAAATTATTTGCAGGTATTCAATTATTTTCAATACAATTTTAATAAAATTTCTCAAAAGAATTCAATTATTTTTAAAAATTTGATAAAATTCTTCGGAAAAATTCAATTATTTTAAAAAATTTTGATTGAATTCTTTATGAGGATTGAAATTTTTTTAATACAATTTTAATTAAACTACTCGAAAAAAATCAATTACTTTCGATTTAATAAAATTCTTCACAGGAATTCTAATACTTTGATAAAATTCTTCGCAGAAATTCAAATACTTTGAACAATTTTTATAATTGAAAATTTAATTATTTTTATAATTAATAAAATTCAATTGGATTTTCAATTTAATTGAATTCAATTGAAAGAGAATTGAATTATTTCCATAATTAATAAAATTCAATTGAATTTTCAATTTTCAATTAATTTTGACTTATTCCGATTTAGAGAGTTTACATATTTTGGATTTTCGGTTTTAATATCAATGAGAGAAAAAATTTTTTTTTTTTTTAACAATTTTGGGTATATTTTGCTTATTAGAATAAATAGATAAAGTGCATGGAATAGAAAAGAAAAAAGAAACAGTTCATAAATGAAAAAATTTCGAATTCGTTAAGTTTAGAAAATGAAAGTTAATTATCGTGGATGTGGAGAAGGAAGACGCAAAAACGATTGTCTCTCAGTAGAAAGAGGAGAAGCACCAACAAATTGTAACTATCTAATAATACTAACTTGCCAAGTGGTGTTAACGGGGTGAATGTGGGGGTTAATGGACTGAATTAGTCACCTCTGTTGGCGCGATTTTCACTGCTTGCCGTTGAACTGCTTCGAAGGCCTGATCTGCCTTGATTAGAATCTATGAGCGCCGCAGCTAAATTCGATGATGCCGCAGACTGTACGCTCATTGTCGATCCTATTTAAAAACAATTTTCCATAAAATAATAATAATCATTACTTAAATAAAAATCAATTATAATCAATTCGAAAAAAATTGCAAACTATTTTTCTTTTCATATAATCAAGAATTTAGGTACTTTAAAACTGTTTCCAATTTTAATCGAAAATGGAAATTAATGGAAAATTGAAAATTAATGGAATTTATTTGATTTTACAAACCCGAGACGGATGATGATCCACTGAATGGACTTTGTGGTTGAATAGGAGAGTAAACATTAGCCGCGAATTCTTCAAAGGTCATTGGTTCTTTGTGATTCTTTGTCACTGTGTCAATTGATCGCGCCCTCTCCTCATAGCTGAAAAAATTATTTTTTTAAAATTAAATTCCACTGATGGAATTTTAATTTTTCTCCTAGGAAAAATTTCGTTTTCTTAATAGAAAGTTAATTTACGTAATTATTCCTTATTTTTAATTAGTGATTCGACATAGATTTTTTGAAAAGGAAAAAAGATTCTGCATAGATATTACTCACTAGTGTTGATAAAGACTGAGAGTCGATCTTTTAGCTCGACTAGCTGCCAAAGCTGTGGTTCTCACTAATCCGGGTAGAATTTCATCTTCCACGATGCACTCATCGAATAGGGGTCCAAAGAATGGTATTTCTGATTTTCGGGATATTTGAACTCTATATAGACCATTGGGAAGTGGATAGATGACTATTAATACGTCACAGAATTCCGTGGGAATTATATCGCGACGATAGTCTCGCCAGTGTTCTGACCACACAATGTGGATTTCATCGTTACCTAAATGTCTCGTCTTGAAAAGGATTTAAAAATTAAAACAAATAGTTCTTTAAAATTAAATTTTAAATAAATAAAATTAATTCAATTGATTTTAAATAAAGTAAATTAATTAACTTAATTTTAATTAACAGGTTTGTCACAGGTCAGGGAAATCAAGGAATTTAGGGAAAAGTCAGGGAAATCAGGGAAAAGTCAGGAATTTTTTATTAAAGTACTGGAAAAAATTAAATTTTGGAGACCCTGATTAAGTATAGAGAAATAATGAGAAAATAGAGGAAATATTTGAGTAGATTATTACCTTTTGCAAGAGGCTTTCCGGACTATCGGAAGGCATTCTTGTGGCGACATGGAAAAGCACTTCGGAAAAGGAGGTGGCAAAATACGGAGCTGTTAAGCCAGAAGCTTTGCCTGGTATAAGTCCTCCGAGGAAACCCGTATGAGATTCGAGTTCAACTTCCCAAGCTAATCTTGCGACGAAATTCTCGTATTCTTTACTGGCAGTTACATTGCTCAGAATTGAATTCTTATCCTCCTGGCCATGACTCACATAAATTACTGCCATCTTATGAGTCTCTCTCGATCGTTGATTATCCAGATTTCGTAATTCGCGAAGTAATTTCTCATTTTTCGATAGAATATGAAGTCTTCGCCTTTGCTCCCAACCGGATAGACCCAAATGCGAAAAAAGCAAACGACAATGATGAAATGGAGGTGGTGGGAGACGACACACTGGCGGATTCACTGGAGAAGCACACATACTGAAAAAAAGATTTCTTAATTAAAATGAATTTGCGTCTTGTAAATATAGTTCTGTTTAATAAAACAAGTTTAGAAAAATTATTAAAATTAATTTTAGGAAAAAAATGATAATCTTTTTTATGTCAGTAGTGATCAGGGCTCGAAACAGTGAAAATATTTAAAATTACGGACTTTACGGACTATATTATTTAATAGTCTCCACCCTTTGGTAAAAAATTTTAAATTATCTAAAATTAACAAAAATTCAAAAAACCGAATTTCTTAAAATTCAACATTTTTGCTTCTCTTTTATGGCATTTAGCTTCACTATTTTTAGGCTCTTCAAAAATACTTTACTTATTTAATAGTCTCCATCCTTTGGTAAAAAATTTAAATTTATTAAAAATTATTAAAAATTCAAAAAACCAAATTTCTTAAAATTCAACATTTTTTCTTCTCTTCTATGGGATTTAGCTTTATTATTTTTGTGCTCTTCAAAAACACTTTACTTATTTAATAGTCTTCATCCTTTGGTAAAAAATTTAAATCTATTAAAAATTATCAAAAATTCGAAAAACCGAATTTCTTAAAATTCAATATTTTTTCTTCTCTTCTATGGGATTTAGCTTCATTATTTTTGTGCTCTTCAAAAACACTTTACCCAATTTTTTATCTTAGTCCTTTAGTAAAGAATTTAAAATTATTAAAAATTATCAAAAATTCGAAAAACCGAATTTCTTAAAATTCAACATTTTTTCCTCTCTTTTATAGGATTTAGCTTCATTATTTTTGTGCTTTTGGAAAATACTTTACCCAATTTTTTATCTTAGTCCTTTGGTAAAAAATTTAAATCTATTAAAAATTATCAAAAATTCGAAAAACCGAATTTCTTAAAATTCAATAGTTTTTCTTCTCTTCTATGGAATTTAGTTTCATTATTTTTGTGCTCTTCAAAAACACTTTACCCAATTATTTATCTTAGTCCTTTGGTAAAGAATTTAAAATTATTAAAAATTATCAAAAATTCGAAAAACCGAATTTCTTAAAATTCAACATTTTTTCTTCTCTTCTATGGGATTTAGCTTCATTATTTTTGTGCTCTTCAAAAACACTTTACCCAATTTTTTATCTTAGTCCTTTGGTAAAAAATTTAAATCTATTAAAAATTATCAAAAATTCGAAAAACCGAATTTCTTAAAATTCAATAGTTTTTCTTCTCTTCTATGGAATTTAGTTTCATTATTTTTGTGCTCTTCAAAAACACTTTACCCAATTTTTTATCTTAGTCCTTTGGTAAAGAATTTAAAATTATTAAAAATTATCAAAAATTCGAAAAACCGAATTTCTTAAAATTCAACATTTTTTCTTCTCTTCTATGGGATTTAGCTTCATTATTTTTGTGCTCTTCAAAAACACTTTACCCAATTTTTTATCGTAGTCCTTTGGTAAAAAATTTAAATCTATTAAAAATTATCAAAAATTCGAAAAACCGAATTTCTTAAAATTCAATAGTTTTTCTTCTCTTCTATGGGATTTAGCTTCATTATTTTTGTGCTCACTTGTTCGAGCCCTGAGTGATAGATAAAATAAAAATTGTAATTAGGTTTGTTTTTAATCTGTAATCTTTAATTAGCATAAGAACCTGATGTGCTGATTCCAGTTGTTAATGTGCTCTCGTTCAGAATTGCGTTGACTGAGAATAGTGGCAATTGTTTCGCTTTCGAGATGCTGACCCTGCGGTGAATTAGCAGGTGAATTTAGTGCTAGTTCAGGATTTGTCAACACTTCCGGACTGGTGTGCCCAATATATTGAAGCAACTATATTAAGAAAGAAAGTTAATGTTTTTTTTGCAAAATTTTTTCGAAGTGTCTAGAGACTTACATCGTCTAAATTATCCATATCACTAGCGGCATTCGCAAAGGTCGGTAAAATGTGAGGTTCTCGATGTCTCATTGTGTGACGTGGAGGACAACTTACTGCTGGCAGTACACTCGTTAATTCTTCTTTTTCTGTTCTTAATCCCCAATCGACTACAAAAAAGAGAAGAATTCGGATTAATTCGTAATTTAACTACTGATCGATAATTATTCATTTATTATTTTATTTTATTTGCTTTTTTATTATTTTATTTGTAAATGTTTATGGTTTAAAATTGTGCTACCTGACTTTATTCCAGGCATTATGATGTCTTCATCGCTTGTTGGTTGATTGTATAAAATAGAACTGTCCCAGGAGGCTTTGCCTGTTAGGTCTCTTAGTAAAACTCTCACGACGCAGGGAGCTGTTGTCAAACCGGCAGTGACACCGCCTCCTGGTGCATCAAGTGTTTCTAATTCGATTAAGGACATTATCACGGAACTTGAAAGCATTAACATTTGAATGTTCGGGGCTTGAAATACTGCCGATGAAAGTTCATCGCTGTCTATTCCTGGAACATCGTCAAGTTCCACGACTAAAGATGATAAACGCGCTGCGCCAATTCCCATTGGAAAATGTCCGAGATGATTCACTAGGTGCATCATCACCTGAATTCGTTTGAAATTTTAATAATAAAGTATTATTAATTCATTAATTAATTAAAATAAATAATAATAAATAATAGATAAAAATATGGCTAATTAGTTCTGATATCTGGAAATTTACGTACCATCTTAGCTGCTAGTTGAACAGATTGATAATTCCCTCTTCGTGGAGATTTAGAAGATGATTCATAGGCTAGATTATCTAAAGTGATATTAGGATCGAAATCTTCAAATTCGCTGCTCTTATTTTCTTGCAGATTTTTGCTACTCTTGTTTTGTACAATATTGTCCAAAACCTGAGAAAAGAAATATTTGTTATAATCTAGTTTTTTCTATATGTTCCTTCTTTGTCTATAAAAATTGTATTCTATGTTTTTTCAATTCTTCAAATAGTTAGATTTTTGAGATTTTTTGGATTTTAGAAATGAAATAAATTGTTAAAAATTTTCTTACTGTGAATAAAGTTAATAGAAGTGATTTCCCTTGATGAACTTGTTGAAGGAGATTTGGACCAAGATGCATGGCCCATTCACCCAAACAAAATAGCATTGATATCGTTAGAGCGCTACGCCTTTCTGGTATTGTTGTTCGACCCAAAGTTTCCGATAAGTTCTAGAGGATTTGAATAAAAAATACGAATGATTAGAATTTATTTCAGTGATAATTGTTTACTCGAATATTGATGTTTAATTACCTGAATTATTTTTGCCGGCATGTTTGGATATAATTCCAGTAGAATGTCAGCTTTGTCGCAGAGTAAAAGAAGACAGTCACATGCCACTTGTGCTACAGTTGCGTGAGTCGTCTGTAAAAAGAAAATGTTAATTTTAATTTAGGTTTTCATAATTGAAAATTCTTCTCCTGGTTAGATAGAAGCTTTTAAATTAATGCTGGTTTAGTAAAATCCATCAATCCATTTAGTGAAATTCGACACGGAAAAAAGTTTTTACCTGAAACGACTACAAATTTCATTGTATTATGGAATTTTTTCTTTGAGTCAATTAATTCTTTCGCTATTCTTTTTGCTAACATCATTTTGTAAAATTTTTTTTCTGTCAGTTTCTGGGGCAAATTTTTTCCGTGGATTTATTTAAAGCAATTTTTTAAAATTTTATTTTATTAAGCTAAGAATAATTTTAAAAATATTTAAGTCATTTAAAAATTTTAATTTAAGTCATTTAAGTGATTGAAAATTTAATTAAAAGTCATTCAAGTGATTAAAAATTACCACTTAAATGATTAAATTTTATTTAAAATCATTAAAATTAATTAGAAGAAAAAATCTAATTCGATTAGATTAAAAATAAAATAATTTTTTAGCAAATTGAAAATAGAAATACAAGATTTGTTAGTTATTTAGAATTTAGACGATTAATAAAGCAGGAGCGAATGAAAAATTTTCTGAGATAACGAAGGAGATGGACGACACTGAAACGGCAAATTCTGCGTATTCTGTCTGTACCTGATTAGCTAGAAGAAAATGGAATTTGTCCTTGCGTCGTGCGGCTTGTCGTTTCCTTCGACTATTTGATCCAATGGAACACTAACATCACTAACATTAAAGCGTCCCTACTACCTTTTGCTTAAATTATTATTTTTTCCAAAAAGCGTGCATTTATTTTCGTTAAAATCAAAGATCTTTAGTAGTGAATATTTAACCCTTTGCGATATTTAATCTTGACGTTATTCAAATAATATTTAAATATTTGCTTATTTAAATTTTGTTTCCTCCTAGAGGAAGAATTATATTTTGTAACGTAATTGAATAAACATCGTCAGATTGCGTCGAGCAAATATACAAAATTTTAAGAATAAATAATTAGTTGTGTCGAAAAAATTACAATCTACTAGGAATTAATATTCACTAATGAAGTGCAGAAACCCAAAACCAAACTAAACATTTCTCTTTAGAAAGAATATTAACGATGACAAATTCTGACTTACCCTGAGTGCTAAAAGAAGAAGCATTATAGCTTCGGGAATAGTTCGGTGTTGAGATTTGTTGGACAGTTCTCGATAAATAAACATTGCGATACTGGAAAGAGCAATGCATCTCGCAACACCTGTTGGCTCTCTTTTACAACTTCGCATTAAAATTGACACAATATGATCCTGTAAAAAGAAGAATTATAATTTAAGACAAAATGATGAAAGGAATAGAAAGAAGAGAATGAAAGAAAAAAAGAATATCTTTCTTCGAAAGACTTTTAACCTTTGCAAAGGGACAAGTTGTCGTTAGAATATCCGTTCTGTCAGGTTGTAAGACCGGTAATTTTGATGCTGTGCTCGGCAAGGATAATAACGATCCAAGAATTGATACCGCTTCCGTTCTTGGTGCCTTGATTAAAAAAAGAAAAGAATTCTCATTCAAGAAAAAAGATTATCAAAGAAATATTTTTAATTTAATTTAAAAATTAAAATTTGAAATTCTGTTTCAATTTCAATAGAAAAATAATAATTTACTGATTTTAAAATGTGGGAAAATAAAAAGATAAATTGTCTTCTACTTGGTTTTCTTCTAATAAAACAAAACAAGAAATATACCTCGAGATCTTGACTGCTGAGAATGACATTTGCTGCCTGTATGTAGTCGAGAATCAAAAGACTCGAGCCAGGAAGATTTAAACTGAATAATCTCGGTCCTGTGTATTTGACCAAAGCGTGAAGAACTTTAGTGTCGTTACTTGAAATTCCATTGTGTACGGCTCGATAAAAAAGTGTCAAGTGTGATTTTGGCAAACTGATATCAAGTGGTTGGATTGTCAAGAGACAAATTAGACGATAGGCTGCTAATTTTCCCACTTCGTATTGCGGTGGCAATTGAATAGCCTAATGGAACAAAATTAATTCAGAAAATATTAAGGATCGAAAATTAATAATAAAAAATAATAATTTTTTATTATAATTTAATGAATGAAAAATAAAAAAGTTTAAATACCTTAAAACACCAGGGAGCTATTACTGTTAAAGGAGGGATCAGTTCTGGGGCTGGAGGTGTCACTTGGTTGTCGCCGGAAACTCCTTGATTTAATCGTATCTAAATATTGCAAACAATGAAAAATTAGAATTCTTCAATTAGACAATTTGAACAATTTTTTGAAATTTGTTTTCTTTTATTAAATTTTTTACTTTTTTGTTAAAATTATTATTTTCATGATTTGATTATTTATTAATTAAATTATTTAATTTATTTACTTATTTAATTAAAATTATTATATTGTAAAATTATTAGCTTTGATTAGATTTCTTTCACGCGAGAAAAATTTGTTTCTTGAAGAACTTAAAAGTTACGTTTGTTTAAAAAGTTTCAATAAAAATAGTTTTTTCTTACTTTTATAAGAGTTTGCGCGAGCTGAACAAGATAATCCATAACTTGTCCATGAAGTGAAGGATCCTCAATATTATTAACATCACCCAGAGCTGATAACATTCTTCGCCATAAAACAACAGCCACGTCGGGTAACCATCCTCGAACACCACCACCCGCCATAACCGATCTTTTCTCAGACGCGTCATTTGTATCTGTGAAATTAATTTTTAATTTAAGAAGAAAATAATTATCCAAAGAAAGACCAGGGTGTCTACTATTTTCGTTTAACAAAATTCCCGGTTATTTCCCGGTTTTTCCCGGCTATATCCTAATTTTTTCCCGGTTTTTTTTCTTATCAAATTTAAATTTAAATTTGATTTCAAACATAAATAAATCATTAAATTTTTTGAAAATAATGTTTTTTTCAGTAATTTTAATTAAAAACTTGGAAAATACTTGAATTAAACAAAGAATTTTTTCAAGTTTTTAAAAATAATCTTGTCTCTTTATAATTATAATTGAAAATTGGATTTTTCAATTTTATTAAAATCACATTGATAATAATTGAACTTCTGCAAAGAGTTTTACTATTTATAAAAATAATTGAATTCTTCCAAAGAATGCTATTATTTATGAAAATAATTTAATTCTTGTGAAGAATTTTATTAAAATTTTTGAAAATAATAAGCAGCAATAATTAATTCTTTACTTAATATATAATAAACATTTAATTTGCTCAAGAAATAAATAAATATCATTTATTTGAACATTCAGAAATTTGAAATGATAAAAATTTAAGAGAAGTTTAATAATTATAATTATTAAATAATAATAGAATAGTATAATTTTTAGAAGCAAAAAATTGATTTAAAACTGTAAGAGGGACTTTAAATTTTAAAAATAAGATTATAATTATGGTCACTAACTTCCCTTGATTATTTTCGAAAAATTTAAATAAAATTCTTTAAAAGAATTCAATTATTTTTCAAAAAAAGTAAAAAAATTTCAATGATTTGTTTAGCAAAATTCAATTATCTTGAAACAATAGAATTGAAAAATTACAACAATTTTATTTTTTAGACTTAAAAAAAATTTTGCGAAAGTTTAATTTTATTAAACAATTTTAAGTATGTATATTTTTTTAAAATAACTAATAAAAATTTTAATTATTAATCTTCGGAGTAAGAAACATGAATACATTAGAATTTTACTCTTTATAATATTCAATTATTAATCAATTATTAAATTAAAATACTTTGAAAATTCTATTTGTTAAAAAGTTTCTAATGAATTTCTTTAACAAATTTAATTACATATTTTCAGTCGAATTTCACAATATTTCTATTAACTCCATAATTTTTTTTAAATTTATTTACATAATATATTTGAATTGGTAACTGATTTTTTATCATCAAATTAATTATTTTTAACTAACTTAAATTTAGAGAACAGTATAAATATCTATAAAAATTGAAATAAAAATTGATTTTTTAAAAACAAATTAAAATAATAAAACTTTTTTAATTTTTGTGAAAAAATTCCCGGTTCGGTATAAAATTCCCGGCTAATTCCCGGTTTTTCCCGGTCAAATAAAATTCCCGGTTATTTCCCGGTTTTCCCGGAATTCCCGGTTAGTAGACACCCTGAAAGACATACGTGTTTTCTCACCTTTCGCTAATTATCATAAAAAGAAGAACAAAATAATTATAGTTTCGGGAATTGCAAAAAATTACATTTATACATTTAAAAACTCGATAAACAATGAAATTATATTTTTTCAAGCAAATAATTAAAAAATTAGTAATAATGATTGTTGTTAAAAATGATAATTAAAACTTAAAAAATTACACTCTGGCAAAAGGGTAACACACAAAAAAATCAAAACGGAAATTTGGAAATTAAAAATAGAAGCTTTGGACGAAAGTAATATTCAGTTGTAAATCAGAAACGGAAAAATTTAGTATTTTTTTATAAAATTATCGAGTAAAAAACTTATCAATATTGGGGGAAATTTTGAATTTGAAATAACAATTTTGCCACGTGGGGAAAATGGAAAATCGAGAATTATGAAAATAATTTGCGGCTAACCGATTTTTAATTATTTGGGTTGATAAAAATTATTTTTCTAAATCTATTTCGTTTTTTAAGAAATAAAAGACTAAGCGTAATTTCGTTTTTCAAGAAACAAGAATCAAAGCGCAAAGTTCTCTGGGAAAATCAAAAAGCAACAGTCGTAGATCGATTTTCCTAAAGCGTAAAAAAAGAGAGAAAGAAAGAAAGAAAGAAAAAAAAATACGTACCAATACTGCTACCATCAATATTTTCTATCTGAATGGGACTATCCTTGTTACTATCGACTCCGCTGCTTGGCGTTGGAGAAGGACAACGTGGTGATGACGGTTCACTATCAACCATGATGACACTGTCCAATGATTTAGCACGTCTGCTGATCAATCTTTTTCCACTCGATGTATCTGAATTATTTGCTAATAATCTCGCCATGTCTTGTTCTATGGACAAGGGAAGAACTGCACCGCGAGGAAAACGATTGTTTTTAGTCGACAAAAAAAAGTAGCAAGCAAAACATCATTAATAACTTGACGAATAATTTTCTCTTTATAAAAAAAAGAAAAAGGGGATTTTGAAAATTCTAAAAAAGAAAAGACTTTTTTAAAAATATAAAACACAAAGCACTTGACTGTTTGGATTAATTGTTAGAAATGAAGAGTTTGCTGGCTCGTAAAGCAGAACATGAGACAGGATATTTTTAACTCACTTCGTACAAAAGCGAAAAATAAAGATTATGATATATATATAAAGCGGCACACTTGGGACGAATAGAGAACACATTTTTTAATATGGATTTTTAATAAATTACGGGTAAAAAAAATAAAAAAATGCACAAAAAAAAAAATGAATTTGGAATTATTTGGAAACTTACTCGGAATTTCTGAAGGAATTGTCGTATGTCGAGTTCTGTGGGATTTTATCCGCGATTTTCCTATGTAAAGACTGTTGTCACTAACACTTCGTGGCAGTGGACGAACTTTTCGTAATTCCCGGAATGGATGATCTGAAATTCGATTCAAAATGTATTTTAATTGTTTAGTTATTTTATTAATTTATTAGATTAATTAGAATTATTAATTTGTTTTTAGAAACAGTTTTTTTTTTTAATTAAATACTATATTTTTTAATTTGGAATAGTTTTCGATTTATTTTATTTTACCTGTGGTACAATCTTTAGAAGATTGATTAACCTCTTGACCAACGCTTCCTCGTCTGGGAGGTTGAACACTTCCTGTGGATGCCGCACGACATCCAACACCTCGGCGTTTTTTCGATTTTTGCTCACTTAATCTATCCAATGGTAAATCATTTAAATCTAGATTGTAAACGTGTCTCGCGAGGACTCTCGTCAGTGTATCCAAAGTTTTCTGCAAATATAAGAGAAAGAAACATGAAAAAATAAATAAAATACGAACAAATTTAAAAAAAATAAAAAATAATACATAAAATACAAACGTAAAAACATAAATAATAATTTTATAAATTAGAAATATACAGTAAATTACCGCCCATTCGCGAATTAGATCTTCCCATTGTGTTAAGGAGGTTAAAACTTGAAGGAACTGGTCCCAGAGTTGTGTGGAGATAACAACATTTAAATTAGCTTTTATCCACGTGACTATTAGTGTTTGGAAAATTGCAGGCGCCAATTTTCCGCCGATACTTTCGTGATTCTTTCGCTTTTTCCCGCTAAGAACCAAGGATGTTATTTGTAACAATACCCTGAAAAATGAATTTGGAAAATAAATTTTTCAGACACAATTTTTTGAATAAGACAGATGAAATAGAAAATAAAATACGTATAGGAATTAAAATTGCAATGAAAATTAATAAAATTAATAACATTTAAAAAAATAAAATATAATTAAATGAAAGAATAGTGACAACAAATGATAAATAAAAGAATAAAATATAAAAATAAAAGAATAATTAATAAAAGAATAAAATATAAAAATAAAAAAAAGAATAAATTAAAGTGTAAAAATTAAAAGAAAGAATTCTATTTTTTGGAGAGAACGTAATTTACCTGAGGAGCTGCTCCCAGGTGGAGGGTTCGAGTCTGGTGTGCATGACAACGTAACGATATACGTTTAAAACTCTTTTGCAACTATCAATTTGCTCCTCTAAAAGCGATGCGGACGCATTACCTCCAACTGATTCTAAGAAAAAAACATTGGACGCTTGAGTAATAAATACTTGCAAAACACTTTGCAATCCGGCTCTAACAAATAAATTTTCTCGATGAATTGCTCCTAAATAAGAATCATTTCGGAGTCGAGTGTGCCTCTGATATTCCTGAGGACTTTTGTCAGCTTCTTCTCTTTTATGACAGTCTTCTAAATCTCTTTCCCTATGTCCATCTAGTGGCTCCAACATAAACGGTGGAATCTCCTTAAAAATTTTAACATTTTTAACACTTGAATATGAATTTCTATTATTTTTCTTAAATTTATTTATTTCTATTTGAAAATTAAAACTTACATTCATTTGTATCCAGTCTTTATATGCGCCAATCGCTTTGCGAATTGCTCCAGCGTGCGTGAAATCTAATAAAAATGCCTGTCGATACAATTCGTGAATGAAATTCACATTATCCCGGTTGCCGTATAAAACTTCTCGAACTAAGGCTACTGCCGATAAGGCACTGTCCTCTTGACTCAAACTTTCATGTTGACTTGGATTTGATTCGGGCGATAGTAAATTTGAGTCTGTTGAATTTTGATGAACGGAAACGCGACGTAAATCTGGTTCTGCACTTTCATCATTGGACGTTGAACTGTAATTAATTGAATATTATCATAAAAATTAAATATAATTTTTATTATAATAATAATGATTAATATTGACAATCATTAACTAAGCATTACTATAAATATTGACTGAAAATTACTAAAAACATTTGACAATGATTTAGAAATTAAATATGTACTTTCGTAGTTCTTTCTTTTCGTTGTAGTAAAAAAATAGTAAATAGTAAAATAATGAATTATTAAAGTGAAGGTATTAAATATTGAAGATGGAAAAATTACCTTTGAGAGAGTTGAGCGAAAGGGCCCTCTTTTTTGGTGACGTGAGTGTAACTTGCAATCCATTTGATAAGAGCTACCTTACAGAGAATATAATTATCGTTCTGATTAGTTGGCTTACGCATCATTGGCAATTCCAAGTTTGGTTTGTAGAGAGAAAAATTGTCACTAAAATCCGGACAAATGTAACGAAGATAGGTGGCTTTAAATCGTTCGAGTAAAAACTGAAAGGATTTATACTGTCGCGTATGTTTATCTCTCCATTCTACTTTCACTACCTGCAAAATTAGGAATTTATTTGATTAGAAGATTATTAAATTAATTATTAAATTAAATTAAAATCGTGATTAAATTCTTTTCAAGAATTTCTTTGAATTTTTTGAAAATAATGAAGTTTCTTCAATAATTTTAATCGGAAATTTTCAAAGTACTTGAATTTTCTGAAGAATTTCTTTCAAGATTTTAAAAAAAAATTGTCGTTAAAAATTAAAATTAAACATATTTGATTATTGAATTTGATTAAAATTGTATTGAAAATAATTGAAATCCTGAGAAGAATTTAATTATTTATAAAAAATTATTGAATTCTTTTGAAAAAGTTATTAAAGTTTTAGAAAATAATTGAATCCATCCGTAAAATTTTATTAAAATTGTATTGAAAGTAATTGAATTACTGCAAAGAATTTTACTAGATATTTATAAAAATAATTGAATTCCTGCAAAGAATTTTACTTGTATTTCTAAAAATAATTGAATTCTTGCGAAGAATTTAATTTACGGTTTAAATTATTACTCATCATAAAAAAACGGATGTAAAAAATTATAAACAATAATATTTTATTACGTACTTAATAAGAGAAATTTTTTAAACTTTGAATCTGAAATTATTCAAAAGTTTGAAGTTTATATTTGAAAATGAAAAATTTTGTAATTTGTATATAACAATAACAAATTGAATATCATGTTTCGCGAACTAGCGCGCGTAACATTTGCCATCTTGAATAATAATTTTTGTCAAAAAAATAGATTAGTTTTACCTGAGTGACCATGAATTCCATTAAGGCTTCCAAAAATTGAACTGTTTCATTATCGAGAGGTTTCTCTCCACTTTGAGGTGGTAAAATTGGACCTCCGTCGACCTGACTTATCGGTCCATGATTTATATTTCCGTCGTGAAAAATTGTCTCCGATAATTGTGTGTCGTAAAAATCTCTTCTATCTTTCTCGTCGCAATTTGCTTTTGGTGTTGTTCGAGAATTTTTTCCATCTGACTTTCTTTCTGATTTGTAGGGCGACGGTTGTCGTGGAGGAAATCCAGGCACTAGACAAGCAAACATCTGGTGAATGTGATCCGGAGCGTTGTCTCCCAATGCTTGGTACCATAGAATAAAGTACCTGAAATAAATTTTTATTTTCTATGAATTATTGAATTATTGATACAATAATTAATTAATTCATTTATTATCAGTAGTAGTTGAATTTAGTTAATTGTATTTTTTAGATTTTAGTTCTTTTCGAATTTTATTATTTAGGGCTCGAACTAGTGAAAGTATTTTAAAATACGGCCTTTTTTTTAATTTTTCATCCTTTTTGAATCAAATTACGGATTTTATGGACCTTTTTTTTTAAAAAAACTGTTTTTTCTGGCTTGAAGCAAATTTACTATAATAATCGCAGAATTATTTGCAATAATTGACCTTATAGCCTGTCGGCGAAGTTTCCAACTGTTGCCTGGATGCAACAGCTTGTGCAAAATTCTGGCTAAACTGTGACATTGCCATCTTCTGTTGAGTAATTCTGGCAAAAGTGTTAATACTTTTTCCAAGAGTTGTAAAACTTGCTCTAATTCCTCTCTATGTACCTTGTGCACTAGAAATTTGAATTTTATTAGAATTTGAAATTATCCTCATTCATAATTAATTGCAAATATTTTAAATCGATTGAAAATTTTAATTTATTGAAATAAATCAATTATTTTCTATAAATATAATAGTAGAAAATTAAAACTATTTTTTTAAACTACTAAAAATAATTCAAATAAATTTAAATTAATACCAAAAAAACAAAACAATGGAAAATTTTTAGCAGATCTCAAACTCAAATCGAAAATAAAAAAAGCAAAAGTTTTAATAACTTGTGAATTTTTATTTTTGCAACTATTATTATTCTTTAAGATTAAAAAATAGAAAGCAAAGCTTACTCACCAAGATGGAAGGAAAGTTCTGTCAGCAAAGATTGTCAAGAATAAGCATAAAAAATATATTAGTAAATAGACCCTGTTATTAATATTGTGGATTACTTTAAAAGAATATAATTTTTTTCACTTTCTTTTTTGTGGAAAAATTAAAATTATTATAAATCATAATTTAATTTTAGTTATTAATCTGATTAAAAAATAAAATTCATTTTGTAACTTAAATTTTAAATTAATTTTTTACTTCTTTAAATAAGTGAAAAAAATTACGATTTAGTTAGAAAAAGCAAGCATTTTGGAATTAGTTTATTGTGAGATAAAAACTTGTTTTATTTCAATCGTACCACGTTGACGAAGATTTGCTTCAGCTGAGACAAAACAGTCGTATAAAATGAAGTAAACGTGACTGAAATTTCCTTCGAAGAAACCTTTTGCTTCATCGATATCCACATTATCTGTAAATTAATATTTTGTATTATTTTAATGATTATTAATTTTCATATTTAAAACTAGAATTTGCCGGGAATAAATTACAATTGAATATTCGTTTAATATTTAGAAATTTATTTTAAATTCTAGTTTAACATTTTGATATTATTCCATGAAATCAGAAACAGATGTGAATGCATTAAAATTGAAATGTCGTAATATTAAATACGAATGTAGGTCAAAATGATTTTAACAGGCAAATAATTTGATGATTCAGTAATTTTATAATAATGAAGAATTTCTGAAATCAACAAAATTTTTTGATACTGTAAAAAAACTCTAATTTTTAAAATTAGAGGAATTTATTTACTTAATATTTTTAGTAAAATTAAAATAAATTTAATAAATTTAATAAATTTCAAAGGATTAATAAGGAAAAATTTTTTAAAGGATGAGGGAAAAATTCGAAATTAAGTTAAATAATAAAGTACTTTGAGGGTAACATAATAAGGTCTACCTTTTAAAATAGTTTATAAAGTTTTAAATATAATTTATTATTTATTATTGAACTTCTACTTTGAGTCATTTAATTTTTAAACAACTGGAAAAATTCAAGGCTTTCATTTGAAATGATTAGTATTTGTTGAATTTAAATTTCAAATGTTTCGATAACAATAAAAATATTTTTTTACAATCTTGTCAAACAATAATAAAATAAAAAAAAATATTGCGCAATATATATTATTACAGTTTGTGACAGAAGTTGTACAATGATTATTGTAAACAAAGTATTGTTACACGTAGATAATAATTAGAAGCAAAAATATTTGTTAAAGTGAATATAGAATTTTTTTCTTGTGTCTATTTGTTTCTCAGGGATTTGTGATTACGTGGGAAGTACTTGAGAGAATATTTTTATTCCTTTCCCCGATACCCCCCTTGTCCATAATAGGATTATGTTTCTTGAGGTTAGATGGAACTGCAGATGACAGATGAATAGATAAACAAATAATTTGACAGCAAGTGAATAAATGACATTTTCATTAATTTTCACATTACCTAAAACAATTTTTAGATGCTTGAACCTCGTGGCACTATCTTTTTTAACGTCCTGGATCTTGTGGGTTGACTTTTTGACGTCTACGTGAAGTTTTTTGCTGAACATGTTTTAATGCGTGCCGCGACCGGCCGCCAGAATAAAATTTTTCATCGAGTGCACACCAAGTGGTCCACATGGATTACAGACACTCAATCACTCTTATCACAATTCTAAATTAAAAAACAACCCGCTGTTAATGTTTAGCGTCAAATGTCGCGATCCACACTTTTCTTGTCGGATATACGTGGCAGCCATCTTGCCATACTTCATTCTGACAGTTTTACCAACCTTGTTTATTTTCTTTCTCTTTTAATATTTTTAATTATAATTTTTAAGTCGTACTGAATTAATGAATTAGGTGAAATTGATTTGATTGTTTAATTAATTTTCTTGTGTGGGATATTGTAAAAACGAGTTGTAATTTGTTGGGATTGTATATTGATTTTTGAATTTCGCGCCACTCTGAAGTTGGCTCTGAATTGCGCGATTGCGCGTGCGCCATAATGATTTAAAGGGCAATAAACTTTTATGATTTTTATAAACAAGGAATTGCAAATGAGCTTGTGTTATTAATTAATTGTTTTGCTTAAAGTTTTCTGAGTTATTTTGAAAGAAAAATTGTTTACATTCTCTGTTGTTTTATGTAACTTGGATTTGATAATTGATTGCTTTTTTGATTATGGAGGTTTGTTTTGTTTTGATCATTTATCGTTTCAACATGTTAGAAGAATGTATCAGGAAAAAAATTTTTTTTTTACATTAAAAAGTAGGATTAACAATGAAAATAGAATTGATTTAATTGTAATTTTGAAGCAATTAGAATAAGTTGATAAAATTTAGTTTTTTATTTAGAATATATTTGAGTATTTTTTAATTTTGTGATATGGTAACTGCGGGAATTGAATTTTGAACATAACCTAAAAATTTTTTCGATTTAGAGTTTTAGCGGTTAATTGTTACTCATTTTAATTATATGTAAAATGAATATTATTTATATGTGGGCATAATTATTTGAATTAAATAACACATTATTAGATGAAAATTAAAATTTTAACTACAAAGAGTTGCAAATTTTCGACATTTTTTTCTTCTTAGAAATAAATAAATAATAGATTTATTCGAAATTATTATTTCTTTTTGTAATTAAAATTCCATAAATTTCAGAATTATGAATAATTTTACTCTAAAATGAATCAAAGGAATGAAAGTAATAAAGTATTTACGGAAATTATTTTCACAAAAACGACAAGTAAAAGTGAGGCTAAAAAAATTAATGAATTTTGGAAATTGATTGATTCTCAGAATGATATTAAACCATTTGTGGTAGAGAAGAAATTAAAGAGTGAGTTTTTGAATATTTTAATTAAATACCTATAATTATTATTTTTTTCCGATTGAATGATATTTTCTTTATATTTATTTATATTTTTTTGTATTTTTGAAAATATTTTTTTATATTTTTTTTATATTTTTTCAACATTGAAGTTTAAATGATAAAGATTTAATTATGTAGATCCGACATCATCTGAAATTAAAGATGAAACATTAGCATGTGAAAAAGAGAAATGCGATGAAAATTTTCGTAAGGATCGATTATTTAAAATACTTGGATTGGACAAAGTTCCTCCCTCTACATCCAAATATAAAAAACCATTTAAAAAAAAGTAAATTGTTTCAAATTTATAAATTATTATAGTTATTTATTTACCAGAGAGAAAATATTTTTTTATAACTTTTGTAATTATATTTGCAAAATTATACATAGTAATTAATTTTTTTCTTTCAATGTTAGGTATTTAATTTAATAAAAAATTAATTTTATTAAATTAAGTAAATTTCTACAATTGAAAAAAAAAATAATTTAAAAAATACAATTATAATAAATAAATAAAATAAATTCAAGAAATTTATTTATTTATTTTAATTATATTTTAATTTTTAAATAAATTTTATATAAGTTAATTTTTCTAAATATAATAGATTTATATTAATAAACTTTTAATTATTAGTATAAATTTTGAAAGATATAATTATCTTTAAAAATTTGTACTGATAATTAAAAATTTATTAATATTATTACACTGAAAAAAATTTATTTTATTCAAATAACCGATTACTTGTCTATTATTAATTAAATATTTACTTGAATCAAATTTTTTTTTATTTAAATTATTTGATTCAAATACTGAAATTATTGATTCAAATAATTATTAAATTAAAATTTAATTAAATTTAATTTAAAATTTAATTTTTGATTAAAATTGATTTAATATAAATAATAATTATTTGATTTAAGTAAATTTTTATTTGATAATAGACAAGTGATTGGTTACTTAAGGCAAATGAATTTTTTTTTAGTGGATATTTATATTATTATTTAATATTTTCATTTATTGAACTACAATATTGAAATGATAAATTACTTTATAGAAATGATAACTTAATTCTATCCGATATGGTGGAACAGACTTATGAGGAAATAAATGACGAATTGAAGAAATTTGAAACTCGGTTGGAAAAATAAATGATCAATATAAATTTTTTGATAGAAATTCTTCATTCTATAGAGAACAGAACAGAGCTGTTCATTTTATTTTCATCTTGAAATTGCGAGAGTCCATTTTGAACAATATAAATGAAGCATATATATGGAAGGTTCTTGACTGTATTTTCGAACAAAAAAAAAATCGTTGGAAAATTGTTGATTTTAAATGATAGAGGAAAAAGTATAAGAAGATATGTATGTTATATATATAGGATCAATTGAAGAAAACAGAAAATTCGTTGAAGCGAAATTCCCTCCTGCCTATTAAAGTGTTTGTTCCATTGATCAATTCATGTCTCTATATCATTGAATTGAATCATAATGATTGGTAAGGTTTTTAAACCTTTATTGTTATAAATTCTAAGTATATATATATAGAGAAGATGGAGTAGGAAAAAAGGTGAACGCCTTTTTTTTTTTTAAAGCGATGATGATATATATAGGCGCATGAATTTGGTATCAAATTTCCACGATCTAGGAGACTTGTCCTGATTCTTGATCAAGTAAGGGCAAGGTGCTCAGGAACCTTGGGCCCATGAATGGAACCGGTGGTCCCAAAGTCGATCGCCGCACGACATCTGGTCCCTTCTTAGCTGTTCACGCATGCGTACATGCACACCAAATGGTCAATGGACCCGCTTTTCATATTATCGAAAAATAAGTCAGGCGCGGATAACAACCAAAAGGTTTAAGGTATTATGTTTCATATAACTTTATAATTAGAGCACCTTTAAGAGCCCTTGAAGAAATATACTTGATTCGAAAGAAAGGATAGATTATAATGATAAATCAGAATTTTGGGGAAATTGTTTAAATTGAATTGTTGTTGTCTTTTAATGAAAAATTAAACAGTGCGTTGAGAATTATGTCTTGAAACATGTGAGAAATAAAATTTTTTGTGAAAAAAAGGATTTGGAGCGAATTTATTTTTGGTAGTTTTTAATTTTGGTCTTTTTTATTATTGGTCTTTTTAGTTATTGCTCTTTATGGTTATTGGCCTTTTTTGGTACTGGTCTTTTTTTATTATTGGTCTTTTTTATTATTTGTCTTTTTTTGTTATTGCGGCCTTTTTTAGTATTGGTCTTTTTTATTATGGACCTTTTTTTATTTTTGGTCTTTTTTGTTATTAGTCTCTTCTATTATTAGTATTTTGTTATTGCTCGTTTTTATTATTGATCTTTTTTGTTATTGGACATTTTTGTTATTGGTCTTTTTTTATTATTGTTCTTTCATTATTGGTCTTTTTAGTTATTGCTTTTTATGCGGTAATTGCTCTTTTTGTTATTGCTCTTTTTTATTATTATCGTAAAATCCTAGTTTTCCTAAGAATATCAAATTGAGACAAAAAGCGAATCAAAATGTTGCTTCGCAACACTTTTGATTCGCTTTTTGTCTCAATTTGATATCTATAGAAAAACTGTGATGGGACAATTTTATTGTCGGTCATTTTTATTATTTGTCATTTTTTTTCTTTAATTCAAATATCGTCGATGATATGCGGTCTCAATTGTCGTTTGGCTGTCGATCGTCGCGTTTGCAGTTCCGGTTCGCAGATCGCACACCGGATATCAGCCATCGACCGCACCCGGCCTTAACTTCCCCTTGGCATTTGTTTTTTTTCTTTTCGCGGAAGTAAGATGGCTGAATAATTGCAAACGACGTCTATACGAAACATGCCGAAAAGATATTGTCTCGAGAGGGGTTGAATTTTTGCCCCTTCATATCGATCCTTTTGCTTGTAAGTTTTCATTCATCTATATATAATATATAATGTGCGTATATTCCCAAAATACAAACATTCAATTATATATTATATCCTACTTGACGGCAGGGATAACGAGGGTGCTCGTGAAAAATTTTACAATTTAATATTTTTGACGCGCAAATTGTTCTCAAATTTTTTATACCGCTGGGAAAAAATATGTATTTTTTTGGGTATTTTCAATATTTATCGCATTTTAAATTAATTGCTAGTCAAGTGTTAGCTAATTTTCTAATCATTTGATAGAACTGCAAAAGTGGAGAACAAGCTACTAAGAAAAGCGGCTCCCCACCATGCAGACACTTCCCCTTCCACTTTATCTCTCGACCCCGTCGCACTACTATAGTGGGGGGACGCTTCTCTTCTCGCTTGCAACTCATTTTTCCAGACTAACCTACATTTTGAATAAAATTTGTTACTTTTGATGCAATTTTTAAGAAAAATTAATTGAGGCCTTGGATCCAATAACTCGCCCGACGCTCGAAGCCACGCGCTAATACCAGTCGGGTAGCAGTGAGTGACCCAGAGGCGCTCACTGCTCACTGACTGGCAGTTGCGCGTTCCTCCGAGCGTCGGGCGAGTTATTGGATCCAAGGCCTCAATTTAATAATTACAATATAATTCGTCGAATAATTAAAAATTGAAGTTAACGATAGTTCCGAGTCATAGGTTGACTCGTAAGTTATTTTATATTTCTATTTATTTTTATTTATTTATTTTACAATAAATTTTCTACAATTGCGAAATTTATATAAAATTTCTCGACATATCAAATAACAAAATACATCTCTCGAAGAATAAAATAGCCACTTGTTAAATATACATTATCGAATTATTTTGCAAGTGAACAATCAGGAATTGAGAAGAGAGGAGAATCGTTGAAGTGAATTCATTGTTTCGTGATAATCGGAGACGAACGAGAGTCCGTTGATAGAGATTCGACGAAGCAGCGACGTTTAATCGGTGTTGGCCCGCATCAGGTTGATCGAAGACCCCCCAGTCGGGTGTTTGAAGGGCCTGGGGGTTTTCGACGGGGTAAAAAAAAAGGGGACTTGATGGCATATAACAAGACGACCTGAAAGAGAGACAGAGAGAGTTGGGGGGGGGGTATTTGAATCTGGAGAGAGAAAGAGAGTGAAGGGTGGGGGGAGGGGACCATAAGGAGAGGCTGTATACTATGCCGATGGATGCAAACAATGGAGGCGGGATGCTCATTTGTCTGCGGGTATTGTTGTTTGCCCGGGCGGAAACACGAGCTTCATTCGCCCTCGCTCTCTCTGTTCCCCACCCTGTTTTCTCTTTCTCTCTCTCTCCTTTTTTTACCACTATTCCCCCTCCTCGTCGTTTGTCGATTATTTCTCTCTCTCTGGTTTGCTTGACAACCCCTAAAAAATAGTGGAAAAAAGACGCGATCCGGGCGCCTTTTCAATCGTCAAGAACATAAGATTTGAGCCTTCTCCCAGTCTTCGTTTTTCATTATATGTCGCTTTGTCTCTTGTTCCTGCGATTAACCTCGAAATTCATATTTTTTAATAATTATATTTCTCTTTGTAAAGATTTCAAAATTTTCCCAAGTAGCAAGCAGACCAGTTTTTACCAACTCCGATTAAAAGTTAATCAATGATTGAATCCTTAACCGACCAATCACGGGCGGTTGAACTGACTTTAGTTGATTAACTTTTGATCGGAGTTGGTGAACTGGCCCTTAAACTATAGCTTGGCTTTTATGGGAAATAAGCTTATAGGTACTTCGAAGATTAAGGAGCTGTTTGGAACTGTTTTTATAGGATTTCAGTCTTGCGCACTATATAGAGGAAGTGTGTGTAAATATTTTTGAAGTACAGGGTTGAGAATAATGTATACGAGAAATTCCGAAGGAGCAACGGTAAAGATGGAACCGGGCGCTGTATAAAATGTAAAGTGAAAAAAGACATAAAACGAACATGATGATTATGATAATGATGGTGATGATGAACGTGCGCGGACCAAAGAATCGAAGTAGTGCCCAGAAGCAAGGCGGACGGCTCGACAAATTAAGCGAGATTTATGGGGGGACTACCCAATATTCCATTCTATTAACATCGCATTACGCGGTCTGCAAATTATACGCCCCATTTTTTAATACCGCGCCTCTCACACAACTTTTAATTTCAGTTCTGAAGATATTACAGTCATACAGTAACCTATATATCTCCAAGTTAATAGATTTACTCATTTTTTTGGTTTTTTAACGGTTTTATGTTTTAATTTTCTTGAGGAATTATTAAAGGATAGGTCTTGAAATTATTTGGGTTGAATTAAGGATTTTTGAAAGGAGTAATTGTGTCGAAATTTTTTAGGAATATTAGGGGACCCTT